CTAAATAACTACTCTCTAAAGCTTACTATTAGATATAAAGCTATTCTTAGTACTTAACTATTAGATATTACTATTTTAGTAAGTATTTATAGTAATAATAGTATATTTCCTTAATTAGAACTAGGACTATTATAAAGTCCTTCTTAGATTTAAGCTACTTTCTAATATATATTTAGGGATTAACCTTAGTAAAATAATTATATAGACTCTATAATAGTATCAAATCCTTAATCAAATACTTATAATTATAATAGATAATATATCTAATAATATTATACTTATAGCTATTATTAATAATATAATATAAGCTCTAAAGCTTAATAACAAGTCTATAATTATCTAAGTCCCTTATATTATATATATAATTTAACTTAGTCTAAATAATCTATTTAAGAAGATAAAGACTTTACTAAAGAATAATACTATAATACTTTCTATAATCTTTAATCTAATAAGCTAAAGCTTATATCTATCTAAGATATATAAATATAATAGAATTTAATATATCTTATACTTTACTAGACTAAGAGACTCTAAGTACTATTTAATATATTCTACTTATAATATAATTAGTCTTATTTTATATTAAATACTAAGAAGTAGTAATGAATTAATTATCTACTATTTATTATATAGCTCTTCTTAAAATGTATAGCTATTATTTATATAACTAAAGATATAAGTATTTACTTAGTCTTTAGTTTCTATAATAAACTTTTTAATTATCTTAAAAATTTAATCTATTAACTCTAATAAAAGAAGATATCTTAGAAGTAATTAATACTTTCCTTATTTAAGGTTATATAAGAGAAACTATTAAAATACTATACTATAATAGATAGAATAGAAGATAATCTCTATATAATTAGTATAATCCTAATACTAGTAAATAAGCTTTAGTTCTTTTTAATAAAAGACTAGAAGTCTAATAATCTAGAGAAGGACTATAAAAGGATCTATTATAGTAGTCTTAAGTCTCTCTCTATCTTATATAAGAAGTAAATATCTAGAAGAAAGGCTATAATTAGATATAATATTTTTAATAAATAATAATAATAATAGATACTATTCTACTATTTAAAAACTTATATATATTACTATCTCTATAATAGAATAAGCTTATAAGGTATTTTAAAAGTTATATATACTTTTTCCTCTTCTTACTATATAATACTAACTCTTTTTTTTAATAATTATATAAAACTTCTCTTAGATCTTTTAAAAAGACTATAAATATAAGTTTCTTATATTTATAAGCCTTACTTAGGATATTATATTAATCTTAGTAACTAAAATAGAAATAGAGTATCTCTTTAACTCTACTTAGAATATCTACTATTATTAATAAAGATCTTTAAAACTATAGTCTATATAAGATATTATATTTTAGATATATATAATAAAAAATATAATTTTCTTATAATCTTATCTTTTGATCCTTAATCCTTGACTCTTCTACTATATTAAAAGTTATAAATAAATATATAGAAATCCTCTCTAAATGAATATAATTTATATATTATAAGTAAGTCACGTTTTCTACCTATTTATCTTATTTAGGGACCCTAAGATTCACCTATAAATAACCCTCTTAAGGGTCGGACGTCTAGGTAAACAACCCTTAGGGTCGATAACTTAGTCGCTTATCCACCCGCAGGGCGGATCGGGTGGAGGGTCCGGAGGGTTACCCACAGGTGAGGGCCAGGTCTAGGAGCTAGGGTAATAGTAATTTAACTAGGGATCACTACTAGTATAGAAGTATATGATAGAGATCTTTCTAGGTAGACTAAGAGATAGTATTAAATAACTTCTTTATTATATATTATAATTAGATTGTCTAATGTAGATTTCTGATGATACTTGTAGAAGCCTAACTCGATTATAGTAAGATAAAATATAGTATTTGGACTTCTAATATTTCGGTATAAGAGTATATATTTTGTTTAAATATAGGCTCTTTCAATACTAATATAAACTTAGATTTATAATTAACCGCATTTATAGTAATATCTTTGAATATTGTGATATAAAAGATAGAATACAAAAAAAACTGGTTGTGATGTTGTGGTAGGCTCTTATTGTTTATTGTAGTACTAAGTACTGACCAACCCACAATAATAGCAGGGAATAAATTAATCACTCGGCTAGGGCCTTCTAGACTGTCTAATAACTACTATTGATCTTGAATCTCTTTTCTAAGCGGTCTTCTTCGAAGTAATAGATGGAGACTCCAGGCTATCAGAAATCTTTCACGAGATTAATCACAGATTGGGGATGGTGGTGGACCACTTGCTGAAGGAGTGCGGGGTCTTGTAGAATGTTCAGGAGCCGGAGTTGGTTGAAGCTGTGTTGGATCTTGTATTGAATGAGATGGATGAAAACGTAGGAGATGAGCCTTATAGTAAGGATGCTTGAAATGAGCTATTACCGCCTAATGAGACTGTAGCTGAGTAGATTTAGGGTAGATATATAAACCAGTTGAATGTTTAATAATCCTTGTCCCGCTACTTGATGGTATACATAAACTTGATTGAAAATGAGTATATATTCAAACCTGTATGCTTAACCCTTGATAAATAGGTTTGTTATTAAGAACTTGCTGTATATAAACCCCATGAAGGGTCCTAAATATTCTTTTTGAGCCTAAAGGCTACGCCATGTACTACCACTAGATTCCTGGGTGTTCAGTATTATAAGAGGCGTGGAGGAGAATCTGTCGGTTCTCGACTTCGACCTTAAGGATAAGTACACGCGACGTTCGACCGTCCCACCGCTAGAAGTCTTGCGAACTATGTAAACTAGTGTTGATGAATACGGATATACCGAGACGCCAAAAAACAAGGTTATAGTTCAAAAAGAGAGAAGCCTCGTCTGGAACGATGAAATTCTGGGATAAGCTGAGTGGTACTACTGCTTGAATAGAGGTGTATATAATAAAAATCTTCTCCGTCGAGATGATGATGGGCCAGGAGCTTATATACTTCGGTTTCTTGCCCGTTGTCGGGTGCGATATAAAGAGAATTTCTAGCAATTATTACTAGTATGTATAAATTCATATTTCGCTAATGTTTGAAATTGATATTAATTACAGTTGTCTTTACCGTATGGCTCTGAATAAGGACCTTGAGCTAGAAGGTATACCTTCAACGATCGAATTATCTTAAACTTCTCGGGATCCGAAATTCCTATGCTTTCAAAATCCATATGAAGGAAACGCAGTGTTGCTTTAGTAAGGAATTGAGGCTGTAGACAACCCAGGATATTCAAAACTGATGGATTCCCCTAGTGATTTTGGTAGAGAAGGTGCTATGCTATTTTAAGACTTACGCGGGGGGGGGGGGGGGGGTGGGTGTAATATTCACTGATGCCAAGGGCTTTCCGAAGTGCTGGATACTGATAAGAAAGTGCCCGAGCTTGTCGCGAATCCTGGCGTAGTATGGAAGATATCTTGTTTGCTATGGCGGATTTCAATGTATAATTGTACTTTCGTATTCCGAGCTAGTGAGTCATTGTAGGTGAAAGAACTTCTTTGTCGGAAAATCACGTAATATCACATGTATCAACAACAGTAGATCGGTCGTAATACGTTATGTGGATGGTTCTTGTGTAATACTTTGATTCTTTATAACCCATCCATAATTTATTGTCTAAGAAGTCACTGTGGTTTATAAATATAAGTTTATATAAGATAAAAATAGTCTAAAATTAGATTTTATATAGTAAATGAAACTTTCTCCTATAAATGAAATGTATATGTACTGTTCTTGCTCTTTAAAGACGGACGTATAGTGGTTAATCTGGTGACGTTTCTTTTTTGGTGCTGGTTGGTAGTAACGCGAACAAGGTCTTAAGTGGGAGTACAGCTGTGTGAAATATATATATATTTGGAGAGGATATTGTGGTGTCACAAAAAAAAGTATTGATAAATATATCTATGGTTACCGAGTAATGGGAAAACCTTGGACTTTTTGATATGTAATTATTGAAACCAGAATAAGAGCTGGGATTTCAAAATCTCGTCATAACCTGGCCAAATTTTTTACTACTCTGTCATCACTAGAAACAAAATTCTATTTGAGGGGCGGATAGCTATGGAGCTGACTACGTTACTATAAGGTATATACCTAAGTACTCTATAGATATAGTAAAGGACTAATTAATATAATTCCTTTATTGTATAAAGGACTTTTTTAATAATATCTTACTATATTAATTTCTCTAAAATAGATTCTTATTTAGTCTTTTAGACTAAGAAATAGAATAAGTTATATTAAAAGATAAAGATATATTAATAATTAATTTAATAGAAATATTAGATTAATAAATTACTAACTAAGTATATAGAGGTAATAGAAATATTATAATTAGATAAAAATAGATAAAAATAGATATTTTATATATAAATACTATTTTAAAATATTAATTATACAAATAATATAGTAATATATGATATTCTAGATATAGAGAAAATTATTATTATAATAATAAATTCTAACTCTATCCAATATCACCACTCTTTATCTGCCTAACCCTTTGACGTCAACCTTAACAATATTAATAATCAATATCAAATTCTCTCGCGATTTCGGTAAGTTTAGGCTTCGAATCAAGAGTTTAGATATGTAAAATTGCTTACTGAATCCGAATTTCGGCATTATTTTTCGTTGTCGGTATATTTTTAATACTAAAATTAGTAGTAAAGAGAATATATAGTGAAAATTTTCTATCTTAATAGGAAATTCATCCGACCAGGGAGCACCCTTGGGGCAGTGGCACAAAGGGGGTGTGTACAGTTACTTATTTAACTTACTAGTTGATAAAATACAGGAGAGCAGCTTCAATTTCAATTTTCGCAACTTAATACACTGAGAAGTGAAATCGGAAGTGAATCAGAAAGCAGATCAACCGGTAAAGAAAGCAAATCAACGTAAATACATAAGTAGGCAGTCAAGTACATACTTCATTTTTTCAACGACCTGCGATGTTCCGCAACACCATAATCACTTGTTACATGTGTCCAAGAACCGATGCTCTGAATCACCACGATCAGCTGTAACACATCCCCATGTATAGCCATTTGAGTCACGTATCACTGCCGCAGCCACATTAAAATTGCATACTTTCGGCTTCCCCATTACGCTGTTAATAGCGTTTTGAACAAGTCCCCCGTCAATAGGTGTGTTTTTAGTTTGTGATGCGAGACACCACATTGTGTCCGGAGTATCATGACCGTCATGTATGAATGGTTTTTCGAGTTTGATCGGTTGCACTGTTTGATAGTTTGAAATAGCAGAGCTGGTGGAAATCTTTGTTAAAAAGCTCACCATCCCGGGGTTGACATCACAAGTGTGCATGTGGACTTGATCCTGACTTATAGATCGCACAGGGTTGATAGCCAGGCCTTGGGTACTTGGGTCAGAAATAGGAGGTTGCTGGCCCCAGTCCCAAGCAGACTTTGCCAGGCTTCCGTGGTTTTGTAGGGCCAAGATGTTGCGTAACGGCTGATCTACTGTGGCTAAATTACCCTTCCCGCCGAGTTTCACCCAGCCTGTCGTTCCCTTTCCGTGCTGGAAATTACAAAGTGATGGATTCTGCTTGCACTCGCAAACTGAATGAAGCCATACGCCACAGGCATCGCTGTTCTCGTTCTGCTTTGATGTGCAATCAAAATTGCAGTTGGAAAGGCAGATTCCTGAATCTTCCGATGTACAAGTAGAAGGACCAACTGGACATTTCGTGCAGGTATCGTGAGGGCTGAATTGTCGGCAAGTACATCCATTCGAGGCGACGTCATCACGAGAGATTTCATCACTTGTGCAGACGTGGATGAATTGACCGGTGATCTTTCTTGAACATAAGAAGAGGACACTGAAAAGTAGGATCCTTTGGGAAATCATTTTGAAGATGGTGTATATTATTTCGTTGAAATAATGCTCCACTCCAGAGAGAAGGAAGTGTTCAGAGTAAGACGGAATCGATGTTTCTACTTTTCCCGCTCAATCACTTCCATTAAGTGTATCCTAGAATCTATGACACTTCATGAGCTCAATGGTGCGTTCTAGATCTAGAATCTCCATTTTATTCCAATTGCGGTGGTCTGGCACCTGAGAGTCAGCATACCACTTGTTTGGATCAATATATTTCCTTCTTGAGCACGGTCATCAGGTTGAACAACTGAATACGAGAGGGTCTAGACAGAGATTCTTCTGGAGGAATCGCCGGAGATGGAAATAAGTCTACCAAAGTGGTAATTTACGAAAACTACCACTCTCGTGCCTCGCGTAAAATAAGGCCCCCACTTGTCAAAATTCGCGGAGCGTAATGGTCGCGTAGACTCGCTGCTAGCGGGATGTCGTAATGGTGGCCAACAGTACCAATCGAGGCTTCCGCTACCATCCGACGCTGTCCATTCCTTGTCGATACCATCGTCACCAAACTATGAGAAAAGAATGGAGCCTATAGCAATATTTTGCAATTAGGTTGAGATTTCATTGGGGGTTCTTGAGGTCTTCCAAAACTGCTGCATCGTAGCAACTTAATGCGGGGAAATGCGTTACTTTGGAGCGACGCCTAAGTATACTTCCAAGGCTATACAAATTATTAGTCGTCGTTTATATACTGCTCCAATTATTATTTGACCCTGCGGGGAGGGAGCCTGAACGGCAGGTATATAAACACTTGTAAGTTGCTATCAAACTAGGAAGGGAATGAAAGAGGTATATGTGCATTTTTCACTTTTTAAGGCAAAGTCCCCTGTTGGAGCGGTCAAACGACTAACGGCGGGCGAGCGATAAACCCGTAGGTCTGACTGGCAAAACCTGGAGGTGTAATACAGGCAATAGTTCGTCGCGATGTGAACAGTTATTAAGGTCAATCAATCCCGACGGCGGCCGAGAGAGGAAAGCCCTTCCTGCCAGACATTATCCAGTCCATATAGTGGCTGGTACAAATAGCTGGTCCTTGCATAGCTTAGACGAAAATCACATTTGTACCCAATCCAGGGCTTCAACTCACGAGGGGACAGGTTAAATGATTTCCATACACACACACACACACACGTGCTGTATTAGCTTGCCAGTTGCAGGTAGTTTTTGCTTCTCGTGTCTTTGGCAACGTCAAAAATTGGCCTTGGGCAGCAGTGAGGTTGATGGCCCGTTTCACCTTGTTCCTGCGTTTCGAGGCTCCCATCCGTCCATCGACTTTATAAGAGCCGTTGCGAATTCTCGGTATTCAGCTCGCCATTTTTTATGCACTGTAAATGGGGTACAGAGTATATCTTTTAGCTTAATAGAGCACTTCCCTTGAAGATGCATAACCATGAATCGCTAGAAAGCTTTGCTTTGGGGTAGTAGTATTCCAAGGTTTCTGAGAGAATGACAACAGTATTACTTCTAAGCAAAATTGTTTTTAGCCTCTTAGTCTTGGAAGAGTAGACAAGCGCCTAGAAGGAAAAAAATATTTGACGACTTTTAATGTTCTGCTTGAACAAAAATATTTGGTTCTTACTATAGAGTTACAGTTCTGTAATGAGCTAGGTATAGAATAAATTTAGGTACTATTGAACAATATTGATACACAAGCTTTGAGTTGTCTTTTAGTAGAAATGAATATAGGTAGACCTGGCAAATGGGTGCGGGCATACCTGCGGCATGCCCATGGGCACAGCTATACCTATGCTAATATATAATAGGTAATTACTTGGTATTTATATTAATTTTATAAACTTAGTGTTTTTTAGCTGGTAATTTCAATATAGTTATACCCCTTTTATACACCGCCTACTATACTACCTTCCTATTATAGTATAGTATACCTATATGTCCACACTGCCTACACTACCCACGCTGCCCACTTGTAAAATAATCTATATTATATCTTATTTTATTATTGATTGATTGATTGAAACATGATTTATTTATAGAACTATTAGATATAAGGCCTAATTTGCAGTAGGGCACTATAGGATAGCCAAAAAGAAATAATAAGATATAAAAGAAATCTGAATCTGATAGTAAACCTGACTGGGTGTATCTTTAAAACAATCAAAAATATATACTATTTCTGTGTAGAAATAATATATATCGTAGGTATAATCTATTCCTGTTATGGGTGTTGTGCTACAGCGGCTGGCGAACAACTTCGCACAGGCCGACTTCCTTCTGTCACACGAGACGGATACACCGGATCTAATGTCAGTACAAAGTCGCTTTTTAATGGTTCTATATCTACTAAGCTCATCACAAGCACAAAAAGCATGGTATACATTTAGGACAACAGTACAATTGATGATGGCTTTGGGCTTCCACAGGAAGCAAGCAAGAATCAGAACCTATAAAGAGGGCTTGATTCAAAAGAGATACCAACGCCGAGTACTCTGGTGCTCGTACACTTTAGATACATATCTAAGTATCATTCTGGGTCGACCACGCCTTTGTAAAAGTGACCATCTGGATAAAGAGCTGCCCACTCGGATTAATGATCAGGACTTGACTTGCCACAAAAAAGGAATTTCAAATCACGATTGTCTAATGGATGCTCCAGTATTCTATACTATGCTGACTCGCATCCTTGCCCAGGCCACCAAGGAAGCTTATGTAGCCACCGAAATCTCGACAAGAGAACAAATCAACACCATTCGAGCATTTTGTTGGAAAGTCACCAAGTGGCAGGCCAGTTTCCCCCTTTTTATCTGGCATATTTCACCCAAGCAGCCTGGTCTCCGGACTTTGACGCCAGCTGACAGTTCTGCAGGTGGCGCGGTATCATGCTTTGATTATCGTCACCCGGCCTCTTTTGCTACGAAATTATGTACAAATTTGGCCCGAATTCGAAGCAAGTTATCAATACTACCTCTATACGTGTTTGACGGCATCAAGAGATGCGATTGACTTAATTCTCGTCTTCGTGCAGGAGAAACAACTTTTCCCGTCTTTTTGGTACTCTCAATACATTGCCTTCAACGCACTGTCGATCATTTACCTCTATCTCATCCAAGTCCAAAGGCTCCGTATTCCGCCAGTCGATCTCCACTTCCTCCCGAGCCCGGATGTCCTTCTTGGCTCCTCAGCCTTGAACGAATCCACTCTCTATAGGTTAGCTGAGAGAGCGGAAGCCCATCTTGCCGATGCCACTGCTCGAAATGCACCATCTTGGAAATACAGTGTCATACTCCAGGGTCTGCGTCGAGAACTCACAAGATCGCAACCACCAGATTCAGGCAATCATCACATTGAGCGAGATAATGAGAACAACCACCAAGGCACAACGACTAGTGTGTTTTCCCCGTCCACGGCATATCATCGCGAAGTAGTTGATCCTTCGCAACCCACGGAGGATAGAATACATACGCGGAACATTTTCACAATCCCGGATGAAGAAGAAGAAGAAGAAACAAACGACATGGTTGGACTTGATAATATTGCTTTATCCTCTGTGTTTGATCCGCAGACTGAATCTCTATTGGAAAACCTTGCTACGGATGAAGATTTAATTCTTGATTTCTGGCCACAGTTCGATAGTCTTAGTCTTCCAATTAGTAAGTGGTCTATCTCTCCGCTGCGTGGGACTTGCTGACCGCTCCAGCGCATCTTGGGTAGAATATACAAGATGAGCCTTCAGATCAACAGTTCTGGAACATGATTGGCTATATGGAGAATGATATGGAGCTCCGACCAATGCGGAAGTAATTGGCAGTCCCTGATAATATCTACCAAATATACTTGTAACGTCTCTGGTCGTCTTGCTGCTCCGCTTTTTTCGATATCATGTTTAGCCAATGGAGATAGCCTGCCAGGATGAATGACAGCAGTATTCCTCCAGCAGCAAAAGCCGACAGGGTGATGCCCCCCGGCCGATATTGGGGCGAATCTGCAGTGGGGAAGAAGTACGAGCCGTATATATTGGACGAATTGCCGAACAAATTCACCAGGGCGTATACAATAGCACGTTTCGTCCGACTGCGGGGAATCGTGCTTGCAATCCATGCCTGCACCACACTGAATGCCGAATAGGAACCCGCACACATGAGGAACATGCCGGCGTACCGCACAGCAGTGGCCCGAGAAGAAATGACCATTATGTTTCCAATTATATCCACACAGAGAGGCCAGGCAATCAGGACAACTCGTTGGTCGGTGTAATTCGCGATCAAGGAGTTCCCTAGGGCAGTGACGAAGCCAAAGATATACACTGGCGCGATAATAAGCAATGTGACATTGGTACTGTAGCCTAGAGTTTTAGCAATTGTCTGCACTCATTAGCCATGGCACTGAAGGCACGCGATACCAAATGATGCACATACGGGGAAAAAGTACGTCCAGGTTTGGGAGGAAAGCTGGCAAACTTGGATGAGTATGAGGATCCAGGCTTTCGGGTCGATTAAAGCATCGCGCAGCGCTTCCATGATGGAGCCATTCTCATCAACTTCATCATTTACCACGCGAGCCAGGCGCCATTCAGACAAGCGCTGCTCCTGTTCAGTCAGCCATTTCTGCCGGCCCGAGGAAGGGAAATCGGGTAACAAAGCCAATGCTACTAGGCCCGCCACCATGGTGCCAGCACCTTCGATTATGAAGAGCCATCTGGCTCCGTCAGCTGTAGTTCCACGGGGACGTGGAAGTGCTTTACGAACCTCCAGCCAGCAAGGCCCCCTCTGCCATCCAGCCCGCTCATTATGCCGGCTGCCAGTAACCCACCAAATCCGTTGGCAACAGTGTTTCCACAATAAACAATCGCCACTCGCACAGCAATTTCCGACGGTTTATACCAAGAGCTGATCAGGAGTCTATTAATTGTCAATCAGCCGATGCAGATTATCGGAACATCTCAGAGAGTCGTACAGAGCTCCAGGGAAAAATGGCGATTCGGCAAACCCAAGAAATACGCGCACACACATCAGCCCTGCGAAATTCTTGGTTGCTGCAGTGCACAAAGAGATTCCGCCCCATATGAATATGGCTGTTGGGATATAACGTGAGGGTTTGGAGCGGGTCAGAAGAATGTTGCTTGGGACCTGACCCAGAAGATAACCGACAAACTAGATTTTCACTCAAGTTAATGTCTGCTCATGTTGTTGGTATCATTCTATATTGACATACCATTATAGCTACAGTGGTCTGGTATTGAGTGTCGGAGAGGTGCAGGTCATTCTGCAGCCCTCCCAGGCGCGCATTGGCGATATTGGATCGGTCCAAGATGTTGAATATAAATAACAGGAACAAAGCAGAGATCAAATGAAGGTCGATCTTGTGTACCACTTGAATTGAATCAATATATGGTTCATCAGGAGAAAATGTTCGATGGGGGGAAGATCTTACAGGTCTTTTCGATGGATCGTGTTTCTTCATCGGATAGGCCCTCGAACAGGGTCTGATCTGTGTTCACGGGCTTGGAAGACTCAATGTGGAGCGTAGACATTTTTGCATCAATTTCCAACATGGCAATCACTCAAGGACTCTTTTATTACAGTTCAGAATGTTCGTTGTAGGGAGGCAAAGAGTATATGGTAATTCGAATAAGTGCGGGTCGAGGGTCAGATATATGGTTACCCCATAGTATGGGCCAACAGGAAATGCGGGGAATAGTGATCGAGAAGTAGCCCCGGATTTTCTGTGTGAGCTTATTCTCCGTTATTTTTGCCAAATCCCTTGAAAGAGGCCAAGTACCGAACTGATCCATTTCCGCCCTTTTCCGAACCCGGATCCGCCCACCTACCTCCCCTGCCTCCGCAAACACGCCCCATAGGACCCCATTCCCTGCTTTCACCTCGCCCTCACTCATTCGTGAAGGGTCCTTACTCTAGAGGATATTAGTAGAATTTAGCTACTCAGTATGCTATCTTTCTTGCGAGAGCAAAGCATCATTCGAATCTTTTAGATCAAAGAATATAAATGTCGAAAGCGACAGTCAACCCTCACTTATAGCCCCACGGAAATACTATACCCTACGGGTCGAGCACGCCCTAAGCTTAGATGAATCTACTTTTTATCCATTTTTACATAGTAATTTTGACCATTCTACACAATTCAACTTTGTGCAAAACTTTTTATCTCAAGTTCTACTTACTAAGCTCTTTTAACTCAGAGTTCTGGTATTATTACCACAGAATTTAGTTTCACTTCCGTTTACATACTACATAAGACTTGGAACTGAGCAAACTGTGGAATGGAATCGCGAAGAGAGCACAAATTGCGGTCTACTGTCCTGGTCTTTTAGCAGCCGAGCCGCGAGATCTGGCACTTTCTTCCTTCCAAAATCTATTGTGCGCTCCCGGACTACCGAATCGCTACTCCATTGGGTGGGCTCGCCACTCCTCCGGGGACCTAAGTTTGTATTAGGGTCAATTTGTGCAATATTGCAGTCAAACTTTACCTTGAGTGGCATACTACTGAAAAAGAACGACCATCTTCCCTATTGTCGACATTCTTCGCTAACACACTCCAGATCAAAAGTTCCCGATAGGCATTCCCCAACCAGCCAGCAGCCCATACAACCAAAATCGCAGATCTTAACAAGGCCATGCCTCCATATTTGGCATATCACTAGCCACAGCAGCAAACCCAGTATCCCACAACCAACACAAGGTTTGTTCTGATGACTCAAGTCCAACAGCAGGAGGTAATAGGGTGTCTGTTAGGGCCACAGCTTGCTCATCCGAAAGTTAAGAAAGGGCACGTATCCAGCCTGATCGAATAAAGAGGATATCGCCTTGGATAGGTTCTGTACCCTGGTTGGTAGCAATCTACTGGAAGGTGCTAGCCGAAATGACCTATGTCGAAAAATAATCCACTTATACGATGTTGGTCTCCGCCCAAGCAGCGTAGTCTAGTAAGACTCCTCGCCCCACGACACCGCCTCTCTCTACTCACGCTACGACAATCAAATATTAGTCACGGAGGACTAACAATCTACCGCATTGACATTAAAGGCAAAAAGGTCATATAAAGTATATCCGTTGAAGTATCTTTTGCTTTCCTGGTAGCCATAGTGCCCAAAGCCATCCCACTGCGAGCTTATGGGTGTTAATGTGAAAGGTGTCATCATTGACTGCTCTTGGCGCCTTGTTCTTAATGGTTTGCTCAAATGCTGCTCTCCGGAAAAAGCCTTGGACATGAAGTCCAATGGTAAGTCGGTGGAGATGCCCATGCCTATCTTGATTTCTTGAGATGCAGTTTTCATGACCTCTGTAGTCAGTCGATTCGGCATCCCATATTCGTCGGTAGCTCCAAACAGGCCTCAGGCATTGCCTGGGGGCCATCCTTGCGCAATGGAAGGCTATCAAGTGAGGGGATATGAGACATGATGATTTTCAAGGACGCGGAGTTGTACTAGTGTAGCCTGCTTCAGCTGTGGATTCCGTAGTAAAACTGATAGGCTACGCCAAGTACGGCAAAAGCGGAAATCTAAACGGTCACGGATTTGGTTTCTTTTTTCCGCTTGGAAATCCGCACGTCGGCGGATATTTGCAAGACATCGGTAATATCCGCACTACAAGGTAAGAGACCCAGCAACCATTAACTTTCGTCATTAGAATAAAGTCGGAAAACTTGGTGTGCGAGACTTCACCTCCTGTGGAGCATTTTTGACTTCATCAGGAATAAAATCCGTTCCGCATACCGGAGTGGCGTCTGGTTCCAAAATGCAGTTCGATAAACTCTTCATTGGTTATCTTATTTGCCATTAACTTCTCTATTTCTTTCCTTGTCTTCCCCCTTATTACTCCTTTAACCTTTCATTCGCCATGGCCATTCAGACATACTTCACCCTGAACACTAGTATCAAAATCCCTGCTATAGGTTTTAGCACCTAGTAAGCCAAACCTCTTAAGATTGAGAATACAATAGAAGTTACACTCAAGCAAGGACATCGTCATATTAATTATACCACAATTTACCGCAATAAAACCGAGGTGGGTACTAGTGTCAAGAAGTCTGGCGTAGCCTGTAAGGAGATCTTCATCACAGACAAGCTATAGAACACCAAGCACACACCTACAGATATCTTACCGGCCTTAGAAAAGACCTTAAAAGATCTCGAGGTTAACTACCTTGACTTATACTTAATTCACTAGCCTTAGTTAGCTGGTTTCCTACTTAAGCTGTCCCATCATGATTTCATATCAGTTAATAACACCTATACAGTACCTTTAAGGATAGCAAGAAATAGTTTCCTCTCAACGAGGATAGTATTTTTGAGCTAGAGGATATTAACTACATTAATACATTTAAGAAGATAAAGAAGTTTCTCGCCATTAGAAAAGTAAAGGCTATTGGTATCTCCAACTTCAATATTCGCCATTTAGATAATCCCCTCAACAAGATCGACATCGTGCCTACTACCAACCAGATCGAAGCCCACCCATACCTACAGCAGCCAGAGCTAGTCAAATAATACAACAGCAAGGGTGACATCATAGAAGTATACTCTCCCCTAGGCAATAACCAGACCAGGGTGCCTCGTACTGTGGATAATCCTGTTGTCGCAGAGGTCGCGAAGGAGATAGGCATAGACCCCGGCCCTCTTCTAGCAAGCTGGGGTATTCAGCACAGCACTGTTTATACTATCGAAGAGTGTCACACCATCCCGCATTGCCGCCAACCTCCAGGTGAAGACACTTCCCGATAACATATATGGCAAGTTGACTGGTCTTGAACGCCACAAGCGCTTCAGCTTTCCCGCAAACTGGGGTTATAATATATTTGAGGAAGTGGGAGACAAGACAGTACGCAAGGTTGCAATCGCAGCAGGCCCGGTCAATAAAATCAAGTTTACCGTTCCGTTTAAGGCGTACTGTACGTATGTTAAGACCAGTCTATGAAAAGAAAAGCTGTATAAAAACAATGACAGGAAGAATTTATCATTACGTTCCAAGCAACTTATTGCACATCAGCGCCTTGTAATTGAAGAGACTTGCTGAAAACATTACGATCTTCGGCGGGATGACCCATCATCAGCGACGAATCCAATTTTATTATTTACATGGACCGACGCACCACAGGAGTATATTCCATTGTAAGTTAGGATGTTTGCCGAAATTCACAGTAAGTGTTAGCGTCTTGCCGGATTATTAGTAATGGTATATCATTGCATTCCTTGTTTGTCAATGCTTTCTCCACCACTATATATCCAGAAATACAAAGTCATCTATGCCCTAGAATTTGAAAAGAGAGAATGCACGATTTCGACTAATGTGCAAGAGAGGAAGAGGGTCTCGTTGGTATAATAAAGCAAATAGGGTATTTCGACTAAAAATCTATACAGCGTTGAGTCAAGTTTCCTAAAGACCATAGTGCCATTACCAGTCTATCCTGTCCATCCAAGGTTTCTATATATCGATTAATTCTCTCAAGCCATCCGATATCAATATCTATCTATACTCAGCATTGAATTACAAATGAGAATCAGCCGCATTATCTGCCCAAGGCCAAGACCGGCGGCCCACGAGACCAGGCGTCACGCGCTGTCGGCGCGATCGATTCGCATTAGGTCACTGTACCCCAGACACCAGCAAAGCGGTTTATAGGTTAAGATTTCTTCACCGGTTGCTGCCGCTGTGTTGGTTAGTGCCTAGTGATGAGTTTAGAGACTAACAGAGAAATACAGACAACTAACATAACCATCAATCTAATCGAAGACCCTCAATCCCACAAAGTCTGCACCCCAGGTCTGGAAAGCATCATTACCGGCCTCGTTCCCAACAACAACCGCATTATCCCCAGTCGTCCAGCCATCAATCAAAACACCCAGCGTTGCAGTGTCCCACCAACCAAGTCCAGGCCCAAAGAGCTCACTATGGCGTCCAGATAGCGGTACCTCAAGTCTAACAGAGCTTCCACCATTCAACGAGATAGTGATGTTGCGTGAGTTCGAGCCAAGACCCCAGGAAGTTGAGAATGCGATATCGTTGTTGATATAGTCCAACTCCACGTACTTGGACGATGTACTGTTTGAAACTCTTGCGGGGACGGTGACATTCGCGGTGCTCGTGCTGTCAAGGTAGCCGACTTTTGATCCTACTGGTTGACAGTAGCCGGATCCACACTGAGTGAGCTCGGCGGATCCTGTCAGAGTGAATGAGGTGGAGGGGTAGTATATCCCTGTTGGCGCTTGGATTTGGATAGACTCAATGGACAGAGTTGTACTGATGGTCACTGTGTTTGCTGAGCCGGCAGATAATGATACGGAGCTTGAGACTGTCTTGTTAGATGCTGGGACTTTGATACTGGTTTTTTCTTGGGTCGATGAGGATTGGACAATAAGAGTTGTTGCAGTATTCGATGATGTGGAGAATTTAACTACGAGCGTGTGGCTGTCGCTCGTTGTGTTTGCATAGACCGAGTCAAATGTCACCGAATTCCTACAAAGTGTCAGGAGTTTTGCTGAGCCTGTTCCCCGTGAGTACTCACTGTTTAGAGATTCCGAATTTCGAAGTCGGGTAAATACCGGCCACCGTCGTATCACCGAGTTCAACTAACATCACACCGTGCGCGGCCACAGTCGCTGTATACGAACTCTTGACATTACTAACGGTCTTGCCAGTCCAGATGTCCTTCAGCATGCCGGCAGCCTGGGCTTCCACGTCCGCGAGATTCAGTGTCAACTCGCGGGACTCGTTAGCCCAGTTTATCAGCGCTGCAACGGTCCTGCCGCCTGACAGCGGGCCACTCCAGACTTCGTACCTACTTTCAGACCACCGCCGCTTGAGAGTAGCACTGACACCGAGAGAGTCTTGATTGAAAGATATAACGTCTTTGTTGGAAAGGATTGCCAGTGACTCAGCACTGATCGAAGTGACTTCATCCTTCAAAGCACCACCAATGACCAGTGGGCTCTTCAATATAGCCCAAAGAGAGAAATGAGTTTGTTCCTCGGCAGTGGTAAGAATGTTATTCCCAACTTCCAGCATATCAAGATCGGGCCACTGGCCGGGACCCGCAAAGGACGTCTGCGGAACTGCTTGGTTCAATGTCCGGAAGATAGCTCGCCAGGCCGGGGTAATATCGTTGCCAATGCGCCAGGTATGGCCGACAGCTGGTGCCCATAGGGCTGGGAAATCTACGCCCCATTCGCAGATCTGGAAGAGCACGGAGCGGTTTTGTGCCGCGAGAGCTTTTGTCATATTCGCAAATCGGAGGCTGGGGGATTTACTTGGTTCGTAATTGACATTGGGGTATCCAGTTGCTGCGTCGGAGAAGCAATTGTCGTCTGAAGGGCATCAGCTGGGTTGCTGTTTTGACGAAAAGAGGTCACTTACATTTCAACGCATCGATCTTCCAGGAAGTAAAAAGTGCAGCATCCTGGGCCTCGTAGGCTGATATACTCATTATTATACGCCGCTCTATAGAATTTATTGGATGTTCGAAGCTTACACAGACTCCCCGCCTGCTCGATACTAGTCTGGCAGGACCGAATTCCCGCATCCTCATAGACACCAAACAACAATCCAAGATCATGAATATATTCACCTAGAGCTGGGAAGCCACTAGGAAATAGAGTCTCATTCCATGTCAATGACCCTTCCGCAGTGCGATTGGCGACTGTCCAGCCACAATCAGTTGTGACATAGCGATAACCTAGATCGGCTAGGCCCAAATCAATCAAAGCTTTCGCATTGGATTTGACAATTGTCTCGTTGGGCGAGCAGGAGTAGTGGTTATAAGTGTTCCAACTGTACATTGTTAGCATTTTAGGATTAAGATGTATTGCCTCAGAAGCTTACCCCATCGGAGGTGTCTTCCCGATGCGATTGTCGAGTCGTGTTCTCAAAGCAGCCCCAAGGGCCAGAGGCGCGGCCACCAAAGTGTGCAGCAAAATCGCCGTGCAATACATCTTGATTGTATCTTTGAGAGTTCTTCGTCTTAGGTTGGTCATTTATATAGATTTTACCTCCACATGTGCAATCTCCCTGCAGCGGGGTAAATATTGAGGACGCTGTACCCCCGGAAAATTACCGAAACGGGTAGTGCCGAAAGTGAGAGGATCTACAGCTGCAGAACATATATTTATGCCCCAATTGTGAGGTATTTCTGCAGCAGAGGTTCCAATCAGCACTGATTCTTCAACGTGGAGCCACATGCTGGTCCGCGGCTTGTAGGGTGGGTGGCCACGTGGGAGTCCTGGCTGTTGTTTCTTTCGAGGGGGGCTTTGCTCGCATAAATGAGAATGTTCTGTCACGATTCTTGTTTCAATCGGGTGCCGAAGGAAAGCATTCATCGTGATTTTGGCCCGAGGGAATGATGAGCTAAGGTGCTGTTGGCGAACAAGGAGTTCTGGTCCAACGGGATCTCCACCCATGGCCCCCCGAAGTATTGGTCTTCAAAAAAAACCACAGTTGACAATATATTGCGAAGAAAGAGAATAGAAGATAAATGGACTGGGGAGTCGCCAGAAACGTTCAGCTCATCTTTCCTGTGGAACCCTGGACGTTGCAGCGTGTTCTCACGGCGGGACACCAAATGTGGCTAGTCGTGTTTGATGTCCAGGCCGTAGGATAAGGCACGGCTAGCTTTAAAGATCCGATTCGTCATCATCTGGAAGAGAATTAGGGGTGACAGCGTCCATTTCCCGCCTACGCTCTTGATAATTTAGTTCTTCATCTGCTGACATCATCATCAATTGAAGACCACAGCATGCAGGTGGGGTCAGAATCTGACAGACAAGTATTAGTTATCGGAAAGCAGCGAAAGGATTTGCGTCGCAAACTCAACGAACCAGGTCAGGAAGTTATCCAATGCGGAAAATAAGTAAAAAACGGCAAATCCCACCGTCCTGGCCATTCAGCTTTAAGATCCTTTGTGATGTGATGATATGTCACATTACCCATTCCGCCGGCCAGTCCATTAAGTCCGGTAAGTCCTGACATGCGAACTTAACCGAATAAGACTGGAAAGAACAAATCGATATAGGAGCATTCTCTCTCGCGACGGAGACAGATTCACCTGACAAGTCAGCCATGAACTATATTTGTAGAACTCAAGCCTTTAAACCGAAAATGGATCGGATAAATACAATACCAGAACAAGGCTTCCATTGTTCAGGTTCAACTTATTCCATCTGCCTTTCGATACGGACTTTTCTTTGGTAATGTCAAGTTTCTACCCTCAATTCGAGGTTTCCAGATTTTGGTAGCTCGTCATAAGGCAGTTCATCTCATCTAGCGCCTGCTCCATAATCCTTGACTGGCATCAATCTACAACCAGACGCTCTGTCCGAATCCTTTCCATCAGAAAGGCAGCCTGTCATGGAACCCCAGTCAGGTCACGAGTTATTCGAGTCCTTGCGCGCTTTTTACCCCATTCTCCTTTTAGTCGTCTCCATCTTTGTGTCCGTGGTCGAACCTATAGTTGCTATAAAAAGAAAAAGAAAAAGGACAACGCCTCGGGCCCAGACAAATGCCCATGTCACGAAAACAGAAGATTGACAGCTTTTAGACGGTGCTTCACGCGGCTCTCCGCTTTTGTGCTCATGACATACGTCGCGGATATTATGAGCTATATCATCCATGTTAAAGTGGCTTGGTCTGAGCATTGGTGGGCCGGAGAGTCCATGGCGGTATGGTTTCAGGAGATATGGTCACTCTTACTCGCATAACGCTAAGTATCATAGATCTACCTCGGGTGCTCTATTCTTTTCTACACGATGGCCTTGATGACTCTGCTCGATGCTAAATCTTCGCCTAAAACTCTTTTCGTGTGTTGGATCGTTGCCATACCCATATAACTCGGTATTTTAGCCAGCTCATTGTCGTGTTATACCTCGCACCATCGTGTGCCAACCGTCGGGGGCCCACACGGTGGAGAGTATTACCAGCTGGGAGATTATAGAAGTGATCTCCAATAGCGTTCGGATTCTGATGTTTCTTGTATTGGCTCTACTACAAGTGCATCTCATTCACAAGATCACGCTTATCAGAGACCGATCCGCTTTTGAGTCCCGACTTGGAGAGAGGAATCGATGATAATCACCTCTGTGATTCAGAGCTAGTTGGTGGGATCACTTGAGCTTTTACTTACCTTTTTGGCCCTTGCATGTGGCCATCCAAGTCAAGCTATCTTCAGTCTATCGTGGCGGCCTGTGCCATTCTTATTGTGCTCCAATTATGCGTAAAAGCGCTACCCCATTCTCAGATCAGGGTCATTACCACAGCTCTGGAAGTCCAAGACGGGGCTGATACTATCAGCATTCCATGGCTTCAGGTCTTGGTATGGACTTTTTACTATATCCTTCCCCAGGGTTTGATCATTCTTCGCTCAAAAGTTTGGATGCCAATGAGCCTGCATACTTATAGGGAGATTTCGAAAACAGGGCTGGTACAAGCCTACCTTCTTGGCTTAGATTACTATCAGGATAAGAGTACAGGTGAAGTCGCGTCAGCTTTGAACAAGGTCAAATCCGTCACAGAATTCCAAGAGTAGATCGGTCATGAATTACTCCCCGCAATCCAGGTATTAGTATTCGCAATTGGCTACTTTCTGGTCGCTTTTGATGCCTACTATACCCTTATTATTGGATATTACTCAGTTATCTTCTTTCTTGTCACTACACGCATGGCTCAATGGAAAGCAGAAGCTAAAAGGCAAATGACAAAGGCCTCAAAGGAGGAGGAAGCAATAAAGTGAGTTTACGTTACACCGCCAAGACAGATTTTAGTAAAACTACATGGAGACTTGGGACGGGCAGGTTAGCATGTTTGGACGTTTGTATGGTTTGACCCGCTCTCGGATACAGACCAATCAGATGGTTGGTCTGGAGAGTGGGCAGCCTATATGTACGTAGCAGAGCTTCCCTCTCTCCTTCCCCTTCTTCAACGTTGTTATTTGTTGTTTTTCGCACCCTTTCTCCATCCTGGTAGAAACGTAGGCACACTTTCACATACGCAGGAATTGAAATACTTGGCCTGTAAGTACATAGAATACCGGCATAAGTAGTATGGAAGTCTAGAGCCCAATCTCTCGGATTTCGTTATCCAACTTCCATCGAGAGTCAGCTAAGAGAAATTCCAGAATCGGATTCAAAACTACGCCTTCGAGGCCAAGGGCATGGAGATCTCCAATCTGTAGGAATCTCGGCACCGACTTTTCGACAACTCTTCGAATTTCATCCTTAAGATCCAGTTTAATTTGAGCACCTCGCAGGAAGTCGATGATTTGAACTTGGGGATGGTTTATCATCATTGTAGGATAGTCTTTCAACTTGACTATGATATACGCGCTTTCAGGTTGTAATCCTAAATCAAGTAGGAGCCCGTTCTTCACATCCTTCCCATTGATCATGCGGCTTTCATCTCCGACAGAAACTTGTATCGCTTCTGATTGTGCATAACCGAGGAAGCGAATCCACCATTGGCGGGCACTAGAAGGAGTATCCCCACCGCTTGTACGCCCAATGTGCAACTCTCCGGTATGTTGATGAAAAGAGATGCGAGTTCGGCGGAAATCAATAAGATCCGTATATTGACCATTTCCATCGTCTTCAACGAGTTCGAAAATGCCATCTGCCCCGACAACAACCAAGAGCTCGATCGTGGCAGAATCCCGACAGCCATTTTTGATAACCGACGCGTTATCAAGGGGAATGATCGCACCCTGGGAGGCAAAAACGGGATAATCATCAAGGCGTCGATTTAGCCAAATTCGACGGTCTCCATCATAGATCATACCTGTGAATATATCCACATGCCTACCTGGAGGGAGCCACGCGAGGACCTGAGATCTTCGGGACTTGAGATCTTGAGGAGCAGTGATCGGCACCACGATGAGATCTGAGCCAAACATGTATTGATTTGGTACATTGTATGACTCCTCGCTTTCGGGATAACCCCAATACATGGGCTGGACAAGTGGCAGCCCTTGAATAGCAGAGCGGACATTCATGGTGTATAGATATGGGAGCAATCTATGACGAAACTGCAGATATTCTGTCATTATCCGCTCATATTGCGACTCAAGATTCCAGGGTTCCTTGATGCTAAAAATGTTGTTCGACGAGTGAAGACGCAAAATTGGAGAGAAAACGCCTTGTTGTACCCATCGGATGAGCATTTCGTCGTTTTTTTCCCCGTGAAAATGGCCACCAATATCATGACTCCACCACCCAAACCCGATGTTTGATGCTGTTGCTGTAAATTCTGGCTGGAAGTGCAGAGAGTCCCATGATACCACGGTATCGCCTGAAAAGCCAATAGGATACCGGTGACTACCCGGGCCCGCATATCGGGAAAACGTCAAGGGTCTCTTGTCATCAAGAGCGCTATCCAAAAAGTGGTAATGATTCAGAACCCAGAGTGGATCAATGCCAGGGATGCGGGAATGTGTCCCTTGCTGCCAATCCACCCACCATAGATCCAGTCCGTCTCTCTCAATTCTCCGATGAAGGACATCAAAGAAGGCATCCAGGAATGACTGATTTGTGATGTCGAAGGATATAGGGTCCCCCATGGACATATCATGCTTCAACACGATCCCCATTTTCTCGTAAAGTTCTTCGTAAACTTGTATCCCGTCCGCGGGGTGGTCATTTAGAGAAACATGTAGGCCTCGATCATGGAGTTCCGCAAGAAAGGCCTTAGGATCGGGGAAGAGCTCTCTATTCCAGGTGTAGCCAGTCCATCCTGTCACTCCAGCTTTCTTGACACGCTCATCTCGCACAATGTGCCAATCCATATCCAGAACAGCGACTGATAGAGGAATCTCACTTTTGCTGAATCGATCCATCAGCGACAGATACTCACCCGCAGTGTACGGATGAAATCGACTCCACCAGTTTCCCAGGGCCCATCGTGGAAGAAGAGGCTGAGGTCCTGATAGAAGATAAAATGCCTGGATTGCTTGTCGATAATCGTGACCGTACGCGAAAAGGTAGCCATCGACGCGAATTCCAGGTAATCTTGTGGTCACCCACTGATGATCATCAAATAACATTGACGTTGAGTCATCCAAAGTCGCGAATCCTTGTCTAGATATAACGCCTGGTTCTAGAGGGACTCGGCCATCAGCTTCGTCCAGCGTACGGGTTGTACCACCGAGATTTGAAGCCTGGGCTCCATAGCGCCAGACGCTGACATGAGGCCCATAGTTTCCCTTAATGACAGCACTGAGACCATTTGCAGAGAATGCTTGTTTGTCGTAGCTGAGGTGGAATCGAGAGGTGAGGATCTGAAGAGCCTGCTGGTCCTCTATAACCCGAAATTCTGGTACGGGCAATTGGCGGTTGATGGCAAGAACCGAGGCGCGATCCTCAAACTGGTTATCTTCAGCCCATTCGTAGCGAAGCAGACCGTCAGTCAAGACAGTGAAACGGTGTTTTCCAGCGCTAATAATCGCATCCGGATTAGCGACGGGAGAGTGTGGAAAGGAATAGCGATGCATGACCTCGGGATGGATCAGCTGCCTGGTAAATTTCAAGTTGAATTTTGGAAGTGTATATTTTCCATCTTCAATTTGTTTTGGCGGAAATCAGGCATTGATATATATAGACGCATTGCCCACTGGCACCTAGGCAGGCAGTGATGATCGATCCATCCAGATTTCCACAGGTCTCCATCGCTACCTACTGTATCACGGCTGTAGTGTACCCAGCAACAATCTCGTCAATGAAACCCAGATTCAATTCGCTGGAATTCTCGCTAGAACCTGTGGATCATAATTAGACCGGACTTAGCCGGAATCAGAAGGCGTGTATAAGTGTGCACAGTCCCCCCCCCCCCCCCGGGCAATCCAACACTCCAAGGTTAAGTTCACGCGGCTTTAAATGCTCCCTTTTGCTTCTATTTTCTGACTTCCCCGCAATTGTCTAAACGCCACCAGAGAGAAACGTGGGTCGGGCGGGGGTTGCAGCAGAAAACTCGATGATTTATTCTCGCTGTAATTCCCGGATCCTCAGGATCCGGGAGAATCACCGAGAATCATGGATAGTCCCTGTGATGGCTGTTTTGTGCGGCGGGTGAAGTGCGATCGTCAGCATTCATGTCAAACTTGCCTTCTAAGACAGCAGACTTGTACATATTTGAGGGTCCGCAAAAGACCTGGTCCCAAAGGGCCTCGGTCGGGAACTACCCGAAAGATCGAGGAGATTCAACGAGGAACTACAGCGAATATTGAAATGGCAACCTCATTATCGACCCCACTGTATGAAGTTCCGGTTCTTCACACCTCGAGTTCCGGTATTTCGGATTCAACTTACTATGCAGTTTTCGATATTTTTCGAGAAAGGCTTTATGATATTTGGCCGATCGTTGATGTCGAGCATTTGAAACTCCAGCTTAAGAAGCCGGACAGTAATCCAACTTCACACGCCCTAGCAGCAGCTTTATGTGCGGCGACATTGGCACAAAGTCGACTTTGGCTTGCACCGACTCCGTACCCCGAAGATCTCTCCGTGACAGCGGACGACTTTGCCAAAGAATGTCTTCGTATTCGTCTTGAACACCACCACCACCAAGAGCCATCTCTGCAGGCTTTGGTGACATCTGTCTTCCTTCACATGTACTATGCCAATCGAGATCAGATCACACCAGCAACTATCTCCCTCCGTGAGGCAATAACTTTTGCAGACCTTTTGCATCTGTGTCAAAATCGATCTGATGCGGTGCAGTCAAAGGAATGGCAATTGGAGCTTCGATGCTATTGGATTCTTTTTGTGACCGAAAGGTTAGTTCATTATTCGTCTGGGAATGATGTCGAATCCCAAACAAGGGATGCGGACTTATTCAGTGATAGGACATTTTGTATTCAACATGATCTACCCATCACACTGCAAAGAATTAAAAATCTGCCCGAAGTGGAGAGAGATACTACCCAAGGCAATCTTCATGCAGGATTCTGCGCTCTTGTTCAATTATTCTTGCATGTGCAGCGTCCTCTTATCTTACCACCTACCACCAACAAAGCTATCGAAGCAACGGACATGTATTCGAAAGATCGAATATGGGATATCCAAAACCAAATCCAGGTCAAAATCCCTGGGCTCGAATTCACGTCCGAAATTCGATATGTCGATATTTTGACTACTTCCGCCTGGGTCCGTACTTTGCTATGGCAGTATTCTGCCTCTCGCTTCATGCTCTCCTCATCGACTTCTATTGAGCCGCTAACGTTTGACTACCCCTTATCCATTGCGAAGGATTATTTGGAGTCCCTTTCGCACGTATCTACTGATTCATTACGCAGCCATGGATACGGCATGGTGAGTCATTGAACTTCACTTGCTTTGAATGTTGGGATCTATCCTTATCAATTGATCTTGAAATAGGAAATAAAACTTCTGCAGGTCGCGAACTCTGTACTCGACGTCATGTTGTGTATGCCCAACCTTTTAAGCCACCGGGTCTGTCAATTTGGACCTTTGGATGCCGTTCTATCAATAGAACAGCTACTTTCACAAGTTGGGGGGATAAAATCAGAGAGATTATGCTTGCTGCATCAGCGCTTGTCACTTATTCCGTCGTCAAATACACTTCCCGTTATGCTGGAATGCCCTGAACAGGATGCGGAGAAGCTTGAGCCAATCATATGGGATGAATATTAATTGCTTCTTTACGACGGTGATATTTAATTCAAGTTCTCCATATATTCTTAATGTAACTGCGGTAGAATATGTGGACTCGGTTACTACTCATCCAGTCTACAACTTGAAGAATCCACTGGTACGCGAAGTCGGTTCAATTTTGGCGCCAAATTTAACCCAGTAGCTGCTATCATATGTAAACAGCGGCGCCAATCTGCCAAAATTAACATTCCAAAGTTTTGCGAACCAACCAAGTTTTGAAAAGAAAGTATATTCTACTAGCAATGGAACTGGAACCTTGCAAGGGCAAATCTCGCAGGGCTACTCTTTATATGCAGCCCTCTCCTACTACTCCGTGTCTGTTTGGTAATACATCATCCCCGCAAGTTAGCAGTTGAAAAGTGAAGGATACAAGTACTACTAGGTAGATACCTACTAGTGAGTAAAGTAACTATATTTAGTGCTAAGCTTCGACAATACAAAATCAATGCTGGCTAAGTGCAAAGCCTTGGCTCGCTCTAAGTCCGGGCCATGTAATCGTATATTCTCTGTTCTCCATGGCTTATCGATCTTCATGGATAACATTCGGTGAATTGATGAATCCACTGGGACGCGCGTATGGGCGGCACTCTAGCCTTCTATTTTTACAAATTACGTAGTATGTACGTAGGCATATTTTCAAAAAGAACTTCCCCGGGGTGATTTGGTTTGCAGTAGATCAGTAGGATCCAAATTCATGTCTGAAAATACTAGTCGCCAATGCGAAAATACAAAACTTGGAGCGCATCAACCTGTTCTCCGACATCTGCAAGTCCACGCGGTCTCAAGAGAGTCCCACTACTTCATAATTCCAATTGCAGGTCGCGTTCAGACTTTGAGCCAATACACTCTTGGTTCCCGTGGCCGATGCCACAACATCATTCGAACTGTCAAGCACTTCAATCATCTGTCCACTGCCAACCGCAAGCCCCCGAACGCTGTTGTAGTTTAATCCTTTCTGGCCAAGAAATGTGCCAATGAGATTGCTGTTACTGTAAACATTGATCGTGTAGCCAGAAGAAGGAAGGATGACAGCAAAGTTCATGGTGTCAAGTGCTGATTGATAGTTGGAAATGGCGGAGGAGCAGCTGGCAGTAGTCAAGATAGTTCTATACCAAAGGGTTCCAACGGGGGTGTTGTTTGGTGGAGAAATCTGGGAAATATTTGTTGCGCCAGCCTTGTAGGCCTTGATGAAAGGTGTAATAATCTGCAGCCAGCCTTTATGATCGAAGCCGTCTGCATAGTCCCCAATGGTAGTGCCGTCAATTTGTTCTTGCCAGAAGTCGCCTACGTAGTGAGACTCTCCCGCATCGTTCCAGGTGATGACTTCAACAAAGTCAGGCTGCAGCTGCAAGACCTGGCCCATGCGCTCAGGCATATTCACCTCCCCGATGCGATACCAGTCTTGGCCACTGCCGAGATATTTGAACTGGTAGGATGACAGGGCTTTGTTCAAGGTCTTCTTAGCCTTTATCGCTCGAACAAATAAAGTTGGTTGGTTCTCTGGGCGGACTCACGCATCATGTAAACCTTGTCAGCGGCATGCGCTTCCTGCAAGGCAGCCGAATCTACACTATCACTGACATTGGCAGGGATAGTTCCAGGGGATGGCCATGCCGACTCCCAACTGTAGACACCATTCAGAATCGGATAGGCGCTAAAAACACCGGTCGGATAACCAGAAAAATCATCAAAATTGGGAACGAAGAAAGGAGTGATTCCATATGTTGATGCTAGAGGCTCAATGAAACCCGAGTCCCAAGCGGAATTAGAAATGGTGCCTCCCGTATAGGTACTAACAAAAGCCTGACCATTTACCATGTAGTATGCACTTTGAGAGGCATATGGCGCCATGAAAGCTGCAAGCTGCGTGACATCCAACCCCCAACTCATGTCAAAAGAGATGAATAACTTGAAGTCTGTTCCTGTTGCGGCTGCAAAGAGGTAGCCAAGCGCATCAGTATTCCACGTGTCAGAAGAGCTTATTGTGTGAGTATTGAGAGCAAATCCATCAAACCCGGCGTTCATGGCATCTTGCACGTCAATCACAGCCTCCGCTGAAGTCATTGAGCCGACCTATCTACGATTAGGAAAGCCTTAGCGTAATGGGAATCACAAGGTCTCAAGTACCATGTAGTGAGCAAATACAGCCTTGGTACTGGCTGGCAGTGCCGTTGTCCTAGTAGTAGAGTGTGTAGCTGTGCTTGAAGTGCTTGAAGCGCTTGTGGTTTTTGACGTTGTGGTTGTGGTCGTTGAAGTAGCAGAAGATCCAGTCCCAGTTGACACCTTTATTACAGGTCAGTGGGAACTGCTCGAGTTCCAAACCTTTGGGCGGAGGTTTGATTTTTGTTAATGCTTGATTAACTCACAAGTCGAGCAGTCGTTGCTGTACCAACCTGGCTGGAGGCAACGCAACTTCCTGCAACATTCCCGCTGGATTGATAAATACCAATGAGACCGACCTGACAACAGAAATCATTGCCCTGGAACCCTTGCCAAAGAGACCAGCTTGAATCAGCACATTTGGGCGCTCCCTCAATGGCACCAACACAAGCAGAGTCTATGAATGGTGTCAAAAGAAAGTACAAAAAGTAAAATATGCAGTTGGTACAGTATATTCTTACCGGAAGAGCAACACGAGGCGGCTTCATCTGTCTGGGCTGTAAAGCAATAGAGGCCGCTAGGACAGCATCCCCCTTCCCCACATGAGCTGCTGCCACTGGGACAAGTGGCGGCCGATTGTAGCGACCATCCCTGGGATATAGAACGCTGACTGATAACAGCAGCGGTACTGAGGAAGGGGGCATAAACCCCCAAAAATATCAATTGCGGGAAACGCATTACTGGCAAAGCGTAGCCCAGGAGGGGATTTACCTAGTAGGTAATGGGTCCAGATAGGACTTTTATCTTCAGATGGCCAGGAACTCGTATTAAATTCCTGCCTATGTAGATTTGTCTAACTCGACTTGGGAGAATATTCTGGTGATTTATATAAGTGTGACTAGTATTCATGTCGATACTACGCTGAAGAACCATCCCCACACCCCGCAGAATCGTCAAAGTCGAAAGTGCAGAACGGGGTTTCAGATGATATTAGCTCTAAAGTCAATATTCAATTAACATAGAAAGTGAACAGATGAAAATCGGATTCACAACACATGTATGAGAGTCGACTTCAAGGCCTGGGTGAGCCACAAGAGAAAATTAAGCCGAAAAAGCAAGCGATATTCATAACGAGGGCTGTCGCTGGGCTCGCCCCAAGGTTCAACTTGGAATTAACAAACTTCACCCTCTTTCCAAATTTTGCGAATAGGGGTCATTTGTGGCTGAACTAGTTTAATCCAAACTACAAGGATCCAGTTCCGCTCAAGTCCGAGTCCCGTATTCGGCCTTGTGACTGCCATGATGAACTTCCAGCTCGTTCGCTTATGATGAAGCTACTCTTAATCGGGACAAAGTTGGGATCACACTCGCCGAGACATCACAGGATTTGTTCAAACCTTGACGTTTCCAAGGTTGCAATGTCAGGGACGCTTTCTAATTTCCTGTTCACAGTATGTTTGAGTATGTAGTATTGTCGCCCTGAGGCAGATCTTTCCCTTTTTTCAATGTTTCTTTTCTCTTTCTTCTCCTTTTCAAGATTATCCACACTCTCGAGTGTCTTCCTATTACGATCGAATTACTGTGTTTGGTTTGGTTTGTCGTGTATCCCCCATATCAGTAGCTCTTAGCAGATCTCAGCAAAGCTTGACCCAGCCTCTCTCCGCTCGTCAAGTTGGCGCTCAGATACACCGATAAATACAGCGAAAGAAATAGCGGAAACCATCCAATCATACCCCTCCCTCGCTTTATTCAATCGCACTCAATCTTTCCAATGCTCGTCAATGCACCATTTCGGAAAGAGAATTCGCCTTTCTCTCTCTCTTTTCTCTTTCAGTTGTATTCTCCAAAGTTTCCCCGCAAAAGAATAATCTCAGCGACCGTGTGGCGTTTGATCGAGCACTTGTGCACAGAGCGCCCCGTAAGTGAAAAGCGCTGTTACCTTAGGGTAAGAAATTATGATATAAACACGACGATGCTCCTCCTCATAGAGTCACTTTCTAAACAAGCAAGCGCATTCTTCCTTAAGGTGAACTTGCCAGGATAAGTGTTCCCTTTTCGTATTTTTTGGCTTTCAGAACACCGCAGCACCTCAACCCGATTTTTTCAAGATGGAGGACTTGAAGGCCGCCACTCATGTTGAGCACAAGCTCGCCGTGCCGTCACAGTCCTTGGGGGAGAACACCATCGGAATTGAAGACGAAGTTCTTTTCCAGATGGCTGAGCAGATTCCGGACTTTGCCAACCTCATCGAGAAGGCCCGTCGCGCGTCCAATTTTGAACATCACTTGACCAACTGGGATGCATTCAAGCAATTTCCAAAAGCGGTTTTTTTCTCGTTTGTTTTGTCCCTTGCCATCATCATGGAGGGATACGACACCTCTTTGCTCGGCTCATTTTACGCTTATCCGACCTTTCAGAAGCGATTTGGTGTTCCATCCAAGGAAGGTGGCTATCAGGTCACATCCAATTGGCAAACCGGCCTGCAGAACGGAACTAATGTCGGACAAATTCTGGGCCTTCTTATCGCCGGTATTATTGCGGATCGATGGGGTTACAAGAAGACCATGCTTGGCGCCTTGATCTCGCTTATCGGCTTTATTTTCATCATGGTCTTCGCCAAAGATATCGGAATGTTATTCGCCGGGGAGGTTCTCTGTGGAATCCCTTGGGGTGCTTTCCAAATCTTGACAACTACCTACGCCGCCGAGGTTAGCCCTATCATTCTTCGTCCATACCTCACCACTTATGTCAACTTGTGTTGGGTCACTGGTCAATTCATCTCGACTGGAATTCTGCGAGGTCTCCTAGGTCGCACCGACGAATGGGGGTGGCGAATTCCTTATGCTATTCAATGGATCTGGCCCGTTCCAATCATCATTGGCGTTCTTTTCGCCCCTGAATCCCCTTGGTGGTTGGTTCGTCACGGCAAACTCGAGGATGCAAAGCGGTCACTGTCTAAATTATCCCGGCCTGGTGACTCTAAGTACGATATCGATGACGCCCTTGCTCTTATGATCATAACCGATACTCACGAAAAGCTAACCCGTGAGGGTGTCTCTTACGGGGATTGTTTTAAAGGAGTTGATAGGCGACGTACCGAGATCGTCTGCTTTGTCTGGTGTTGTCAAGTTTTTTGTGGGATCTGGTATGGGTAAGTTTGGCTCGTATCCTGCTTGCGGAAGTATTCCACGGCTAAAAGTGAACCCCAACAGAGGCAATATAGTCTATTTTCTCCAGCAGATAAACTTCACCAATAATCAATCATTTGACTTTGGTCTTGGGGTCAATGCCATCGGGTGGTGCGGCACGGTCTGTTCATGGTTTGTCATGCAGCGGGTTGGTCGGAGAAAACTTTTTGTTACGGGACTTGGGATTATGTTCACGGTATTGATGTTGGTGGGTTTTCTGGGTATCCCAAGCCATACCACCCCGGGACTCAGCTACTCGTCGGCTGCTCTTCTTTTGGTGTTTGTTTTCACTTACGACCTGACGGTAGGTCCCGTCACTTACTGTCTTATCTCTGAGATTCCGTCCACTCGCTTGCGGATCAAGAGTGCAGTTCTCGCCCGCAACTGCTATAACATCGCCAGCATCATCGCCAACTTCCTTAATCCTCCCATTCTCAACCCCACTGCATGGAATTTGAAGGGCAAAGGAGGTTTTATCTGGGCACCTTTCTGCCTCATTTGCTTTGTCTGGTCATTATACCGTCTACCAGAGCCTAAGGGACGCACTGCACCCGAGCTTGATATTTTGTTCGAGAAGCAAATCCCGGCCAGGAAGTTTTCTAAGCTTAACGTCACTCCATTTCGCTCTAACAACTTTGAAATTATCTCTGATAGCACTGTTCTTACGGAGGAAAAAATGACTTCAAATTAATTGAGATTGGATCTGCCGTTCTTGATGATTCAAAAGCCTGATTATGATGCTGAGCTGGGCGTGTGTGGGAAACGGCCCATCGGCCAATTCGATTGGAACCTTACCACCTCTTAGTAAACTGCTTGTAGTTTTTATCACACAATTCCATCTTCTTTCCACCATGTGCTCACATAGAATAGCTCCATTGAACCAAAAATTACTCTCAACCCTTCAATTCGTCGCTTAATACAGTTTATCATTTGTAGTAAACAAAAACCCTCATCACAAATTGGTTTAATGGGCTTAGTACAGGTTGAATATTCACATTGGAAAAGGCTGTTGATCGAAATAGTCATGGTGATGACGAAGAAGCTCGGAGATATGAAATCCATAATAACACGCAACACTCTTAAAATAGGTACAGTTCGTTGCATGTGTGTGCCGAACAGCCGTAGAATTGTTTCAGTGCACGAATTTAGTCGCAACACTTACATACAGAAGGGATTGCACTACCAGTCCGACTTGCCATTACAGACGAAATAAAATATTTAGTTCACAACAATATTAATTCTCTATTATATTATATACATTTCCATCAAATTAGTCATTCCAGTATTAAAATCGTCCTAGCCAATGGCATTCTCGGCATTGATGTGGGCCCGCCCACAAGCCTTAGACCGACACAGATTTGCCATGCAGGTTAACTTCAAGTTTGCTGACCCTAAGTGGGTTCGTTAGCGTATATCAAAGAAGAAAAAGCAGGATTTGATCTTACTGTCGCGAGAACCAGTTGGGGCGGCGAGGGGCAGCTGCTGCCACAGAGGTTTGAGAGGTGTTGGCAGACTGGGCAACCTTGTTGCTTTCGGCAACGAGCTTAGGAGCAGTGAAGGCACTGATAGTGCTAGAGCGGGCAGAGCTCAGGTTGGTGCCGTAGGGGCCATCGCCGAGAAGAGGAACAGCAACCATTTTGTTATGTGGATGGAGGTTGGGAGACTTGGTTTAGTCTGGATGGTGAGATACCGAAAATGGTATTAGAATTGGAGGAAGAGTGAATTGATTGATGCTGGATGATGTTTTGTTACTGGTGATTCAACAATCTTAAATATCTTTTTCCCTTTCCTCCCTAGCATATATCTGGTTAGCTCTTTTCCCTATTTTTTTTGTCCGTTATCAACGGTGATGCCGAAAATAACAATTCTGTGTGGTAACATGAATTCGGCCCGCGAGAGGAACCTTGGAATTGCCACCAGTCTAGGCCGAGAACAGCCTGATCGTCGTATCACCCGATCGAAAAATTTGACTTCTTATCTATAGCCTGCTGCACTACTCTATGCGTGATTTTCCCTTGACAGGGCTACGCGATCTAGAACAAAAATCGAACAATTAATCAATCTCCGCGGCCACTCTTATTTCGTTTATCACTCGGGTCGCACGGCATCCATGAATGCAAGTATGACTCAATTGATTGGGTGCGACGGCATCACCTTGAGCTCATGCAGCCCGATATGCTAGCTTCCAAGATTTTCCAACCTAGCGAAGAACTTGTTCCCAACGAACTATTAAATCAGGGAAGCTGTTGAACGAACGTGCATAGCTGTCTTATTTGATCGGGCCCCACTCTACATGATTAAGGTAATTAGCAGAAGCCGTGCACGCCCCCTCCAGCCACATCCATGGATTATAAAAGTTTTCAGATAATAGTTTCACCCATTCCGGCTTTAATTGTCTATGATTAAATAGAATATTTGTATACAAAGGATACAGTTCAGAATACCAGAAAACATGGAAAGTTAATAAACCCCACCGTGCAACATCTTCATTGTGGTACAGCCAGGTGCAATAGGTACAGGCTTGTCGTTGACTAATTGATATAGTAGGTAACTAACCTAGATTGCCTTGGAAAGGAGGGGCGCGACTCGATCTCCCAACAGAAATGTTAAAGATGCCCCACTGCAATTGCCACTGCTGGCTCTCCAAATCTCATATAATCGGGTCCAGTCGTATCAGAATGAGAGCCACTTGAACATGTGCTACTGCGGGAATCCACAACTGTTCAAATTATCTCAATTGTCGAATGGGTCAATCGGGCGTCCCAACATACAATTGAGCAACCTGGCTATCGTCCATATCACCTGTGTTCGCTGTTGTAGCTGGGACACCTGTGATCTCGTTCCAGAGGGGGGTTGTCTGCTCAACCCTCGCACCATGTGGGAAAGGCATCCGGCATCTATCATTCTATGACGTTGATCATCAATAACCTTGGTGATTGACTGACCTCATGGATTTCTTTATCTTGTTTCCTTTCTCAAATTGGGAGATAAACTGCAACATTTTTCCCGGTCACTTTCACGAGCATCAAGGCAAAATGCGGCTAACCCTACTAGACCATTCTTATTCAAGCCTTATTCTAGTCTAGAGCTAAACCTTAAAGAAGTGGCATTATAGTATCAATTGTATCAATGTATTTAGGGGCGTTTTCTAACTGAGATCCTATCCTCCGAATCAGGTATACCTATGTACGGGGGATGATAGCGCTCAGTGGGAACCCTGTCTTGAGAAGATTCAGTCACCAGGTCCTTCAAGGTACTTCTTGTCACAGCAAGGGCATTCTCAAAGTAAAAGATAGCCGCAAAGATTGCGTTTCTAGAATTTCCGTCTTTCGGTGGCTCTAGGAGAACATCAATTGCATAGCCCTTGTGCGCGCTTGAAGTTGTATCGCATCTCGGCGGGACATGCGGCGATTTTTATGCCATGGTATTAGACGCAGCTTCGGCTTCCGCATAAGATTAGAAGGTGTGGATTCGGTAGTTGGTTTCCCTCCATCTGTACTACTGACCGACCGTGCAATTTGCCAGGCACTCTTCTTCTCTTTCTTATATTTCTTATACTCAACCCGCCCCACCTGGCCCGAAGACCTGCTAATATTGTTGGTTAGTTTATCGGGCAGCCCCAGGCAGCCGGCCCCATGCAACAGTACAATGCCAGCCGCTTAGGGGGCCAAACATACACAGCCCAAGTGGGGGAGAAGCTGGCTAAGCTTGCGCTATTTGAAGATTTACTGCGAGCAAGCATGCAGGTGGGTTTGAAAGATTTACTCCGCATGCAACTTCCAATCAAAGCTGTTTAGGTTTAGATCGATAAGCCATCTTTCTATATTTAGGTGTGAATTATTGTGCAATATTAAAATGCTGCCAGGCGTATATTCGGTCAAAGGGGGTATCTGTACATAGATATGTTAGGTTTTAGGTATATGGATCGCAAACCGCTCATTGTAATGTTTGGGTCGACTCTTTCAGAAGCGCATCCTTTTATAACCGCATCCTTGGTATAAAATGCTTTAAGCATTCAAAGTAGAAATGACATCATGGAAGTAAATGATGACTTTGGCACAAAACACCCGTTCCACGTCCAGTAAGCGCAATGCAAGTTGTTCTGAGGTTCGTTAAAACCGAGAACAGATAAGGCACTCCGGATTGACAAAAAGAAAAGTGAGAAATGAACAGAAAGAGACGTGGGGGCGTTGAAAAATGTGGAGCTCGATCGAACGAAGCTGAGAAGCTGACATCCAGGATATGCGTTTAAGGAAGAATGACAACGGGGATATGGTATAAATTAGGACCATATTGATGATGAGCTTCAGATGGGGGAGTGTATTGTTGACGACTTGCTTCTCGTAATTCGAAGGCTTGATCCATAAGTCGATATAGTTTTGTGATAGTTGGAGTGTCATCCGACTCGTGTTCGTGGGTTTCATTGGGTTCTTCATCGTCGTCGTCGTCGCTGCCAGCATCGCCAACAATAACATCTGGAGGAACAAGAGAAAACACAGCCGGGGTACACTCGGTATCGATGTATGGAGATGAAAGAAGAACACTGTCCCCATTCTTATCAAAAACACCCTGATCACTCGCAGTGGCGAGTTCTATTAAAGTATTTCCTGCGTATGCGCAGTATAACGGCTCGGTGCAAACGACACCAACCACGAAGTCCGGGTTGGCGCACGCAGCCACTAGTGTACTTTGGCGAAAATCGGGCTTGAATGGAGTGTTTGTCGATGATGGTGGCAGGCATAAGACCATACCTCGAGAATGAGAAGGTGGAGGAGGAATGCCTTCGTCTGTCTGCACAAAAGGCTGGGTTGTGGTGGACTCGGTCACGGAGATAGTTGACATTTTTCGTAGCGCAAGGCCCATATTTTCTGCACTAAATTCCGACCAGCCGCCGGTGGAGGGTGGTGATAAGGGAACTTCCAGGTGATCGGGGATGGGTTCGGATTCTTCGGCGGCGGAGATCTCGGTTTGGATTGTTTTGGCGGTGCTTGAAACGACTTGACGAACCGCTTTTCGCAGAGAGGGCATCAGGAGATCTTTCTCCTGGTGATTATATGGCACACTGGCTGCCCATGATGTCGAAAGGCCCGACCATTCTGCTGCTTTCAGGTGTCCCCCGACGTATCTTCTTGTGATCATATTGATCAAGGCGTGATTCATTTGGCTTTGGGTGCCCCCGGCTTCCATCTCAGGAACAGCAAAAGTCGCATTTAAAATCCGGCTCCCTTCCCATAGAATAAACCCATGCTTTTTAGAAAGGTATACCAACTGCTCGATGACACCTTCATGCCAGTCGTTAATGCTGTCGGCTTGGATTTGGAAAATGGTCATGTGGGGGCCGAGCTCCGCTGCCAATTTCAGGAGTTCGGCAGCGGTTGTGATCTTGAGGGACGCTAATACGCAGACGGGTTGCGCATGTGGAAGACCCTTCTTCGTCCGGGTCAATTTCTGGACATAGTCCAAAATTGGATTGACTGAACCGTCCTCCATAGCAGCGGATTTGGAGGATGCCACCAGAAGAGTGAAGAAAAAAGGAATTTGGAGGGGGGGGAGAGGGAATGGAGGCAAATGGTCTGGGATTAATATTAAGGGAGAAAAAGGTGGCTCAATATCCGCAAGCGGGGCTAATCGGCGGGCAGAGTGCGAGTCGGCATCCGCTGGAAGGATTTCGCACTATGCAGCTGGCGTTGATTCAGTGGGATCCAGAGCTTCTATTGGATTGGAGTTTCAATCCCGAAGTCTCCACCAGTTAGAAAATCTGGCTCCTGGCGCGGATCGTCCCGTATAGTACGGAAGGGCAGTTGGGCGCCCCCTTAAAGTACGGAGAAGAAAGAAAAGAGAAATTGATCGCGGGCGTATTAATCTAAGTAGGGCAGGGGGCGTAAGTGGCTTAAGTGGGCCGCCTGGTGCATGATCGATCAGAGGTTATCTACATATACTTACCTCTGCGGAGTGCTCCGTACCTACGAGTGATGCCTGATTACTATTGGGTGCGAGCCGATCGCATACATATTCGGTTTCATCCGGGACGATGCATCAACTTGAACTTGATGATACATCCGATTTCTCAAAATTGGAGTCCTCGGAATTCCCTGGGCGCGAGGTAAAACTGCATCATATCCCACGCTTTGACCATTGTTTATTGTGTCCGCGTACCTGAATAAATCCATCACATGATACTAGTACTAATTGCTAGTGGAGGGATAAGAGATCAACAATCTCTAGTAATTATCTTTTAACTTTATCTAGGTAAAATACTCTTTCAAGGTAGGGAGGGGGTTTCAAGTTGAAATTGATATATATATATATACCTAATGCAAAGGTACCACATACTACTATCTAGTAGGGGCTCAAGTTTTGAAGTTCCCCAAGATAGTTGATATACATACCTAATAGATAGATAGTTTTATGGCTAAATCTATCTGAGAGCCTTGCGAGAACTAAATGTCAGTGATTACCCACGGTGTAGAAGTTTAATGTCTGGCACATGGACAATCAACAACTTAAAGCCTCGGGATAGTCCCGGGGCCGTACTCTTGAAAATATGGTGTTGGCTCTTGACATATTAATCTTTTGGCCAATATGAAGTACCATTTGGTTGCATGATTATTTATCTAAGAGATTGCCTGATGTCAATAAACCTAGTAAATGTACCTACTGTATGTAAATAGCGTGTAGTATTGGGGGCGATTGGTTACCTAAAATTCTGCCGAGGGCGGACCTGGACCGGTCGCTTCCAAGGCTTGTCACGCCACGCCTCCCCTGAATAATTTAATCCCGCCGCTTCCGGTTGACCACATCCTCACCTTCTGCAAGTTGAAAAACAACCACAGTCGCTGAGAGATTTGACCACACGCGTCGACTGATTCATTTTCTCATTCCAAGCTCGCCCTTTCCCTTACCTTCCTATCCTCGAGAATGCCGGGACGGGTCCTACCGACCTTCACGACCGCCGAGGTCGAGGCACATAACAATGCCAAATCTTGCTACATCACAATCGGGCGCAATGTTTACGACGTCACGGATTTCGTGGAAGATCATCCCGGTGGAGGAGACTTGATTCTGGACTACGCAGGAAAAGATGTCGCAGAAATCATGAAAGACGAAATCACTCACGAGCACAGCGAGGCCGCCTACGAAATTTTGCAAGACTACCACATTGGCTTCCTGGCGCCCAACGGCGCTGCTTCTGGCAAGGGAAGGGCCTCTGGCGTCGATGTCAATGAGACTGGAACTGAGCAGACTTTTCAAACCACCGGAATGTCGCGGGAAGAAGATCTTTCTGTTGACACAGACTATTCTCAAGATTTCAAAACCCACAAATTCTTGGATCTGAGCAAGCCTCTCTTTCCTCAGCTGTGGTACAGCAACTTCTCCAAGGAGTTCTACCTGGAGCAGATCCATCGACCCCGTCATTACAAGGGTGGAGAATCTGCCCCGCTATTTGGAAACTTCCTGGAGCCTCTTAGCAAGACGGCGTGGTACGTCGTGCCCATCCTTTGGTTGCCGCCCGTTCTGTATGGAACTACAATTGGAACAGCCGGTCTGTCAAATTCTCTTGCCGCCGCCGCATACTGGATTGGTGGTGCCTGTCTTTGGTCTTTGATCGAATACCTCTTGCATCGCTTCCTCTTCCACGTTGACAAGTACGACCTTCCCTTCCCCTCTTAACACCTCTTGTGGTATGACCAAAATTTACTGACTGGCTACTAGATGGCTTCCTGACAACCGAGTCGGTCTCACCCTGCATTTCCTGCTCCACGGTATCCACCATTACTTGCCTATGGACAAATATCGACTAGTCATGCCGCCCACCATGTTCGTTGTCCTGGCTGCTCCTTTCTGGAAATTGGCGCATACAATTTTCTTCTACAACTGGTTCGCGGCCGTGCAGGTGTTCTGCGGGGGTGTATTTGGATACATCTGCTATGACTTGACCCATTATTTCCTTCATCACCGCAGGTAAGTTTTGCAACATGCCTTTTCTCGTACAACGCAACTCTTATTAACGATATTTAGTCTTCCATCCTACTACAAGGAACTGAAGAAGTACCATCTACAGCATCACTATGCAGATTTCGAGAATGGATTCGGTGTTACTAGCCGATTTTGGGATCGAGTCTTCGGTACTGAGCTGGAGGCCCCAGCCCCTAAGGGTTCTAAGGCACAGTAGGAACCTCCATTCCACTTCAAATCCTTGCATCGGTGACAGGCTCTTCACGTTCACGAATTTACGTCGGGCCTCTTGCTCTACGCGCTCACTGGATCGGGCGCATGTACATCTTTCTTCTAATTTGGCAATAACGGAGTTTGGGTAACCCTTATTTTCTCATTCGCTTTTCTTGTCTTGGTGAATTTCTTCGGGTATGACAGTGAACATACATATCAGGATGAAAGGTGACTAGATCACCATTCGTTTGACTGGTATCACTTATTAGTGCACATTATAAATTAATCATAATGAAAACTTGATAGTTATAATCATCCTCATATCTGCTCCTTCTCTCTTTCCTCTCTATTTCTTTCTACAGTCACTCGTTCATGACCGTTACTACAGTTCGGTCGGAGCCGATTGCCGAACGGTGGCAAATTGATGCCTCAGGCAACAAGACAGAAACTTGGAAAACTTAACACACACACACACGTGATCTGGCCCGACCGCCTCCTCATTCCATGAGCGATCGCCTTTATCATTGCTCTCACGTACCCGATACATTGTAGAAACCACAAGAACTTGAGCAACGCTCCATATTCTAAGAAGAAGGGTTCGAAAGTCGAATATCTCCTGTCTTTCACTCTCTAACTTAGCTCCAAGTGACAAAACTCCCTTACCCCCTTCCCCCCAACGCCGTCATTTCAATCCCAGCCAACAGCAGGCATATCTCATAATGTCCGGACTCGACGTGGAGGCTCTTCTTGAGTCAACCGCTGCCACCGCAGAGGCACCCTCAAAGCAGGACGAAACTGACGACCGCTCCCGAGCCGATGCTGAACGCCGTGACCGCGACCGTTCTCGTGAGAGACGTCGACGCCGCGACCCTAGCCGTGATCGTCGCCGTGAGCGAGATGGAGACGGCGATGAGGATATGAAAAGCCCGCACAGCGAACTTGGCAGTGCTAACGGGAGCCATAGAAGCCGGAAGAGAAGCCGGAGCCGCGAGAGTGACCGACGTCGCACTCGTCGGGATCGTTACGAAGATAATCGCTCCAGCGGCGATTTCTACCGTGGAGGTGGACGCGCCCATAGCCGTTCGCGTTCCCCCCGTGATGAACGGCACTATCGTCCTCCACGTCGTGAGCGTGGCGATGATGAACGCCGCCCTCGCCGTGATCGTGATGGCCGTCGCAACACCCCTCGCCGGAGCCCCAGCAAGTCCCCCGAACTAAATGAAGATGAGCGGGACAAGCGAACTATCTTCGTGCAACAACTTGCTGCACGTTTGCGAACAAAAGAGCTGATGGCCTTCTTTGAAAAGGTTGGCCCCGTAAAGGAGGCCCAAATTGTTAAAGACCGCGTTAGCGGACGATCTAAAGGGTGAGCAACACAGATTTTTGAATTTCGATTTCTTTCGAACCAGCTAACAGTATTGGATTTTAGTGTCGGTTATGTCGAGTTCAAGAGCGAAGAATCCGTGCCCGCTGCCATTCAACTCACTGGCCAGAAACTTCTAGGCATTCCTATTATCGCTCAGTTGACCGAAGCGGAGAAGAACCGCCAGGCCCGCAACCCCGAGGCCAGTTCAGGTCCTCAGCACTCCGCGCCATTTCACAGACTCTATGTGGGTAATGTTCATTTCAGCATTACTGAAACAGACCTCCAGAATGTCTTCGAACCGTTTGGCGAACTTGAGTTTGTCCAGTTGCAGAAGGATGAAACTGCTCGCAGTAAAGGTTACGCTTTTGTCCAGTAAGAATTATCCACATCCCTCCCTCCGTCTTTATGTATTTCTTTTCTTTGATTCGCTAACCATTGCCCAGGTTCCGTGATCCTAACCAAGCACGAGAAGCATTGGAGAAGATGAACGGTTTTGATCTTGCTGGTAGAGCCATTCGTGTTGGCCTTGGCAACGATAAGTTCACCCCGGAATCGAATTCAAATCGTCCTCAGGGCCCTTCTGCAAACCAACCCAGTTTCCAGGGCTCTTCATTCTCCGGTCACGGAGGACGTGGCGTTCAAGCCGGCGGCTCGAACAACTTCGACCGTGCGGGTGGCCGCGAATCCGAGAAAGGCGCTGGCGCCAGTGCCCTAGACGATACAGATGTGGCGGGAGTAAACTTCAACAACTATAGTAGGGACGCGTTGATGAGGAAACTTGCACGAACAGATGAACCCGAGCCTTCTGCCGACGAACAGCAGAAGATCCTTCGACCCAAGACCGAGGTTAAGCCGCTGCCTGTCAATGTGAACATGGCTAGTCGATGTGTTATGCTTCGCAACATGTTTGACCCCTCTGAGTATGTTATTCACCCCCTTCACAGTCTCCTTTTCATCATAATTTTTTACTAACAAGCATCTTACAGCGAGGAGGGAGAGGCTTGGATTAAAGATTTGGAGGATGACGTTCGCGGCGAATGCGAAGAAAAATATGGTCATGTTGTTCACATCTCATTAGATCCGAGCTCCCAAGGCGACATCTACCTGAAGTTTGATCGCGTGCAGGGCGGCGAGAACGCCATCAAAGGCCTGAACGGTCGTTTCTTTGGCGGCAAGCAGATTACTGCCCAACCGGTTGTTGACGCCGTTTACAGCAGTTTGTTTTCGCGCACCAAAGCCATCTAATTATTTTCCATCCACTGCGCCCCCATGGGATGTTCTGTATTATCTAACATGGCACTTTTTTTCTCTCAGGCAGATCCCTCTTGGCGTCTTGTTTTTAGGCTCTTCCGGACGATCCTGCTCCTGGTAGGTGCCAATCTCTACATTATCTGCCCTGATCTTTTTTAGCCTATCGCGATAGGCCTTGCTACTTCCAATGATTTTGTCTTTAGGAGCGTGATTCTTAGAAAAGGCGCGAGGTTTTGCCGGACGCTGCCATACATATTGATTATTTCCCATTGATCCAGTTGTCAAATCTACCTGGTAAATCTATTATATAATATGTAGATTAGCTAAAAATAATATCCAATCTCTCTAATTATTTGTATCCATGGATATACTCTATGTATAAAACTAATGATTGTAAATCTTTATGATCGATAGCCTTTGATTAATCCGGGGATTTATTTTTTATATTTATAAGGGATCTTTGGAGGCTAGGATATCTGTGAAGAACTTGACAAACTTAACTAGCAAACTGGTTTAGCAGGTCATGCTGTAAACAAATCAAAAAGGCTAAGTTGAATCTGTCGTTTCCAGGGGGCAATAGATTTCTTTTGCCGCGGGAAAACAGTTTAAAAAGTTGTTCAACCTTGGAAGTATAGCGAGAAGCAAAGAGCTTCATATAGAGCTAAGAAGTTTGCAATACCTAGAAAAAGATCCGGCTTCTCGGTAGGACGTCGAAACCAACTGTTCCGGGCAGTTCTAGCTAATGAGAGAACAAAGGCAAAAAAGGCAAAAAAGGTAATAAAGGTAATAAAGAAAAGAATTTTGGACATTTTGGACTGATCCAGGATGATAGTGCAGGATCTTAGTAGATCTTGGATCGTGTGACTTCGTGAATAAATGAAACATTTGAAAGAGAAAAGTATACGACCTAAAAATACCGTGACATGGACTTGTTTTCGTGTCTCTTGGAGATCAATATCGTCATTTGGGCGAAATAGGCAGATCGTACCCAATATTAAAGCAGTCGTAGTGACGGAATGAAGTATTCTGTGTGAAATTCTGTTTGAAAGGAACTTTGTTCCCTTGCCCCATGGCAAGTGTGGGTGAGAATTCCGGAGAGTGAGTTCGCGCAGTCTGATGGAACACTAGAACATGCACCTATTTTTAAATTCTTCTTTGTTTACCCTGTGAATAAATGTCCTATGCTCTGATAAAGAAGTGAAATTCAAAGCTAGGGCAATTGTGATGGTTTGAGATGAAGGCGTCTTACCTCTTTGATAAGGATGAAGCCCCTTTACATCGGAATTTCTCTTTGAGAGCCCTGGAGGGGTCGATCTGGTAGGGGTTCTCGAATGTCTCGAGTATAAATACTTGTTACTTTTACCCTTACAGCAAAAGGCTTATACATTTCGACTTGAAAACATGGATCAATCTTGTTCTAGAGAGAGCAATCGAGCCTCGAGACGTCTCGCTCGTCACAAAAGGAAGGCTGAGACTCCACCCAGCATGAAAGGTAGCAAGACACAAAAGGTCGAGTCGGATGAAGAACTTGAAGCTGATTTGGAGCTTGGATGCCATGTTCAGCCATATGAAAGACAAAATACAGGGGGAACTATAATTACTGCGCTTGCAAACGTCCCTGAAGATTGGAATTGGACCGATCATGATATTTCCGAGGAGTAAGTGTCTATTTCACCTGCTTTGGCTTTGATGAAAGACTAGTACAAGATAATAACTATGTTCTCCTCCAGTGATATAGAAGCGCATATCCAGCGGTGCAAGGAAAGAATCAAGGACAGTATTATGCCTCAATGGTGGCAGAAAAAGTTGCAATACTTTGAAGAAGACCTGGCTGCTGTACAAAAGGTGATCGCTAGTGAGCCCGAAGGCCTGGATGTAGCAGTAGTCGCACGCTTAAAAAATCTGGAGTTTTTAAAGAAGTCATTGTTAAAAAGGGGCGACGTGTATAATCAAATGAAAAACATTATAGCGATCATGAAACATTATCGCGATCAAACTTCTACCGGGTTGACCTGAAAGTATGGACATGTCACGTATTGGGAGGACGGGGTTCTACTCAGTGAGAAACCAGAAGTCTTTGATTGGAAGAGGTTCCGAAGCCTTAGTGATGCATATTCCGAGAAGTGCAGGCGTGGGAAAGATCCTAATTCTCAAACGGGGATTTGGGTGGAAGGTGTAAGTTATTCAGACTGAGACAAGAAAGATCTGTCTTCTGGACGATTGAAGTAATCAATTTCGCATTTCTAGGGCAGTAATCCTGGGCCAGATCAGATGAAAATGCTCTGGAATAAACCGGGGGTTATCAAACCTCCTGATGGAACAAATGGGCGCCTTCATCATATACGTGCAAGTCTCCTTTCCCATTCAAATTGCTTAAATCTAACCTCATGATAAGTATTATCTTTCCCTTTCGCGTACCCGGATCGGCAAGACATAGTAAATTGGCATTTATGGATGACACCGGTGCTTCAAGAACATCGATATTCAGAGACGACCTCGAGCAATTAGTACACATAGCAGGGAATTCTCAACCACGATTTCTTGCTGACCATGTCCATGACACTGCCAACGGACTCGTTTCATGCCCTACCATTGAGCTGGAGTGTTGTTTAATGCGCGTAAATAATGATGAGTTGACGCCGCGGGTGGCGACAGAGATTTCTGTAGACACGGCGCGACGACTACCTGGACAAATTCGAATGGCAGGTCCGTTCCTTCGAGAAATGGTCTATACGGCCACGGTCCCAGATGGGGCATCGAGATTATACCTTGCCAAAACTAAACTAAAATTAAAACGGCACTTACTACGATACCTTGATTTCCTGCCATCGACATTTCCGCAGCGAATATACCTGTAGCAACCTATCCTGCCGCTAGCGACCTACCTGGTCTTTCATGGAGAGGTATTATGCGGACTTCAAATATGGTTCCCTAAATTGGCGTTGGGAAAAAGAGAGAGCTGCTTCAAGTTTACTTCTCTGGTTATCACTGGTAGTAGTAGTAGTAGTAGTAGTAGTTAGGAAACTTATATTGATTTTTAGACTAAACTTCGGACCATTAATTACTATGCGTTTTCCATTGAACTATACCGTAGAGATTCCAGTTTCTAGAGTGTCAAACAAGTAATCAAGTCAACCAAGTTGCAACCGTTCGCATATACTAGTAGATGTATAGATGCCAGGCAAATCCCGGGGTTTGTCACCTTATCTGCCGACGCTCGGGCCAACCAGCAGTTTCCCCCCCACGCCGAACTTGAACTCTTGAATGTCTTTTCAACTTTACACTCTTTCTTCCAACCCACTTGCCTCGCGATCCATGGGCCATTCATGATTGTCACTTCGGCGAGGCGAGTAACAGGTCGGGTCTGGACCTTGGCCAGCTGTTACGGTATGTCACGTCAAGTTCATAAGGAGGCAGCTTATCTCCCCGTTCCATAAAGATCCTTGGGACGTCCGAAGCCTCCCCCCGCGGGTTTACAAAGGCCGTAGCTAATTACCATATTTCAATGCAACAGGCCCCTACTACAGTCGACAACTCCGACTATCCAGCTCAGAAGCTGAACCGCCCGATGCGCAACCGGTATCGAAAAAGAAACCTCAGTTCCGCGATTATTTCGTCACCCATTTACCGTCGTCATCACTTCACCCCGACCCTCGGGGGCCAACTTCACCCTTTCATAAGCTCCCCCGATCTGCGTCCGTCCCTCACACTGGAGATACATCACACTCCCCCACATCTTTTCAGCAATTCATTGATCGCGAGACGACGGTAGTGAGGATCCCTCTACGCAGCGCCAAGCATCACTATGGCGCCGTCACTGCCCGCGGCACTCGTCCAGCCAATGAAGATGCATACCAAGCCGGAGTGATTGATATACCAGCGTTTGCGAAGCGTCCTCCAACATCAGTAACTATCAGACGAACATCATCCCCGCGCGAGTCCCGCGCAGCAGACACAGCGAATGGCGATCCACAGATATTTTACTTTGGTATATTCGACGGACACGGAGGAGCGGAGTGCAGTGCATTCTTGAAAGAAAACCTGCATGAATACATCCAAAACACAGCCGCTGAATTCGAGATCAAATCCAGTCTTGGGATACCTCAATCACTTCTAAGCCCAGGCGATTCGTCCGGCTCACTACCAGTGATGCAGGAGGGCAACCGACGAAAGATCGGGGACCTAGAGAAGAGCCTTGTGAACAACTGGAGGCGGCTAGTAGGTGGCTACTTCAAGAGATTCAAACCTCCATATTTCTCATACTATGGGGCTGACTCTGTGGATACCGCATCTAACGACGCAGTGTCCGTCGAGGAAGTCATGGAATATGCTTTCTTACGCGCCGATTTGGACTTCGTAAAAGCCCAGGCAGCCAAGAGAGACGACGACATGGCCTTAGCAGAGAAGCCTCTCAACGAGAACGAGATACTTCATTCTCCCAGTCTCACCCGAACCCCGCAGATTGGCGGTCGCGCCCGATTCAAGGGTGGGAGCACCGGAAGTATTGTTCTGATCTCTACTCCCAACCCGACGCCATTCTGGCATCCCGCTGGTCATTCTAGTCTCCTCGTCGCACACGTCGGCGACACCCGAGCCCTCCTTTGCTCAACAGCTACCGGCGAAGCTATCCCTCTAACCTCCAACCACCACCCGTCGTCACCTATCGAAGCAGCCCGTCTCCGTCGGTATGCCGCGACCTTTGTGACCGATTCCTTCGGTGAAGAACGTATGAGTGGACTTGCCAATACTCGAGCTTTCGGCGACGTGCAATCTAAGCGTATTGGTGTCTCTGCCGAGCCAGAGGTCAACCGGATTGAGATGGCGCCTGCTGAATTCTCATTCATCGTAATGATGACCGACGGCATTAGCGGCACGCTTCTCGATCAAGAGGTTGTTGATATTGTCAAGGAAGCTAGGACTCCCGAACAAGGTGCTCGTGATGTCGTCAGCTTTGCTACCGAGGTCACTAAAGAGGGTGATAATGCTACTTGTCTCGTTATTCGCCTTGGTGGCTGGGAGCGGCGACTAGAGGGAGGGGTTGGTAGTTTAGGAACGAAGGAATCTCGAGAGTGGCGGCGACAGGATGCCACTGATCCGCGCAGGTCACGGACATGAGAATTCTCTTGGATTCGTAGAAATCTTGTCTCTTGTACATACTCTTTGATCCTTCACCGGATCTCTTGCACATAATATTTGGTCCGTTGATACCGTTGGTTGTTTTGTTTGGGGTTTGCATACACATACTATTTTCAACATATTTTCATTTGTGATTAATATTTTCATACTATATACAACGTTCCATAGTACAGTTATAGGAATTCTACAGTCCCTCTATTTACTTGTCGGACCTATGAGGTGCTGCATGCTTATCTCTCTATCGCCACTAGGGAGCACATGCATGTAAGATCCTTCGACTGTCTTTCTTATACGAAGGTTGTAAAGATAAGATTTTGAGGGGCTCTTTGAACTGGGGAGACAGAGATTGGAACCAAAAGTTGAGTCTGGTTTGATATATGCATAGATTATTACCTTGTAATACCTCTTCAGCACAGTCTCATGTTCTATTTGAAAAGCTATGACCCCTGCTCATTTGAGAAGCTATACGAAGTACGAGGTAGTAAGCTCCAGGCCGAAGGGTGACGTAAGACTGTGTTTAGGGTCCAATTTTAATAATATAGACACATTCTGGCCCCAAATGAGAAATTAAGAATAGTAGACTGTGTATCGTCAAAATAATGATTGTCCGACAAATTGAAGAGAGTGAACAGCGACAAAAAAAGAGAATCAAACCTCCTACAGTATTAATATTCAAAGTTCACTGATATAGATCCTTCCACTCCAAGGTGTGAAGGGGCTGCGCGTCTCGGAGCCGCGGAGGTAAAAGCTTAGATAAGCACAACTTTTTATTTGGATGATCGGACACCCCCTTATCCTTGTTGTATCTTACTTCTCCTTGATTCCCTAATCTCCCGAATTTCGACACTCTTTATTTTCAAATATGAGCGCCAGAACCCGACGGCAAAAGGCGGCTCTCGCTGTCCCTGGGGAGGACAGTGAGGAAGGCAATGGTGCCGTGTCCACTCCATCCAAGCGAACACGCTCGAAACAAAGGTCTCGCTCTGCGGCGCGTGAAGAATCACGAGAGAACGTGTTTCTCTTCTGGCCTAACCTCATTGGTATGATATCTGTGTGATTGTTGAATCAAAGCAAACAAGAATGAAGCGCATCGTTACTGATTCTGTTCCTCGCTCACAGGGTACTCCCGAATCATCATGGCCTTCGCATCGCTCTACTATATGCCCCTCCATCCTCGAACCTGTACAATCCTTTACAGTCTGTCATGTGCATTTGACGGCCTGGACGGATATGCTGCGCGATACTTCGATCAGTCCACTACCTTCGGCGCCGTGTTGGACATGGTCACCGATCGTTGCACCACAGCCTGCATGCTGGTCTTCCTGAGCTCCGCATGGCCCCGGTGGGCTATTATCTTCCAGGCTCTGATCTGCTTGGATATTGCCAGTCACTGGCTGCACATGTACGCTACTTTGAGCATGGGCGGTTCCAACCAGAGCCACAAGAAGGTCGATTCCAACCGTAGCTGGGTCCTGTACCAGTACTACAACAATAAGGTATGTTTACAACTGTCCAGTATTACGAGTTAGTGATCTTTTTTTCGCCCCCAAGACTGACTTAATTTCTGCATCAGATGGTTTTGCTTATGTGTTGCCTGATGAACGAGGTGTTCTTCATCGGTCTCTACCTGCTGTCCTTCTCTTCGCCAACCTTGTCCCCTTCGCTTCTGCAGCCCGTTCCCGATGCCCAGCCATCCTCCGTGCAGCCCGGAAATCCCGCTTTCCCTGCCCCCAATACCCTCTTCGGTAGTCCGTGGAGTGCCGGTGCTCTTGAGCTGGCCCGTGCAAACAAGCTTGACAGCACCTTGCCTTGGATTGTGACAATCATCGCAGCTCCAGTCATGGCTTTCAAGCAATTCGTCAACGTTGTCCAGCTGGTCAAGGCAGCTAGATGGATGGCAGAGGGTGACATTGAGGCTCGCCGTAACCGCAAGAAGAACTAAACTTGCCAAGGCATATCGCCTTTGAGATGCACTCTGGGCTGACCCCCTGGCTGGATGTCAGCTGGGTAACTTCCAGCCTAGCATCTCACACAAACCCTTATTCGGGTTATGCATATTTTGGACCTTCGATCCTATGGTTTGAGGGGCCTTGGAATCGTCAGCGCTAGTAGCTGTCGTCTTGGATTTCTCGCAAGGATTTGGTGGAGGTTCAAATCCTATTTGTAGGCGTCTTGGGTAGGATCATCGAGGTTTTCAGGAATGGTCTGGATTCTGGATTCTGGATTTTGGTACCTAGTACCTAGTACAGCACACACGGGGTTGTGTTCTCTTTTTTTTTTTTTTTTTTTTTGAAATTCGCTTTCTTTGTCTTCTTTTGCATCATTGTCTCCTTCGAACGTGTCGTTTACTCCATCATTGTGTCGGCTTTTTTAACCTCTAGCTTGCCATTATTAATGCTTTCTCTATACATCATTTAATGCATGACATTGTAACCTGCTACCTAGCCCCTAGAACTTTGCTCTGGCTTGTTGAAAATACTGTTATTGAGTCAGAAAAAAGACGCTACCTCAAACAACCTGACGATCGGACTAGACCGCGGTTAACCGGAGGCTACGCAAACAAGCATTATTGGAAAGCCAACGTCAGTGGTCCCCAGCAGCCGGAGATGGTTCGCTGCGGGAACAAAGTGTGGGCTGGAGCTCGCCGATCTCGGAGCGGCGGGGTTCAACTTCACCCGCATCCCACCTTTTTTTAAAGCTGTCCTTCGAACCAATTGAGTATTGTCCAATTGACATTTTCTTGTTTTTCCCTTCCAAAAATGCCTGCTTTCAATATCGTTGTTTTCGGTGGTGACCACTGTGGTCCCGAGGTAGGTGATGTCTCTTTTTAGAAACACCCCCACTATGGAGTTCCCATCCCTGGGGTAAAGAAAACATGGAGACCAGACGACTAACGCGACATGACAATCAAAGGTCACTGCTGAGGCCATTAAGGTGAGTCAGATACTCAAAGAAACGTCCCGATTAGACCAATTCGATTCTAATGTGTGATTATTAGACCCTCCGTGTGCTCGAGAAACACCGTGATGTCTCCTTCAACCTCCAGGACCACCTGCTCGGCGGCGTGAGTATCATCATCCGATGAAGGACCTGAGACCAAAGAATTTCCTTTCTAACTCAACAATAGGCCTCCATTGATGCCACCGGCTCCCCCCTCACCGACGAGGCTCTGAACGCCGCTAAGAACGCCGACGCCGTCCTTCTCGGTGCCATTGGTGGCCCGGTACGTTCACGGAAACCCAGTAACCCAACCACATCCAATAACAAAAGCTAACATATCCAAACTCAGAAATGGGGCACTGGCGCTGTCCGCCCAGAGCAGGGTATCCTCCGCCTCCGCAAAGAAATGGGTACATTCGGCAACCTGCGTCCCTGCAACTTCGCCGCTCCCTCGCTCGTCGAGAGCTCCCCCCTCAAAGCCGACGTCTGCCGCGGTGTCGACTTCAACATCATCCGTGAGCTGACAGGTGGTATCTACTTCGGCGAGCGCAAGGAGGATGATGGCTCCGGTTTCGCCATGGACACAGAGCCCTACTCCCGCCCCGAGATCGAGCGCATCATCCGCCTCGCAGCAAACCTTGCTCTGCAGCACAACCCTCCCCTCCCCGTGTGGAGTCTGGACAAGGCCAATGTCCTGGCTACTAGCCGCCTGTGGCGTAAGGTCGTTACCGAGGTTATGGCGAACGAGTTCCCCCAAGTGCAGATTGGCCACCAGCTGATTGACTCTGCTGCTATGATCATGGTGAAGAACCCACGTCAGTTGAACGGTATCGTTGTTACTAGCAACTTGTTCGGTGATATTATCAGTGACGAGGCGAGTGTTATTCCTGGTTCTTTGGGTCTTCTGCCCAGTGCCAGTTTGACTGCTGTTCCTGATGGAAAGAGCAAGGTCAACGGTATCTACGAGCCCATCCACGGTATGTTTCTTCCTTTCTTCCTGTCTTTTGTTCGCTTTTGTTACAGTACAGATTATTAATTGGATTTTAGGATCTGCTCCCGATATTGCCGGTAAGGGCATTGTCAACCCCGTCGCTGCTATTCTGTCTATTGCTATGATGCTGCAGTACTCTTTCGGTATGTTCGATGATGCCAAGATCATCGAGCAGGCCGTTAGCAATGTGATTGAGGCTGGTGTCCGCACTGGTGACATTGGTGGAAAGGCTACTACCGCTGAGGTTGGTGACGCTGTTGCTGCTGAGCTCGCCAAACTCCTCCAGTAATTATAAAGTGGAGTTGGCTATAGAGTGCTGGTGTCTATATGAGCTACGACAAGTCTAAAAAAAAATTGAATACCCTTTGGACCGTCTAAATCGCAAGAGTTCTTGTTGCATTTTCGAGCATTTATACCGCAACATTGAGTAGAGAGTAAACAGATTGCCGAATGTCTACATGATCGATATGTGTGAACATGTGGATGAAGGATCAAAGCGAAACTACACCTGAGACTGAAAACTTGAAGATTGTTGCTTTCCAAGGTTGTCTATTTTGTCATGAATCCATATTCAAAACCCAGAGCCACATTCATTTGCGACTTTATCCACTCAGAATAACCCAGCAACAGTATTATTAGAGAATACTGGCCGCGATGTACATACATTTCATCCGAACCGTCATATGCCCCGGGTTTCTTCTTTCCTCACTTGGAAACAGACTAATAGAGTGCGTATGAAAACTTCAAACTGAAAGAGCATGATAGTGTATATGCCTGGGGTGTTGGGATAGAAGTCTTGGATGAACATACCATTCTGAGATACTATTCCGAGGGCAAGAAAACTGCGAAGTAGCTTCTCAAGTATGTGGATGATATGGGAAGGAAGCAGGATGAGGGGAAAGATCGCGTTATTTATGGGGTTAAAAGCGGTCAGAAACGCGTCTGGTGATGTCGTGTCCAGTGAATAAAGATGGATAGCACCAGGATGGTGTATATTTTAGTGAAGGGATGTGAATAGCATCACCGAATATGGAACTTAGTAAAGGGTTAAAGTGTTGCCTAACATTGCCTCAAATACAATGCTCATTGACGCCTCTTGACACACAGGGTGCAATATCAGAGACTGCATTTTTGTACAAAGGGAAAACACATTCATGGAACCCAGAAAGACTGAAATTGGACCTGGGGTATCACAAAACCACAAAAGAAAAAAACCCGTAGACTCCAACATTCACTAACGCCGCAGGGCTAGTTGTAGCTCTCATTAGTTTCTTGAATGAACAGAAACTTTACCGAATGACAGGTTCTCCCATCCAATCTGGCTCATCCAGACCGGAAGCTGCACCTAACCTACTAGTATCCAGTTCTTCACTCGCTAAGCGTGCATGATGCGGAGCCTCATGAAAACTTCCACGGAATGATTGTCGAGCGCTGTGTCGGCGGTGTTGGCGATCTCGTGCATCAGCCGAGGCAGATGGCGCAGCAGCTCCTCGTCGCCGACTATCATCGCATGCGAAGACCTGAAACCCACGGACATGAGTATCTTTTCCATTCTGATGATTTTCCATAATACGCATTTGGACCACCATAGCCTTAAGAACATTTCCGCAGTACGGATCCAGATCGTCGCCAATAGGGTCAACACCATCCAAGGCCTCAGCATCAGACTGTTCACCTTCTTGTTCATGATCATCGCCATGTTTCTGGGACTTGCGTCGAGCATTCCTAGCATTGCGCTCGCGCAAGAAAATATTCTCCTTCACCCAGCCTCCGGTCCGTCCCCCAACTCCCTCTAAGCGAACATCAACCCAGCCGCAGGGCCCGTCGCCTTCCCATGTAGCGAATTCAACAAGGTCGTTCCCGCCCATACCAGCTAGAAATATCATTTTTGTGGGTGTGTAGCTCTCGTCAAGCTCGAAGTCAAGATAAACACGAATACGCACGATGGCGACAAGTTTGAAAAAGTGCAAGGTTAATGTGTGCGGTTGCGGACCATCAGATTGCCAGTATTGTTGGGGAGATGGATGTCGGAGGGCTGCCACACCACAGCCAGGCTTGGAAGTAGAGACTGTCCACGAAGCTAGGGATGAAATCTCACGCAGATTGGGTGGTAAGGGAGATGGAGATTTATCTAGATGTATATTAGCGAGAACCGTTCCAAGCTTTCATCTCGCAACACGGTAGACAAAGAAGGGAAGTACACATACCTCGATCGTGCATTTCCTCATCACCTTCGTCAAGGTGGTCCTCCATGATATCCTCATCAATCTCATCCCCCTCCATATCACCCGTCTCATCATGATCATTATCGGGATCTACTTGATCCTCCGGAACTATCCCATCATCGAATTGACCTTCCTCTAATACCTGTGTAATTGGATCGTAATCGTAATCGTCGTCGTCGACTTCGGCATCTTCAAACTGATCTTCCTCTTCAACCAGGTCTGAAGGTGGCTGAGGCTGAGGCTGTTCCTGTCTCCCCCGTCCAAAAATCGAAAAGGGATTGGGGTATCCCGTAGGCGGCGCCATTGCAGGCAATTGCTCTGGAGTTATCTCATGAGGACCGGTGGAGGGTATATGTCGATGCGTTGGATTGGAAGGAGTATGTCGTGAGGGAGGGGTCTGGAATTGAGTGCGGAGACTTCCAGGCGCATTTGGCCCTTGCACCACGAGATCATGTGGATTAGGCTGGCGGCGAAGGTGTGGCATTGTGAGAGGTCACAAACGGGAAACTTTGCGGCGAATGTTTACGCGGTTGCTAGGTTGCCGCTTATGGTTAGCGCGCGCTACATTATAGCGGGAGATTAACTGCCACTAACAACAACCTTGAAAGACTAGTAGGGACATCTGGGCCATCGCTTATAATTTAATCCTGGTTTCTATTATTGTCTTTTCATTTACCTTTCTTTCATCTCCGAACTCTTACAATATCTTAATTATCCTCGTTGTGCATCTGTCTTAAGAGTGGCATCGGCAGGGTCTACTATATAGACTCATGTCTAGCATTTGAACTCTTCCGTCTCAATTTATCAATCCATGACCATGATATAAAATATCCATCGAGCTGTGACCGCCCCTGACGGATCCAAATCCGAAACGCATGAGAACATTGGGAATAAATCTTCAGAAAAGAAGGGATATGTGCCATGGTGGCCATATCATGCGGGCATTAGCTGTATAATGGTGAGCTAAGCGCTCCAGTCTGAGTGCGAATAAAAATACACTGGCAGGGGCCATTCAACTCACTGATGCCACGGCACGGATCAAAGCTTTCAAAGACGCGTCCACCTGGTTCTCATCGATTCCAATGCCCCAAGCGGTGTACGAGCTAATGTCACAGCACTTGACATACGCAACCATTTTTCCTTCTGACGAGGAAGTATCTTCTTCTAATTGGTTGCGAGACTCATATTCCATGACTGCAACTTGATGTTCAAGAAGTTGGATTACCAGACCGATCGAACAGAGCAGTTCGATCAGGCAGCCCATTGGCCCATCGCCTATCCCTTGAGTCCAGAAGTTCTGCCCTTGAACCTCGAGATGGCCCGTTAAGGCACTAATCTGCTTGCGGCCATCTCCAGGTGAAGGGTTCTCATGATCGGCGATTTGGTAGTCCGATAAAGCAAGCTTCTGGCTGTTTGGTTTGGACGAGGCTTTATCGGTGCTTTTCTCGCCGTCGGACACTTTGGGACTGATATACAGCTTGCAAAATAGGGATATAATCTTACTGGGAGAGACTACTGTTTCCATACCATGCTCTTCCTCAGGAAGCTTATTCAGGAAATCGTTGATGAGAGCCTGGGGTGGATCTAGACCGAGTTCTTGCTTGATAATCCACCGTATGTGTCGGTTTGTACCGGACGAGCATGCTTTGAGCACTTGCATTCTTGCAAGTTTTATTCAGCGCAAACAAACATATTCAATAAATAAGGTAATTGTAAAGTCAGGTAAAAAATGTGGTTTTATATGGTATCATCTCTGGTAAAAAATCGGTGTACCTATTGTGTTCCACGCTGCAAACCAAAAACACCCAACAACATACTCAAATGAGTTGTCTAAATGTATACTTTGAAGATGAATATCCAGTTCTACGATTGGGTCAGTCCTGCCTGGGTATTATGGTTATCATCATTTGCCCTATGTCTGATATGCCACTGATGGCTCGTCCTACCCACCGTGTATATACCTTGACCCGGATTGGAAAGGAATTCCAAATGAAGGTGGCAAGCTCAGAATGAAATTGGAAGTGTTCTACATTAATCAATTAACTGTCATCGTGCAGTTCGCAAAATATAAGTTCGTACCCCATTTTGCCGATCTTCCCTGCACAAGACCGAGACTGGTAATGCACTAGGACAATTTCAGACCTGAACATGTGCTCCCGGTCAAATCGGGCCATTTTTAGTTCAGAAGTTCACTTAAAGATATAGCGGAGATCTGCAATCTTCGAATATGTGACGGTGCTCATTATCATGGGATATGGGCTTTTAAGTCTTAAAAATGGGACATGTCGCTGTCTCGACTAGCTTCTAGATACTCAATTGCACCTATGTATCACAGAAAGATCAAACCTTTTCATCAATCCCAGCGACTATCATCGTCATCATGCATCTTGCAGAGGTAACAATTGAACTACTCGAGTTTCTGAAGATATCGCGTACTGATTGGTCAATACTATCATTGTAGTATCTTTTCCGTCGCTGTCATCAGATTGGCATCAGAGGTGTCTTTGGTGTACCCGGAGACTTCAATCTCATTGCCCTGGACTATATAGAAGAATGTGGTCTCAACTGGGTTGGTAATGTTAATGAACTAAACGCTGGTATGTCGTTGATCACTAGGACGTCGAATGTTCGATGTGTTCTAATGTATTATAGGATATGCGGCCGATGGATACGCACGAATCAAGGGAATATCCGCAATTGCCACAACTTTCGGGGTGGGCGAGCTCTCTGCTTTGAATGCGATCGCAGGTGCAAGTGCTGAGCTTGTCCCCGTGATCCACATCGTCGGCTTTCCCTCGACCGCTATTCAAGACAAGAAGCTTCCTATTCATCATACCCTGGCAGATGCCGACTTTGAGCTGTTTATGAAAATGAGTGAGCGCCTTTCTAGTGCTACAATTCTGTTAAGAGAACCATCAGAGGCGACGAAGGCAATTGATGACACTATTGTTGAGTGCTATCGCTCTAGCAAGCCCGTGTATATTGGCTTTCCAATAGATCTTGTGAAGGCAGAAGTCGATCCAGCCCCGCTGGAACATTCATTATGGCTTCGCACCCCACCAGCTAATGCTACCAGTGAGGAAGAGGCGGCCGTGAACGTCATTAGAGACCGGCTATTCAAGGCTCAAAACCCGGTAATTCTGGTCGATAGCCTTGCAGGGAGATATCAAGGGTTGCATGTCAGCAGAACCTTTGTTGAAAAATCAAGCCTACCTTGCTGTGCTTTTCCAATGGCAAAGGGGGTTATCAATGAGAGTCTACCGAATTTCCGCGGTATATATGCCGGTGGGGTATCTAATCCAGGTGTTCTAGAACTAGTCAAATCCAGCGACCTGATTCTTCATATTGGTCCTCGTCCAACGGACTTAAATACTGGAGGTTTCACGAGCGACACACCCGACATAGACACGATTGTGTTTCACCGGGACAGCGTGTTTATTCAAGGACATACCATCTCCAATATCTCTCTGGAGAACGTCCTTGGGAAGCTATCCGAGGCCATTTCCGCCTCAACAGCGGTCTCACCAGTATCTTCCTCGCCCAGTGGACATCATACCTCTCCGCCAAGTTCGGTCGACGTAGAACCTCCAAATACGTCTTTGAAAGAGCCAATGCCGGTCTGCGGCAGAAAATTAGACACCAGCTCCCCAGTGACACATGACTGGCTATGGGAGCGAATTAGCTCTTGGTTGGAAGAAGATGATATCATAGTAATGGATATGGGCACATCGGCTCTCGGTGGGCTTTGGTGCCGCCATCCCCGCGGTGCCCAGTCAATATTCCAATTACTATGGAGCTCGATTGGATACGCACTAGGAGCAACAGTGGGGGCAGCCATCGCGGCACGGGAGCAAGAGACAGAATCCGAGACTCCACGCAAACGACGCACTATTCTGTTTACCGGCGACGGAAGCTTGCAGATGACAGCACAAGAAATCAGCACCCTGGTCCGTCAAGAACTCAGTCCAATTCTTTTCGTCATTTGTAACGAGGGATATACAATCGAGCGGTATATTGATGGGTGGGATAAGAGTTACAACGATATACAGCCTTGGGACTATAAACTTCTTCCTGCTGTGTTCAACCCCAAGCCAGATACTTTGAGGACGTATAGTGCTCACACAAAGGGGGAACTTGAATCGCTGCTCAATGATGATCAATTTGGACCTGCTGAAAACTTTAATGAAGATATGCCTGCTCCTTTGCGCTTGGTTGAAATTCATATGGACAAACACGATGCCCCGCACACATTGCCGGAAATGATTTCCGGGCTGCAGGGAAAGAAATAGGGATTGATATTTCAGGTGCCCAGGGAACCTTGTCTATTCGGTCTTTGCAATATGTCTTGGAAGATTTCTTTGAAAATTTAGATTGATAGGTTTTACGAACCAAGGAGTCTTTTCTTGATGCCTCAATGTAGACAAAATAAGAACGGACACAAAGGCCACTTGTAGAATCGTCCAGCCCATAAAAGGCCCACCCCAAGTGGAGCTTCCACCGGCGGTGAATCCGTACAGAAGCAGAGAAACTATCATCAGAATACCAGGGAAGATCAAAAGAATGAGTCGGTGCTCTGGAACATGAACGCCACCAGACCGTTTGGCCATCTGGATGATAAACCAGTCGCCAAACAAACCCGCATACAACATGCCTCCAAACCCGCCAAAGACACCACCAAGATTAATCAAACCGACGTTCTTTGCTGGCCAGCCATAGCTTTGGATAACAGTGTCATATGTGAGAGACATGCCGATTGAGCATCCTAGAACAACCGAGGCTAATAGCGTAGCGTACAAAATTCCTGGAGATGTGAAAGCCTCAAACATATGAAACCAAGTTTTCAGTATCGTTTGAATGGAACTACCAACTGGTTTCTGCCACGGCTTCAACATTTGGAAGTAGGTGTGTTTAGGTCGAGCTTCATCCGGAATTTCCTCGCCATCGGCCTCAAGCGCTCGGATATACTCTTGTGCTTCGTCTCCAGTAATAACCCGGGTAACGCCGAATTGATCTGTGATGACAACTTGGCCATTGATGAACTGCGTGCGACGCTGATACTTTGTTTCAAAGCAACCGAAGACAACCAATAGTAGGCCCACGCCAATGGCAATTACATAGACCCAGTAAACCAGCGCCACCCAAAAGCGGCAGCTTCATAGGAACTCGCCAGATTAAGGCAACTGGTTACAACATTCTGTGTTGTCCAGTATATGCCGAAAATGGTACCTCGTTGATGTACAAAGGTGACTTCAGATAGTATCAGAGGCAGAAGCTATAGTAGATGTTCATTGAACTGTACCCTCACGACTCGGAATTGAAGATACACCTACAGACTCGGTAGCACCGGTTGCTAATCCCTGTAGAATACGAAGCCCAAAATGCTGCTGGAAGTTTTGAGACACGGCGCAGGCAATGGTTGCAACAAAGTTCACAACAATAGATAAGATGGTACCAGATCGCCGGCCAAAGATAAGGCCCAGAGGTAGAATAAGGTAGTTGCCTGGGCATATTAGAGATGTTGAGATGAGATCAATGGACCAATAAGCTTACCTATTCCTACAAACAGCGATGGATACGTACTCAGCCAGACAACTTTATCTGGACTCACACCTTCAGCACCGTAGATCTCGAAGAAGATACTGAGAATGGCACCTAGACCTCCGACTACAGAGAGAGACATAATTGCTACCGGCAAATTAGTCGGTATTAGAACACTCAAAGCAAGGAACAGATGGATGGAATCGTACAAAACCAGCAACAGCTGACAATCACACCTGCCTTCTCCCACGACGTGAAATTGAGGGGATTATTAGGGTTGTTACTAGGTATGGGCAACCGCTGAATTTCACCCGCAGCATCAACCAAAATATCACCTTTGCTAAGCACAACTGGCTCAGCATCCTCGATTCAATTAATCTTCGCCCTTTGATCCATAGTGGTCAGAGTAACGGGGTACAGTATTGACGCGCAACGGCTCCGAAGTGAAAAAGAACTGGAGCTAACCACAGGGGAATCACTTTCCGAAGAACGGGATAACACGACATCGGCTTTTACTAGTAGATTGAAGGTAATTGAAGCAGAAATGATGAAACAGCAAGGATATCGCGTGGATGTTAAATTGTGCATTTTACGGCTTATACAGTGCTAGTTGGATATTATGGTAAGTTTCCAAGACCCTCGATCAGTGAACAAAGATTCTGAATCATTGGCGGAGCAATATCCCCAGGCATAGGAAGTGGGCAATTTCCCTCGAAGACTCGTCGGACAACAGCCATGACCGAACGTGGCATGCTTAACTCCACGAAATCACGATAATTTCGATTTTGGCCCGCTGTCAATCCTGGTCGACCGAAATCTCGACTAAGAAAAGCCTTGACCTGATTGTTGTCTGGTCCGTCAAGTGCCACAGCAGGCGAAGGTTCGGTTTCGCTTAACGGAATTTCTGCTTGTAATATTCTTTCACCACATTGCAATAATCCATACACCCATAGAACCAAGGATGCGTGGTAAATGGACAAAGAGTCAAATCCGCGAAATTGGTACGGTGCCACGACACGCGCCGCTCGGATGACTTGACCGGCGTGCCAAATCGCAATTCTCGCGTCTTTACTACGACTCCATTCCCGGAGATTTGGAAAGGCGCGCCGAGCTTCTGATTCCCCCATCTTTCAGACAAACTGCTGAATAGCATCCATGTCGAGGTGGAGGTGCATCATAGCGAATTCGTTCATCAAGATAGTAACGGACGGCTAGTCTGGTGTGACACCTTGGACTGTTTTTAAAATTGAATATCTAAATGTAAGTTAGCGTATATCTACTGAAGATTATGCGAATGGGCAATGGTATTGTACAAATCGTCCTGTCTGCTCTGCAGCCATAGTTTTGTTGTAGTACGGGACCCCGACAGATGCATCTGTTGCCGAAATTCCCACACCTGCAAAGCAAGGCCATTCAAAAAAGCAGATTCCACTATGGCAGAGCCTATCTCTGTGGGCAGATGGCTCAAAAGAGACGGTTCTGTAAGAAGATCCCGTAGGTTTATCTCAGAGAGCCCTATAGTAAGTCTATATCGACTCGTCCAGATATCTCTCCATGCAGTAGCTGTAGGGGCTAGCCACAGATCCCGGGCACTGGGAAAGGGGTGATGTGTATTCTGTATATGATGTGATTGCGGGACGATTCATAGACAGCGTGACCTCGACATCGTGGGCGAACAAGTGGTAAACTAGCCTATCCGTATTGGAAGTGTGAGGATGATGCAGCAGGAACATTCAACAGACATAAGTGAGATGAGATCCTACCTTTTGAAGGACTCCTGACGTACCCACTTGTACCACGCAATCTGTAAGGAAGCGTCATCATAGCCAATCGAGGAGGGAGTAATAACGCTATACGTTGACCTGTTAAATGCGCCGGCACGACGAAGAGCCTACCAGCTTTCAATGTCAGTTTGAGGATATCGATTGTCTATGCACTAAGCCATGAGCTTACCGTGCAAAGTGGCTGCAGATAGCTTTCAGAAACCAGCATCTTTCTTGTGCACCCACACGCTATTCCAATATCTAACCATAGCATAGATGCCTGAAGATATTGAAGATCTTGAAGTACACTGTTATCCTCTTCAACCTAGTCTTAAAATCAGCACAAATGAGCCATTTCAGAGGAGGTCGACACTGATAAATCACATACCAGTTGGGCTAAGCCGACTCTGGTAATTTCCTGAAGAATTAATCCCGTTTTGCAAATAGATGGTACACCACAGCAGACACATCCAGCAGCAACCAGACCGGTGAGTAGTTCCGGGAGAAGCTGTTGATATTGACCGTCATAAAATGTATATAAGTGAATCCATGCATCGGTCTCCGTTCTTTTTCCTAGTCCAATCTTGATTAAAGTATCTAGGTATTTGAAGGAAGGAAAAGCTGATACAGACAGGCGGGAGCCAGCGGTCCTAAGCACCAACTTGAAAATATCATCTCTGGCCTGCGAAGACAAGCCACCGGGGATCTTCAGTGCGTCAAGTCTTGTCTGATGGGTAGATGGCATATTGTCAGTATCACGTAGTGGAATCTTTTTTTCCCCCACTAAACCCATGCTGATTCTTTTCTGGAACCCAAAGCCTGTAATAAGAGTCATCTTTTAGCAGCGCGCAAAATCACATATGAAAGATTGATAATATAACCCACCAAAGTTATCGTTGGAATGCGGCAGCACGCCGACTCGCGGATTCTTGATCGTCAAGCGGCGAGGGGTGATTCTCGCCAAACCCAACAAGGGAGCCAGTGGCGTCGAATACATTGTCTAACTCGGGCATAAAATCTGTCCCAAAAACGCCATTGTCAAACGGAGTGATGTCGTTGTCCTGCATAAGATCGAAAACGCGAGGTTGCTGTGTTTCTTGAAGCGTGTTGCAAGCTTCGAAGCCCGGAAGCATTACTTGTTCGAAGAACGCAGGAAACCGATCTATTGCGAAAGAAGGACCTATCTCGTCAGTGCCAGGTGGTAAGAAGTCGTTCAGTGACATGTGTGTTTGCGATTCCGGGCCCGAATGATCTTGAAGATCAGCATTGCTCCAGGTGTGAGATACAGTTGGATGAACACTCATTTCTGACCGACTGGAGCTTGGGGTTGCCACAAGAGGCAAAGTTCCACATGAATATTGCGCTTCCTGTCCATCTGTTTGGCTGGAGGGTGGCATCTTTGAAGACGAAAAATGCTGTTGAATCTTATCTCGACGAACTTTAGACGCCTTGGGTACACACAAGATTCCCTTTGCTTGACATCGCTACAAAGAAAGTTAGTAAGTTTCGCCCCCAGGAGATCATTTCGTCCCACTTTACACGGTCGCTCATTGTTGCAACTTAGCTTAGCTGAAGCGCAAGTATCACAAGCCTGAGCGACGCGCTCCTTTCGCTGTGCCACATGTGTATTCGTATCCGTCCCATCCTTCTCATGGACAGCTTGATGTCGTTGCAATACATCTCTAGTTGTAGTTTAGCGTGTGACAGAACGCAAATATATTAAATAATCGGGACCTACCGGCGATTGAATCCACGCTGGCATATTGGACACTAATATACTCGTTCGTTGCGGTCTAAAATATCATAGATCATAAGCATACCTCATTGTCAAAGTTCGAGTTAAAGTCGACTAATCACGGGAGTTTAAATGCCGTGCCAGATGATCTGGCCTCTCATAGGCCTTGACGCATTGGGGACACCGGTGATTGGTGGTGGATGTTTGGCGTGGGGAACGTCGCGGGGTCTGGAGACTCTGCATGGCGATGGATCACTGCTATTCACGGCAATCCAAAGGTTAGGATGGTCACCTTGATTTATGTTTCCAGACTGCCGAGACCGCGGGAATAAATCTCGGGGAGTGATATGTTTGCGGGCCACCTAGCGGCGTTCATCTCAGATCAACCTGTGTTTCTCTGACCAGTCAAAATCGGTCTATTTCTACCCTTCTCAAGCCACCTGGGGTCCCAGAGTGTGGGGGTGCGCTCAGACCCACACGCTCCCTGTACCAGCCTAACATACTGCAGATCGTATCATGAAAATAGAAAGATAGACCATATTTATTTTCCAAATACACATATGAGTAATAGGTTTTAATCTATGCAGTTATTTCCGGACCAAGAGAAGTTTGTTTATCTCTCCATGGCTTTGCACCACGATACATGCAATTGAAATCCCTAAACTCATCCGGTCTCCTGCTCGGAGTTAGTCGAAATTAATCCGATCGACGCTATTCTTGACCAAAACTTACATTATCACCGTATTTTCACCTTTCACAGTCCCTGGCTTTGCTGCTTGTCAACTATACGCCTGGATCAGACTGGCACGCGAGTATCGTGCGTGAAATACGGTCTGCTCTTATTAGCCATGATTATATTTGGAAATTTATGATGTTAATTAGAACAAACCTCAAGAATAGAGTTGATTAATTTCAACGAAGGGGGATCTGAGATGCCTTCAAAAAAAGCGCCTATCGATCGCTTGACTAGCGCCCTGCCCTTGAGTTGGCAGCATAGCATGAGCGGCGTCGCCAATGAGAACTACGCGACCAGAGTGCCATTTTACAAGTGGATCCTGAAGTTATCAGTAGAAAAAAAAGTGGAAATGGACGTATCCTTGAGTACGTACTAAATCACGAAGTCGCCATAGGCCGAGATCTGCTGAATTTCTTTAAATGATAGGTGAGTATCAGTCTTTCAAAGGGGTATTCGTGATTTCATACTTGAAAATACTTGTTACCCAAGCGGGAAATTCTGAAAATGATTGACGAATCTTTTTCAGGTCACCTTCGGCGACCCAAGATTGCTTCGCGTTGGGATCCTCGTTCATTTGTTCTATACCAGTCAGCTGGAGTGAAACCTCAGATATGGGGATCATCTACTCACCATCTGGTACAAGGACAGTAATCCCATATACCTCCGCTTGTCTTCCGGGGCCTATAATGAGTCGGCAGTTATGGGCAAAAATCATGGAAGTGAAGGGTTCGCGAGGATTGATCTTGGAAAAGAATTTGGGTTCTTGCTTTTCAAGAACCTTGGTAGAGATCTGTTTAATTAGCGAAGGCATCACTAGTGAGAAGCCATTGACAAACCATCAAACGATATGCTTCAACATTAATTAGTTTTAGTTAAGTAAAAGATTAGTAAGTTGTGACTTACCTGACAATCCGGTTGGCATAGGACGTGCGAGTGGTTCTTCGGGCAAGACATATCTGCGCATCACACTATGACTACAAAGACCTTTGTTAATACATAATATAACAAAGATGTTCAAGTCAGCCGACCTACTTGCATTCCGTCTGCTCCAACAATGAGATCTGCAGAAAGTTCTTCGCCACTTTCAAGTGTTACCACACCTGAAAGCACATCGCATTTTACCACTTTTGAAGCAATCCGCACTTCAACTGGGTTGCCATCTCGAGAGGGAAAAGCAGAAGTCGCATGATGTTTTAGATTATCATGGAGATCTCGTCGATGAAACAGTAATCGATCTGCCTCGTATACTTTCTTCGCTAAAAGTGGTATCGCATTGATCAATTCGCCGTCCGTGTTGTAGATGCGAAATCCCTCATCTACCATCGGTCGCGCATTTTGTGAATCCAGCCCCCAGTTAGATTGGATTATCCTCGACGCATTCGGCTGGAAGGAAATTAAAGCTCCAATTTCTTTGTTGAGACTTGACTGTTCCAGCACTGTGATGTGTCTATTAGGTCCGCGTAAAGCGATAGCTGCCGCGAACCCTGCAATACCTCCTCCCACAATGATAATACGAAACACTGGTGGCGACATGGTGAATCTTCCAATTGAATAATCTGTAAAAGTAATAAAATGAAGCCATCATTTATTCCAAATTAATCGGACGTAACCAAATAATTACTTATGGCCCACAGCGGAGAAGTCGAAGGGCAGTGTGATAATCGAGATTGATTCTCCCACCAGTCACCAAAGCAATGTTTCCTGTCAGATCACGTTTGTCTGGAACCGATAATCGAGACGAGCCGAGATTGAAGCTCCCACACGGCTCAATAAATTGGAGTCTCTTTTCTTTGAATTGCAGAGATTCCCTCGGATGAGGGACTTTGGAGGCTACTTTGTATATAAGCTTTGGTCTTGGCCTAGTTCAATGACACATTGACCAAGTAGTATCTTAGCATGTGCTATTGAAGACCTCCCACATAAAAGAGTCAAAATCTGGAATCCCGTCGAAGTCCATGAATCCCCCAGGCATCGAGTTATTCAACCATCCTGACGAGTCTAAGCCAATATCACAATCGGCGACCGGGTTCAAAGCGAGGGTAGCATCAGAATTATAATGCAAGTGCTCAATTGCACTCTCTGACACATCTGTCGAATGGAGTGTCATATCCCTTGCAATCGTGGGAACTGAATTGCCACTGGCCCCCCTCCTCTGATCACGCTTGTCCAGTCCTCTGTTCTTTATCAAATGCTGCACTGTGGCATTCGATAGCTCATGAATACAATCTCTTGCACGTTTAGCTTCTGTCCAGTATTCCCCAATGCTACTGAGAATTTTCAGGCTGACAGATGTATCTGCTACCACGTCGTCAATTCGGACCTCTGACGCGATCTGCGGTATCCTCCACAAGCAGTGTATCATGACCAAAGTACCTAGAAAGATTGAATGGACAACAAGTCGATTGTAAAGAAGTGATTCCTGCTTGTATAACTCGTCAAAGCCTCGAAGAAGTTCAACTGCATGTTGAAAGCAGCGAGTGAGCAACTCTTCTGAGGGATCGGGTATTCCAGGGCTAGGCTTCAATAGAAGAATCATCAATTCATGATATCTTGTTACGCAAATTTGAGTGATAGATTTCATGCCGCTTGCTTCCGGTATATCTGATCGCCATTTCTCAAGTCGATGAATCATTTCTCTCTGCCAATCATTGATATCTGTTACTGGTGGATAGGCATATGCAGGAACATCTCTGCAAATGCTATGCATAACATATTTGATCTCGGAGTTGATCCGAGATAGTTTGAAAAGATGGATAGAGAACGTTATATGAGACACAGTCCTCTCGGTAGACTCTTGAATATTCCGAAATTCAGCAAGATCGTGATCTGAAATATCCGATGGGAGCTTAATAAAAATCAGTATATATGATGAATCGGATAAAATTTAGGAAAGGACCTTACCCGAAGTTCACATGCCTCATCGCGAACTCCAATTGGCCGGCCCATCATTGTGCCCAATGTTCGATCAAAACTATATACCACCCAGAAGATTCTTGTTCTCATCTCCTGTTCTAAAAATGAAATTGGAAATGCTGACGACGATCTAACATCACGCTGAAGGCCCAAATCGATGAGTGCTCCAAGGCACTGATAATTGAGGCTCCATATATTTACACCGCAAGATGGGTTATGCAGGGCATATATCATGAGGAGGAGTAGACTTTGTAATCCCTCAAGCGATCCCTCAACACAGGCAGCCTCAAAGAATTTAGTGGCAGCCGTATAAAATCCTTCCGCCGGAAGTCGAATCCGAAAGCGCCTTGAAATATCTGACGCAGCAATAGCCAGCACCATGTATACATGAAAGGCTGCTATTGGATCTGGGCACTCGTCTGCAGCACTTGCATACATCTTCTCGACACGATCAAGATGAGATGGCTCATGAAGAAATGGATACATGACATGAGTGAAGGAAAAGTATTTCAATGATAGTTCAATAGCATCTTCTTTCCGATTGGGTAAAGTAGCAGGGCTGTTGAAGAGCTCACTTGACAATGAGATGGGCTCATTCTCGTGCCCTTGGCCTGTCTGTGATCTGGATCGACGCCCAGCACTAGAGAATACGGTATTTGCCAGGAAATATCCACTAGAAGGGCCGATGTATCTTGCCTCCCCGCCCGAAAAAAGAGAGACGAGGCCAATTTCATGGGCTTGCTTTGGCTGTGTTCGAGGCGGTTGTGCATCTCTCAGAGGCCGTTCAAGGCGAGATAATTGGGATGTATGAAAGGTGTCATTATACCCGTCGTGGTCGGCTTCTGTCTGTTGAGATCCAGTCAGGTCGATAGAAGGTCCATCTTCGAGGCGCACATTGGTCCGTTCCTTGACCAGTGATTCGAGCCATTGGACCCGCTTCTGCAAGTTTGCAATGTAACTGATGAGGCTTCAGTCTAAATATGAATAATTAGATTCTCTCAGCAGTACTAACGTTCGATTCACTTCTTGTTTCCCATCATTGACACATGCCACATTCGCTTTTTTGCATGCTGAGCATTGTGGAAGGTCACCGTTACATTTAATCTTGCGTCTCTGGCAGCGTCGACAGGCGGCACGATTCCGAGCTTTACGTGGAGACTCCATGTTTCAGAGTATCCGTCAGTGACGAAAATGATTCACAGATAAAAGTGGTCGGAGGTGTAGACAGGAAGTTGCGGTGGATTTTCGGATCACTTCCGTTGACGCGGTATCTATCCGGCACATGACTAAATCGTTGCCGTGGCCTGCCGGATAGCTTCCGTTACTGATGATGAGCCTTGCTTCTCTCCGATCGCACATTCCACAGCATTTGAATGAAACAATGTTTCAGTATTCAGCCTATTCCTCTCAAGCTCGATATTTTTACATAGTGCAAGATCTTTTTGATTTTGATTTTTGGCTGTTCTTTTCATATACAAGATACCTCAGCCAATTCAGCGCTACGGAGGGTAGTTTCCACGGCAAATGTGTCAACTTTAATTTATAGCTTTATTCCGATCTGTTTGCCCTCAAAAATAGTCATATACAGGAAAAATCTAGCACATGATAAATTTAATTTGCAAAAGCTCAATATAGCTTTAAAATACAGAAGCAAGGGCACATCACTATTCATCCGCCGCCGCAAACCTGACTTGAACACTTCCAGTATACCGAATATCCTGTGGAGACATATTCAAAGCTCCATTATCATCAGCAACAGAAGTAGAGGACATCTCAAGATACTGGCCTTGTACTGAAGCCATCTGCTGCATCATGTACCGTGGCATTTGCTGAACAGCCTGTTGAAAACTTCTCTGCTCACCACCATCAATTTCAACAGGCACAACTGCCCGCCCAACAACCTCAGCAAAGTCATTAGCCTTCTCAATTGCGTTGCGTATGGCCAGTTTCCGGGACTCAGAGCTTAAATTCTGCTGCGTTTCATCTGTCAAACACCATTCAATGGAATTTATGTCGACAAGGGGGTACGTAACCAGCTTTCCCGTGACCTGGCTCAACGTGGCCAGGTTACGAAATTTGGCTTGAAAGGACGACTGTGCATAATACCGCGTGACCTCCAGTTCGTTCTTCTTTTTTAAATTGTGGGACCATGTAGAGAGTCCAGTAGAAGAAAAAACGGTAACCGGTGCATCGAGGGTGGCGGTGCCAAATTCGGCTTTTGGTGATAGCTCCTGAAAAATCGTATGGAGTTCATTTGAAGTAAGTATGACCTGGTTTGAGATAGTGTGCCTCTCATCGCCCTCGGCCTTGACTGTGACTTTGAGGACGGCTCGTTCAGGGTGCCGACTGATGGTTGATTTCCCTGAGACTTGAATGGACAGAGGAGCCATGGTGGTTTGAGAAATGATAATATTTCCTGATTGAACTGCCTGGGAATAATGATTTGCATTTATAGTTAGATTTGGTGAGATTATTGCACTGGTGTGGACTTTAAATACCTGGCGCCAGTAGGATGTGGAGTAGTGTATCCAGGTTGAAATCAGGTTGAGCGCCCAGGTTGAGATTCGACAAGGGGCCATTCTGGTAATTTTGGCAATATTAAACAGCATAATTTATCTGTGATTATTTATCGAGGGATTTAAAAACTGTATAAGTTAGATCAACGAGTGAACTCTGGGTACCATTTCACCCAATGCATACACTTGGAAGCACACCTGGGCATTTGCACCACCCTAAGAGAATAAGGTAGGCACCAGTAAGGCCAACTTCCAATGAAAGCCCAGGCCATCAGCTTGATGGAAAGTTTGATGGATGGTCGTGCATACAATCATGTAGCTAAATATTTTAAGAAAAGACTTGTTCGTTCCCATGTAGTATGGTTCAATGAATGTTGATTTCGGAGACAAAATCATGCCAACTTTTACCACAAAACGTCTATGGGTTGAATTGCGGTACTCACAGGCTCAGCTAAATTATACTTTAATAGATTATCGCTTTTAAAAACTTGCTAGCTGCTAGTAATACGTAGATCCATAATCTCTAGGACTACTAAAGAACTTTGGATGCAGCTTGAAGATACAATGTCAAAATTCAAGTTTTTAGTCAAAGATTCAAACGCCTGTATTTATGCAGATGCAAGTTTTCCCCTTTATAGCACTCTATTACCAGCGAGCATACTTCAAGTTCGTGTGCAATTCGAAAGGCAGCGCTAATCAGCCCCTGCATGATCGCAGTACTAAGCGGGGGCGAGACCTTGGCCGTGCTTTAAGTCTCTGCAACAACTCCCCGTTTTGTTTCCCCACACATATCATCAGCGGCCCTTTGATCTATCGTCAAAGCCAAAAATCGATTGTTACAAGGCGATATTGAATTGATGCAGGTATGTGGGGGTCGTGAGAGAAGCTACATAGTTGACCTGTCAGGATCTCCCGGCTATATTTTCCTGTGCGTTGTTGTCGCAACGTCGCCAAAGCCCGTTGCGCTGAGAATCCAAAATCCGGAATCCAGAGGAATGTGAGACTTGAACGCCCCAACTCCTTAAATCCCATCGGTACAGCACTTGCTTTGTGCGATATACTAGGCTCGAAGCTTCGGGTCTATAGTGATATCCGATCATTTTCATTAACGTGGCTTGCTTAGTATATGGTAATCATTGAGCCCCTTTTTGCGATCGACCTTTTCAGCTCAGCTCACGACGTTATCATTGGGAATTCCATGGTTGATAGGTGTATGTGTTTTCTCTTTGTGATGACTGAACCATTGAGAGATGGAATGATGGCGCCGATGATTGATAAGGCTGTACAGGCGCAGCCTGGGGAGTAGGTATTGACATGGCTAAGGATCGATGAGATGGGATTTGAGGGACCGAAGGAAAAGATGACTCGGATGGGTGCGTGTTTTGCGCGCCTGTCGAGTTTCCGAATGAAATCTGAGATGCCACGGGAAGACCAGACGGGAGAACAGACGGCATTAATCGAGAACCGTGATTCATCTGTCCGTCCATCACGTATGGATCCATTCGACTCGAGAGGTTCGCATCAGAGGAATCTGCCAGAGATAACGAGCGATTATTATCATATGATTGCCACTCATGGGGATGAGGTGAGCGACTTGGTGCCGAGACAGCAGATGGCGCTCGTTGTATTGCTGATGCATGTTGTGAGGACCCCGAGAAATGTGGAGAAATCATCGCATTGGTCGACGGGACACTCGATATTGTATTATTTGCCGATTCATCCATAGGCCAAGTGCCTCCTCGAAAGCCGCCAACTTGATCACTACCCCCAGCAAAGCTGGGACGCCCCAACAAGCTTGCTATTTGTCGTTTCAGGTGGCCAACCTCCTGTTCCAAGACAGAGTTCCGTTGTAAGAGCTCTCCAAATCGATCGTTTTGGGGCTGCATCTCGGCCACTTGACTCTGGAGCATGGCGACTTGACCCTCCAGCTGCTCAATATGCTCTTTTGTGCGTTGACGAATCGATCGTTGTGCTTCACGGTCGTTGGCGCGTTTTCGTTCGAGTTGTTCTGCGGATAGAGATGATACTTTTCTTGCTCCTGCCCGCGATTCTCGCCCCTTCGTGGAGCCGCCGTCTTTGCTGCTAGTGCTCATGGTCTTTTGCTTTTCAGGTCTGCCAAGGTGATACCCCACACTGCGCAGAAGGATTCGGTCCTTTAACCGGTTATCCCGGACAGGGAATGGGTTGTCGGTGACCATGAAACCCGTACTGGTCACAGGGGGCAAAAGACCCAGCATGAAAGGCACAGGGGGTCTTTCTTAGCCTTTTCAGTGTTTTGGATGGCTCGGATTTTCCTAGTTGGCGCCGTTCCTTCGATCGGGTACAGCGTCTACTATCACCTCGAGGGGGACAAAGCGCTAAAATAAAAAGACAGGCCCACACACTGGGCGATAAAAGGTAAGGGGAAAAAAGTATTGATGCTGATATAAGGTGTGTTGGTATTGGCACCAAGGGTCTCTGCTAAAAAAAAATTATTTAAAAAAAACGATATCTTGCAAGGACCTCAACGGCTTAAATAAAATCACCTTCAGACTGGATAAACACACATTACGTGCCTTTCTCCGGATCGTCACTAAAAGAAGTGCGAGCCCCTAAGAGGGACAATCTCCCGGCAGTGAAAGGACCAGGCTCCGGCTAACCAATTAGAGGATCACCATCCTACGAACTGTGTGGATACCAAGAAGCTATGAACATAGCGTCTGATTAGTTTTCTATTTATCGTGTTTTTTTTCTTTTCTTTTGATTCCTTTCCTTTCCGGCTGCTGGATCGATCCGTCATAGTCTAAGACCCGCTTGGCATCGGTCTACGTGGGCAAACTATCTGGACATTAAAGGCAATAAGCTCGTCTACGATCCTTCCAGACTTTACCTGCTGTTCTGGAACGTTCGTTATGCATTTCATCGCCCGACCGGGCGCGTGGATCGACGGTTCAACTCTCTTTTGCTGCCTGTTTGTCAATAGAGATGGCGTTGGGGGCAAAAAGCAAAAAGCAAAAAGCAAAAATTGAAAATTGAAAAGCAAATTTACAGTGATGAATACACAAGGCTCTGGTATATACAATCATGATCATGCTTTTTACATCTTTATTTCTCCATGCGAAACAATCTCACCTCTCAATTCTCACCATTTGTTGTGTTTAATTTCTACAGAAAGCTGCACAACCGTCCGTCTCCTGCCCGAACCCCCGATGCCGACCCAATGGCTTCTTATTGTTATAAATTTGAATATAGTCTATTTAAGTCGTGTGAATGCCCAGAAATATTGCATCTACAAGATTTTCAGCCCCAAACCCTAAGATCTGCACCCATCACTACTTTATTACGACTCAGGATGCGCCTTAAACTGACTCAATAAACATCTCTACCTCCCCTTGCTTAACAATTCAAATGTTAAAACTTCGGAAGACAGGGTCAAGGACCCATATAAGATGAAACAATGATCTACATTGACCCAAAGAAATACCTTCTGCTCCGCAGCTAAGAGAGTAGCCGGGGCTTGTGCTAATTAGCTTTCCTTGGCCTATATACTACTCTGTGATCACTTGGCGTGGTTTTCAGTGACGCGTTTGTAGTAGGGACCAAGGGCATGTTTGGAGCACATACATACCTACTCTAACGTACTATTATATGCTCAATCAATCTTATCTTTTGTAGTATCACAGAACCATCATATATGGCACCGATTTAAGTTGGAATATGTTCCTGAGGCATGCGGTATATAACATTGACCAAAGTTATACGGTTACATATGATCAACTCTGATCCGGGTCTAATGATCCTCCTGTCTCCAGCGGGCATTTAGGTACTGAACTTGAAGCACAATACAAAGAATGTAACCTTTGGATCATGACAAGGCTGTAAATCTTGCCCTCAGGGAGATACCATCACTGCTCAGTCCACGTTACCATGGCCTTGTGCCCTCGTGGTATCCAGAGGATTTTCAAGAGTGACAGGAAGTAGCATCTTCAATGTAACCAATCTCCACCTGCTAAAACGCTTAAATAAGTTACATTTCAACGCCGCGCCGAGGGGCTTGGAGTCTAGACACAAGCTACATCCAGAGCGAAAGCGAGGGGCAATGTATTGATTTATGAACTTCATTATGGAGTTCGAAGGACCAATGACACTTCTAATGCTCGAAATAAGATTCAGCTAGTCGCAGCCTCGTGTTTGAATTCCCAGTTTCGCCTGTCAACTCTGCATACCCCATCTCTAGTTCGGATTCGGTTCAGTGCCCGTACATGTGGCACGGACTGTTGATCAATTGCCCCGGTTTCTATCTCAATTGGCCTCAATGGTACATTTATGGGGCTTCTGAGCCTTGCGATAATATCTCCGTAAAATTAGACGTAGATCGAGTGGAATGATCGACAAATTTCCCACCGCCGAATATCCATGCCGAGCCATGGATAATTGGCAGCCTTGTCCGGGTGCCGGGGCGTACCAAAGGTAAGATTATAGTTGCCCTAGATCAACCGATCGGATAGCTATCTGGCCAATGGTTGTGCAGGGGCTAAAAGCTCGGCCGAGCGAACCCGAATCTCGCAAGCTGCTCGCAAGATGTTTGGTCCGGGTAATTAAGGCCATGGTGTTTTTTTTTGGCTATCTCAAACGCCAATTCCTGTAAAGCTCACGTTATTGCACCTGGCTTGCATATTCAATTGGAATTATCAGGATTATAGGTCAGTTTCTCTGTCGATCGCAGTGCCGACCATTGAAGGTACTATAGGTCTCAAGGCTACGAACCACCAATCTCGCATTCAACCCCCAATAAAGTATATTATAGCTTGTGTAAAAGATTTCAAATGATAAAGCTCATTTTTGTTTTGTTTTTAGCACTCAGATGAAAACTATCAATGATGTTATCTAAACATGTAGATCTGGGGTTGCTTGACATCAGGTGATTCCATGCCACGTTTTCGAGTCAAACCAACTTCATCTCCGAATTCTGGCCACGTTCAACTTCTTCAACTTCTCCACTACCTCAAGTCCCTTCCAAATCCCGATCTTTGCGGGTTGAAACTACCGATGGGAAGCTGCCCCTAACCGAGCTTAGTTGACAATCAAAGACGATCTAATCTCAAGCTATTCCCTCTATGGATTCCGATTACAAGGCCCGCAAAGAGGCCTTCGTCTCGAACCTCACAGGGAGCAGCATCCAAGACATCAATTTGGTCGCACTTGTCGCATCGGTATCATCACCCTTCAATTTTCGTCCTGAATCAAATTCTGATATTATTTTCACGTACAGACCGCCGTCCTTCTCTGGTCCGCTCTCCAATCGCGCTTGTCCTACTTCACGCCCTACGGTCCCGCCGGCTTATTGACAGATTTCATCCTCAATGTATTGGGAATATTATTCGCTACTACGGCCTACTCCTCTGCGCCACTACTTTTAAACATATTTCTCGTCACCCCCGCCGTCCTCCTCTTTCTCACACAACCTGCTCTTCGTTCCACGCAGAAGGCCAAACCACCTCGCAAACAAACAAGCAAAAATGCCGCCTCACAAGACTCGGCGGAGTCGCTGCCAATTCACCCTTTCTTAACGACTTATCGAGCGGCGATGATGATCGTGACCTGTGTTGCAATTCTCGCAGTTGATTTTCCCATTTTCCCGCGTCGCTTTGGAAAGGTTGAGAATTGGGGTACATCTCTGATGGACCTGGGTGTGGGTTCATTCGTCTTCTCTGCGGGGGTGGTGTCTGCGCGTTCAGTCATTAAGAGTCGAGCTTCCGCGTCCCCAAAGGCTGCTTTGGTACCGAGACTGCTCGGCTCCGTGCGACACTCCGTTCCTCTACTTGTGCTAGGTCTGATTCGACTATGGAGCGTGAAGGGTCTGGATTACGCGGAGCATGTCACCGAATATGGTGTGCACTGGAACTTTTTCTTCACATTGGGGTTTCTTCCGCCGTTCGTGGAGCTCTTTGACTCTTTGGCCGCATTGATTCCAGCTTATGAGGCGCTGGCTCTCGGAATCATGGTACTTTACCAAGTAGTCCTTGAGTCAACCGAGCTCAAGAGCTATATCCTCATCTCCCCCCGCGGGCCAGACCTACTGTCCAAGAATCGCGAGGGTATATTCTCGTTCCTTGGATATCTGGCCATTTTCCTTGCAGGTCGTGGTATTGGAACTCGTATCATTCCTCGCGGAACAGCATCCAAATCGCCCCAGCAGGCGCGCAAATCTGTTCTTATTAGCCTCGGCTTGCAAGTGATCTTCTGGTCAACTCTCTTCTTTTTCAACTCATATTACGCGTTTGGATACGGTGCTAATATTCAGGTATCGCGCCGTCTCGCAAACATGCCATATGTGCTCTGGGTCGCAGCTTTCAATAGCGCTCAACTTCTTTTGTTCTGCCTGATTGAAACTGTCTTCTTCCCTACAGTCTACAAAATGACTGGTAAAGAAGGCGAAGAGGAGCGAACATCATTCGCAACCAGTCGCATTCTTCATGCATTCAACCGTGGAGGCCTGGCTGTCTTCTTGATTGCCAATTTGCTGACTGGTGCGGTCAACCTGAGCATCCCAACCTTGGACGTCAACACGCCACAGGCCATGGTTATTCTGGTGGTTTATTCAGCGATTCTGACTGGTGTTGCACTTGGAATGGACAAGGCCAACATCAAGTTGCGTCTGTAAATGTACTTGTAAATGCCATGTACAATAAAATGTGCGATAATTGAAGTATCCAAGCTTGCAGCATTTGAAGCTTCAATCATAGTGTAGATCATCGCATCAGCTGATGCCCCACGTGCAAGAGCCTCGGCATGTGAGATCATCACCTAAAATAGCTCTCACCTCCGCACCGCAGTTCGCGATAACAACCAACACCAAAACCAGAGCTGTAAACATGTCTTCTGAAGGTCGCGCATATATGAACTACCCTCCAGCAATTGAGGGTCCATCGGTACCCTACAAAAATGAAGATGCGTCTATTCCCATTTTCCGAGGGACTCCTCTGGCGATCGGTGCGACACTGTGAGTCTCGACCCAAACTTCTTGGATCCATGGTCGGATATTAACAAACATCTTCGAATAGAATACATAACATCGGTTTCATCCAAAGTCACTTCTGGCGAACTGCTGGTTTTGGCGTCATCCATAAAGTCCCTCACCTCCCTCTGTACGCCGGACGATCCGACCCAAGCGTGATTCCCGTTGAGAAAAACCACACCACCGACGTACCAACGCCTGTTGTCGCGAAGCGCAAGGGAAATAATGGATACTACACTTCCGCCGACTACCATGATCTATATTTGTCGGGCGAGTTGAGTCCAACCGTTGTTGTTGAAACACTCCTCCCTTTAGTCCGTCGGGATGTCAGCCCAGCAGGCAAGCATTCGATCGCTTTCCTTGAATCACAGGTTGATATAATCCGCGCCGCTGCAGAAGAGTCTACCAAGCGGTATAAGGAAGGGAACCCTCTTGGACCCCTTGATGGTGTACCCGTTGCGATTAAGGACGAGGTCCATATCACCGGCTACAAACGCACTCTGGGCACGAAGTTGGATTTCAAGGCTGGTAATGATGGTACTTCTTGGTGTGTTAAGCAGTGGCAGGATGCAGGTGCGATTGTCATTGGGAAAAGTACCATGCATGAGCTGGGTCTAGGTAAGTGGATCGACAGTTTACACCTCGATGTCACATTAGCTAACCTTATAAGACACAACCAACAACAATCCTAATTACGGGACCCCTAGGAACCCCCATAACAAGGAATATTACTGTGGTGGTTCCTCAGGAGGATCCGGATATGCAGTCGGAGCTGGTATTGTCCCAATCGCGCTGGGTGCAGACGGTGGTGGCTCAATTCGTATCCCATCATCATTCTGCGGTATCTGGGGTCTCAAGACCACTCATGGTCGTGTTTCCGGGGCACCATCTCTCAGTCTCGCGCCTACAGTCGGTGTCCTGGGACCAATGGCATCCAGCATCGATGATCTCGCCATTGCGTACCGAGTGATGGCCGCTCCAGCTCCAGAATCACAGGATCCAACCTCCTCACTTTTCTCTCAGCCAGTTCCCCCACCAGCTGACAGAAAGCGAACCAAGACCATTGGCATCATGTCAGACTGGATAGATCGCGCCGAGCCCGCTGTCCGGGAAGTATTTGACAGAGCTCTGGCCTATTACCGCGAGAACGGTTATAACGTCGTCGACATCACCATCCCATACCTCCCAGAAGGCCAGCGCGCCCATGCATTGACCATCTTAGCCGATATCGCATCAGGCGTCGACGCAAACCAGATCCGTGAACTGACTGCGCCTAATAAAGTCCTTGTATCAATGGGCATGTACCAAATCACTGCACAGGATCTCCTTGCATCTCAACGCCTACGGAACCTCCTCATGACCCATCTCGCATATCTTTTCCAGAAGCACCCTGGTTTGCTAATTCTATCTCCCTCCACACCTCTTCCTGGCTGGCACATCTCGGGAGGTGAATCCGATCTTGCCCGAGGTGTATCAGATGGGGGCAGATCCGTGCGGAACATGGAATACGTATGGCTGGCTAATTTCACGGGATGTCCATCTATTAATTGTCCTGCTGGATATGATCCTGCAACTGGTGTGCCTATCGGTATTATGGCCATGAGCGATTGGGGAACGGAAGAAGAATTGATTGACTTTGCGCGAGATGGTGAGCCCATACTGGATCTTCCTGCCAACCAGCCACCCGGTGCTACTGAGTCAGATGTACTTTCAGAAGGCCTTCGCGCTCCTTCTTCTGAGGGTACTGTTTGGGAAGATGTTATTGCTAGGGCACTGGAGGCTCAATCTGCATAACTGCCCCGTTTCTTTACTCGTAGCTTTTCACATCCCTTGTCTCATTAATTTAAGTGATTTCTTTGAATAATCTGGAAATAATCTAAACGAATATCTGTAGTTTTTCCCGATTTCTATCTCACTAGCGCTGCTGTTGAAAGGTTATATCTCACCCGGTATGCTCACTTTAGTTCGCAAGGACAAACTGGGAACTTTGAGGATGAAATGGACATCTGGACCAATGAATTTGTAGGATTTTAATAGATATAGATATGAGATTAACCAATAGTACCATGATTCGCTCTGCTTGAGATGGTTTTTAGGATTTACCCATGCACTTATGGGCATCCCTCACGTCAACTTGAATTTATTGATAAAACTCATTCTCAGCTTTATACCATTTATAGGGTCCCGTTTCTAATTTTATATACGACGGAACTTCAAATTTGAAGCCCCTAAATCCTGAACACGCCGTTGTTGTGTGCCGCTGTCAGTAGTATGGCCATAAAACCTACCGAAGGTTCATTTCCTATTTCTCTTTATGGCATGACTGCAAGTGAACAAAGACAATTCGGCCGATCCAAAAGAACAAGGCTTAGAAAAGGATGATAAAGTTCTACCATTTTACAGTTAGCAGAAAGTTAAATGTCTTTCTCATCCTTCTTCTCCTTCTTCTGGAGCTCTGTGGACTAGAAAAAGCGCGTATCAGACGCTGAAAGATATATGAAGATTATTCCACAGCCCATTTCAAGCAATGTTTATCTGTCTACCCATGTAAACTCATGATGGCAGACTCGGATGAGTACTTCGTCCTAACACTTTTAATGAAGGGATACCTAATTGCATAAGAACTTGGCAGTCAGATACCGAAGCAACTAGATGCCTACTCAATTAGTTGTATTTTATTCTTACCCATTGAAGTATATTTCTTTCAAATTCTTAAAAAGCCACTTTTACAACCTTTTTTGGATGATGTTGAATACAGGTGACGCCGTGCTACGAGCGGCGTCACTGCTAGCCTTGTCACTAGTAGTAGCTACCTGGTATGTAGTCCCTGCAGTGTAGTAGAGCCTCAGTTCGCGTCTCACCTTGCCCTCTTCAAAGCTATAATTGCTCTTATGCCGAAACATTCTGTCTATCACTGATAGATCGTAGACACTCCGTCGTATCGGCCCTTTCTTGCCCGCTCTTTGAACATCTAATTTCTACTTATAGAGCAAGAAAGGCTTCGAACCCATTCAAGGCTACTCCAAAGAATGATAGCCTTTGAACGCTCCAGCCTCCGTGTTCTGTTCTCAACAAAGCTTCGTTTCAAGACTTTGAAATTTCTTTCGAATAGATTTTGTAAAGGTCTCAAAGGATGACGGTCTCGAGAACCGTGACCCTAGTAGCTATCTCAATTGAAGTTTATATAAGAGATGAAAGTTCAGCACTCTTGAGGGTTTTTTTTTCTTCTTCGCGCCCGCACTTCCTATATTACCATCAAATCAGTAAATTCAAATCTTCACCATGTCTAACTTTTTCAACCGACTGACTAATTTCCTCGATGAACGCAACCGGGATCCTCGTAGACGCATTGAGTTCATTGCCGCTCGGGTGATTGCTCGGATGTCTAGAATCACTGGAAATACAAGGTGGTCGGATGATTATGATTGGGCAAATACTTATGCTATGCTTTACTATCGCAGGATCACTCAAACTGCTAGAATCCGATCTAAAGAAATTCCCGATCGTCCTACAGCTCAGGGCGGCTGTCTTTCTGATGGCCCTACGGATCAGAATGGCCTATGGGAAATGCCGAATGTGCCCAACCTCACACGCTGGAGAGTTGAGTACGGTGAACGAAACGGTGTACTTGAGGCTCGGATTGGCCATGAAATAATAGCTAGTGACTATGCTGCCGCTGGCCCAGATCCTGAAGTCGATCCTGATTTTGTATCTACGTTGATTGCGCTCTACCACCGCACCCAGGGTACTACTAACAGCCTGCGTTATTTCTTTTCCGGTTCTATTCGGAACGAACAGACGCAGCGTCTTCAGAGGCTTATGGACCTTGGAGGTGGTAGTTTCACAGTTCATCGTACACACTTTTATTTCGAGGACTTCATGCGAACTGAGATTGGGCGCTTTGTTAGAGCAATTATACACCATGCCTATCCTCGTGGCACACATTGGGTTTCCCAGGTTGTATGTGCCGAAAACCTAAACGCCCCAGGACATTGGGATATTCGGTTTGATATCGAAGCTTTTTAGAGATTTGCTCACCTGTTTTAGATTCCATTTACTACCTGATACGTCACTAATTCGCGTTCTAGTTTATTAAACCACACTTAAATTGCTAGTAGTCACAGGGAATCTCTGTCGCGTTTTTTACATTTTTTTCCGCACAGATCCATGCTGCTTCGTTCACGATGTAGCCTCTGGAACAGAATTGTGATTCTCGGTGGCCCGACACTCGTTTTTTTTTCTTTTAACTAGGTTTGACCTTGATTTCTTTTTTGGCATTTTTTCCATTCATTTGGTACTTTTTTTAGACTTTTTTGGCTTGGTTAAGTTAGAATTTGCTTAGCAAAATCAATACTTTTCTGAAATCGAACTTCAATGTAGATTATGTAGATTTTCGTAGAAACTAGCTCCGGACCAATGATAAAACCTGATAATGATGCTGTAAAGCCCCACCGCAGCGATTAACTAATAATTTTATTGATTAACTAACTTAACGAACACCTACCTCCCACCATCAACTATCTCACCAACATATTCAAAGCCAAAAATGACGATACTCACCCTCCCCCGACCAGGAGAAAGCTATGACTCAAAAGCCCCAACAATTATAAAAGCCCCATCAGAACAAACATTCATCTCAATCTTTGGGCAAATGCTCCCAAAAGCCATATACATAAACACCACGCACGGCTGTGCAGCTTACTACTCTCTGCCCGCCACTGGCAAGAGTAATGACAACAGTGACAGCACAATTCAGCGTGTGTTATTCGTGCACGGCGTCCAAACACCAGCAATTGGCCTACAGCCACTAGCCAGCACACTTTCAAGGCGGTTCCCATCCGCGCACTGTGTTCTGGTAGATCTATGGGGCCACGGATTAAGTGATACACCTATATTACCGCATGAAGCATCTCTATTTCACAGTCTACTTAATGATTTACTGGATGAGTTGAAATGGAAAGATGCGCATGTAATTGGGTATTCTTTTGGGGGGTCGACGTGTGCCTCGTTCGCCGCTTCATATAGCGAGCGTGTTTCTTCTATGGCTCTTGTTGCGCCTGCGGGACTAGTGAGATCGGAGACATTTGGAGAGGTGCAGCAGGCGTATTTAAGTGGTGATGGGACCGAGGAAGAAGCGAAAGATTGGGTGTTTGAGTGGCTTGAGGGTGGTAAATTGGTTGTGCCTTATGATTGGAAGGAGAGGATCGCGAGGGGGGACATTGTCGCTGAGGCTGTGAGGGATTGGGAGGTTAGAGAGCATGAGGGGCATGTGGCTAGTGTTGTGGGAATTGTGAGGGATGGAGGAGTTCTGGACAAGCATGGGGAGTTTGTGAAGGCGGCGGAAACGGGGATTCCTTCTATATGTGTGCTTGGAGAGTTGGATGATTTGTGCAGTGTTCAGGATTTGGCTGAAGTTGGGATGAAGAATGCTCAGGTTGTGTCGCAAGTTGGGCATGGGGTTGTTCGACAAAAGGTGCCCGAGGTTGCTGATCTGATTGAGAACTTCTGGAAAGGTCTTTAAAGTCGAGAATCGATGGGAATGATACTCTGTAGATAGAGAACTTCAAGTTCTGTTATTCAAGTGAATGGATGTCTATCATATATTACCTACAGTAACGCCTAAACCGTCAATCACAATAACCGCCATGAAAATAAAGAATGAGCCACACCAAATCATCAAAAAAGAAGTCTAAGAATGAGAATAATAAATGCTTTGCACGCAAAGCCGCCAAGTGCCAAAACCAAACGCCTTGCGCGCGAAGAAAAAAACCAGTAATCAAAATGGAACCATGAGTGTGAATCAGACCCAGGGCTAAAGAAAACAAGCGTTTTCAAATAGAAATGGACTCTGTCGGGTTGGGAAGAAAGAATTGACAGCCAAGATTAAGCGCTTCAGCATGAGCAGTCAATTCCTGAACGATCGTCTCGCCAGGGTGCACACCATCCTTCATAGTCTCCTTAATATGGATGATATAAACAGAAAAGTCAGCCAACGGAGGATCAGAGTTAGCCCATCGCGTTGAATCCGGGGGGAAATAATGATCATAAGCTAGCAGGTCGCTTAGTCCCTCCAAAGGCTCATTATGTTGGCCCCGAGACGAACCAGCACGGGACTTCCGGCCTGAAGAGCTGTGTGATCGTTTAAAGGGTGATCGTGGACTGTTACGGGCAGTCTCGGTTTCGCGTTTACGCTTTTTATCTTGGGTTTGCTCACGGGCGTCAAGGACCCTGTCAGCAAGAACCGACAGCTCCGCGATGAGGTGGCGTGGGCAGAGATGGCCATATAGATATGCGTCATCGATGCTGTCGGAGTATGAACATTCGATGAAGATGGCACGGAGTGTGTGTCTGGCAACCTTTGGTGCTGCTGTTTCCCATACACGTCGATTACGGGGCTCAAGGGAGACAGTATCTGGTTCGACATCACCGAAAATGATAATTTCATCGCCACTATCGTGATCACGAAGAAAAAAGGCGGAGCTTTCAACTGTTGACACCATGGACTCTGCAGGACCGAGGTGAGGCGAGCGGGCCGGGGAAAAGTGGCTGCAAGAATAGTCAGCGAGATAAAAAGAAAATATGCCTGCAAACCTGAAGTCCTACCCTGCATCGGAATGGCCTGATATCGCCCTTGTCGGCATGAGGCGCGACTCAGAGGAATTAAACACAGTACTTGACGCACGGTGATGCGTTCCGCTTTCTGGATCGTATCGTTGCTTGCACTTTCCATGACTGACACTCAAACATTTAGTTACAATGCCTTGACAAGCACGAACATAGCCTCTGCTATCCTCACTACCGAATCGCGGATTTCCACCCTCCACAAGTCGCTGATACGTAAGCAGACCAGCACCCCCATCTTCATCGGACAAATTAGGCCAGATAACATCGTTAAACACATGATTTTTGATAGCAGACAGCACAGACGGCAGAGCCGCAACAGGCTTGGGCCCACTTCCCGCTTCAATGATCGGCGTGTTGATTGCAAGACCCGCGACATGGTCTAGATGAGGATGTGTAATAAGAAATGCGCCAATTATTTCACGGAAAATGTACGCCGCGTTTGCCTCGGCAGTTTTGGCAGGCAGCTTTAATCCCCTGAAGGGACCCTCTTTGAGCGTTGCTCCTTGGCGGGCATTTTTCGAATTTGAGACATATAATTTCAGTATGCGCACAATTCCGGCCAGCATAGTCCCCGCGTCCACGGCAACCATTGATCCTGGAGTCCAGTTTGTTGATTTTGATCGTACGAGAAGGCCAGTCACCGCATCTTCGCGTGGTCCTCCGGTAGGCCCCTAGTAATGGTCCAGTCAGTAATTTTTTCAGATGATTTGTAGGGGTTCATCTGCCAGAACCCGAGGTGATATGCAAGAGGTAGTCAGGAGGAATAGATAAACGGGATCAGGTTCAAGAGGTTCGGTTTGGAGTATTCATCGCTATACGCCATAAGTGCACAAGGCTAGAAAAACCAGGACGTCACTTACCAGTACAATGACTTCGAAAGACGAATTGCCAGACATTATGAGATGTAAAACCCCAACTGGGCCACGTCAACAAATTATCAGACGACAATGCCAGTCCAGAAACAAGACAAATAGGCGACAGCAAGAGCGTAAGCTCGAGCGTTTCAAAGTGCGACAGTCTCCCTAACAGCCCAAACAGTTCGACCCACAGAGATCAACCAGGCTCGTCGTGGCTATCAAGAAAACCAGTATACAAGAAATCCTCAAATGAAGTCTGAATTTCAATCCCGACTACCGCGGTATCCTGCAGGACAGAAGATGCGCCAACGTATACCAGCACCAGTGTTGTGTAAGAAGTAATCCGTACGCCAAGTCCAACCAACGTGAGTTACTCAGAAACGTCCTGTGCAATAATGCGACGTAGGGCAACAGCGATCAAGAAAAATTTGAGTTTGCTCTTTCGCAAAGGACAACGGTGGCTCGCGGCAGGGAATGGAGTTTCCCCAGTCCGTGCAACGACTCAAGGGCGTCTGATGCAGGGTTGGAAGCGCTCCTGCACGACAAAAGGGGTGCTATGCTTATTGGCAGGGGAATTATTCGTCCAGATTAGACGTCTGGGTCCACGCAGTTTATCGGGGAAGTTATCAAGTCTTTTCGAAGCTCACGAGAGCAATGATGAGCGATGCGATACGAGTGTGGGGCGCCGACCGATCAATCGCGACGAGGCGGAGGTGGGCGCAGGGGCCTAGATATAGTGAGACACTTTGTCGGTCACAAGAGGAATTGAGGTTCTCGAGAGGTTAGTACCTCATTGGACTTACCCGTGAATTTGGATGGGGAGCAAGAATCCGAGGATAAGGAACGCGGAGAAGAAAGTTGTGGGGGCTATCGCGTATTAAATCCACTTCCGGACCAGCTCAGGGTGATAGACTCCGGACACCGTGGGGACAAACCTTGTATGCTGAAGAATTCATTCAGACGTTTGGGATTTATTTCTGTATCTTTGTAGGTGGGTTTCTTTGTCGCTGGCAGCACGGCTTCAAAAGGCGGTGCTTGACGAGAGCAGAAGTGGAGCTGATAAAGCTATTCAAGTGGATGAGGTCAGATCAGTCTATCGATAACTGCCCGTTCAATGACGTGGGACAACTTTCCCCGGATCTAGAGATAGAAGCTATTGAGTATGGCAGATATGTAGTTTGTGAAGATTTAGAAATATCAGAGCCAGATTGAATAATTGCGCTATCGGTAGATGCTTGGACAGCAGGACTCCTAACAATGTAGGAGATGCTAGATCACAAAATGTACAGGCCTGCTGCCCACAAAGGATATCAAAACGAAGAACTATGGAGAGAGCGAAAGAGAGGCGGAGGTGACTAGGCTGCCCTATACATAACTTCGTGGGGATCCGTGCTTGTATGTCCTCCCGTGAGTAAAAGAAGACCAGAAACAAAACAAAACAAAACAAAGACCTCCATTCCTTTGACCTCAGGTTTCCGCAGATAAAACAATAAATAGAAAACAACCCAAGAAGACGAAGGAGTATCCATTGAACCAACCCAGCCGATTGTTGAAACGCCTTCCGTGGACTCGCTAAAATGAAATGGACAAAAAGAATGAAGTGTTGATGGAGTTTAGAAACCCATAAACCGTGGGAAACACCATGTTGGGTATGTTCGCAGAAAAGGAAAAAATAATGAAAGACATAGTTGGTGGTTTGACGTGCAGCACAAGGCTTTTATTCGTGTTGTCTAGTAAACTCCCGGTCTACCACGGCTTGGTAGCTTGGGAGGTTCTGAGCTTCTAGATCCTCAGCGTTGTTCAAGGGTGTGCTGAATTCATTGGAATCCCGATTGGGGAATTCTAAAGAGGCATCACTGCCTCTGCGACTGCTTCCGGGGCTTGAATATTCTGGAGGCGGCACATCTTCATGGTCGGGAGCATCATGCAGTAGAGGTGCATCCGTGGGATCATCCTCGCCATCGGCAATTCGGCTGGATCCCTCCCCAGCATCCTCATTGGAATGAATGTGAGCCAGCTGGGCAAGGGAAATGTCAGTCGGAGAGCGGATCGGGCCAGGGCTGACCGCCTGCGGAAGACCAACACTGGAGCTTCTCGCGGTATGGGTTTGATAGACCCTTTGAGAGATTTGTGCAGCACTCTCCCGTCCTGATTCGAGTAAAATGCTGCCATGTTCACTGCCATATGGTGGGGGCGGGGCGAGGCTCCCGGTCATTGGGGCCAGGCCCCATTTCTTTACATTCGCTTCGATGAATACGAACCCCATTTGTCCAAAATTAACATGGATGCTGCAGGGGCCATTGGCCCCAATGGTTGGAAATAGATTTTGACTGCGGTAGTTATGAGCCACATCCTCTAGTTTTTTGCCGTTGCGAGTGAAGAAAATCGTGCCCGACCTAGGGCGGTATCCTACACCAATAACATCGCCTTGTAGGAGAGGTGGACCGTATGGGGTTGGAGAAAATGGTTGATTATGCCTGCGGTGTCCTGTTGATTGATAGGCGACGGAGGTTTTGTGGAAGCCTAAAGTAAAACAGAACGGGTTAGCCTGGAGAGGCACAGAGAGGATTAAGGCTATGATAAGGCTGGAAAAACATACCAGGCATTCGAAACAATGGATAAGGCTTGGTAGTTAAACCGATTCCAATCATGGTTGAGTCAGGTTTGTCGTAAATCTTAGCTTCCCAGTAGTAAACATCATTCTGCTTGGGAATGGGTAGATTGGTCTGGACGCTGCATTCCGAGTCGAAGAACTCAATCTCGGTACGACCTTCCACAAAACAATTGGCAATCTCCAGCTCAGGCTGAAATTCCCACGCTGAGACGCCCTTTTCTTGTATGGCCAAAAATTGTGATAAGGAGATATCGGTCTGCATGGATTCGGGGGGATTGGCTTGTACAAAAGCTGTAATATCTGTTAGCATCGAGTTGCGGGCCTAGCGACACCTAGAAACACCACCCCCTATCTATTCTTCGACAGGCTTACATTTGGCTCGAATATATTCCGACCGTGCCAAGTCATCCATCGCCTCCAGGGCTGTCTCTTCCTCCCGCGCAAATGCTTGTTCATCATCGTATTCACCCGGTCGGCCCATGCGATCGAGCATAATGCGGCCCCTATTGGTGTATTTAAAGAAAAAGAAAATCGCAAGTATCGTTAACGCGATCGCCGCTGATCCAAAAGCTGAAAACAGGCCGATCAAGACGCCTTTCGTGGTCGAGCCGGTCGACCCGGAGGAGTTGCCACCATCGACCATCCGCCCACCAACATATTCGGAGGAGAGAGACTTGAGGACATATTGCAAATTGGCTTCGATCTGTTGGCGTGATAAAGAGGAAGGAGTTTGGATCGAGGAGATTGTTGATGAGACCTCACCGAGCGGTGACGTCGTCGGGTTGCCTATCACAGTCTTGAGTGTTGACGGGAGGCCTGCGAGCACACCGGGGCCCGATGCCTCATGACCCTGCATCGTTCATTGACTGGAATCAATAAATAGAGAATCGGAAGGTATAGTAGGAAAGAAATAGAGAGAGATAGAAATGGATATGGATTTATAAAGGTGGTGGTGGCGAGGAAGAGGGGGGAAGTTTGGAGGGAGAGTGGAATGATAAGTGTAAAGTGGGTAGAAGTAGGCGGAGGAGAAGGTTTATCTAAGACGCTTCCGGGCTAAGCTTGGACTAGTAGTAGTAGTAGTAGTAGATATACTGGACTTATTAGTAGTTAAAACAAGGATCGTTAACCTATCCCCATATTATTATTCTTCTTCTTCTTCTATTTTGTTTCTCCCTCTTTACACTACTCCTTTTCGCCCTGGTTGATACTAGTAAGTAGTAAGTAGGGCGTGATACTATAAAAAGTACTGCCGTCCCTCACTAAGCTCCTTCTCCCTCTCCGCTCTACTACAGGGACTACTTCCTTCCCCCTCTCCTCCTTGCTTGCAGCTAAGAGATCAACAGAAGCATAAAAAAGCCAGATAAGGAGAGAAGTGACCCCTCTCATTCTATCCTTTCTTCCCTCTTCCTCCCACGCACAGACGTCCACATCACGCGATAATGAGAGTCACGTCGCAAGGTCTCCCTTTGGTTGGCCAAGACGTCATCATCAACTCCGTCGACTCCTACCAAATCCACCTTACCGTGGCAGACGGCTCCTGTGATAAATATCCAGGTAAGAAAATCCCTCCAATCTATTCGAGGAACAAGAAAGTCATATTCGCAAGGTCCAGCAACCTGCCACCTCCCCCTCTTCTCCCCACGAGCTCCTTGCGATTTCCCCATGCGACACCGCGACCGGTGATCGGCCCGACAGCTACAGCCCAAGCTAACGCAAGCAACACATTCTAACAGCCAAACAACACGCACGAAATGTCGCTCGCAAACTCGGTGTCTCCCATGGCTTAATATTTATCGCCGGGGAACCGACCATCAATTACCGCGATTCAGATCAACCGCGCGCCTTCCGCCAAAGACGATACTTCTACTATCTGAGCGGTGTAGCAGAGGCGGACTGTGCTTTGACCTACGATATTAGCCTGGACCGGTTAACATTATTTGTGCCGGATTTCGATCTTCGCCAGGCGATATGGATGGGCCCAACAGTTACAAGGGAGGAGGCTCAAGATCGATATGATGTAGATCACGTTCTCTATCACTCCTCCTTGCAAACGGAGCTTTTATCATGGCTGACCGAAAGGGTTCAAAATAGCTTGATCTACATGGTGCATCGGTCGGAAACTCCCACAGGACTACCCGTAGAGCTACCCGTGGATTCAACGCTACTTATGCCGGCCATGAATGCGGCTCGTGGCGTGAAAGATGAATATGAAATCCGAATGATTCGCCAGGCAAACATGGTCTCCGCGTTAGCTCATCGAAAAGTTCTTGAGCAAATTCAGAAAATGTCAAACGAATCGCAGATCGAAGGACTGTTCCTCAATACTTGCATTTCCCATGGCGCGAGGAATCAATCATATGAGATCATTGCCGCCTCGGGCGCAAATGCGGCAACTCTGCATTACGTTCGCAATAATGAATCCCTAGCTCGGAAGCCTTTAGTATGTCTCGATGCTGGTGCTGAATGGAACTGCTACGCTAGCGATGTGACACGCACATTCCCGCTCAAGGGCGAATGGCCCAGCGATTACGCATCAAACATATACGCGCTTGTTGAACAGATGCAAGAAGCATGCATCAAAGGAGTTCGACGGGGTGTTCGCTTCCTTGACTTGCATAACCTAGCCAATGACATCGCCATCGACGGCCTCCTAGCCCTCGGCGTTTTGAAAGGTGGCTCGCATGCCGAAATCCGTGACTCGGGCGTAAACAAGATTTTCTTCCCCCATGGATTGGGCCATCATGTTGGACTTGAAGTCCACGATGTATCCGAGTCAGAGATTACGGCCATGACTTCCGGCCGGGATGCCGCCAAATATGGGCCCATCATGAATACTACAACTTTCCGTTCCCCATGCACGCTTTCTGCTCCATTGTTAGAAGAGGGCATGGTGGTTACCGTTGAACCGGGTGTTTACTTTTCATCCCTGGCTCTTGCTAATGCTCGCAAACAACCTTTCGCTAAGTACATCGATTTTGATGTTGCTAGCCAGTACATCCACATTGGTGGCGTGCGCATTGAAGATGATATCCTAGTCACAGCTAACGGTAATGAGAACCTGACCACTGCGCCGAAGGGTGATGAAATGCTTGCCATTATTCAGGGCTCTTCATAGTCCCTCTGTTTGACGATACTTGTAAATATTCCATATCACGCAAATACAAAGTTCAAGATTTCCGGGGATAGTCAGACTTAACTTCCACATGACGATGCTCACATTGGAGACCAGGGCGATGATCCACTCTATCCTTGACCCTCAATAGGAGTGGGCCATATGTAGCCCGTAGTAGTAGAGTTTACAATCAAGAAAATGCGGCGTGTCTACATGGACTGCGCGCCGTATTGAGAAGCCACTCCAGGTGGACTTGCATTGCATTGTTATTCTTCCCAGCCCATATCTTCACATAATCTGAAAAAGTCCCGAAATAACATAATATAATATATTGGCAAGTCAGTCTACTACTAGAAGTCGTCTATAGCAACTCTGCAGCAGTTTGGCATGTTGCCGCAGCTAAAAAGTGGCCACCATCACCACCATCAAAATCGTATGCTACGGTCCATTGCTTAGGAACACCCTGCAAAAGCCAATCTCGGCCATATCCATAGCTATGCTCCATAACCTTATCATCATGGTTTCGAAAAATATCAAGTAGATTCGCAATCAAAGACGCAATTGTTTCCAGCCAGAAAGCGATGTCTGCAGAAGTTCCAATCGGGCCTGGGATGAGTCCGATGAGAAAGTCCCAATTTTTGTCGCCTGTATGTATAGTCGCGTGGGTGGCATTGACAGCAATCTCTCGCATAATGTTAGTCAATTTGTCGTACCAGCCAGAAGTGCTCTGATCTGCCTCCCAGCAAATTATGTGGCCAGCACAGGCGTCCTCGACATATCCCAGGTAGAAGGGCGGATTGGCAGGGAATGTTCTCTCAGTTCCTGTTACTACTGAGCCAAATTCATCTGTCCTATGAGAAACCTCATATTCGCCATCCCCACCAAATCCCCAGGTGAAGTAGATCTCGTCCTTTGTCAACTCTCCGGATTTTTTGTAGCACTTGAAAATGTATGGCACAATCTTCATGGGGATCATGATCTTGCCACCAGGTCCAATGCGGCCTCCCATAGTAGATGTTATCCTTTCTTCATCGGCAGCACTAATCTTCGACTCCTGGCCAACAGTAAACAGACTGACACCCCGGCCGAGCTCTTGAGTAGCCTTGTCATATTCCTCCGTCGTCTCAATTGTTCCATCGGCCTTGATCTGCTCAGGCATAACAGCACGAATATGCGGCTGTTGAAGAGTTGCAACTGCCAGCTCTTTCACATCATCTCTAAATCTTTCCTCGCAGTACGGAGTATCTTCCGAAAGCGTCATAACGGAGCTGGGAATATTTGCAGCAGCAAATACACCCGATCGGGCTTTAGCTTTGGCCTCTCCAAAGATTTCGCCGTAGGCCTTTAGCTCGTCCTCGTCGTCGGCTAGAATTTCGAAGAATCGGACACCGATCTTTTCTATCTCGGTCAAGTCTTTGGCACCTTTGCTGCGACGAGATATACCATGAATTGCTGCGCCGAATAGGAGATTACTGCCAGGCTCGAGAATTTTGGCATTTGCTGGAGCCACTTTGGTATTAGCCCATTCTTTGAGGCGGGCAAGACGTGTCTCCGCGGTGAAGTCTGCCATCGCGAAAAAAGATTATCCCTGCCAGTGCGAGAGAATTTTCGGGTTATGTTGAGAGAAGAACAACGTAAGGTGTAAGTGTATGATAAAATTTGATAATTTCAAGATTTTGACCCCCAGACAAGATTTTGGCAATACTGCAGGTGATCTGAGTCGAAAAGCTGGAGGGGTGATGCATGAGGATTTAGATGGAATATATAGTATATCATATTGTACACATTGTGCGATAGACCCCCGCCCGTGAGAGTGCTGCAAACCTTGGAAGTATGTAGTCCTGGAGAATGCTTCACCGGCAGACTCGGAATATCATTGATTCGTCAAGGATCAAAGCTGAGGAGCTATTTGTAAGTGATGAACTGGCAACGCGAGTGGATATTGTGACTCGTACCCGCATGTGCACATGCTGATCTAGAGTAATCGGGCCAAAAGTTATACGTGAAACAGGGAAAACAAAGGATCCTCATGCACATACCTGCATCTCGGTCTTGAGTAATCAGGCCAACTATACCGAGTTCTACCAGAAGGCCAGGTAGATAGATTAATGTAGTTACTGTAGGTAGCCCGATCTGGAGAGTAGAAGGAGTTCCTCTGATCTGGTGGAGGTTGAAAAGTGCGATAGGCCTTGTATTTACCCCCAATTAAAAGGGGATATCAATCCGTCGTACTCCAATACCCGTGAATCCAGCTGTAAGATAAACTTGCTTGATTCAAGATCTGCTATAGAAGTAGAGTTGAATATGATCTCCGTCATAATTGATCGACGAACAACACGTATGCTGCGTCCTGCAGACATTGCCAACACGCCTAGCCCATTATTCTTCGGGGCCACGCAAGGCTCTCACCGAAATTTACGCCGTATTCCGATAGTCTTCGAGTTGTACAAATTACGTATACACAGATAGACAACTGCAAGCAAATGGGGCGTGGGCGGTAGCGTCACGATTTAGTCTCTTGGCACATCTACTCCACTGGGGCATACAAGACAAAAGTACCGGCTATTTCAGATTCAATTTGGAGGCATTCTTAAAGAAATCATTATTTCTCTCCCGTTTGAGAGAATTGGCGGTAAATAACTTGGAAAAGAAAACCAGCGAGTCAATCCACGTACTTTTTTGTCCGCCCAAGAACCAAAACGCTCGCTCGATAAATTCCATGCTATGACTTTGATGACTTTGATGAGGGGTCTGTTAACGAACCAACTTTCCCGGAAGATAAACTACACGAGGAATATTCCATTAAGAACACACCTAGAGCTGCTTCATCATCAGGGTCATACTTTGATCCGTAAAACAAAACTGATTGAGATGCTGAGTCTTCGGCCGCATTCTTCCCTCGGTGAACTTCAATTCAAATTCGAAGAGAAGACAAGCCATGATGACCTTCCTTTCTGCAACAGCGAATCGTCTCCCGGGACATGCCTGACTGCCATATCCGAAAGCTAGATTTTCACGATGGGCCATGCCGGCCTTGTGCAAATCCCACTGATCTGGACCCGCCATGCGCTTACGATAACTACGCATTGGATCGAATTCTTGAGGATTGGCATTGACAAGGGGGTCCATTGAATATTCGTAACTGGCGAAAGCAAGTTGAGATCCAGCAGGGATGGCCATACCATCCTTGAACTTGATTTACTGACGAGCCAATCTTTGTGGAATAACTATTTTGACGGCGAGGGATATGTAAGTGCATAGTACCATTGGGCAACAGAGCAAGTACTACTAATGACTCGGAAGTAATTTACGAAGGCTTATTGGATTATGCATTTGGCTTTCGACAAGAAAGCTGTCCAACTTATCAAGGCGTGTACATCACGCAAGTGCATTGGTATTCGTATTTTGAAGAGGAGGCCCCAGTTCCTCTGATATATCTTTGACTCTCTCAGTGATTTGTACCACTCACTATTGGCGCATAAATCGTATAAAATGTTTGACACTGTCGTAACTGTGGTGTGGATACTAACAAATGACAAGCCACACTGGCGAACACCCATTTCATAGGGTTTAATATCACTCGGAGAGCCATGATCCAGCATTGAGTTCAGCAATGTATCTTCTTCTTTAACTTCTTCACCCTTTAAGCGACCTTTCTTGGCTACATTGTGTTGGTGTATGAGTTCGCTTATCACTCGCTCGGTAATCTCGTACTGATGGGACATGCGGTGTCTGGCAGGAATAAGCCTGGCGACCAGACCGTGCATCCAAGTTAAACATTTTTTAGCGTAAGGTTATAGCTCGCTAAATTTAAAGAGAAGTCGACCGCGACTTTCAGCCACTCCAGGTTGCGACATGTAGGATTTCCCATGAACATCTTCGCGGTCATACGTGCAACTAGCATGCGCAAGTGATACTCGATATTGACATCGATCGAATCTAGAGTTTTAGGTGATAAATATTAGCGATAAAGTCCTCGAATTATCCAAGTAGAAGTTTCTTATACCCTGATTGTGTGGTAGGTCAATATACCAGCCGTAGGCTAGTTCCTCCTTAGCTTTTTCCACGTATTCATACAGCTTCGGTGCAAGCTTCTGTTTCAGCACATCCACGTGAAGATTAGATCGCTGCATGAATTTCATCGAAATATGTTGGACAGCCATATCCTACCGGAATTGCCAATGTTAATAAACTGCTCATAGGATAGGCGGTTGACATCAACTGACCGGCAATTGAACGTCTCTACCACTAAGCTTTATCGGAGACATGAGCCGTATTTCCTCCAAATACTTTATCGGTCGAACGAGGATGTTCACGTCGAAACGAGAGATGACGAATGGTTTATTCCTCATCTACATGGTGAGATAAATTGTTAATACTCCAATACCTTGCGGATCTCCTGTCGGACTTACAGACGTGTATCCCTTGTGAATTAAGTCATTGGCACCCTTCATGAATCTGCTTTTGAGCACTAAGTCAGGCTCTAGAACTGAGCGATACCCCACCACCGGGGCATTCTAAAGCTTCCTTGCTGGCCTAAATAGCAAAAATATGATCCATGCTACTGTCAGTGAGAGGAGAAATTTCTGCGTCCTATCTATACTTGACAATTTTCCATCCCCCTACAGAGGACACACATAGATCTCCATAGCAGATAATAGTCTTAATGACAGGCGTTTTAGACTGATTATTAGGGACAGGCATAGACGTTGATAGTAGTGGAGGAGATGAGCCTTACTAGGAGATTTGGTGGGATATTTGTGGAACAATATGTTCATGAACTACAAGATACTCATCTGACTAGCCTGAGCTCGCCTCTTCATTCTGTAGATCATCCGTTCAACATCAAATTCCCTGAGGTTTGAACTTCCTTCAAAAACATTCGCGTATTTTCTTCTACATCACACAGAATCGTCATAGGGCACTGACACGAGATAGAACCTTGGAATCTGGAGGCCGTTGAATATCTCCGGGGGGTACAAAGACGGGCGCGACTGGCTTCAAGCGTGGGTCAACAATTTCCTGGGCCTCTAGGATCTAAGCTCTGGAGATTATACTTTATATTCAATGCTCAATGCTCGCTTTTTCTAATATCCTTCGGCTAGTTATGTCATGCATTACGGCCTCGGGAATTTGCAGCACTGCGGTACGTTTGGGACAACCATTTCTTGTTGTGACACCATATAAGTATTTTTGGAGACGGCTTTGAGGCCTGTGTAATTGTACAAGACCTTGGTGAGGGTATCTAGACAGCATAATCCGTTTCTAAATCTCTTATCTTTCAATTACTACTGTACGGCCCATTAATTGAAACTAATAAAACGCCAGTTGCATATTCCATTTTGGAGCACGAATCGACGAAAGGGGTTCTCGGTCCAATTGTGTACAATCATAAATCAAACAAAAGGCAAATCATAGATCCACCGAGTCATGAAGTCTAACGCAACATCAGGTCGATCTTGAGGAAGCTGGGCGAGTTGAGAACAATATTAGCAATCACTTTATGTTCGCACCGCGGGGAATATGGTAGCTTACAAAATGACCAGCATCATTCACGGTCACGATAGCAAATCGAGATTCGGCCTTCGTTGCCTCGTTCGTTCGAACCCGAACCTCCTTCATTGTTCCGACGGTCTCATTCTTACCAGTCGCAAAAACAATAGAATTCCACGGCTGTAGAGATTTAGATGAGAACTCCGCCTGTCCCTTCCAAACGAGTGAATTCGACCATCGAAGGTTGCCAGCTGTATTACAAGCCAAATCGAGATTACCTTGGTATGCAAGGTAATTCACTTGGTTCTCAAGCAAATATCTGACCTGATAATCGGTGGAAGTCTGTTCGTCTGAGGTCTTCTCGAATGCCTCGGAAATCGCAAAAGAGGTTAAGTTGAATCTTTTGATATGCTCGGGCGGCAAGAGCGCATCCCAAACGGCCTTTGAGTTAAGATACTGATCGATCCAAGCTCCTTGAATGTAGCAAAGGTTATCATATTCGCATGTATGGGTGACTATGGCTTATTAGCACTAAATGAGGACGCGTAGTATTGAATGGATCACTTACTGTCGAATCTATTCCTTCCGCCCTTGTAAGCAGACTCATTATCGTACCATCCGATGATACCGTCAAAGCAAACTTTGCTGGCAGCAGTACAAAGGGCCGGATCCGGGCGATCAATACAAGTATCCATCACCTGCATGCACCGAGGCATGTTAGCCGCCATAATATCGCATCTAGTATTGTTGAACACTGGCTCTGGCACTCCAGGATTGGTTGAGCATAGTGTTTCCCAGTATCCAAAAGCAGTGCTCTTCGGAGAATGGTACCCGTTTCCCACCAAGCAAGTTCGAAGCTGGACCTGCGGCTCATTCGGGTAAAGCTTATTGTGCTTCACGATCTGCGTGCCGAGAGCCGGCACATATTTGCCCTGTCATTTGTGAAAGTTAGCGCATGTGCAGACGAAAATTAGCAAGTTTCTCTCTTACAGCATATGATTCTCCAGATAGATGGAAAGGATGATTTAAATGCCGAGGAAAGACCTCAGAAACAAATAGCTGTAGGAATCGATGCATGTCAATAGCAGCTGTTGGAGAGTCGCCCGGCAACTCATGCCCCTCATCAATGTAAGAGAAACCAACGCCGACTGGCTGATCAACAAACAGCAACGATGAGTTTCGGGACCAGCCCCATGGATTGTAGTTGGTACCGTTTCCAAATTCATTGATAAGACAGGGACCAGTCTCTTCGAAAAGGCCGATCATGCTTGACCCGCCCGGCCCACCTGTCATCCACAGCGTCAACGGGTCATTTGTGGGGTCATTTTGGCTTTCAAAGTACCAGAAAAAGAGATGCTTCGATCCAATGTCCAACCAGCCAGTATACTGAGCTGATCCTGCAGCACACAACGACTCATCTTGCTGTCGAATACGAATTGAGTGGTCGCTGTGTTTACTTTGGAAGACTTGAAATCCGTCTGTGCCCGAATTGCCCTCGGGACGCAGTACGTGCTGGGTAGCTGCGAAGCCTAGGCTCACGAGACTAGCAAATGGAAGGAGCAACATTTTCACTCGGGATATTGCAGAACGCAGAGAGAACCTCGAGAAAATAACTGGAGAAGGCTGTAGCTTTTAACTTAAAGTGATAGAAAAGCTCCCCGTCGGAACTCCGTGGGGGCCGGAGTGGGGTCGAACATCTAACGGTGTTCGGAGCTCGGAGTAAACAGTATTGATCAAGCATTTAGCCATTCTCAAGCTTCAAGACGTTACCAATGTCGGTTACCCCATAGCTGGTCTGTGTTACAGCCCACTTGTGCAGCAAAGGAGATAATTGTCATCCATCCAGGTACAGCCCCGCGCCAAGCATATTCAGCCCCCAACCAAACATTGATGGACAACAACCGACCTTAAACCCTTTGGAACCAATAACCTACAAACATCTGGAGTATAGGATATCATTCAACTTCCTGGCCATACATACTACAAGATGAACATGTAACAGATCATGATAAAGAATCATGTCCAAAGAATTAGTCTCAGCATCGCGACTAAAGCCGGAGCTGCGCCTAGCACAAGCCGTCTCCTTATTCGAAGCTGACCTTCCCAACGACCAAAAGCTTACTTTTCGCACGGAGAAGTCCCAGCTAGTCGGTACTCCTCCAAGCATACAGGATGTACTACGTCTTACTGCCCAAATTGATGAGCAGGTATCTGTATCGAAGCGACGCTGTTTCGGGACTAGGATAATCAATGTCCTCGAGTCCGTACAGCAGTTTGCTGCGCTTGGAGATATCGTTGTTGGCGGATCTCAGAATTTGATCGCTTGTGGTGTCTGGACGGTGGTTAGGACGTCTTTGGTGGTAATTATGAGATTCTTTGTTTCCTGGAATGCAAGTTGAATAACGATCTACCTTAGTTAGTCGCGAATTATTCCTCATACCTTGAGAGGCTATCGACACTATTCATGATTGCAGGTCGTTCCGCACCGCGATATGAGAAGATGGCATTGCTTTACCCTCGTTCAAAATCTCTTCAATCTTATCTATGCGACTATTTCATCGTGCTTGTTCAGTTATGTCACAAGGTACTGAAGTTCACTCAAAAGTCAGCTTTGGGCCAGTTCAAAACAACACTCAATGAAACCGACCTCAAGTATTTCCAGGTCAATCTTGAAAATTGCGCTTCTCAGATTAAGGGAGAGGTCACACTACTAATGGCCGAGAAGATCAACGATGAGGCTCTCAAAGCATCTGAATTTCAGAACGCGTTGTGGAAGAAAATGTCCAAATCTGACAACTCCCATCAGATAAAAATAAATGCCCGCATACAGGTACTCAGTTTCTGTTCAAAGTTCGATCACACTGTTATCTGGAAACAGACTCGAAAATCAGGGACTACGAGACTCTTTAATCAAACCCCAGTATACGAAAAATGGAAAGGTTGGGCTCTCTCTTTCCTATCCCGCACACTGGTTTATACCGGTAAACTAGGGTCTGGAAAATCAGTCATGTTAGCCAATATAGTCGACGACCTACATCTCCACGCAAACGAAGCCGTGGTATATTTCTTCTGTCGGCACGATGTCCCTGCAAGCCTTCAGGCTCGAACAATTATAGGATCTCTTGCTCGTCAGATACTCAGCCTACTTGAAGATTTGACGGGCGTGGCAAAGATTCTGAGTCAACGTACAGACGAGCTCAATGAATTTGACAAAATTGAAGCCATGCTGCAATTTTCCTTTCCATCCGATTCTTTGAGGCTATACATCGTGCTTGATGGACTCGACGACTGTGATGATGCTGTACGAATCCAAACCATGACGGAGATCAGTAAACTGCAGCGGAGATTTCATATACGTCTATGCGTATCTTTCCGATCAGATCCAGCCAGCTATGGAGCCACGATTGAGGATAAGCATTTCGTTTCTCCATGTGTGACATCAATACCTGATAACAGCGACGAGATACGAGACTTTATTCTAGAAGAGCTAGAAGATTGTCTTGAGTCACAGAGATTAATGATCGGGGATCCAACTCTGATACTTGAAATTCGAGATGCACTATTTAGCGGGTCTGAAGGAATGTATCTTTGGGTTGTGCTGCAGATTGAAACTCTCTGTTCTATGAGATCGGACTACGAGATTCGGCAAGCACTACTGAATCTTCCTAAAAGTCTCACTGAAACCTTTTGTCGAATTTTACAACAACTTCAATGGTGTGATCAACAACAAGGTCAAATCATGAAGCTGATTCTCGCTGCTCGGCGCCCACTGACAATATACGAGATTCAAGAGGCATTGAGCGTAGTGCCAGGTGAAGCGGAATGGGATCCATCAAGACATTTGAATAACATTCATTCTTCACTGGCAACCTGCGGCTGTCTCATCCACATCGACGAGGAGGAAATGACTGCGCGACTGGTTCATCCGAGTCTAAAACAGTTCCTTGCAGAGGGTATCCCCGCAAACATGGGCATTATCAAGCTCACAGCTGAAGCTGCTCACCAATACATAGCAGAGATAATCATCACTTATCTCAGTTACAATGTCTTTGATAGACAGGTATCCCGATGTAAAGCTACTCATGTCAGCGCTGGCTCTGCCCCATCCAACATCATCAACTCCACATTCTCGTCTTCAAGCTCAATCCGGACCCTCGCTGTCAAACTCCTACGGTCAAAGACAGAGTCGGATTTCGATCTAGGGAAAGTCCTAGGCCAAGTCCAGCGCTCGCCTCAACAAAATACACATGATGATTTCTGCTTCCATGCATATGCAAAATCTCACTGGCACATCCATATGATCTACATGAGCTCGCCTCCAAAGAAAATCGATCGTCTCCTTTTTACGCTCGCGCAATCAGATCACGCAGTCCTCAACTCAGTCGATGAAACCGGGCGAACGCCACTTATGCGCGCCATTTATCTCAAAAATACATACCTTGTTGAGCTGTTGACATCCATTCCAGAGGTGGATCTCAACATCAAGTCCTTCTCCGGATCCTGCGCAGTACACATCGCGCTCTTCCAAAGAGACAATGCGATAATAGCACGCATGCTTCACACTGCCGATCCCAATACGAGAAACCAGCATAACGAGACACCGCTCCTTCTTGCCACTACCTGGGGTGACTTTGACCTCTTTCGACTAGTATTTGACATACCAGGCATCGACGTCGCCGCACAGAACAAACATGGTGAAGCAGCGCTGCATATCGCCGTACGACAGCAACGCTGCGAAATAGTGGCTTGTCTTCTGGGGTATCCAAAGATAAACGTGAATATTCCGGACAACGAGGGAGATACACCGCTACATATTGCAGTGCGGAATGAAGATTGCGACATTGTCAGAGATCTCCTTGGTTGTGAGAACGTACAGCTGAAATTGGAGAATAAGAAGGGTCAGACTGCACTGTGGATGTCTCTTGAGACTCAGAATAAGGTGATTGGAAATGAGTTTTTGAGGTGTTGGCAAAGGCTTGAGGACAATAAGGGGGATACTGAACATTTAGGCTCTTTGCCGGAACTTGAATTGGCTGGTATGCCCGATCTTTCTCTTGAAACCGCTTGATTTAGCATCAGGTAGCTTCAAAACTATGTAGGTGGAACCTCATTCTGGATACTACTTGTTCAAAGATGGTTCTATTACCCAGCGAGGCCAGCCTACTAGTCGTTCGAGTTCTAAACATATTTTGATTGAGTGTCATAGTACGTAGTATTGTCAAATCACCCTAATGAAAACATAGAGTAGCTACTAAATTTATCAACTGCTAAGATTACTAAAAGCCCCTCTCCAAGTATTACTAGTAGCGACTAGTAGGCATTTGGCTAGAATTAGGTCGAGCATTTCCTTGGCTGGGTAAATTGCAATTAGCACCGCATGATCCGGAGCCGATGGCGCAAGGGACCCTACCCTGTACACGTGGAGTCCACGATCACAACCATCCCTAGATAGAATGAGTTTGGTCGGGAATGTAAGTGTTCGGAAAGCGTTTGCTCGGCGCGTTGCAGCTGACACTCCTGTACATGTACAGGGGATCAAAACCGGTCCGATGAACTGCATCATACAGGATAGTTGCTATTTCTTCGCAGCAGATTATAAGAACCCGAAAGAAAGAAATCACTGCACCCTGTACTCTGGAAAGTGTTGAGTCGGGTTCTTAGACACCGCTACCAACCACTAGAAACAGATCATATAGCGGTGTGGTTGTACAAGTGCATAGCTCCACAGCGAATTAATCCACCATCGGCTCTACTTCCCAACAAGATGGGACTAGAACAGGAACAGGAACCGGAGCAGAGAAGGGACAAATGAGAAGATGCATGAAGATCTCGGCAGTAGACCTACATACAGAAGTAAGTAACCAGGTGCAGAAGGGATTGCTTCTAGGCAATTCCACAGCCGCAAGGTGGCTAGGAAGGAGGCATGTTTCTGCCTGAGTTGAGGGGTTGTGTTGCCGTTTGCTATCCGGATCTAGGCCATAATTCTGCAAGGGAGAGGGCGATCGAGACCGGCAAGTTTGCCTTTGACGTTACCCACGTGTGAAAGGAAAGAAATAGAATCGAACTGGTTTCTTTAGAATCCGTGGTCGGCGTGGTGGTTGGAATGGAATGCGGGATTTATCATTGTGGCATGGGATGGAATGTTGAGGGGAGGATAAAGAAAGGAAAGAAACTTATTAACTAGTTATTCAGAATTAAATTTAGTTTTAGTTTTCGTTTTCTTGCTAATCAAAGCGATTGGTCGCATAATCTGTAGTATTATGAGGTATTAGAATGGGCAATAGGCGGATAGGATTACACTATGTTATTCCCTCATGCATGTAGTAGGTACGCAACAAAGATTATGATTGAGTAATTCAAATCGCGAAACTGTTTCAACAGGATTTCGAAACAGAATTTTCTTCAGCCCCTGTCAAAATTCTAAAACAAGAGTCACTATGCCCATAAGAGTATCCCGTACGGGAGTAAAGGGGGAAAGAAAAATTTTTCAGATGGTCTGAGCTGTCAATAGTGCAAGCTTGGACACCCAGCTTGATCATTTCGGAGCCTAACGACTCACTCCGAGATGCATGGCCCCCATGCTTAGAATGTTTTATTTTTATTTTATTTTTTGCTGTGCGTAGAGTCATCTTTGCCAAGGGAGAAAAGTCGGGTGTAATAGGTAATTTTTGGGTGATTTTCTCCGTTGCCTGATGTATCTCCGATTCGGACCGGACGGCATAAGACTACCAGCACTACTAAGCAATAAGCACTACATCCATGATACTACTAGTAGGAACCAGAGACTCATGGTGTCCAGATTGTAGTCAAGGGCGCCGGTGGAAAGTTAAAAACCCGGCATCGGAGTCACAGCTTAACTCCATGGCTGTCAGGACCCGAAACCCGATTTGATTTTTAATATTGAATTTTGATTTCTGGCGTCATTCCAAGCGGTAAGTGATTTTCACTCTGGAATGTGTTGAAACAGAGCCCGAAACAGCACCTCATTTCCCTCTTTTTGCCATAGAAATCCCGTCAGTCGAACCAAAGATGATGGTGACTACATCTCAGTAGAGAAGTTCAAGGGAAAATAAAGTGTAAAAATCACGCGATTAAAACCTAATCATTTGACGCATTGCATCACGCCTTTTCCCTCTACTAAGCTAATCCAGTTTGGCGTCATTCTTGAATAGCATAAGGTGATCTGCCGGAGCGAAGAGAAAGAGTGGTTCCACCCGAGCAAAGCAAAAAGTGGAACCAAGTGGAATAAAGTGGATCAGTTGCTGCCTTTTTTCCTGTTCCCTGCGTGACTCACTGGATTTTGTGTATGGGGACCCGGTAGGGCACAGATGCAGCTATTAAAAGACTCCTCAACCCCTGCAGCAGATCTTTTCTGTTCCGATTTCTTCTGTACCTCATCTCGTCCTTCCATCAAGGGGGTTGATGGTCACGCCTCTCTGTGTTTCTTTTTGTGAACATTGATATAAAACCATTCTACTTCCCCGTTGATCTCATCTCCGGTTCGGGGTACGCCTCCCTTCTATAGCCCCCCATATCCTTTCGAGGATGGGCCAGAGGCATAATCGACGCCGTACTCGACCTCATTCATCTCATCGAACAAATACCAATCAAGACACATCGTTCTCAGCTTCACCTATACTGAGCCATTCCTCCATTTGGAACTCGCCGTCTAGTTTGATTGACTGCCCGTCACCATCCATCCGCCATTCAACTATATGCATTTCACGTGGATCTCCAGCCCCGGTACCTGCCCCAACCTGGCAATATGGGTATACAGCATGGAAGATCCGTGAAACTCCTTCGCGGCGGGAAATTGGCGGAGTAGAAGCTGAGCAGTATCGTCTTTTCGGTGGTGAACCCGGTGACGATGTGAACCTTTGTCATCGGATGCTCGAATACTTTGATGGTCTCGATTACATCGACTCGTGAGTTTTTGCCTACATTATCACCAGAACCCGTTTCAATTATCGTTCCAGCTCTGACTCAAATCACCATTAGAGCTCGACAAAATGCCACTCTCGGAGATTGAACGATCAGAGGGGCTTCCCAAAAGTTTTTTTTACCAATCTTTTTTTTTTAACATCACGATCAAGAAGTGGGAAAAAAAAAACCAACTCGAAAACGAAATTTAACGACCCCGATTTCCATTGCGATGTGCTTTTTATCATTTGCATCCAAGAAAAAACGGAAAATTTACCATTGGGCCACCGGACAAGACAACTACTCTGTCCCCCGCCCACTACAGCGCGCCTACAACTACAACCATGACATTCTGAGAACACCAGACCACATGGACCAACCCGGGTCCCTGACTTGTAGCAATGAAGATATCCATCACGGTATCGGATTGGTCCCTTTCGCCCGGCCATGTGGATCCTGGATCCGATTTGGAGCACCTGACATGCATGAGTCACGAGCAAAAAAGCCTTTCCGTGCGGCTCATAGGTTGAGTTCGTGTCTGACCTTTCGAGGGTTTGACACTTGAGTTCCCTTTTGAGTCGTGTTGGAAAAGCCATTGTTTGGATTCTATTGCATGGATGTGATGTTCGATCTGTTCTGTTACGCCTCGCTTTGAGGTAGTGGCTGTTATTGGGCAGCCGCATACAGTGAAAATGGAAGAACTTTGAAGAAATTTACTTCTTTATAGACTGTAAATACCAGCTATACCACGGGCATTTGCCAGTATATGAAATGAATCACAAATTTGAATAAACCAAGTCCACATGTATGAAGTAGTAAAAGTAGACCCTTATAGTGTTTACCGGCAGATCATCAGTTTGTTGTTAGTGCCATGTTGTCCTCTGCTCACCGCCCACACCACAAAGCCCCCAAGTGGCCAAGCATATCTCATATCAGGCAGGCGGTGAGACCCTTGATGAGGACACGGTCATCACCAGATCAGGAAGTGTCCATACTGCTCTCCCTTCATCGCTCCTTTGTTTCGCTCCCATGCTTGGGTTTGCCTTGTTCACAGTCTCTATTTACTAATCTTCACTCTTCTCAATTCATCGCGTTCGTCCAAAGTGGCCCGCCCATTTGTATACAATACGATCTTTCAACCTCCGCGGCGGCAACCGCTGTCGCCCTGAAATCGCCGCAAGATGTCGTCAGACTACACATATGATGAGCAGGTAGGACGAATCACCTCGACGATCAGAAATCAGCATGGAAAGTTATCCAGGTCTTGCTAACAGCTTCTTTGTGTGGCTAGGGTCAATTCTTCCCCTTCTTCATTTTGACCTTGAGCGGTTTGGTTACCCTTCCTCTTACCTACAATCTTCTTCGACCAAGCAAAGGTGTGTTCACAGATGAATGAGAGTGTGACAAGATTGGCGTGCTGATAGTGTGTGGTCTGGTAGAGCTTGAAAATACCGCGCCCCGCATCAAATCCGACTTCAAGCCAGAACATGCCGATCTGGTCGAAGCGCAGAAGCGCAAGCGTCTACGCAAAGAGCGTCGCATTAAGCGCATCATCACCGTGATCATTGGTTATTTCGTTATGGCATGGATGGTCTACTTGATCACCGTCACAGCTCGCACAACCACAAAGATGTACGATCCATATGATATTCTAGGTGTTTCAAGGGTATGTTCGTATTTTGCTATTCTACCGCCAGCGATGAGAATTATCTCACTATTTTTTTTTTCGAGAAAGCTATACTAACATAGTGCTTATTTTCAGAGCGCCGACGAACGAGCAATCTCTCGCCACTATAAGCGTCTTTCTCTCGTATTCCACCCCGATAAGATTCGTCCCGACCCCGCCAAGAACGAGACCATCGAAACCCTCAACGCTCGATTCGTCGAATTGACCAAGGCATACAAAGCGCTGACCGACGAGGAAATCCGAAACAACTACCTTCAATATGGACACCCTGACGGAAAGCAGAGCTTCAGCATTGGTATCGCGCTGCCCAAGCTCATTGTTATGGAGGGCAATGGAAAATACGTGTTACTGGTTTACGGCGCTCTTCTGGGTGTTCTTCTGCCTTACATTGTTGGAAAGTGGTGGTATGGCACTCAGCGCTACACCAAGGAGCGTGTCCTTGTTGCTACTGCTGGAAACATCTTCCGCGAGTACAAGGAAGATATCTCGGATAACGGAATTATCAGCGCTCTTTCCTCGGGTGAGGAATTCAAGGACGTTCTCAAGGGCGCCAAGGCCGAAGCTGGACTTGGAAAGCTTGAGAGTAAGGTTCTGTCTGAGGAGACATCGTTCCTTACTGCTAAGGATCGTGAAACTTTGAAGAAATTGGACAGCGTCACTCGCCGAAAGGCTTTGGCTTTGCTTTGGGCTTATACTGGTCGAATTGATCTTGGAGATTCGTCTTTGAATGCTGGTGAGTGTGCCTCTTTTGGATTCTCCGACTTGGTTTCATCTGGGTCAATGCTAACGTTATGGCTTCACAGAGAAATATGAAGCTGCACCTGTTGCTCTCACTCTTGTTGAGGCATTCAGTGCTATTGCACTTGCGTTTGGTAACCTTAAGCCGATCCTTGGTTCTTTCAGGGCGTCTCAGAGCTTGATTCAGGCTGTTCCTGCGGGCGCGTCACCTCTTCTTCAACTTCCCAACTTCACCCAGGAACTCGTTAAGTCGATCGAAGGAAAGTCTTCCGGAAGCAACTTGTCCGTTCAGGATTACATGAGACTGCCAGACAGTGAGCGACGAAAGCGTACTGTCGGTGCTGGCCTTCTCACCGAGCAACAATACTCCCAAGCTATCTCCGTCGCCCAGCAATTACCCGTTCTACAGATTTCCAAGGCGTTCTTCAAGGTCATGGGAGAGAAGGTCATTACCCCCAGCAGTCTGGTACAGCTGGTTGTCAAGGCACGCTTCATTCCACCAGGCTGCACACAGATCCCAGCTGTCAACGAGACAGATCTGGAAGACATCGACCCAGATGATGATGACTTGGATGCTCTCATGGGCCGCAAGCCGGCCAAGAACCGCGCTACCAAGATCGTCGACGGTAAGAAAGTTGAAGCCAAGATCGAAAAGGTACAACCGCCTCTCGCCCACGCACCCTACCTCGCCCGCGACCATTCCCCTCGCTGGCACATTTTCCTCGCCGACGCCAAGCAAGGCAAGATGGCCGTACCCCCTTTCACATTTACTACATTTGACAAGCCGATTCTGGACGAGGCCGGCAAGCCTACGTTCAACGTTCAGACCCTTAAGATGCAGTTCCAAGCTCCTCCGCAAGTTGGTGACTTTTCATTCGTCATGCATATGATCTGCGACAGTTATCTGGGCCTAGACGCCAAACAGAACATTACTCTGCACATTGAAGATCCTGCCAAGGCCGCCGCTGTGGAAGAGGAGGACGACATCAGTGAACCGGACGAGGGTAAGTTTTCTATTTTTTCTCCCTTTCATTTGTGCACTATGTACCTTTTTCCGCCATCAAATAACTAACAAGTCTCAATAGACTCCCTTGCAGGCCAGATGCAAGCGCTCAAAACAGGTCAACCTCCCAAGAAGAAAGCCCGGAAGCCTTCCGATTCCTCCAGCGAAGAGGAAAGTGACACCGACGGCGACGCAGGCGATACCAGCGACACCAACACGGAAACGGATGTTGAGGATTGATCAATATGACTTACAATCATTGACGGATTGTACTTAGGACCGCCAGTGTGTGACTGTACGATTTCTCAAAAATCAGAATCGATCATTTCGATCGATCGCATTCTACTGTTCTTCTACACCGGTGTTTCGCTTTATGTTTTTTATTCCATTCCAATTCATGTCTTCAGGTATCCCGGGGTCTTTCTTTTTATTTTCTGTCCTCTTTGCTATCATTTTCATTTTCATGCATCGCCGATACTCCTGTTCAGTTGTGGCTCTCCACACTTGTCCAATACTACCATACAACGCCGAATAAACGTGCGGAATACAAAAATTACCCAATCCTTCGATGTTCCAGTACATCTTCTCTATCTTTACCTCTACCTAACGTAAATACCAAATACATCCTAGCTCTCTTTACACTCAAAGCCCATCAAACATAACCACTTACCTCCTCTGCCTGACCCAGGGTCCGCCCTGTTCTCTGTCTTGCATTTCATGGCGTCGTACTACCACTAGCTCATGTTACCTACTTGCAAAGCACTCACAAGCTTTCGAAGCTAAGCTACCTAAGCTTGGATCTACATTTGGATATTTAGATCTATTAAGCTCACACGAGCATCATTGTTCCGGGGATGTCTGTGCACCTCTGCTATATTCCTGGGTTAATGCCAGAGTCTAGATGCTATCGGCAGAATAGCAGGATGAGCGTCTGTGCCATGTTTGTGTTCCTACCGATAGGCTCTTCATATTGAGTCTGAGCAGTGTGGGTCCGTGAACTCGCCACCGAACCAGGTTGATACTTACCATTCTCTACAACTAGTAGTGAAAAAACGAGGATGTAACATGGGATCTATAATGAATCTATTTAATCAAATCATCAGATCTATATACATGAACGAGGTACTGTAGCCCCCTTAGACCAAACTGAAATAAAATCTATATACCGACTGATTCCACGTCCCACGATCTAATCGGGCAGTATCATGATAATGATCATGATCATGATCTGCACAGCTCAAACGCTCACTATGTAACAACTTGAACTTGAAGTCTACCTGACAAGAAGCACAGGACTAGTTAAGCATCTGTCAATTGGGTCTGTATCTGAGCTAGATACGAAAATGGTGGGTAATCGATAATCAAGATGGAAAATTCAACTCCGAAGAAATGTTCCCGACATCTTCATCTTCATCTTCAGCTTCCATGCGAAACATGCATAGGTACCTTGTAAAGTTGAAAAGAAAAGAAAAAAGCATTCTTCAATCTCAGTTTTCAGTGAATGATTGGGAAACAAAAGACAAGAAAAGAGAAGAGAAGAAGAAGAAAAATATAAATAAGAATAGAAAGTAGAATGTACCGCTGCTCAGCAGCAATCCAAGAGTAGAGATAGAGAGAAAAGAAAGAACCTTGAGACGTCAAGCCAAGTTCAAGTATAAATCACCAATCACCCCGAAGGAAAGGACCAATTAGGCGCAAACCCAGGATAAAACGACTCCCCATGAAACTGGAACTCATTCATTATATCCCCGTCAACCTGAACACCCATATGGTGATGCTCCATAATACTCCCCATCCTCCCAATAACAGGCTTAACATCCACCTGCTCAGGCTCAAGATAACATACCTCTGTTCTCTGATGCTGTTGTTGATGTTGACCGTGACTGTGACTGTGACTATGACTCTGATGATGGCCATGTCCATGTCCTTGTCCCAACCCCACATCCACCACATTCGGCGCTATCTCACCCATCTCCGAAACAGGCACACCCGAAACCCTCTGCATCCCCAAATGATAATCATAAGGACTCGGATAAGGCGCACCCTGAACACCATGACCCTGCATATCCCACCCCCACCCAGGCGCAGCACCATTCCCGGGCCCTACGGGATTCCCCCTAACAGGCCCGGAGCAAATTCTTGAAATCATCCTCGTAGACGAAGGTTCCGGCGGCGTAGCCGGCTCCGGCGACGGCTCAGCCGTAGCACTACACTCCGTCGAAGTAGATAGAAGACGAAGGTATCGTAGATCCTCGGAGTCTTCATCTGGTTCATCCGCATTCTCTTCAGCCTGCTTTATCAGTCCGAGACGGTCTAGTATTGCGTGTGTGAGGGGGTGACCGTCTGGTGCTTCTTCTAGTGGATCACCTGGGAAGCCTTCGTTGGTTATGCAGAATTTGTAGAGTTTTTGGAGGGCTTTTACGACGAGGGAGTGGTGGGATTCAAGCATTTCGACGAATCTATCCATGAATATGTTAGATAATGCTGTGTAGGTGATATAAAGTTTTGTGTAGAGGAGACTCACCCTCTAGAGTAGACTTTTGTCTGAGTTGCTTTTCGCTCGCGGAAGAGACAGGGATGATTGTATACGGAACAGCGGTTGCATGGTTGTTTCCCATCGCACTGGATGGAGTATTAGTATTGGTTTATTGTTATAATTTCAATTCATTAGAAAAATAATTCAAATTCAAATTTAAAGATGAACAGACCTTCGTCTTTTTGACACGGCATCGATCGCAGGCTTTCAGAACATGCTTGCGCTTTACACGAAAAACACGCTGATCACGTTTATCATCACCCATCCTAGAGCGATGCTCCAGTTCTGATAATGAAGCGACAGCAAAATCGTCAATGCTATGTGGGAAGCCCTTAGGGCGCAGCTTCGGTTGCCATGACATAGCCGGGTATATCCGCGTGCAGTGATAGAGGGAAGGTATAGAAGGAAGTATAAAAGTGAATAGATAGGATGTGAAGAGCTTTGATCGGGGGAGGTAGGATTCGATAGAAGCGAGACAAAAAAGAGATATATAAAAGGATCAGACTCGGAATTCAGGTTCGTTCAAATTCAAGTTCAAGTTGAAGTTGAAAGCAGGGTCGACACGAAGTAGAAGTGAAATAGAAGTATGCGGTCACGAAGCTATGACCCAGGAGGGGGGATGTCAATATAAATCGTAAAAAGAGAAAAGAAAGCAAATACAACAGAATAATTTAAAAATGAAAAGAAAAAAAAGCAAAAATACCTGGAATCGAGCAGGTGGGGGTTGCTGGAGAGAGAGACCTTCAGCCGCCAGCATGGACCTCCTAGTGCCAGTGCTTGTGTGCCCGCTGTATGCTGTATGCTGTATATCATCCATGTACAAGTATCTGTATCTTCCCCTCTTATTGCCCATTATTGCCCCAGATATTACCAGGTGGTCTTTGGTCTCTGGTCTTAAGTCCTGAAATTAATTACGTCCCACCCCTCTTTCCCTCATTCACCCATTATGCAATACCCCTCGTCATCCCCCGCATAATAGTGGGATGATCATGCTCCGGGCGAAAGCGAATGAATGAGGGGAAAAACCTACAGACCAAAAAAAATAAAAATGGTGACGTGGAGCGGTCAAAAAGTCAACGGGCCACCGTTCGAGGTCTCGCGACATCGGGTGGCTGTGGTAAGTACTCAGCAGGGATGAGCAAGTTCAAGCCCTGTAGGACCAAAGCTGTGCAGATATGAGAGATTATTGTTTGATCTATTGGACTTTATTGGTGATTAGGTCTTTGTTCTGCGTACCCAACAATGGCGTGGATAACATGGTAAACAATGAATGTATAATGTACGCGAATGGGAAACTGGATACTTTCAAGTCGATCAAGATCCACCGGGCATACTACATAATACATCCACTACTAAACTTTGTCTACCTATGGCAGATATATACTATTTTCTTTTTTTATCTCCCTCTTTGTCGTTTTTTCCTTTCTTCTTCCTTTGCAGCACTAGCAAAGCACGGTCCGAGCCGCCAGTGGATCATCGACTCCACGGAGCACCGACCTCCCCGGTTGAACTTGTCAGGGAAAACGGAGGTCAACGCTCTGTTCTGTGTTCATTTTGGTTCTACACTACCAGTATTTGTATGGATGTACTATATTGAAAATTGAAAATTATGATCGTATCGTTTCTTGTCCGAAAAGACGGCATCGCCACGGGTTGACGATCGACACGTGCAATGGCAGCTAAAGAAGCAGATGGACCGGATTATTACGAAGGATTGATACATAAGAGAACAGAGCAGGGCAATACAAGGCAGAAACCCCCAGTTATTTGTGGTTGGTAAGTAACCATGAGAAGTGGACCAACAACCAACCATGATCCCGGATTCCCAGCACTACAGTACATCTCTAGTGTCTCTAGTGTCCAGAGTCAAGAAGGCCAAAGCGGTCAAGTACAAACACTTCACCTCAATAACTTGAATAATCACAATCACCTGATTGTATCCTGGTTGACGCAAGAAACGTGGTACGGCGTGATATGTCCTTGGCCATGGGTTATCCCAGGAGAAAGAGTTGGCATTTGGTCTGCAGGCACGAATCAATCAATGTATTCCGATTCAGGTATTCAGGTATCCAACAACTGGAACATATGAGCTCCAACCGTGACAAGCACGTAACTCCCACCTGGGTTTTGGGCACCTCCCCCAAGGCAGACAAAGCATAAGGCCCAACGACCCCGAGAACACTTGGGCCGCGTAGACAGAACGTATTTCAACATGCCAGGCTATATCATTCCTTTTATATCCAGGGTTATTCTTCTTTTTTCCCTTCTCCCTTTTTCCTTTCCTCTCTTCTCTTTTCTCTTTTATTACTTTCTCATTTATTACTTTTATTGCCTCTCTTCCCTCCCTCTATCTATGGTTGGCCCCTCTTAACCCCTTGTCTAGCACAGGCAACACAAGCGCAACCAGAAGCCCGTGTACTCCGTACAATGTAGCAAATCCCGGGCTGACGAGGGGCAACATCAACGCGGCCCTAATCAGAACCAGTGGGCTTGATCTTTTTTTTCTTTCCTTCTAAGATCAGATTTACTACTCCTGCTTGCTGCTTGCTGGAGGGTGGTCCTGGGTGGATATGGTGGAAATTACAATCGGGTCGACTTTACAGAGACTCGCTTGGCGTGCTGCAAACTGTGTCACCGCTGAATTGAATTGATTGTTTCTGTTTTGTGTCTACCTATTTCTATTTCTATTTCTATTTCCTATTCCTGATTCTTGGGTAATAGGGAAGATCCAATAGATGTGGCGTGGACCGGGATACACTTCACTACAATTGAACAGCCCTGGAACCTTCCAATATCGGAATGATTGATTGATTATACTGGCAGAGAATTGCTGTGCTAGTGCTGTGTTATTCCAGGTTCAGCTTAACCTGGTGGCCCTCTACATCCAACAGACGCTATTGAACTCGGCGCAGACTGCAGTCCACGTCCCTCTCGTGAACACGCCCTAATAGTAGAACCTGGAAGAGACAAAATTGAATTCACTTTTTTTCCCCATTATTGCCTTTTATTGCCTTTCCAATTCTATCTAACTGGATCTGGATTTACGGTGTGGATGTAGGTGATTTCAATTTTAATCCTGAGGTCCACGAGGCAAAGAAGATGTTTATCTCTATCTCTATTTCTTTTCCTTTTGAATCTGTCTTGATCTTAATTTCAATATTTAAACATTATTCACATGTGCAGATAGGTTCTCTATCTAGCGACCGGATCTCAATGATCAGATCCCCTTTTGATTTTAATTTCCATTTTTCGGCGAAAGAAATGGGAAGATTCGGAAAGAGAGAGGATGGAGAAAAGCAGGAACAAAAAAGGAAGAAAGAAGAAAAGCCCAAGTGGCTGAGAATGAATACGGAGTACTCATCATCCTCTTCTGACCCCTTTTCTTCGCCCAAATGTGTCTTTGCCCGAGCTAGCGGGGACCCTTCCCCTGTACAATTTGGGGGTGATTCACCATGCAGCAAGCCCAAGCTTATCATCCAATAAACACATTCCATGCAAGTCAGATCAGCAGGACAATGTAGTCTTTCTCTTTCTCTTTTCGCTTTCTTTGTTTCGTTCTCCGTTTTGTTCGGTTCGGCTCTTCCTTCTTTGCACTGCGCCCAGGTACCTCCAGTACGTCGGAGGCTGTCCGTTATCCCCTGTCTTGAGAACCTTGGGGATATTGGGGACCACAGAAACAAGAGCGAGGAGAAAGAGAAAAAAAAACAAAAACACAGAAACGTTATAGACAAGACAGCCATACACGGAAGAAAGGTACGGCTTATTTTCCCCGCTAAAAACCCGACTCTTTCCCCTTTCTCATCATTCTCCGAAATTCGGATTGACCTTAAAGCAGAACAATACTAGCCTCCCCTCTGGCGAGCAAATCAAAACTCTCCTCGCTCGTCGCGGTGGTCGGACTAGACGCCGGATGGTCAGGCGGCAATTCCAATTCTTCATCATATGCATTCTTCTCGCCTTGCGGAGCTAACCATCGGCAATCTCCTACCCATTCAATCCCATCACCCGCACCACAGGTGTCAGCCCGGCGACGCTCACTCTCCCCTTCTAGAAGAGAGAGGAGCCCATCATCACTTCGGGCACCGTTTCCTCCCTTTCCCCACGTAGAGAGGGGTAAGTTACGACGATGCCATTCGCCCAAAAACATTCCCTCGGGGTCAACTTCATGGCGAACCTTCATCCACTCATCCATATCTTTCCCGTAGAGACCATGCAGCTCTGTTGGACCGAGGGCCGTGAAATTCTTAGCCCAGTGTGGTTTGGCGTCCATGTCCCGCATGAGCCATTCGAAGGCCTCGTAGTATCGCTTTCGGCAAGGAGGATCCCGGAGATACGGCCGGTAGAGCGTCGCATTCAAGTATAGCGTCGGGCCATCACGGCAGGTTGGATCGAGGTATGGGCGTGGGGTAGAGGTAAGGGAGGAGTCGGAAACGCGGACCTCAACGGGGCAATGGACGTATAATCCTTTGCTGGAGAAGGGGATACCGGCAGTCTTGGTGTCGCCGTGCAACCAAGCTGAGAGACGGGTGATTGCCTCGGGACCCCGTTCTAATGGGAGGGCCCACTCATTCACAAATTGCGAGTATAGACAGTTCATCAGGAGACCGGCACGCGCGGGCTCAACAGCCTCAGTAACAGTACTGCCCGGTCGGAAGCCATACTGCAGACCGAAAACAAACCATTCCACCCATGGCAAAATGCGAGGAAGATACGACGATAAAGCAAGCAGGTTATGGTAAACGTGGTATCCGAACCACTCGCCGTAGAAATTCTTCGGAGGCGGCTGCAACACACGATCGGTCGGCTCGGCTCGCCAAACAATCGCACCCTGTTCATAGGGAAGCCACCAGACACGAACAAATTCATGAGATGTCCACAAATCACCAGACCATTCCTGAAACACCTTCGCAAGCGAGTATCTCTCCTGTCGCCAGGCAATATTGAACGCCTTCCGCGCCTTAAACGTCACTTCAACGATGATCCCGAGAGCTCCGAGCGAGACCAGCGCCGCACGAAACAGCTCAGGATTGTTATCAGCGCTACATCTGACAAGTTGACCATTGGGCAAAACCAAGCTCAACCCCTCGATGCATTCCGAAAGAAGTCCATGTCGCAACGAACTCCCATGTGTCCCCGTCGCAATAACACCCGCAATCGACTGACTGTCAATGCTCCCCAAATTCTCCAACATCAATCCATTCTCCTCCAATCGATCCCCCAACTCGCTCAGCCTTATCCCCGCCTCAACAGTCACAGTTCTCGTCTCCGTATCCAGACTCAAAACGCGATTGAAGTCGTCCAGATTCACAAGCCAAGCCGAGGTACATGTTAAATCGGAGGGAGAATGGCCGCTTCCCACAGTAACGAGGCGTCGTCTACACCTCCTTGCAAGTGTAACAATCTGTTGAATCTCCGGTATCGTCTGCGGTCGTAGATAGAGCTCTGGTCTTGAGAAAAAGGTTTTCGCCCAAGTATGGTGTAGATGGTGTGGCGAGGCGCGGAACGGAACCGCAGAGTCGAGCTTCGACAGCTCGCGCCGGATGGTTGGGTCCATGATCGAGTCGACAAGGTATAAGGGTACGGAATCAATCGCGCATTGTCCCAGATTCACATCGTCTAGTTATAATAGGATCGGGAGAAGTGGCGGTGGGGTGGGAAAGGGAAGAAATGGGGAGAAACACGGCTAGGAAAATAATTTATGGCGCCAGAAGCCGCGATAAGTCGAGATCGGCCCACTTGTTCACTTTAATATCCGTTTTCCCCCACTTCTCTTTTCTTTTCTCTTACACTCTTCTCTTCTCGAGATATTCTGGCTCTTTCGGATAATTGTTGTTTTATTTATGAAATGGCAAGAGTAATATCCATCCCACAGGTCTAATGCTTCCAGATCGGGAAGATCTCCCAAGGTTACAAGGTTACGAGGTTACAGCATTTATAATCTCCCAAGGCTCCGAGTTCATCCAGTGATAAGCTGTTTCTTGAAAAACGTGGTGGAGACGAAATTATCTCCGATCCTGCTTCGGTTGCACCGATCGCACCAATTCAATTACGCTAATAGAAAGGGAAATATATCCCGGTGACTCATGCACTTACTCTACTTAACCTACAAGATAGGAAAATAACTAATCCTTGAATAAATAGACATTGCTCGACCGAGATATCAATACACTCCTAACTATAAACCACAATGATTTTGCACAGATTTTGTACATGCCATGTATACCGAAGATGCTTTGCAAATGTGAGACACGTACAACCCAGATAGATGCTCCCCGCCATGTCTAAGGCACACTGTACACCATGGTAAACCTTATCGGACTCCAGCCGCCCACGAATGCTCTTTACAGCCGAAATATGCACAGAGAAAGGAAATAAAAAGGAAATGAGAATGAGAAACGAAGGCAAGAGGGGAAAGTAATGAAGAAAACACAAGAGATGAAGAGAATATGAACAGAATGGAAAGTAGATGTGTAGATGCCATGCAGATGCATGTCTACTGGGAACGAATCGCTTCGATCGCCACATCCAGAGGAAAGATGCAGGGTGCGTGGAGAGAACTCTGATCCCATTTCCGGAATGCACTTTGGCATCGGTCGGGAATGCCACCGAGCGCGACAAAGCTCTTAGGGATAAAGGGTCGATCTTGCAGAGAGGCGGCGAGGATACCATACTCGTGAGCGAGAACCACCGCAGATGCGAAATCGGCAGACTTCTGAGAGGCTTGTTCGCCGATAATTCTATGACAATGTTAGCTTTGCATACTCATTGGGCATCAAGAATGAAGGAAGAATGACGATACATACACATAGATCTCAAAGAAAGTATCCAGAACGTAAACATCTTTATCGGTTATATCCCTGTAGCAGAACGGTTCAATTTCTTGAACACAGTCATTCGGGCGAACGGTCGGTGATCCTGATCCAGGACGCCGCATCCAGAAACGCGGTGGCTGGCCCAGTTCATGATCAACACGGAGAAGGCGAGTTCGGAAATGATCATATTTCGGCTTCAGGGCCCAATACTCCGAAGTCAAAAGAGCATTGGTTTCATTTGAACCTGCAAAGTCATCAAAGAAGCATTCTGGCTCTGCGCCCTCGTCGACCTCTTCAAACTCGCCCGTTAAGCCGAGGTCCATACTAATCAAGCGAGCTGCACCGGTTTCCTCGGGCCCACTGCCCTTACCCTTCCACAGGTAAAGCTTGCCAAAGGGCGCGGAAATCACAAATGGGAATCCGGAACACAGATTGCGCAGCGAATAGTCGACCTCATCGAAGGCCATCTGACCCAGGTGTTTGCGACCACACAGCATGTACAAGGCAGATGATGTAGAGCGAGAGCTAGATCCACGGCGTGTAATAATGATTCCACCAAGGGCTTGAATGAATCGCAGACGCTCTTTGCCCTGTCGAATGACCTCTAGCTTGCAGCTATGTTCACGAGCAACCTTGCGAGCGAATAGCTGTGCATCATCTAGTGCTGCTTCTGGTACATCGTCGCCGCACCAAAGGTAAACTTCCGAGTGGTTGGTGCCTTGCACCTCGAACAGATGCACGCACACATACATGCTTCCCTCGTAAAGAACGTATTCCTGGTTAACTGGCAATTCTTGTCTCTTTCCGTCTCCCGTAATTTCCCAGATCTGGCGTTTCGCAGTTCGAATCTTTGGGTCCTCCTGTTTGTTCGCAAGCATTAATTGGGGATCAATATCCATGCGATCTCGTGGGTTAGGAAAGTTCTTGAAAAAACCAGAAATGACTTCTCTGGCTTCTGCTGCCTGGGCCACTAGCGAAGGTGCGGACATCTTGCGTGAGAGTCTATTCCGGGGATCAACAGGCCTCTGAAGCGAGATATCGGCGCGCTTGGGAGGAACTGGTGGCGATGCATTGTTTTTGCTTTGAGGTGAAGAATCCGCAACCAGTACTCCCGGGATACCCTGTTTCGAAGGTGTTGATGGTGAAGCGCTTCGACTCTCTTTAAAGCGGGAACCGAGAGGAGAAGGCGAAGATGCGATGAAGCGAGCTTGGCCCCACTGGTATCGCGATGTGGGACTCGACGGCGATGGGGATGGAGAAGGCGATGCGCTGGGCTTTGGTGGAACAGGAGGTCCGCTTGATCGTTTCAAATCTCTCGGGAATCTCATTTCCTGTGGGGAATTTGCGTCCGTTTGAGAGCTAGGGCTGCTGGGCTCTTTAGGGGATGTGGGCGACATGCTTCTCAGTCTCTGCTGTAGTCCGCCGTTGAGTGCATTCTGGAAGCTGGTTTTTACTCCTTGGAGTGTCTTGATGTAAGGGCTCCCTGTTTGTGCGGTTTCAGTATCTTGAAACACACGTTCTTTTGACTCGTTCCCTAAGGTAGATTCGGGAGAAGCTACAGGCTCGGGAATAATCTGAGAACTTTTGACTTCGGGAGATGAAATGGCACCAACCTCCTTGATATCTTCAGCAGGTGACAACGGGGCAGAGGCTCCCTTAGGCGCCCGTCTTTTAGGGCCACGGGCACGGCTCTTCGTCATGTGGGTGAGAGGCGCAGTGGGTGATGCAGAAGAGGCATCTCCGGAAGGAGGGGTAGGCAGCTCTCTCTTAGGTGCCTCGGATGCACCTAGAGGCCCACGGGAGAGAATTCCAGCTAATGCAGGGTTGATTCTTCCTGCGAGCTTCCCTTTAGTAGCCACAACGGGGCTTGCAGTTACAATGCTGGCGGTTTCTGCGACTTTCGGCATTGGCGAACTACGAGCCGAATTAAATTGCTCACTTGAAGGCTTCTGTTCCGTCTCGGATACCGGGCTCGAGATTTCGAGTGCATCTCTTCTGTCTGTCATCGGGCTTAAATTCGATTCGGGTTGTGTTTCCTCAATTTCCAATTCAGTGAGAGCAGGCTTCGTGGGCGACCTCAGGCTGAGTTGCTCTTCGGGTGCAATGGGCGATACGGGTGACTGATATGAAAATCGTGATGGGCTAGGTTCTGCGGCGGTCGTAGGGCTAGTAAGATCGGTATTCGTTCGTCGGACACTGTTCGTCTTCGTCATAATGTTGCGTTTTGCGATAGCTTCAGGGACACCTTCCACTGGCTTTTGTGGCGCATCCTTCTCTCCGGCCGTGTTTCGTCGAATCGACCCTCCCCCAGCTTTCATTGCTGCCTTTGTGCCTACAAGGCTTTCTCTGAACTCATCAACGCGCTCAGTTTTCTTCGGGCCTCCAGTCACGTTAAGAGCGGATTTACCTCGAAGGATGTTGCTCTTCAGTTCATCTGGGGCAACATAGTTGCGAGTTTCCGTCTTCTTGAGCTTTCCAAATACATTCTTGAACTCAGGCTCTGCCTGCTTCCCTTTGTCTTGACCCGTATCACGTTTGCGGAGGTTTCCTCGGAAATCAACCACGGGAGACTGGGTTAAAGGCTTCGGTGGTAGAGGCTCGCGTTTGGGTAGCGAAAAGTTCGGCTTCGGACTCAGAACAGATGGTTTACGGATAGAGTCGGTTTCAGGGCTTTTCTTGAGGTCCAATGATAACGATGGCTTTGATGGGGATTTTTGGGTCTCGGCTTCTGGAACAGCCAAGGGCTCTAAGTCCTCTTCCAAATTTTCGACTTCAGGGAGCTCCGGCTGAACTTCTGGCTCGGGTTGTGACTCGGGCTCTAGAGGTGGTTTGATGTCTAGCACTGGCTCGGGTTCGGGTTCTGCCTCAGTCTCAGGTTCAGGCTCAGACTTATATCCGGCCTCCAAGTCGGGCTGAGGCTCGGGCTCGGGCGCTTTCTCTGATGTAGTATTCGTAGACGGTCTCTCGGATTCTGTGACAGGTGGCGCCATATCCAACAGTGTTGTCCTCTTGGGTGCAGTGGGGCTACCAAGCGCCGACGAGGTTCCAGAAATGCTAGGCTTCTTGAAGTGGCCGCCTGGTGGGGGTGTTCGCATCAAGCCCACTGGAGTGACTTCTTTAAAGGCACTAACGCGTCCCATATCTACGCTGCCTCTGGACTGACGCGCCTGGGCCCACGAGGGCTGCTGCGGCGGCGGCGGCTTTTGCTGTCGAGTATCGGGCCTATTGAGTGCACTTTCAAGCCAGCTGGCTTTGGTAGGGCTCCAGCGCTTGGGGTCCATGGTTCTTGAAGTGAAGGGGCTTGATGGAGCATCGCCAGCGGGGCTCTCTGCAGTAATAGAGCTTGTAGATCTAGTATGTCCATACCAAGAGGGTCTAGTGGGGCTCCCCTCAGAACGCATTCCGTCGTTGTTTCCAGTGAAAGACGGAGTTTTAGGTCTCTCGGTTGTTTCTGAAGGCTGGACGGAGGCTTCGCTGTAGCTCGAACCAGGGCGTTCCGTGGGCATGGGAGAAATATCTCGATTGGCTCGGGAGCTTGTTGTGGGTGTCATATCGCTGACACTGGCTGTCAAGCTAGGAGCCGCAACACTGTTACGATTGCTGACGATAGAGTTACTCCGACTCAGACCCTGTGGAATTTGGGCACTCCAGCGCTTGGATACACTATCTGATCGACGCATCATAGCACTTTGTACAAATCCACCGAGGCCCTTTGTAGGTGATGTTGACCGAGTACGCTCCGGCGACATTCGGCGTTGGGTTGGGGACGGGGGCAGCATTGGTTCATCTACCGAGGACTCGATGTGTGATGGCTCTAGTTTTGGTCCATCCGTTGCTTGCACTGGCGATCCCAATCCTGTGGGTGGGGAAATAGATGAGACACTTGAATAACGATTGCTCGCGTTGGTCTCTCCAACAGTTGAGGCTGATGGTGGGGGCGAGGGCGTTTTTTCCTCGGGCTTCTCGATCTTCTCCGGCTCAACAGTCGACTCACGGCTCATACCGGGTAGCTGACGACTTGTTCCCAAATCCACCTGGCTATCAGATCGCTCTTCCGGTTTCCGGTAAGCGGGCGAGCCAAATCCTCGGTCCGGAGTCTGACGAAACCACGAAGGGTCTTTCGAGCCAAGTGAGAGGGCGATGGAGGAACGCGACATTTGATTATCATTTTCGGCCGTAGACGCATTTCGCAAGTGACTAGAACGTGTTGGTGATGTCGAGCCAGGTGATCGGTTTCCAAGATTCCATGAGTCACGAGAAGACGGACGTTGCTGCCAGGACAGTGTCCCCGCGCGACTTCTCGACAGTGGGGGCAAGGTTCGCGGAGATTCCAATTCTGTATCCTGAAGCGACCCTCTCCTGGAATCCGCCCTATACAACGCCTCTGTATCGATGCTTGGTTTGCGGTCTTCGGTTGATTCGGGGACCGGGGTCTGTACCGTCGGCTCGAGGTGCTCCGGCGGGTCGATGGAAGGTTGACCGATGGATGACGACGCGCTCAAACGAGCGGGATTCAAGGTAGGCGAACCGGCAATGGATCGTGCTCGTTCTGGGAGTCGCCGCGGGTCAGCCAACATCTTCTCAAGCGGTGGGCCATCATGGCAACACAGCGCGGGGTCTTGACTGCACCGCAGCTCCAGCTATCATGAGGGGGCCAAGACGCCAAAGCAAAAAGGAGGGGGTTGCAAAACGATACCAGCTCGACGGGCCTGTCTTTCTTTTCGGCCTTGTAAGATCTCATTCTCCAATCTTTTGGTGCGCTCATCGTCTTCCTTGTCGCGGCGCTCGCCAAGCTCCCGGATGCGCATGAGGAAATCATTGACGTCCTCCGGGCCATCGGGATTCTTGGTGGAAGTCATGATTTCCCGGGATCACGTTTTTGGCCAAACGTGAATATCTCCAGGGAGGTGTTCTATGGGGAAGAGTGTGAGGGCGGAAATGGAGGGGAAAAGAATGGGAGAGAGTGGAAAGAAGGAGGATGTTCTCCGCCCTGCTTTAATTAAATGGGGATGTACACGACCATAGGTCACTCCGATCTGATCATCCCTTGGTTTACCACTAGATCTTGGACACTTCACATTTTTATTTTATTATTCTTCATTCTTCATCCTATTTCACTCGAACTCAGTTCTATTTTGAACTATCATCTCTCTATCCTCTGGTAAATCTGTTTGTTTATTTACCGATGCTAAGGTTTTGTGGAGCGGGATCGCTTCCAGAGTTCCCGCCCCGCTGGTTGTTCCTTTGGAGTTAGTTTTACTAGACCCATGGCAGAGCGGGAAATGACGAAATTTTCATGAACCAGAGGGCCTGAGGGCCCCTATTTGCCTTTTTCAACTTAGGGATTGGTGACGCCCAAAATGTCTGCTGCCATTGGTGTGCTCGTTTTAGGGGAATGAGCCATTCAAGGTCTCCTTGCCGCATTCCACTGTGTTAGATACGCTCGCCATTAATCATAAATATATAGTGGTATAAATAGGTTCTCAGTCCTTTATACTCATTAAACTAAAACACATCATTCGGCTTGTCAATGGATGGATTTTCTAAAATTAAATCTCATATATATGATCGGGTCGAAAGTTGGCCATTATATATAATGACAACTTTGGATGTATTCGTACAATATAGCTGCTGGTTGTAGCTCAATTCTCCGATCTTTTCTACTCAACAATAATTATTACTGATTAACAATATCATAATCCATTCATAAATATAAATTGGTAAATCCATCCTCGGAAGATTTTTAGAAGATTATTTTGGGTACATGTGGTCGGCCGTTGGGCAGTACCGCTACTATGTACAATGCATCCAAATTCAAATCCAACTTGCATGATTCGGGGGATTGCTTTGGAAGACCATATGCATGGCAGTTTCAAGCTTCTAACCTAGTTCAGACCTCAACAGAATTAGAATTTCAACATTGAATATATACCCCGATGCAATCCAGCAAACCCAATCCCGAGCGTTCCCGACGCCTGATGAATCCATGCCCAAAAGAAGAACAGGTAATAAGATAGCATAAAAGAACAAAGAAATCAAATCTTGAAACATGAACTTGAATGCGAATTCAGCAAGGCTAGTTGCTTAAATCCGCTGTCCATTATACGTAGACGCAGAGATCTGCACAACGCCCAGTATGGTTAATAGAGGAAAAGTCGGTCTTTTGCATCCTGTACCACCCACTCCAACCCTTCATTCAAATTCCTCCCTGTCATAGCACTGCATGGAAGAATGGTCCATTTATGAGTTTTGATTAAATCCAGACCAAGCCTCTGCAGCATCTACCAGTTAGTCCAGTCCAAGACTGCAATAGCAACCGAAATAAAAACAGTAAAATCAACATACCTCTCGCACTTCATCTTCCGACATGCATTCTTCAACATCTGTCTTGTTCAGAAAAACCAACAGAGTCGCCCCCATCAACCGCTGCGCAGAGTTCGAGGTTAGTTTCGGGATCCCGAGCCATCATGATTTGTGCGGGTGGAACCAAACCTCTTCCAGCAGCAGACCAGCCAGCTCTTCACGACAGTCCCCCACCCGGAGTCGATCAGTTGCATCCACAACCCAGATCAAGGTATCTGTCTTTTCGAAATAGTTTTTCCAATAGGATCGGAGTGTCTTTTGGCCGCCCACATCCCCTGAGTCCGGTTAGAATGGCGGGAGACCGATGATAACAGAGCCACTCACAAATATTCAACTTGTATCTGGAATAGCCATGTTAGCGAATTATCTCTTATTGAGGAGGTGAACCCAATAGATTCAGAGTAAATTACCCCATAAAGTCAATTGTCTTGATAATAAAGCCTAGGGTTGGGCTGACTGTTGTGACATCCTCGTTCATTATCCTTTTCACAATAGTGGTTTTGCCCGCATTATCCAGTCCCCTATTGACTTCATTAGCTCCAGTCTAGATTTTGATGATCTGGGCTTCGGTACAGCATCAGGATCCGCATTTCCTTATCCTTTAAGCGAGCTTTGCGTAAAATGGACAGCATTGTGTCTGTGTTTCTGGTTTATAAATAGAGAATTGAGAGAAGTGAAAGGGGAAGATTGTGCAGCGGGTAGAACACAGATTAACATTCGTGAACTCCGCCTATACTATAGAGCTAGAGCTAGTAGTGCTATAGCAAATATTCCTTCGCAATTATAACAAATGGTTGTTTGTTACTGTTTTTCTTTATTTACTATCGGTCGCGCCTATGAATTTCTATTTCTTTCTTTACTTCTTATCCCCCCAGACAGTTTGTCCACCAGCGCATACAAGTTCCTCTGTTCGCTTGTACTGATTTCATGACATATTACCTTTGAATCGATTGAAGATTCTAACAGGCTCATTGTGTATTGAATGAAATTAAGTCTAGTGTGCTATAGAAGGCCTCCTTTGAGGTATTCTGCTCTATATGTCGATGTGGATGAAGTTATACTAATCTAAGCTATCAGGTGTCAACACTCATTGTGAAGCCTATATCCAAGTGCCATTGTTCATCGGGTTCTTCTTCTTCTTCTTTCAAAGTAACACTCAAATTGATTGAATTATAATAATAATTTAAATGGCTAAGAAAATGAGACCTAAATCGACCAGTTCAGTATTGACATGGCTTCCCTACAATTGTGTCCAGCCTGTGTCCAGCCTGTGTCCAGTGACAACTCCCATGACACTACCAACGCAAACACACCTCAGCGATCGCTACTTGACACACTTGAACACAAATTCCTTTTTCCTAAAAACTCTCACCCGCACTCACCTCTACTTCTCGAGATTACAATCTCCCCCAACCGTGCCACCAAAGCTCCTCTACTCATTCCTTCCTTCTCAAGACAACGTCTTTCCTTCTGATCTCCAAATTCAACCTCCCAAAAACCTCAGATTAGACCTTACCGCAATGCAAGATCTCAAGAAACTTCAGCACCTAGAGAGGCCGACATGGGAAGAAGCTCTCGTGCACGCCAAAGCCATCGGAGAGCCCATCATTCGCGCCGCGCGCCAGGCCCAAGGTCACTGCACCGACGAGGATGAAGAACAAGGTGACGGATGCAACGAAGCCCTTGAATTCCTCAGAGATGGCCCGGCAACAGAGATCGGCTCTGGAATCTATAAGAAACTGATCGAGCCCATCCACGCGCAGGGAGTCGAAGAGCCAGAAGAATGGATCATCCACCCTCCTATCTCAATCCATGATCCGCGCTACAAAGACGTAGACCCCGATGTCAACTGGCACACAAAGCGACAAGGTACACCAAACTTTCTATCCCAATGGACCGCATACGATGATTCCCTGAGAATATGGCCGCAACTCCTGCATGGGAACCTCAAGCTCGCGACAGAAGTGAATGAAAAATACAACTACGCTCCGCAATATTTCCCCTCAACTGTCACTAATCCCCCAAGCTACATCCAGCACGATTTCAACGCCAACTGGTACTTTACTCCCAAAATAAATTGGAATCAAGAGGGCTACCAAGTCTGGTTCTGGCAATGGCTTGTGAAGATCCCCATGCAAGCCAGAATAATCGATATTTATCATCTTCCATTCTTCGACGGAACATGCAGTCCAGATGGCGGCTATTCTCTCATGATACAGGATATCCAGCACCTCCCAACTCCTCGGGACATGAGCGACGAACAGACCCGCCTTCACTGGCATGAAACATCAGCCTGTTACATGTATAACCTCGACATGAAACTGAAGGGCCAGTCTTCCAATCTCCAAAATAATCAACCAGTCATAGACAGAACACCGAACGATCTGCGGGAGGTTTTCCGCCAAATGTCTAACCCAACACATGCAAGCACCTATTTCCGACCTGCCGAGATCGAGGACATTGACGGACTGATCCCAATATTCAACTGGTACTCCAAGAACTCTACTTTAAGTCCTTTTTCAAAGAATCTTGAAGGATGTGAAATCAAGGGTATCCTCGAGGTCTGCCGTCAAGCCAATATCCCCTTTATAGTTGCCGTCATTGCAGATGGCAAGAAGGGCAAAGAAGCAGAGGAGAAAACAGTTGGCTATGCTTACATCCAGGACGTCAGCGATTTCACTACCGGACAGAACATTGGCGAGCTCCATATTTTCGTTTCTCCCGAGGCTACTCGTAAGAGTATTGGATGGGGCCTTGTTCATATGATTTTGTCCATTATCGACACTGCACACACTCGTGGTTGTCCCCGATATCAATGGAAGCCTATACTAGAGCTTCCATATTATCAAGGAAGCATGCGTCCCCTGCATAAGCTAGTGTGTCTCCTGGCCTGCCCTCAACGTAAAAAAGAGCACTATGCCTGGACCGCGGAGTGGCTAAAGCGAAGCTTTGGGTTCGAGGAGCAGGGCATCCTGAAAGCAGCTCGCTTCAAATTCAATCAGAAGTATGGTTTCTCTCATTGACCCAATTCTAAATATGGTCTGAAGTACTAACAGCTTTACTCTTATAGTTTGGATGTCCTCTACTTGTTCCGCACCATCTCCATGCCCACCCCTGTGTATGGGTCCACCAATTGAAGCTTCTATCTGCTTTATTATTGTCATTGATTGTCCGGTTTTGCGAGAACAAAATGAGCTCCGCCGCCGGGAAGTCGGAATGCTTTGCCGGAATTTTCATTTTTACAGCTAAATACAGAACGAGAATGAGCTAGAAAAGATAAGAATAATGAGATGGGGGGGGGGTTAGAAAAACAAAAACAAAAACAAAAGAAAGGAAAGGAAGGGACATCTAGAGACAGGGAGAGCATTAATCAGAGGTTAACTAGAATCCATAGTGCATCGTGGAGCTCATGAAATACCAGCAGAATTCCAAAACACTTCCCCACTACCTATAAACAGCTATGATAGACTATTAGATTAAGACAACCATGTCAATACTTCCATTCTCCCTTAATTTAATAATATCTCAAAAAACGACCTTCTACGCCATATACATTCGCCATTTACATACTCCGCCCAACGCGGCTAGACCGCCCCATAAAAAAGCGTATTATGTCATCCAAAATCTCACTCACCGCCCTCCAACTTTTTTTTTCTGCTGTTGATTTCTTTTCGCCGAGATTGCGGATTGAGAGCAGCTGGGGAATCTTGTAATAGATTCAATTTTTTCTATTCCCTCAATTTTCCACCGAGGCTACAGATACATCACGTATCTCGAGCGAACGAATCTCGTTCCTCAATTACAGCCTCTACCATGGCTCCCAAGGAAGATGACTTCGTCTTTACACTTTCAGACGACGAAGATGTTCCCCGTTTCGATGAGGAGGAGGACGATTTGAACGAATTGGCCGAAAAAGGCGCTACAGAGAACAAGAAGCGCAAGCGTGAAGCGGAGGACTCGAAGAAGAGCAAGAAAGTGAAGGGCCAGAACAAGGAAAAGAGCAAGAAGGGGAAGAAGGGCAAGGTCGAGCCTGTTGAGGAAGAGGAGGATGAAGAAGAGGGTGGAGAGGAAGAAGTCGTTGCTATTGGCAATGATGACGGTGCCTTGAATCCTGAGTTTGAGTTCGATGTTGCCGGTTTGGCGAACAATGGCGTTACTGAAGGGTTTGATGGATGGGGTTTCGACGAGTCTAAGCAGGAAGGTCCTGGTGGAGACAAGAAGGCGGTTGATATTGACGATATCATTTCGCGAAGAAAGGAGAAGAAAGACGCTGCTGCTGCTAAGAAGGCGAAGAAGCTGGCTGCGAGGGCCGGGCCTGTCGAGGAAGAGAGCGACGAGGAAGGTGGTATGGAGGTCGACTTTGGTGACGATGAATTGATGGCCGATGACGCCTTTGGAATGGGTGCTGATGGCGAGGAAGAGAGCGATGCTGAAGGTCCCGAGGTTGGCTCTGGACCAGAAGACTCCGACGAGGAACAGAGCGACTCCGAAGCAGAAGATGGGGAGGACTCTGACGACGACGACGCCGCATCTGATAATGATTCTGTCGCAACTCCAGTCAACCACCCCGATGATATGGGATCTGATCGCGAATCCGACGTCGAGAGTGAAGTTGATGCGGAAGAGGCAGAGAAGCGCAAAGCTTTCTTTGCTCCTGAAGAGAAAACCGACAACAAAACCTCTGATAAGAGCACATTCCAAGACTTCAACCTTTCCCGTCCTATTCTTCGAGGTCTGGCCTCAGTTGGTTTCACCGACCCAACTCCCATTCAGCGCAAAGCTATCCCCGTCGCTCTCCTGGGTAAGGATATCGTCGGTAGTGCCGTGACTGGTTCCGGAAAGACTGGCGCCTTCATCGTCCCCATTCTCGAGCGTCTATTGTTCCGCCCTCGCAAGGTCGCTACCTCCCGTGTTGCTATTCTGATGCCTACTCGTGAATTGGCTGTTCAATGTTACAATGTCTCCGTCAAGCTGGCGACCTTCACCGATGTCACCTTCTGTCAACTGGTCGGTGGTTTCAGTCTCCGTGAACAAGAGAACATCCTTAAGAAGCGTCCCGATGTCATCATCGCTACACCCGGACGTTTCATCGATCATATGCGCAATTCTCCCAGCTTTACAGTTGATACCCTCGAAATTCTGGTTCTTGATGAAGCCGATCGAATGCTCGAGGATGGATTCGCAGACGAGTTGAACGAGATTCTCACCACGATTCCCAAGTCTCGTCAAACCATGCTGTTCTCCGCTACTATGACTGATACCGTCGACAAGCTGGTTCGCGTTGGAATGAACCGACCCATGCGTCTGCAAGTGGATGCTAAGAAACAAACCGCATTGACCTTGACACAAGAATTCGTCCGATTACGTCCGGGACGTGAGGATAAGCGTCTTGGATACCTATTACATTTGTGCAAGGAGATCTACACAGGCCGGGTGATTATTTTCTTCCGCCAAAAGAAGGAAGCGCATCGCGTCCGCATTATCTTCAGTTTGTTCGGATTGAAAGCTACAGAATTGCACGGTTCCATGAGCCAAGAACAGGTACGAACATGAACCTGAACATGCAAATGTCACCATCTCACCTTGAAAATACTAATTTAATCCTCCTATCTAGCGTATCAAAAGTGTCGAAAACTTCCGAGACGGCAAAGTGGCTTACCTTCTCGCCACCGATCTAGCCTCCCGTGGTCTGGACATCAAAGGAGTGGAGACAGTCATCAACTACGAAGCCCCACAAAGCCACGAGATCTACCTGCATCGTGTCGGCCGTACCGCCCGTGCAGGACGCACCGGTCGGGCCTGCACCATCGCCGCCGAGCCAGACCGGAAGGTCGTCAAAGCTGCGGTGAAATCTGGCAAAGCGCAAGGAGCCAAGATAGCCAGTCGAGTAGTGGAGATGGCGACCGCCGACGCCTGGGCTCAAAAAGCCGAGGATCTAGCGAGTGAAGTAGAAGAGATTCTCGAGGAAGAGAAGATGGAGAAACAAATGTCTCAAGCTGAGATGCAAGTGAATAAGGGATCGAACATGATGAAGCATGGAGCGGAGATTATGTCACGGCCGAAGCGGACATGGTTTGAGAGCGAGCAACAAAAACGGACAGCGAAGCAGGCTGGAGCGGAGGCGTTGAATGGACCGAATGCTCAGTCGAAGAATGTTAAGCTTAGCAACAAGGATAAGAAGCGATTGGATGATGCACAGATGAGACATGACGGGAACATCGGGTGGAAGAAGGGCAAGGCGGAACGAGATGCCCGAGATGCGCCGCATGCGAAGGGGAAAGAGAAGAGTGGCAAGGGTGGAAAAGGAGGGAAGGGCTTCAAGGGCAAGGGCAAGGGCAGAAAGTAAATCGCATTATAGAAAAGGCGTTATGATTACCCTGCTGTATATTTCATATTATTCATATTATTCATGTTTTCTTCTATCTATTCTTCAAGTTTGTCGCGGTGTACAGCACTGTCTACTTCTACCCAATGTAATGTACTCCAATTCCCGTAGAACCCAATAGAAGCATCCGATCGACGTCCGATTACCCCCTGGGGTTATCAATCACACCATTAAAAGTCAATTTGATGATTTTCCTTCCAAAAAGGGGGCGCATCACCTAGTGGATCATGATTATCTAGTGGGGAAGCCCAATAATCTACGGAAAACGGAGACCGGAGTACATCGATAGGATAAGGTCGACTGATATCATGGTGATAACCCTCAAAATAACATAATATGCGGTAACTAGTAGTAACTAGCAGTAAATAACTAGCAGCACTAGTAAGGTAGTAACTAAGTCCCCGGTACTAGCAAAGACTAAAAGCTTCTAAAATGTTCGAAACGTTCCGGAGGGATAATCATGATAATCGCGCATATTTAGCACATTTAGCATGTACGGGCAATTACTGCAAGTGCCCCGCAATGCAGGTGGTAAACCAAACTGTAAGTAGAAGGTGGATTGTATGTGGACAGGCTGAACTGGCTGGAATGGCTGAAAGGCGGCGCCCCAACGCATGCGGGCAGGGGTCCACGCTGGATGGGGATTGGCTCGTCGTCAAGATTGCCAACTGAAAAGCCTTTTAGAAGAGACTAAAGGGGACTAGTGAAGGCTAGAGATTGATTCAAGATCTCCAATTTTCCATCTCCAACAGGATTCTCGTGCATCTGGACCGGAAGAGGGGAGAATGGAAGGTTTTCGTATAGAGATAGAGGGCTTAACATCATAGTATAGTGTGCAATATGTAGTTAAAAGCCGAATTAAATAATAATCAAATTGTTAAAATAGTTCTAAAATAATAATACATAATTCGAATCACACATTCTACTCCAGAATTCACAGTTAAAGAGTTTTATTGTAACCCGATAACTCCAGATCAGCCCCACGCGAAGCTTTGAAAGCCCAAATTCTTAATTCTTCGCTCTCCGACCCTTCTTTCCCTCTCCCCCCCAACCTAAATCTCAATTCTCCCCACGAAACCCACACTTCTCATCCTCATCCTCATCCTCCATTCTACAATCCGATCCCCTCCCCAGATCTGATTGTTGACCGCGCACTCTTTCCCTTATCAGTCAATGGGGGTCGCATGCCTCCATTCCCCATGAAGGTTGTTGCGTCATGGTGGTAGAAGGTTCCTCATCCGGCATGGCCGATTTACCTCAAGCGATGAAGTCAGGCCTGCCGCGCAAAAGCGCTTTCTCATGTGAAGCTTGTCGTAAGCGCAAGGTGGGTTTCCTCCTCTTCTGATTCCTATCACTTTAATTCGTTGCGCGCCTGTGATGTGCCATCGATCGGCCACATTCCGAGCCCTCTCTCTGATCTCATAGGCTAATATCTTGCCATCGGATAGGTCAAGTGTAACGGAGCCTCTCCGTCTTGTTCGCGATGCGCTGCCAGGGGCGAAGTTTGTGTTTATAGCTTGTAAGTTGCCGCGCTATTGACTGCTCTTTATACCTAATAACCCGGTCGTTGTCCGGGTTGCTGCAGATCTCCCCGCTTTTTTTTTTTATTTTCCTATTTTCTAATTGTATTTTATCTGATATAGAGCCCCAACTCTTTCCTATACAAAGCAACTCGAATCCAGAGTCACTCAGTTGGAGGATGCGTTGGCCAGATTGAAGAATCAGCAGGCCGATGCCGAGGCGAGGAAGGTGAGCTCGCCGGCGTCCGTGGCCGAGTCGAGCTCCAGCGCGGGACGCAAAATCAAGTCCGAGCATGATGAGACACAGGAATTGGCGAGAGATTTTGATGGATTGAATGTGGAAAATGACGGTCGCATATCCTTTCATGGCCCGACAAGTCTGTTCCAGCTACCGAGCGGAGTTGTGAATGAGACCGCGTCAACATCGCATTTTGCTCAGGAACTCGAGGCACGCAAGGAACGCTTGATCACTAGTGCCTGGCGGGAACGTGCATTTGAGCAGATGGCCACGATGCCGGTAAGCAATGCGATCTTACAATCATAGACCTAAGGCGATTTTGGCTAACTCGTTGCTTTCCCCCATAACAGGAACCATTCCAATATCTCATCGACTCTCACTGGTGCTGGATTCAACCTCTATTCAATTTCGTCTACCGTCCCGCTTTTACTCGTGCGTCAATCCCCCAAATTCCCAATCGAACTCGTTTCAACCCTGAGTGACTAACAAGCTTGCAGGTGATATGAAATTAAACGGACCCTACTATACCGACGTCCTCCTCAATGCTATCCTATCCCATTCTGTACGATGGTGCAAAGAAGAACCCCAGATTGGACCACTATTGGACTCTTTCGAAGGTGGAGCGCAATTCTATCAGCGTGCCCGAACTGGGATATTCGAGTCTCTCCAGAGTGGATATGCAGGAATCCCAACTATACAAACACTCCTCCTTCTCAGTGCACAAGAATGCGGCCGTGGAAACCGGACACAAGCTTGGTTATACAGTGGAATGGCTTTCCGACTGCTAGATGATTTAGGCATCTCGATTGACAGCCGCAAATACCCTGGGACAGCCCAATTGACCGACGAAGAAATTGAGATCCGCAATCGACTCTTTTGGAGCTGTTATTTCTGGGATAAGGTTGTCTCTTTATATTTTGGTCGGGCGCCAGCAATGCAGCATTCGCGTGTTAGCCCACCGCGCATGATATGTAAGTCCTCGGCACATTGTCAAGGCCCACCTGTTCCTTAGCAGCCAGTTCTAATGACTTTCACTAGTGGACGATACTTCTGAGATCGAAATTTGGACACCTCACGGTGTGACCTTCCCTGATGGGGCGCACTATCCACCAACACAAGCACATTCGACTTCGTGTTTCATGAGGATGTGCGGACTAGCAGAAATTCTAAACCAGATCCTCATTCATATTTACGACCCAATGCGACAAAGTACAGAAGCAGAATTTTTTGAATGTGTTCAGGAACAGGCCAAGAATCTGAGCGAATGGTGGGAGGAGCTTCCAGACTACTTAAAGTTGGTAGCCACAGATCTCCCACCATACTGCCCACCGAGCCATATAATGACATTGAAGTATGTTCCTTCCTCTTCTCTTTGAAACCAAGGTAAATACACCGTGCTAATTCATATACTGTAGCTGTCTATACCATACCATCAACATCTTACTCCACCGGCCAATATTATGTTCCCGCGCTTTATTACAGACTCGACAAGAACCATATGATACAAGTCATCTAGTCCAATGTATGGCTTCTGCAACCTCAATTCTGTCTCTGTTCGACCTATTTCGCCGAACATTCGGAGACAACCACGTCGTTCTATCTCTCGCCTACAGCATCTACACCGCTGCTTCGATCTTCCTGCTCGAGATTCAAGCTTTGAAATACGCTGCCCCAGGCACCTTGGACAAACTTAAGTTCTGCATTCTGGCCCTAGAGAGAATTCAGGTTTCCAATCCAGTCATGTCAACTGCCCTTAATCTTGTCTATCAAGAGCTCCAAAAACTACAAATCGACATTCACGCCCCAGCTGCGGATGCCGAAAAACAACGCCACCAACAACATCCACCCCCTCAAAGACCCCAATCAACAAGTCACAGCCAATCCCCATCTGTGAGCAGCAATCCATCTCGCCACGTCTCTCCCGGACAGCATCAGCACCAGCAGAGCAGAGCAACAATTGGCACGCAACCCGGCATGGGGGTATCTAACACCAGCACCCCAATGATGTCCAACTATAACTTTCAACAACCACTCTCGGGATTCAACCTTTCACAAATGAGCGACATGCCTCAAATGGCTCCAACTCATTTACTAGGCGGAATGCCCAACGCAGTCATGACAGTCGATGATCCACGCTCATACGAAATCACACCCGAGGTTTTTGAAGCATTCTCGTATGCCCAGCCTATCACGACTAATATGACTTCCTTTGAAGCGAACTGGCACAACCAAGCCCAGTAGTTGATCGAATGATCGAAACTAAAAATGACGGCGTTTGACGTGATTAAGAAAACCAAAAGAAAAAAGGTTCCTTTGGATTGGTTCTGTTTGATATGATGATGAGCGATACAAATACCTCCTCCCCCTTTAAAAGTTTAGCGATTCTTTTCTTTCCTGGTTGGATTGATGGGTGTATTACTTTATTCCAGGGTTCTATATTCTTGTTAGAATTTGCTTAATGCACATCCACGACTTAGTGTTTATTTAGGATACCATTGAGATTATATTGATGTTCAAATGAATAAATATTAACTTTTCCGGACTGAGTGCCCTGTCTATGGAATATGGAATATGTATAAGTATAAGGTGGAGAATATGACTCCAAATAAGCACGGCGTCACTCAGTCAGGGTATGTAAACGAGCTCAACGCGAATGCCAAATAAATAAAAAGTGGGTATATGAAATGATACACCTCACGCAGCCGCAAGAGGAGAAATGAATGAACAAAAGATGGACGCATGTGCAAGGAAGAAGCACATATCCACAGATGAGCAGCATCGACAAATATTCCGACGCGTCTCATCCAAAAATGCCCCGGTGAAAGAGAAAGAAAAGGGTATACGTTATGTGCAATACCTCAAACAGCCCAATCAAAGCCCAGACTTAGGCTGATCCCTAACATGATCACGACTCTCCACATCCACGGACATAAACGACCCATCAGTATTCACATCAACATCCCTAACCCTCGCATTCCACCTCATATACCAAGGCCCCGCAAAAAGCTCATCCATCATCTCCATAGGCACCCCCTTAGTCTCAGGCATCCAAACACCGAGAATAATGAGCCCAAAGAAACAAATAAGCGCCCAAAAGAGATACGCGCCCCAAACATCCAGCGCAAACATATTCGGCGTAACACGAACAACAGCAAACTGGAAAAACCAATGTAATCCCATACTGGACGCATAGCAAACATTCCGAATACGAGTCGGGAAGATCTCAGACCCATAAAGATAGGGAATGGTACAAAGACCGATCGACCAACCGACAGCGTAGATGAAAACAGACGCAATAGCTGCATTCGAAGCATTCTCGTTATCAGCCGAACCAGGCTGAAGACCCATATAAGCACCCATATAAATATGAGCCGCCAATTGAAGTGAAAGACCAGTTAACGCACAGCGTCTCCTTCCAAACAAATCAATAAAGACCCAAGTAAACGCCATTGTAAAAACAAGCTTAACAACACCATAAACACCCGATGAAATCAAGCTCTGGTTAGAACCTGTAACACCAGCATACTCAAAGATAGTCGAAATGTAATACGTGATACCATTTCCACCAGACCACTGCGCAACAGTCTGCATAGCCATAAGCAACCAGAAGCGTTGACGGTAATTCGAGTTTAACTGTGATTCTTTAAGAGCCTGCCAGTTCGAGATAGATGACAGTTCCGCGCGCTGTTTAGCTAGAGTTTCCATTTCGGCGAACTCTGCAAGGACAGTTTCGTCTGTACTGGATTTTCCGCGCAAACGCGCAAGGACCTCCTTCGCTTCATCGTGACGTTGTTTTGAGGCGAGGTAGCGTGGTGTTTCGGGACACCAGAAGGAGAGGAAGAAGACGATTCCGACAGGAATTAGGGGGATGGATTGGACCAGACGGTATTGGGTTCTTGTGGCAGCCATGTGGATGCTGGCGCCGTAATTGACGAAGAAGCCTATCGGAGGCGGGGACAGGGGTTAGCGAAAGGAAGGAAGGGATGTGCCCACAATGGAATTGTAACGCATACCGACTGTTAAGATTCCAAGCAGAGTAACCATTGACAAACCAACAGCTAACCCGCGAGTCGCCTTTGGTGCGACTTCAGACAGATACATAGGAGAAGTAACCGTAAGAAGACCAGCGCCCAATCCAGCGAAAATGCGTGCGAAAAGAATCAATCCATAAATGCCCGACGAAAAGACCTGGATGAATGTTCCAATTGCCCAAACGACGATTCCAAGACGAAACGATAGCAAACGACCGAATTTATCGTTTACGTAGAGGGAACTGAGAGCACCAAAGGCCGCGCCCAGCGTCAAGAAAGAGGAGATATTGGCAGTTCTGTTCGTCAATCCATCCGGATCATTTTTCCAATTAGCAGAGAGAAGATTATAATCCTCCACAAAGGAAGTAAGCTTCATGCTAGCACTGAAACCACCCTCATCGTAACCTATAGCAATAGCATGATCATTAGCTCGTTCCATCTAACAGTATAGATCACGTCGCGGTCATCTTCCGAGCATAACACAGTTGAAGTAGAATACACACCTTTAGTCATAGTACCGCAGGCCATAACCGCAACTACGAAAGCATAGTACGGCGCCGTAGTCCATCGGGACCGATCAAACCATTCCATAATGGCGATATGATATTCCCCTAAAGCAACGCGTCTCAACTGCGGAGCTGTAGAAATCTGGGGAGAGGCGGCAAGGAGTGGGACGTAAAGGATTAATAGAGGTCAAGTGGATTTGAGGGGACAAGATGAACCAGATTCATCGGGATCCCGTGAGACTAGACTCGGGCAAGTTCCGGAATTTTAATTGTAATTTGAATTTAGAATTTAGAATTTTCTGGCTCTCGAGCCTATTCAACAGAATTTGTACGGGATCCACGGGGGCAACTTGACCCACTATTAGCTGAGGAGAAGTGATGATTCGACAAGTTTTTCTGGGTTGCATTCTAGAAACTTATTATTAAGTACTCGTATCTAGCATCGTATTGAACCTCGAAGGTTTTTAAGGTTATTACAGTTCACTCTAGATGGAGATTTCTAATATGAGTAGCGCTCTGTAGCGCTCTGTAGCGCTCTACTAAAAACGCCTCGTGCAAGCATGTAGCCGGGAATGGCGCCAGTCCAGGATGTACTAAACGGCTGCACCCGTGCACCTATAGTGGGTCGAACAGGGGATGCTGGGTTTGTTCAAGTTCTAGTGTTGTTTTCCCCTCACGCTTGTACCTAGTACTATGCATGAATATGGAGATGTTACGCAGGACACAGGTACTTTGTACAAGGTCGCATTTGTCGTGCAGTGACGATCTCGGACCCGTCGGAAACCTACCAATCCAAGGACAGAGATGAGAGAGAAATTTCCCGGATCTTTATCTAGATCGTCTTGGGATGAGTAGAGACAGAGAAGATGATGTGGCGCAATCTCCTTCCCGATCCTTGTATGTCCGGTGTACTTCAGAGTATACTTTAAGAGGACAGGGATATTAAGTGTCCGAGTCAGTTTTGGAAGATGAGAGAGTAAGGCTGACACATATAACTATATTCCCCCTAGTCACTCAATTGAAAGTTCGATATTTCAGCATCTTAATAATTCTCCTGCCTCGCCATCAGTGTCTAGGAATTTGGAAGGTATTTTGAACCCACGAGGGACTATTTTCCGAAACACGCCCTCAGGATCCACCTCCCGACTTACTCGCCGTAGTTTCTCCACAGCTTCTGCGCCATAACTTGCGATCGGATCCTGCCATTCTGCCGCATAATTGGGATATACATAGGGGTGGTACGCGTCAAGCTGACGGGCATCATCGTCAATCCCTACAGAAAGGGCTCTGGCAGCTTCTTCGACCTTCTCATCATCTTGAGTATTATCCCACGAGGCAGACAGAAGAGTGATAATGAGCGACTTGTTTGTCTCCGCCAGACCCATAGCGTTCTTTCTTCCCTGGTATATAGCTGCCGGTAGAGGTTGTAACGAGATTGACCAGACAATGCCGGGTATATCACGGATGGAGCCCAGACTATTGTGCCAGCGGTTATATGTTGCTTGCAGCATCGCGACCGTAGTGTCATGCGTAGTAACAACGCTCAATTGTCTATTCCATTGTTAGTTCACATTATAACCAGCCAAATCATGTCCAATAATCGCTGTAATCAATCCAAGCTTAGAAATATGTACATACCTCCTACCATCTGGGGAGAATGATCCCTGCTCAATAGTAATCTCACGCAACGGGGCCACTCTCAATGTACTAGACCGCTGCGGAAGCTCAAGAATAGACTTATAGACCTCCGGGATACTGAACTCTTCTCCCTCCTTCGTCGACGAAGTATCAGTATACACCATACTATTCACCACAGCACTGCCCCTCTTACCAGCATACCCAAAGCTAGTAATCAGCGACGCATTAACATCATAGCCCCTCGCAAAACCATCTTCAAAGGTCTCTGAGCTGATCTCAGAAACAGCCTTAAGTTGCTCGTCAATCGTCTCGATCGGATGATAGACCATACCCCCAAAAACCAAGCCCTGACTATATACTCTCATATCAAAGCTCGTCACAATCCCAAAATTAGACCCTCCACCACGCAACGCAATCAAAATATCCTCTCGATGATCTTCATCAACAGTAATAACGGATCCATCAGCAATAACAATCTCAGCCCTGACAATAGAGTCACATGTCCAACCATAACGTGGGGAGAAGTAAGAAATACCCCCGCCGAGAGTTAGGCCCCCCACTCCGACTTGAGCGGCACGACCACCTGCCACGATTAAATGGAGGGGGTCAAGGATGGAATAAACGTCTCCCCATTTAGCGCCAGGGCCGATCGAGACAACATTTTGATCTGAACGAAGCTCGATATTGTTAAGAGCGCGTAGGTCGATGGTAATCCCATTATCTACGTTCGATGTTCCGGCAAAGTAGAAGTGGCCTCCGGATCGAATGGCGATGGGACAGTATTTGAATGGTTGTGCGGTATCCGAGGTTCTGAAGAAGGGGAGAACAGTAGTAAGGATGGTAGAGACTTCTTGGGCGGTGCGGGGTGTCACGATGCAGTATGGATGCAGCTCCGATTGTTGATTTGCGAAATAAGCTTTATTTGACGCTTGATACTGGGTAGAGTCTGGAAGAAGAACAAGATCACTGCCTAGTTTCTCAAGGAGAGCTTGACACTGCCATATAGGTGAGATTGTAGTAGCGCTAGAAGAAAGAAGATGTTTTATGCTTACGCTTTCTTTCAACATCGAGTCAGTTGAACTTTCAAGAATATGAGCCATGGTGATTGAGTACGGTAGTCAAAAAGGCAAGCCAAGTTATCGTATATAGCGCAGCCTGGAAATTTATGTAAAACTTGAGAAGAAAATAGAGAACGAGTAGTAAAAATTATGGTGAAATCCACTTTATTTATGTCCAGGCAGTCCTGTCAATATCGACAGGATACACGAATTTAAGTAGCCCTCACGTAAGCCCCATTGATGATCACATGTGCATGTAGGTAGATACGTAATGTCAAGGGCTTGTGTTAAATTATGATGAGCCTTGGAATCGCCCGATGTAAATTGCAAGACCATGGAAAATTTGATATCAGTCAAATGGCCAATGACCCATATACTGAGCCCTTTGCTCTGGCGTCTCAGGCAAATGCTCCAAGAAGATGCAATCTCTAGCTTCATAAAGGGCAACCTTACACTCATCATACAGCTCCCGTTCAATAAACCCTTAATCCGGCCATAAATAGCCTATTTCCTCTTTGACTCCTGTAACAAATTCGGTTCCCGCTTCCGCAGGCTCACTATCCCGCTTGATACGCTGAATATCTGCTTCTGAAAAGTGAAATGGAAATTTCGGGACATTGCTAGCACCACCAGAATGGAATGCAGGTAAATCTGCCTAGGAGTCTTGAAGATCAACAACAAGGGACTAGAAATGCGCTTCGCCGTATTCGGACATGCGATGCGCCAAAAATATCAACCCGTACGCTGGCATTTTTCGGAATTCAACTGCCTGATATAGGTCGGGAAGTTTCGCATGCATGAGTTTCCGCCAGCCAATAAGCACGTTGTGATATTTGTATTCGAAGGGACAGCAAAAAAGATTCCGGGTTGCGATCTAAACTGAACTGATGTGGCTGTTTGAGAGAGCCTGAGGGTAAGATTGCTGAAACAGATTAAGGTTGGTTTATAAAGCCATAAGTTGCTCGGCCTTCAACAAGCCCTGCCGGGCTAGCTCAATCGGTAGAGCGTGAGACTCTTAATCTCAAGGTTGCGGGTTCGACCCCCGCGTTCGGCTATTCCTAAAAATAACCTGAGATATCTTTTTTTGTCCTTTTTGCTTTTTTCCCATACCTATGAATATACAGTCCTTTCTTCACAAGACTTCAAGCAAATTGCCACTGACGGTCTGGAAGTTGTGTAAAAATAGTGGAAAGTGTGAAAACCTCGGCTTATCCGGGTAGCATTCTCTGGTTTTTGCCAGTCGCTGTTCGTAGCCCGGACCCGTAGCCTGGGTACTATGATAATTGTGCTGCTTTAGATTGATACTATTGTCGTTTCAAATGGATGTTCATGTAGAAGTGTAATTAATGAAATAACCAGGAATTCAGGAATCCCCAGGTAATATTGTAAGAGTGGATCTACATTGAATCGATGTGAGAAATATGTACTCATGAAAAGCCAAACAAACACCCTGGAAGAAAGAAATTGTCGTGGTAGTATGTACCAGATAGTGAAAGTTCCGGATTGGGACTTGAAAGACTATATATATATATATATATATCCTTGTAAGTCATAAGACAGTTTTACTTGACAGTTGTCTATGAATTCATTTTTTATATATAAAAAATGGACTAATATGTAAGAACTTGAAGGCCCCATAACTCAATTCGTACCAAAGAACGTAATGCTACTAATTCAAAACATCAGCGATATGTCTGCTACGCCAAAGTTGAAGTTCACTCCTCTAGAATGATCGGTACTGCTTTTAGGCAAATTGGATGGGCGATTTTGAATTTTGCACCAGAGATTTTTTGCTGTGAGTGATGCTGATAGGGTAGGTGGAAAGCCTCAGTGGGGCTCTGGGTCGTTGCGGTTGTGGTAAAGTAGTGGTGGGTCCGCCACCTGCAGGGCTACGGCGAAGTCATTTCGCATTCAGTAGAGAGTGTTTAAGCTTCTGACTTCATTCATGAATGAGCCTGAGGTTGATAGTAGGTATTCTATTAAGGCTTACGGGTGCACATATATGATCTAGGATAGTCATGGTTGATGTATGTACAACTTGAACTTTATTATGTTTAAAGTAAGCATCTATACCAAGTTTATGCTATAAGTCGAAGCATATCAACAAATTAGCTACTTAATTTATCATTCTCCAGATCGCATTTTGGGTGTGCCTAGTGAATAAGCAGTCAAAGTCTGCTTGGACTTTTGTATATTACCTCCAAAGTAGAACTTGACATGGTTTAGGGCAATAGACATCACATCAAAAAATCTAAGCGATAAGATGATGATAAGACAAATGAACTAGTTAACAAGGCCTTTGCTTTACATAAAACCAACAGTTGATAATTCAAGTTATCGTGTTCGTATCGCTTTGAATCCTTCTACTGCATTCATGGGGCCAATGTTCGCTTGATTTGCCGAGGCTAAGCCACACTGGGTTGTACATCTACATGTGCAGGTTGCATGTTGACTGACGCGATCATATACACCTGAACTAGAACGAGATTATACATAACATTCATGAACAGCTGGTGGGTCGGCCAGTTGATATACTTGCAGCACAGTTCGCATAAGTCCATGCGTCTAGATCACCGGAATTCGGCTCGGCTCCATTCTATTTCTTCAGACCGGATCGCGCCGCGCTACAAACCGCGCTATGGCTCCGCCTGTACAAAGCCCCTTTTGAGTGCTGGCATTTCGGCTTTATTTGCAAAGCAAGGTGGTTCAAATGGGCGGCACTTACCGAAGGAAGAAAAAAGAGTGGAAATAACTTTTCTATAATTTGTTTTTCCCGCTCGCTTGACTCCCATCGCCTTCGCCATCAGAGTGGGTAGCCTCACTCGGACGACTTCCGCGCACTCCCCCTACACCACATTTATCCTCCCACGTTCCCCAATAGACTGTTAAAGTTGCCAGTGGGTCATATCTGAAAGGCTGAAGGAGTGGACTGGGACGCGGCACGGTAAAAATTTTCAGAAGTTGAACCGTTTCCTTGCTTTTCAACCAGTTAGCTCGATTCAGGGCTGGCACGGACGTTGACCGACGACACAACGGCATGTTGCCGGCCAGGGCCGTCATGAGGGTGACAGGCCCCAGTATCAGATCCTGCTTAGGGGTGAAGGTAAGTTGGCATTGTTTCAAACCATCTCCTATATTGTTCTCATTTTTCTGGCATCTCTTCACATCTATCAGCCATTTTGTGTCTTTTATCAGCGATCAGCATGTTGACTTCCACTCAGCCCTCTTCCAATATCTTGGGAACTTCACCACGTCTATCATTGACTGCGATCCGCTCACCGCGTATTGAGAAGCGCTTAAGTCACACGCCCGCAGTCTCCCCGCTGCCCCTGAAGCACAGGCTTCCCCTGCAGTCATGGGACAGCCATATGCATGTCGTGGAGCCACAACGGTTCCCAGTCTCTAGATCAGCAGTATACCAACCAGCAGTCCACACCTTGGCTGATGCTCTTGCCTTCGAAGCCTCTATTGGCGTGAAGAACCTTGTTTTTGTCCAGCCTTCCATCTACGGCACAGACAACTCCTGTCTCCTGGCCGCACTCACCAAACTGGGCCCATATCGGGGCCGCGGGGTCGTTGTAGTCGACCCTGATAACATTCAGACTGAGACACTAGAAGAATGGCACGCACTTGGAGTTCGTGGTCTACGAGTGAACCTCCAATCCGTCGGGAAGGTGATGCAGCAGTCGGAGCTGGAGAAAACCTTACGTCAACACGCAGATATTGCACGACCCAGAAACTGGGTTATAGAACTCTACCTTCCTCTAAAGATGGTGCCTTTGTTAGAATCTATTGCGCCTAGTCTCGGAGTTACCCTTTGCATCGACCACTTTGGCAGCCCAGAACTATCATCCCTTCCCAAAGGTCCGGACGACACCCCCTTCGATCCCTATCAACTACCCGGATTTCGGTCGGTCATCTCTCTCATCCAAGGAGGAGATACCTACATCAAAGTATCTGCCCCTTATCGACTTACTGGTGACCAAACGCAACACCAGCTGAAGGCGATGGCCAACGAATTCCTAACCGCTGCCCCGAACCGAGTCATCTACGCTACAGACTGGCCTCATACCCGCTTCACTGGGATCGACATCAGTCCGTTTACAGAGTGGTGCTTAGATCTTTGTGAGGAGGTGCCTGGACTCGCGGAGAAATTATTCAGGACGAACACAGAGAGGATGTTGAGCGTGAACTCTAACTGAGAGGTGATTTTGGATACTTTGGGTTTCGCAACTCGTCTTTCTTTTTCATGGCATTTTGGCGTATACATTTCAAGCATTACAATATCCTGTGGGTTGATCATTGGATCCCCTATCTTAACGAACCAAGCGCATCATACTATTAAAATATTTTCATATTTATCTCCGAGTCTCAATTACCCTACGTCTCTCCACTATATAGCAACGCGTGACCTCCATACACATTGCATTATGTATGGCCATAGTACGGGCGCAACAAATTTAAAATAGCGGTTATGTATTCCCAATTTCTTGCCAAAGGGCATTATTGACTCCAGAAAAGTAGCGAGGTATTCTCCGATCGTGAAACAATCGTGTACAATTATGAACATAGCCCCATCTAACAACGCCAACTCCCTCAAACATCATCCGCATTTTGGAAAACAGCGTGCGAGGTACAGATCTTCTTCGGGCCCTAGAGTGAAAGAAAAAAACCGAATTAGTTTTCTGCAGATAAAAAAACGAGAAATCGCAAATAAAAACTTACAATAGTGTAGCAGCATGCGGGTCTAGATTTATCTTCGCACAGCTGAGGTTGTTCGAGTTTCACGCCTATTCAAGTTAACATTAGATATATCTATTATGGGTGTGATTGTGGGTTTCAGAACTTACAGTCTTCAGCCTCGTTGGCTTTGGGGTTTCCTCTTGCGGACGTCATATCACGACAGCAGTAGGGCTCTTGAAGCATGCCAGTTTTGTCTTTCGCGAAGTCACAGGACATGTTAATCTTTCCCGCAGAACCCAAAGCTAGGGTGGTAGCGAAGATGAGAACAGAGGAGAGACGCATATTGATGATTGGGTATATTGAAAATATGAGCAACGTTGAAGAAGTGAGTATTTAGCAGAGGGATGAGGGCGTTGATGAGTATATCTAGGTGGTGGCTGGGTTATAGAAGGAGCAAAGCTGCCAGGAAGTCGGCCGACGCGAAAAATGTCTTGCTTTGAATGAATGAATAATCTCTTGAGGTCTACAAGGGCATGAAGGCAGATATTGGTAGATTTGATTGGTAGGGATGGTGGTTGAATCATCCCCTTGCATTCTTGTTCTTTATGAATGTGAGCGTGTGGTAAACAAGGGGAATTGGCGCGAATATTGAAGGTTGGTAGGGGTGCGACCGTGAAGATTCCTGATAGTAGGTTTTTGTTTCAGGTTCTAAGATTTCTGGGCGTTTCAAGGGATATTCTATCAAGATTTTCTTTTGTTCACTACAATGTATGGTGCGAAGGATGTCGAAGCCAGTTTGCTTCATACTATCTCAGCATGGACACCCCGGTGTGTACTGTGCGCACCGGTAATAAAATTTATCAATCATGATTGGCTGGAAATAGTCATAGCCGTTCAATTTAAACCATCGAACTTCCGGGTATAACCACTTGTGTGTCACAAAACTTCACTTATTTAGCTTGCACCGTATAGAATATCTATCTGCAATTTCAATCACAAGAATGATTGACGAATCTCGAGACTCTCCTTCGCTAACACCGACGAAGGGAGATGTCGCCCAGCAACGCACGGTGTATCTATTTGGACAACCTATTGCTCACTCAGTCTCGCCATATTTCCACAACACCATATTCCAGAAAGTCGGCTTACCATGGCGTTACATAAGACTGGACTCAAAAGACCCGGAGGATTTAGCATGGCTCATGCGCAGGAATGATTTCATGGGCGCCGCCGTGACAATGCCCAATAAAGTTCAGGCGTTGAGTCTTGTTGATTCCATCACTACCGAAGCACAGAAGATAGGATGCATCAACACTATTTATGTGCGACCGGAGCTATCCGGTAAGGGAAAACAGCTTTATATTGGAACCAACACAGACTGGATCGGAATACAACGGGCGCTACTTAATGCGGATCCTGAAATCAGAACCCATCTGCAAGATCATCCTGCATTAGTTATTGGTGGTGGCGCAACTTGTCGGTCTGCGATTTATGCCCTCACCGAGGGCCTTGGTGCAAAGGCCGTTTATTTGATCAATCGTGATCCGGAGGAGGCCAAGTCTTCTATCATGGGACTGAAGCAAGCGGGCTTACAACAAGAAATCCATTACGTGGAAACCGTCGATACCGCGCAAGCAATTGCATCGCCCATCGTTGTAGTAAGCGCAGTACCTGATATCGCACCTACGACTGATCTTGAGCATACTGCGCGCAACATCACGACCACCATGATTCAGACCAAACCAGATCACACATCTCCACGTCTCTTTTTAGAAATGTGTTACGATCCCACGCCGATGACTTACATGGCAAATTTGGCACAAGATTTGGGCTGGAAGGTAATTGACGGATTAGATGTGATGGAACATCAAGCTATTGAGCAGGCTGTTCTATGGACCGAGAAACCACTTCAAAGTTTACCCTCGGAACTTGCCAATAGTGCTATACGTCAAGCACTTCACCGGTAATTGAGCAGGGATTAAATTTGAAGATTTTGTATCGGAATAAAAATACATTTACTTGCACTCGAGGGTGAAAAAATCAGGGATGATCTCTTTTTTAAACATTCAGCTCATATGAAGACAAAACCTGTCTCAAACTTCGTTACTCGTACATGTACACATTCAAACACATCATAGAATAACAGCCTCCAATTGATGAAGACGGATTAATGCCATAATCAAGTGTTTGGCTCACAAAAGTCATAAAAGTCTTTCTCAGAAGAATCCGCGGCAACTTCAAGATTGAATAAACCGTCTGTCCAGTTACTTGTCCTAGAAAAAGTCAGTTTATTATAGTTTCCAGCCTGAATTCTAATTCTTGGGGTATTACCATTCAGAAGTATCAATAGCGACAACGTCTTTGAAGATAGAGCTACTTTCCGTGAATGAATCACGGTGCTGAAGCTCGCTATCGTTCGGGTACCTTTCTGGAAACCCGTGTGTGCATTATTTCCCGATCGTGCCTTGTACTATCTTGACTGGGATGTAGTGTATTAATTGATAGGTGCGGGTAGGTGCCGCCTAAATCACGATCAATGGTTATATCCGGCCTAGATATGGTTGCAACAATGAGAGGATATGTTTGAGGTACTGTATGAAGACTAAATCTGTTGCCTAGCTCTTTTATAAATATTCGAATTTCAGCAACACAGACCGACTTTCCTCGAGCTGGAGGAGGGGAATGCTTATTACTATTTGTGATTAAATTTGATGGAGCTCTAAGTTTAGTAACAGCTGTGAGATATAGTATTCTTTTTATACACTCTCAATAGATATTATATCCAATAAATTCATCTATGATTCTTTTGACCAGGGATCTGAATTCTGCACGAGATCACTATTGGTTTGAAATTCAGCATAAACGAATAATACACAGTAGCCGAGGCATCTTAGATTGCGGGTTTGTAGTCCCGATTACATATAGTTTGACATGCATTTCCGATCTTTGCTGAGAAATCATGCATAGGTAACTAGTAGACGGGGATTGATATAGACTGGAAGGTATCGGTACGAATGAAATCGCCGTATAAACCAGTATACAGAGCTCAAAACAACGCCATGTGGTTTACCATCGCAACAAAATCATTCCCTTGAAGTTAATATAGTTATTCAACTTGAAGCAAGCAATTGGGATTCGGCATCTGAAGTAGTAAGGCTTTATAAGCTTCATAGATATTGCGGGATTTACATAGAAGATTGGATGGTGCGTTCTGATTGGTCAAATACTATGTGCTGCATTACATAAACAGCCCAAAAGGCGGTGAAGCGGAACCGCCCGATCTGGACTCAAAGCAATTATCAATCACGATTGGACATTCATTCGGGAATATCGTCACTATTCTTTTTATGAGCTGTACTTCCCCTCTTGTACATACCCCTCCTCCATGCTCTCCCGCTCCCTCCCCACCAACACATCCCGGATCAGCTTTCGCTCCTCCTTGACCCGGTTTCCTGTCAAAAATTTCCATACCGTTCAACCTCCGACCGTCAACAGAACCCTGGCGTCCTCAAACCGTCCATTGACTACACCGGTTGTTCCGAGCTCGCGCCTTTCCACAATCTCACGTCATTTTACCTCTTCTTCCCCCATTTTCGAGAACAAACCCTCATCCACAATGGCTCCTGTCGAAGTTGCACAGTACGATTATATTGTTCTGGGAGGTGGTAGCGGTGGTAGCGGTAGTGGTCGTCGCGCAGCTGGCTGGTATGGCGCGAAGACATTGATCGTGGAAAGTGGCCGATCTGGCGGTACTTGTGTCAATGTTGGGTGAGTTTTCGTCTCATGTTTCGAATATTCAAAATGATATACAATAATAGACGGGAATCTTTGGTGCTAACGGAGAATTAGCTGTGTTCCCAAGAAGATGACCTGGAACGCCGGAACTGTTAACGAGACCCTCCACACCGGCAAGCACTACGGTTACGATATCCCCGCCGGCATTAAGTTCGACTACAAGTATTTCAAGGAGACTCGCGACGCTGAGATCAAGCGTCTGAACGGAATCTACGAGCGCAACTGGAACAACGAAGGCATTGACCTTGTTCACGGCCGTGCCAACTTTGTCGAGCCCAAGGTCATTGAGGTAGCCAACGAAGACGGTACTACCTCCCGCTATGCCGGAAAGCACATCTTGATCGCTACCGGTGGTCATCCTAGTATCCCCAAGATCCCCGGTGCTGAGCACGGTATCACCAGCGACGGCTTCTTCGAGATCGAGGAACTTCCCCCTAAGATCGCTGTCGTCGGTGCAGGCTACATCGCTGTCGAGTTGGCTGGTGTTATGAACGCCATGGATGTCGAGACCCACATGTTCATTCGAGGCGACAACTTCTTACGCAAGTTCGACCCCATGATCCAACAGACTATGACCAACCGCTATGAGGCCGCTGGTGTTCAATTGCACCGTCAGCACGGTGGTTTCAAGGAGATTAAGCTCATCCGCGACGGCAAGGGCAAGGACCGTCTGATCCAGTTAATTAGCAATGATGGCTCAATCATTGAGGTCAACGAGCTCCTGTGGGCTATCGGTCGTGCCCCAGAGGTCGAGGACCTGCGCCTGGACATCCCAGGTGTTAAGCTGAACTCCAACGGCTACGTTGAGGTTGACGAGTACCAGAACACATCTGCAGAGGGTGTCTACGCCCTTGGTGATGTGACTGGACAGGCTGAACTGACCCCTGGTATGTGTAACATCTTCTCAACTCAAATAACAAACATGCTAACCTAGTGCCACAGTCGCAATTGCCGCTGGTCGTCAGCTCGGTAGCCGTCTCTTCGGCCCAGCCGAGTTCAAAACCGCGAAGCTTAACTATGAGAACATCCCCACCGTTGTTTTCTCTCACCCCGAAGTTGGATCTATTGGTCTGACTGAGCCCGAAGCCCGTCAACAATACGGCGATGATAAGATCAAGACCTACCAGACCAAGTTCACCAATATGTACTACAGTCTTATGCCTGCTGAAGAGAAGGCTAAGAACCCCACCCAGATGAAGATCATCTGCGCCGGCCCCCAAGAGAAGGTTGTCGGACTTCACATTCTAGGTCTCGGCGTCGGCGAGATGCTGCAGGGCTTCGGTGTTGCTGTCAAGATGGGTGCTACCAAGGCTGACTTCGACAGCTGTGTTGCCATTCACCCAACCAGTGCCGAGGAGCTTGTTACCCTACGATAAATGTAGAGATTAGTGGTAGATATCTAAACACTCACAATTTGTTCAATCATCAGCCTGATGTAACAACATTGAATTAATACTACATCATCATACCCTCAAAACCTCAGTCCATCTAACATTCTTCTATTCTTCTAAATCAATACATCTATCTATCCACAATACCAAACAAGCCCGCCATTTAACCAAATCATCTATACAAAACACACCCCAAAACCCCAACGCCCAATCCCAAAATAACCCCCCAGCTAATCAATCCCCGTCTAATATGAAACCTCGCAACGCCATCAATAGCTTCCCCATCATTAATATGTGGAAATGGCTGATCCGGCACCTCAACATCCAACGCCTCACAAAGCGGTCCCCACCCCTGTTTAACATCAAAAAATACCAACTTCTCCTCCGGCACAACAGATTTCAACCACTCCACATGTCTCTCATAAGTAAGTCTAGTAGGAAGCTTCTCCCCATAAAGCCTCGTCCACTGCACGCCCAACAAATTCAAATAAGAAATAAAATGCCTCATACCCGGCAAAGGAAGAAGAAGACCCCTCAAAAACCAAAGCAAGGAATAATGCATTACTTGATTCATAGATTTTTCCCAAGCTTCGATATCCCGAACAGTACAGATGACTTTGGCATTTGGATAGAGTTCCATTAGTTCGGGTGTGAATTGGGCGCCCGGGGCATCGGTTGAGGCGGCGTAGCCATTCAATTGGGTTGATATGAGATTAAGCATGGCTTTTTTATTGGGTTCGTTTTTGTCTGAGTCTGAGTCTGAATCTGGGGCCGTTGTTAAGTCCCAGAGACGGAGTGCTGCCATCCATCTTTTGATTTGAACTGGTGGTCCTAGTGTTGCTTGTGTGCCGCCGTGAAAGACTGGGCCGTCTAGAAGGATTTCCAATGCTCGACTGAATGATGCGGTTCCTGTGCGTGGAAGTCCGGCTCCAATGACTTGGATATTTGTCCCCGGCTTAGGGACTGAAGGTGCCTGTCCCATTATGTTGTGTTGTGTTTGCGTTTGTTTCCAAGTTGAAGTGCTGATATGAAACTCCGACTCCAATTCCAATTCCAATCTCAAAATAAGGGGTAAAAGTATGTATAAATGCGTAAAATGTAGCAAAATTGAACTTATTCTTATCTCTCCCAATGCCGTGTAAGGGGTAAAACAGTCTATTCAACAATCCGGATCTTGAAGTAGAGCTGGAACTAGGGGGTTTATTTAGATAATTCCGGCCCCCATTTTCTTTCGTCGTAATGGAGTGGTGTGATCCTTCTTTACCGAGATTCAGGCGATTATGATTTCCATGACCCGCTTTATTGGAGATCAGCGCGCCATATAGCTCGATTAGGCAGTACATAAAATTGCTACGACGTACTTAAATTGGTGTAGGTTTGTAGCCTCAGGTTGAAAGTCAGAGTGTGTTTGTATCTCAAGATGCATTAAATCAAACAAGACCTCGATATTGAGATATTCTCTGATCCTGATATCCCTAAACTGGTTAGACCAAGGTCAGGGTGGGTCAAATATATGGTTGGGCTCGCATTCCACTCCATGTAGAGTATGCGTACTAGGCGAAAGGAATATGATGATACTAGAGTCGCTTGTTTCGGTGAGCTAGAGCTGATCAGCCAGATCCGTGGACGGAGTGCATGGACGATTAAACCCATGAGTTCATGAATGTCACCCGCCGGCAGGGTACAGGGGATATAGGTGCGAATCCTACAAGGCTACAACAGGTTTCAAGTGCATACGAGTCGGCACTAGTAGTATGGTGGGTAACCACATGCAGAATACTTCATGTTTTTGCTCACCGATCGTTCTTTTTGTCCGTTTAGAAAAACCCCTTGGAATATTTCTAACGAAGAATGACTTTTGTCTCAAATCCTTGTTTAAGTTCTTGGCCGCGGGAGTCCTATATGGCTGTTTTTGAGTTATACTACAGAGAGTGTGTTAATAAAAGATCATCAAAGAGTCTTCTAAGAAAAGAGACCGATAAATATGAAGAAACTAGGCTCCCAAGAGAGATGCAGAGGACGTGAACACCTCAGGCGGAGAGCCACTCTATCCGATCCAATCATCAAAGGTTGGGGATAAGACCGTATGTGCAGAAGACAACTCATCAACAATGTTTACCTCAGCTACGTCAAACCCTGGAACCTCCGACCCCAACCCCGCTTTATTCTGTAAATAGAGCTGAAGGAGAGCATGAACGGGGCTATCATCAGCGTTATTCCTTATCTGTTCGGGTATCTCAGGAGCATCATCTTTCATTAGCCAATGAACTACCTTCTTCCGACTTGGAAACCCAAACCTGCATCGTTATTGTCTCGTATGTGAGTACTCATATACCTGATCCACTTCCCCGCAAGACGGGAACTTAGAACAATCATGATACTATGAATGTGGAGATTTATTTATATAACGTCCAAGAACAGATATTGAAGGACTTGGGTAAAATCACTACCGTGACTAAGGTAGATCCATCTCATTAATCTACCACGACTCTTCCCGACCTCGCTCAATTCAGTACATCCCCAGTTTATCCTAGCTCAAAACGGAATCATCATGATATTCGTTTTAGCGATACTCAAGGTATTCTGTGCCCTCTCTGCATGTGCAACTGTCCCACTTCTGTGGAAGTACTTTTGGGCATCCAAGCGGCCTAAAGATTTCCCTGCTGGCCCCCCTATTTTGCCCTTTATTGGAAACCTTCACCAACTACCGCCGGCCAAACCGTTCCTCAAGTACTGCAGCCCTGCAACCAAACACATTGTAGACAACCACTCTAACTTTGCACTAGGTTCCATGAATGGTCTCAAACATACGGCTCGATTGTTGGAATCAAACTGGGTCCCCAGAATGTCGTTGTTCTCAACAGCTGGAAACATGTCAAGGAGTGAGTAATTCAAGTTCCCAGTCGCAGTCAAATGCCATTGCTCCGAGTAACACGAAGAAGACTTTTAGATAAAAGAGGAGCTATATACTCAAGTCGCCCTGACAATCATGTCGGGAATGATCACATTTGCCCTAATCAAACTCACATTCTCTTGGTACCATATGGGCCAGGGTGGCGGTTGCTTCGCAAAACAGTACAGGCCCTTCTCAATGTGAAAGCCGTCGATGATATGTTTCCAATCCAGAACGCAGAAGCGACACAAACGATGTGCCAGATTCTCCAGAACCCCAATGGATACTACGACTACATCCGACGATATTCCACTGCCGTGGTCTTGTCTTCTGTTTTCGGACAACGTGGAGCTGAATTTGAGTCCCCAAAGGTTCGAGCGCTTTACCATGTGCAAGAACGGTTTACTCGTATCTTAGAGCCGGGCGCTACACCACCAGTTGATGCGTTCCCTTGGCTGCGATATCTTCCGCGAATCTTTGCTAGTTGGAAAACCGAGGCAGAGAGTATTCGGGCTGAGCAACGTGCGTTATATTTTGGTTTGTTGGAAGAGACCAAAACTCGGATTGCAAAAGGGGCTACCACCGACTCTTTCATGGAGCGAGTCCTGCAGGATCAGCAAAAAACGGGATTAGATGACGAGCATGTTGCTTATCTTGGAGGAATCTTGGTCAGTGATAGTGGAGTCTGCTGCTTAATGTGACATGCTCATGAACAATAGATGGAAGCTGGATCTGATACTACTTCATCGACTCTACTGTCTTATTTGCTGGGTGTGATCAGCAACCCAAGCGCACTTATAAAAGCCCAGGAGGAATTAGACAGCATCTGCGGGATTGAGCGTTCGCCGAACATGAATGACCTGGATAAGTTACCATATCTCAGAGCGTGCATGAACGAGGTACGTCAGACTGTGGAAACTCAAATATCTTCCACTGACGTTTCGCTATATAATAGACAGTACGATGGCGACCTGTTGCCCCTGGTGGTATCCCGCATATGCTCATACAAGACGATTATTATGAAGGATACTATTTGCCCACAGGAACAATCGTCTTCGCAAACGCGTGGTCAATCCACCGAGAGAAAGAAGTGTACGATGCAGGTGATAAATTTATCCCGGAACGTTTCTTGAACAACAAGTTTGGCTCGCTTGAAGATGAAGAGGAGGCAAATGATCATCGCAGAACTACATATAGCTTCGGCGCAGGGCGTAGGGTATGCGCCGGCCAGCGACTAGCAGAGAACTCACTTGTACGTTTATCATTCAAAGAGAGTTCTAGAGACTCGACTAATGCAGTTCAGATGCTCAATATGGCCAAGATTACTTGGGGTTTTAACATCTCCGCAAATAATTTGGAGATCGACTGGGATGTGAAGACAGCATACACAGATGGTTTCGTCTTCTCTCCCCAAAGGTTCCCGGTGAATATAACCGCACGGACTGAAAAGCATCGAAAAGTGTTTGAGGATGAACTTCAGGCCCAGCAAAGTATTTTTGCGAGGTACGAAGATTGATTTTTATCGAAGCTGTCAGGATATCAGGTTGTTCTTGGAATGGACAGCGCCGATATCAATTTTGCCTTCAATGTTCTTCATGTTCCATTGTGTAATCAATCAAGCTGATTTTATTGACCGTTATATAATCTTGATATCCAAACTCTCTTGCGATGCTAGAAAGATAAACGGGAAATACTAGTATACATGTCGTATGATCGGCATTCAAAGGTTTCTTGGGCTGGCTAGCCAGCTAGTAGTAATTAGCGCCCAATGGATGGCGGAATAGTGCAATATTTGTTACTGGTGACTACACCCAACAAATCACTGGCAGCCTTTGATATTAAATCGACTTGCCACCGCCGCCACCCTTCCAAGGTCTCACCTTCGCAATCCAAGCTCTCCCGAAAGCATGCCTCTGTCGAACTGTTCTTTGGACGGGTGGATTAGGAATTTGATAGCTCTCCAGGCTTGTAGAGGTTGGTCCCACAATGCGGGCCCCGACCCAAAGGAGAGTAATATTCCAACTTATGTACGTACCGCCCCGAGTGAAGAAGGCTTAGCGTTTTTTGTCCCCGTCCCCGCCATATCCTCCGCTTCATCCCCCGCGCCAAGGCACCTAGGGAAGGTTTAATTTCTCTTTGTTCTCCACTCTCCGCGCATAACTGGATAAAAGAAGCCTTGCATTGAAGGTACTCTTTGTGCACCCGGATATATATATACACTGTTTGGCGAATAACTTTGCCAAATGCATCTTATGCACATGTATACCAAATTACAAAGTGCTATAAAGAGAGAAAAGTTGCCTTCGAACTTATAGCTCCTCACCCACAGGGAAAGAGAAATTCAAAGCTACATCCATAACGCGAAACATGCCGCCTATCTTCCTGGGGATTATTGTTGTCGTGCTTCTCTTCTGTGTTTATATATTGTATCAACGCTTTCCCAGTTCACTTACTTCGATTCCAGGACCCTTTGATGCAAGCCTGTCCAAACTATGGCTCGTAAAGCACATTTGCCAGGGAGATATACACCACAAGATGCTCAAGCTGCATGCTAACCATGGTAGCTTGGTTCGTAATGGTCCAAATGAGGTCTAAGTTACAGACCTCATTTCTATCAAGAAAATCTATGGTTAGTCCTCTGTGATCTTCCTCCCCATTGTATAAGAAATTCCCCTAATTGAGTAGGTGCCGGATAAAAGTTTTTGGAAGAGTAGTTGGTATACTGTTTTCCAAGGCCATCACAATTTCGATTTATTCGCCAAGCGAGATGAAGTGATCCATGACCATCAAAGACGCCTTGTCAGTCGTATATATGCAATGGACTCATTGAAAGATCTTGAGCCATATGTGCAAAATGCAGTATCTCATTTCTTAGACCAGATAAGCAGTTAGAAGAAAAGAGTATTGATATAGGAGAGCGGTTACAACCATTTGCCTTTGGTGTGTCGGACAATTGATTCTGTTTACAATGCACCTACTAATCTACCTGAAAATAAAGATATCATCGGTGAAGTGACTTTTTCTCGTCGCTTTGGCGTTATGGATTCTTATAAAGATGATGGAATATCCTCACAGATTAAGACTGTTCTCAAATCTGGATCCTGGCTTGGTCAGGTGCCGTGGTTATATTGGATCCATGACTTGATGATGCCAGTCATTAGAAATCATCTTGGAGTCAATGCACGACACGGAAGCATAAAGAACTACACACTTGATGAGGTTGAAAAAAGAAAAGACAGAGGCGGTGACCGCCCTGATATCCTTGGGAAACTCTTTCAAGTTCAAGCGGAAAGGCCATCTGATTTACCCAATTTCTGTGTAATATCTCTGACTTTGGAAGATTCCATGCCCTTGATGGCTGTCGGTGAAGACCCTTTGATTGTGCGAGTCGAACTGTCCGTATGGCAACATTCTACTCTGGCTTAGAGAAGCTATATCCCCAACTGCCAAACCATCCACTGATCCCGCTGGCTCCGTAGGCCTCGGGGAGATTTGACTGGGCCCACCTAGGCTTGGCCCGGGTGGTGTCTGATCTTGACTTATTTCAGTAATTGAAAATGACAGTCGATTGGATCTCGTCGCATTGGAAAACACATTGCGTCCACCCCAGTCGTTTGGCTGCTCAATCGTCTCAGTCGGACTGACACAGCCGTGTGCCGTGCGCTCTTCGTTACTCTTCCGCCCTCTTCGCTGTAAAACTGGGTAATCACATTGTTTCCCACGGTCCTATGGCCAGCATTAAACATTTGTAAGAATGACCCCTCAAATAACGGGTTGTGGTTTTGGCATACTAAGCAATTCCCACAGGGAACAGTGCCGTCATCTAAAATGGATTAGCACATTTCAGGCGAACTGGCTCTTATAACTAACATTTCACCTTTTTTTTCCTGCAGTGGCTACACGCCTGTGATGTCTTGACGCGTTCCCTGTTTGGGGGCATCATCCATGGAATAATGAGATGATTGAGATGACAGCATCAGAATGCCTAGGTGCAGATGTCGCTGTGGGGAGAGCTAATGGCTCTCATGCGGGGAAACAGCGCTCCAAACGCGTAACTTTGCACGTGACTATTTGTATATCCGTACCATCACATAGGTATGATACTTTGTATTTGCCCCTCAAAAGCTCATATACGGGACGAACGATGCAAAATAAACTCTAGCACCCACCATTTCATCTATTTCAAGAGGATCGGGGGTCGGAGTTTAGAGCCCCGACATGCGGATCCACGAGGCTCAAGTTTGATAGCCAATGATGTCTTCGAGAGCGGTCAGCGGTGGGGCCCTTACGTCCCGTTTCGTTCGGCCCGACCATTTTTGGCAGTCGCAATACGCCGACTCCTAGTACTCCGATGACAAGTAAACCCACTTCCATCTACAATATATATACATAACTCGCCTTCTTTTTTAATACTAGCATCTTGTGCAGTTCCCTCTCACGGACCCTCCACATTATCCCCATTGCCTCGAATTATGGCCCCCATCACCGCAATTACCAATGTCAGGGTATTCGATGGACAGAAGATCAGCGATCTTAGCACTGTCATTATCGATGGCGAATTGATTACGGAGTCAGATGCCATTCCAACACATACAATTGACGCCGAAGGCGCTATTCTACTACCAGGCCTAATAGATTGTCACATTCATTTGCATGGACCAGATGATCTCTCGCGAATGGCCGAATACGGCGTCACAACAGCATTAGACATGGCAACCTGGCCGGCCAAGCTCCTAGCCTCTCTCCGCAACATGAAAGGTGTGACAGACATTCGAGGTTGTGGTATTGCAGCGACAGCCCCCGGGAGTGCGCATAGCCACATTCCCTTTCTACCTCGTGACGCCTTAGTATCCAACGCGAGCGAGGCAAAACGGTTTGTCGCCGACCGTATTGCGGAAGGGGCGGATTACATCAAGATGGTAGCTGATGCGCCGGGCCCAAATCAAGAGACCCTCGATGCTCTCGTTGAAAATGCTCACCAAAACAATAAACTTGTTATTGCCCATGCTGTCAGTTTAATCGCGACGCGTATGTCTCAAAATGCCGGCACTGATTTCATCACACATGCTCCCCTTGACGGTATAATGAGCGAGAAAGATATCCAGCGGATGGTCTCGGATAAGTGTATCAGTATTCCAACATTGACCATGATGAAAGGAGTATCGAAGTCAAAGGACTTGAACTTTGACAATGCCCGCAAAACGGTAGCCGCGCTTCACCTCGCCGGTGTGCCTATTCTGGCCGGCACAGATGCCAACATGTCACCGGGCGTACCAGCCAATGTTGCCCATGGGATTAGTCTACACGAGGAACTCGAGTTGCTAGTCGGTTGTGGGCTGTCAACAACTGAAGTCCTCAGGGCTGCTACGTCTCTACCGGCAAAATATTTTGGCTTGCACGATCGTGGAGTAATTCAGCCGGGCTATCGGGCCGATTTGATTTTGGTTAAAGACGATCCTACTCAGGATATCAAGGGGACTAGATCCCTCCAGAGGGTTTGGATTGCGGGACAAGAAATCAAACTTTCACAAGCTTGAAGTATTTATAACCAAGTTCTTAGTTGAGCTTGAAATTACTAGATAGTACTTTTTGGTATCCATACTAGTGCACGGAGCCCGCATTCCCCAAATTTTGTCCCTGGTGTTTGATAATTCCGATTGAACAAACAAGCATAGGTTCCTGTTTCGCTTTCAAAGTTAAAGTTGCAGTCTTTGGTGAGATACGTGTTGATCAGTGTATCCTGAATGCTTTGACATCTTTCGAATGGACCTCTTCAAGGTCATCAACCGCTTCACCATTCATCTTGCCATGAACGTGGGCTTCTCCAATGAGCTCAAACCCGCTTCCTTGGGGAAGGTCTTATGACAGGGACACTGCAACCGAATAGAATACAGACCTTATAGCCACTTTGCGTATCTGGTGGACAGAGACCATAGAATGGTTGGCCTGTCTTGCGATAGTTTAAAGGATTGGAATTTTATCAAAATGAACATTTTTAATGTTTCGTTGTCGCATTTTTCTCTCTCTTCTGTGTCAAAATTATTTTGGAACATTGAGCTTGTTATGTAGTACTTGTTGCTCACTGAACTTAGGAGCTTTTGTCTTATCACCTGCTGAATGTTGTGGATCGCTGTTTTCTATTGAAATGTCAACGCGGTCAGTCTCGATTTCCATTTACTGTAATGCAAAGCCTAGATGGTATAGGCTCTGTTGCCGCAGGTGCTAGGCTCTATTGGGGATCGGCTATGCCGATCCTGTTACTGGCTCAGCCAGAGCCGTATCTGGTGCTAATCCGATGTACATTGCAGATGTTTGATGTGTGTTATACATCTGTAGGAAGTATCTGAGTGGTTAATTGTTACATTTAATCTTCCAGGGTTGTGTTCTCTATCCTCTTTGTATTGAGCTGATCAACCATACACGTGGACGGAGTATGTGGACGGACTATATGGACGACGACATCAATGTGTAGAAGTAGTACACATGGTGAATAATGAGCGCAGCATCTGAAATTACTTAATATCAAGACTTGAGATTTCAGATTGTGATTTTCATTTCAATGTAATCGGATCCATCGTAAGAACATCATATGTGGCTAATAAAAACAACTAATATAGCTACAGCTGGACGAAATCTTATCCAACCAAGTAAGGTCCCTCGCTAACAATGGCCTTGAAAATAATTTAACACATGGATTCAAAGATTGCCGAGTAGGTATCCCAGATAGCAGGGACATGCATCGTGCATCAATCATATTCGGCGCGTGTTCACTGGGGGCGTTAGTAGGTCGCCGGTGACCTTGTAGTGATCGCCCATCGCTATGAAGGCTGGTAAGGTAGTCATTGCAAAAGTATGAGGTTGTTCGTAACAGAAATGCAAGTTTATTGTGTTGTGTTGAGTCTCTCAGCCCTCGAGGGATGGGGCCTCAGCTTCAGCCTCGGGATCGACATCGTTACCAGGACTAGGACTGACTTTGTCCAAGGCGACAGTGTGCAGGGCGGGTTTCTCGGAGGTGGTGAGTTGGCCTTGCTCGAGGAGGTTGAGTTGTTGGCATACCCAGTCGGCTATTTCTTTGTCTTCGGTCACGGAAGATGGAACTTTCTGGCCGGGTTTCGGAATCTCTGGTTGGGGGATGCTCTCCTCCTCACTGGGCGGTCGCATGAGAGGCTCTAGCCATGGGTGACGAATAAGTGCGTTGTAGGAAGGTCTCTTAGATGGGTTTTTATCCAGACAGGCTCCGACAAATGCGTGCGCTTCATCTGAGTACCCGGTATCGGGGAGCGTAGGAGGATCACCATGAACAATAGCCTTGGTAAATGTTAGAAATGGGGGAGTATAGAATCTAACGAGAAAAGAGACACTCACATGTAATTGACTGAAGATATTGGTGAAAGCTTCCGGTGGGTATGGATATCTTCCCATGGCACACTCAATAATGGACAAGCCCAAACTCCAAATGTCGCTCTGCACGCTGTATGTCCCACCACTAGGCGCGCCTGACTGTTGCATACCTCCACCCGCGATACGTTCAGGGGCCATATAGCTCTGACAACCAATATTGGTCTTCGCGATACTAGCGACCAAGTTTCCACTGACACCGAAATCACAAATCTTGACCTGCCCCTTACTATTCACAAGAATATTCGTCGGTTTCACATCGCGGTGGATAATGTTGTGCTCATCTTTCAAAGATTTCAAACCCATGATAGTCGACAAAGTCATTTTTCGCAAAATATTCTCCGGCACACCACCCTTGTAGATCTTGTCAATGGACCCTCCATCCATATATTCAACACACATGTAAACTGCGCCTTCCTGAAAGAATGCTCCGTAAAAGTCGATGATGAAAGGAGACACGCAACGATGCAAGATATCCAACTCCATGATGATTTGGTTAAACTTCGCTTCATCCAGTTCTAAACGAATTTCTTTCATTGCCATAACAATGCCAGACAAATTATCTTGGCCTGTCGAGTCGCCATTTTCGGCTTGACCGTTTGACCGACTGACAATGCCGCTGACGCCGAGACCCGGTTTTCGAAGATGAGGTCGGCTGTGTCGAACTTTGTACACTGTACCATAGTTACCCTTACCTAGCTCATCCAAACGATCCACCTCATCCAGCGAGATCTTGAAACTGTGGCCCGATGAAAACTCAACACCTCCACCATGCAAAACCGCCTTGTCCTTAAAGTTCAAAGTTCCAGCTTTTGTGTCGATGAATTCGGCATATTTGCTGAACGCAGACTCTCCACCCGTTGATTCAGCCGGTTTGTTCTCTGTTCCATTCGCCGGGGAAGGCGCTCCACCGCTCATCTCCGATAATCTAAGTTGAGGCTTCATGCGCTTCATACCTCCTCCGACAGGGGGCTTGGGAGATGAAGGGTTCGACACTGCCGGGACCACAGGCGAAGAGGCCCAGTGATTCGTGCTCGGACGCGCTTGATTTGGCGCGCGCCCAGCTAAAGCACCGCCCGCACCAACCTCCGCAGAGGTGGGTATTGTCCCTGTCGAAACGGCGTGGGGTAAGGGAACACCCTGCCGAGACAAAGAGAAAGCCTTCATCTTCGCCATAATATCCTGGTTCAATCCTCCACCTGTGTGTGAGCTCATTGAGGCCAGCGGACGGGGCGAAGCCTCGGCTCCATGGCGGGCGGCGTTGATCTGGCCGAGATGTGTTGATGTCGAGGTCATGCCAGCGGTGGGATCGCGGGATGGGAGCAGGGAAGGGGTGGAGGCATTCGCTCCCGAAGTGATCCCTGGGGAGATGGGGGATACCGGCGAGGTGGTTCCTGTCGAGCCTGGACTGCGATCACCCCCCGTCGGAGGATTCTCCGTGGCGAAATCACGGTCGGCAGTCATGATGTCGCGGGAGTGGATGTCGGACCGACAACAAGGGCCGGTGCAATTGTATTGAGTAGGCCGTCTTGAACTCGAGCTGCACCGGGGATCGGCGCTGGTCTAAGAGAGGACACACGGACGGTGATGGTGGGGGCGGGGCTGGGGTGTGGGAAAAGATGGAAGAAGGAGAGGAGAAGAGAGGGGGGGGGAAAGATATAACTTGGAAGTTGGAGTGAAGTCCACGGGGTTTACTCACTGGTAGTAGCCCGGATTGTTTGAACAAGGAAAGATAATATAAAGTGGGGGAAGAGACCAGGTTGAAGACATCATCAAAGCTTTTTTTTCACTTTTTTTATTTTATTTTTTACAATTTTTTACGATTCTTTCGCCCTCTTTTCCCCCCTACAGTAAATTCAAATGTACTTCCTGTACGACGCAATTTTCAGCTCTATCCCAACATCCCTATCCACCTATCATAGCACATTGTATTCTAAATTCTGAATTTTTCCATTTTTTCTTCCCTGCGCCACTGTACCCATACAATCTCCCCCATTCCAATGGATCATGTCAACCTGGTCAGATTCATATCAGCAAACCAGCAAACCGGGCTGAGGAACCATCCAATCACAATGCCAGCTCGGCCGAAAAGCAGGTTTTGACGGGTCGATGATGGAGCATGGAGTAACATGGGCAACACATTGTTCGCCTATTCCCTGCCGTGTTTCATAGAGTCAGTTTCAAAGGTCACGGAAACTGCCGTTGACATTCGAAACATTATTCGATACTTTATTGGCCCCAAGCTGGCAAGCCTAAAACCAGTTCCCGTAGAAGTATACAGCTAAAAGTACATCATACGTACAAATGTACATCCGGGTTGGTCGGAATTCGTCAGCTGGCACTCTCTGGCACTCTCCAGGGCGTTGTCTAATGCGATTTGCCGAGAGAGTCCATGCATACGTACCCTACTGGATACATACGGAGTACGGCACTCGGGAATACCCTGTTTGATTATCCGGGCTTCTCTGGATTTGCGTGATTGGGTTTCCTAGCACTGTTTCCACTGTTTGAAAAGAAGAAGAAAAAGGGCAATTGAAGTTGTCGCAAACTCGGGAAGCCCCACTATTCCACTATTCTTGACCCATGCGCCCGGTTTATCTGGAGAGAAAAGAAGAGCCTCGGCTGTATCAGTGTAGATATGAGAGAGATGATTGGAAAATGGTAGTCATCTCATTGGTTAAAAAGGGTATCACTCCAGATTCGAGCGAGATATGGCCACTTTCCAGTTCCCACTGTGCAGAAGTCCTATAGTTTAACTTGCTTCACACCTTAATACTACTAGTACTACCTAGTACTATGGATACTAATAAATACTAGATATAATGAAGAACAACTGGAAGGAGTAATACCACGTATACTAGTAGATTTGGAAATGAATACAAAAATCGTGGAACCATACAGAGAGAACTTGAAGAGTCTATGGCATCTCATACTAGTAGTAGTATACTCATCCCACATATACATTCTTACAGTACTCGTGTCGTGCATACTAGTACTATGTAATACATACCTACTAACGCCAACAGAACCGACTTCATCCCCAGACCTCCAGTGCTAATGCAAAGCTAAATAGTTCAATTATCAACAAAGCAACATTGAATCCACCTACTAATCCAAACGAAGAGCGTTGAGAAGCACGGACCCAGCACCTCGGAAGCGGGGGATTCGTGGGTCAGATCACGATCATCTCCCCAGCATTAATGTCAGGTACAATCGTCACATCACAATGACTACGATCTTCGAGCCCCTAAAACCAATAGCCGACCGGATCTACCTCTACAAACCCTCTCCGGAGGCAAAGATCGTCCCTGACCCTGACCCAACCGCCCCATCTCTGGTAACTCTTTGTACCTGGGTTGGAGGAGCAACATCCCGACGAATCAACAAATACATAGTCAAGTACCGTGAACTCTATCCCAACACCGCGATACTTCTCATCACGACCGATTTTTCCAATACGGCACTTCGTCCTTTTGCATGGATCCGAGCTAGTCTTGAACCAGCAAGGAATGTAATTCGGCAAATAACACGGGAGGTTGAGATAGAGATCGGCAATAAGCAAGATCATGACTTGACTACCACTGCCACTGGTAATACTCAACGCGGCATATTACTTCATCTATTCTCCCACGGTGGAGGCAACACCGCACTCCAACTAGCCTTATCCCTAAAAGAAGAAGAAGAAAACCAAGGCATCCCAAACCCATTCGCCAACTTGAATCTCAGTCTCATTCTCGATTGCTGCCCCGGAGACGACGGGTTCTCAAGAGCATACGCAGCAGCCCGAACATCTGTACCCGAAACACCTGTCTCACAATTCCTAGGCAATACACTACTCTACCCAACCGTTGCAGTGATAAATGCTCTCCAACACGCGCGCCTTATGCGAGCGATACGAGACCTACGAGAGCAATTGAATGATACCTCTATCTTTGGAGCGGGCACTAGGAGACTATACATGTATAGTAAGGAAGATGCAATGGTACAGTGGGAGGATGTGGAATCGCATATAGGAGATGCGAAGGCTAAGGGATATGAAGTTGATAGTGCGTATTTTGAACATGGGACACATTGTGGCTTGATTATGGAGGAGACGAATCGGGGACGGTACTGGGGGATGGTACGGGGGTTTTGGAAAGGGGAAGATATAGTATCAGATCTAGCTTTGGATGAGGGAGATTGTGGAGATATCCGCAGTCGATTGTGAACTTGACTTCAAGTTGATCGGTGGGGTACTATTGGGATTCAACTATCTGAAGGGATCAGTGTTGTATATATTGACTTTGGTTTGATTATGGATACTTGACTTAATAAGATACATGTAGTTAGTTCGCTCTACTTTGAAAGTGAGGATTGAGACATACTAGCTAGGTACTATGTACCGAGTATGGATGTATATAAGCATTTAGTATTTAATATTTATCAATAATTCTTTTATTCAATACAGGCTGCAAAATAAAACATGTCAAAGATAAACCTCACATGGATACATACCAGTCCTGTAATCTGTGTTTTTCACATCTCAATCAAGGTCACCTCAGCCGCCTATCTCGAGTACAAATTTCGTATATCGCGTAAAATAGATGCATCAAAAAAGATAACAATGCCATAAATACCGGTAAAGACGTCTCTCCACAAGTCCGAGGCCCCAAACTCCGCGTATGCATATTCAGTGGGTTTATGACATTTCCATTCCATCGTCATCGCCATCAAGTTCAGACATCTCATCTGTCGTAGACCCTAAACGTAACCGAGAGCCTTTTGTTTCTCGATCACAAGATCCATCACCCATTGAGCTGACCATCTCTAATTCCGGCCCTGCGATAACGCGACCTTCAGTATCTACGACCTCACAGAGTTCGATCAAACTGTGATGGCTGAGAGACTTAAAGCCATCTGTTCGCACAATGCGACCCCAATGCGTGAGACAGAACTGTGCCGCTCGCCGCATCAGCCACTGTTCATTGGTTCTCCCAGCTCGCTCCCAGATAATGGCAGCATTGTCAACATCGATCTCACGACTGAGACGATTGACGCATAGAAGGCTCAGTTTTGGCATATCGTACAGGTTTGCCATGACCAACATGCCAGCCACATCGATGACACTAGAGGGGTATTCCGGATGCCCCCCAATGGTATCTGCGTAGAGGTAGAATAAAAAGGCCCGCACGACCGAGTATGGCTCGGGAATATGCATTCGTTTCGTGTGATACTCAGCCATTTGTGCTGCATACAATCGCTTAAAGTGTGGCCATCTCAGTTGTAAGATGATCTTGTGGACGTGAATCGGTGCGGAAGTCGAGGGGTTAGGTTCAACAAAGGTCGGTTCAGTCGGCTCAGTCTGTACTGGAGACCCAGAGGGTGTGTCGTCAATATCATCTGAGCTCATAGCATCGTCGTCGTCACGAATAGCGGTAATTACAAAGTCCGCACCACTACCGGATTCAGGTGATTGACCAAAGACAGAAGAAAGGTCTGCACCTAGACCGGAGACCGGGGAGTGACCAGATCTATCAAGCCATGAGGGGTCTTGTTCGGGGACATCGGCTGACAATCCGTTGCCCAAGAGGCCATATTTCTCCAGATCTATGGAAAGAACCTCACTCATCTGGTTGTCGTCGCTGGCCCCGGGGGCGTTAGCCAAGTCGAGGCTACATCCCAGAAGCCAAGCTTTGGTCCCAGCTTCATTAATGGTACAGTAATGCCAACGATAACCAGGGCGGAAAATTTCGTGGCCGTCGGCTAGTCGCTGCCAACGTAGTGAATTGAGGTCCAAGGCTGCTAGGTTACAATCATGCGACCGTACGGTTTCCGATGGAGTGATCAGGTCAAGAAGGACACCGGACGCGAATGATTGATAATGGAGTCCGGAGAATAGCGAGGGAACATTAGGACCAGATTGGAATCGGAGACAAGAGATCGCGCCCGGGGCCAATGGCTTACGGCGCCCAAAATTACGCACCTGCACACTGGCAGAGTTCGCGGCATAGCTTCCAGAGCGAGGGGACATCTGAGTAGACGGGCTAGAAATGGAGTCTGGGTAATGAGCGACTGGTAATCGTTCGTCCGGGGAGTCCACGGTACCTTGGGGTGTATTGATTCCGGCAAGGGACGGGGAACCCTTGAGGTCGAGCCACCATATGTCGGTTGTTCGTTCCATATTAGGGCCAAGTCCACCGAATATCCATAGGCGGCTGCCCCAAACCCATGCTGTATGGTCAAACCGAGCTGTGAAGCTCCACGTCCGAGACCATGTCCAAGTTTGCAGATCCAAATAAGTCAAGTCGTCTAATATGGTGTTGCTTTCGCCGGTCAAGCCGCCCACGATGAACAATTTATCATCATGAATGACAGCAGCATGGCGTGCCCTCCCGCGAGGGATTGGGCCACTGATCGTAGGAAGGGTCCATGCGAAGGTTTGGAGATCAAGGATAACGACGTCGGAAAGGTAATCACGGTGTTCATTCTCACCGCCAAAGACGATGAGTTTGTTGCCCTGGTAGAGAGTGGCGGTGTGCCCTGCAGGTAGCCAAATTAGAGGAATGAAACTAATCAAGGGAGAAGATGAGGGGTACTCAATGACATACCCATGCGAACGCCCGGGATATCCCCATAGTTATCAACAAGTTCCCATCGGAGAGTGTTCAGGTCGAGTCGGAGCACATGGTTGTACACTGTGGCGAAGAAGTTAGGATCATAGTAGGGATGGGGTAGGAATTCGAGACTGCGGCAAGAAGGACATACCTTCATCAGTGTATTGATCGAATCCTCCAAAGGCATAAATGTGGTCGTTGTTACAGTACGTCACCGAGGCATTGACCAGACATGCGGGAATATGACCTTGGGCCTTCTTCACGCTGGGGCGATAGTCGGTGCCCTGACGACCCCCCGCCGGGCTGGCCGGTAACAAGTATGCTCCCTGTTGCTGCATCGAACGTCTTGCGCGAGCGCTCGTTGGAATAGTCGGACTGGAGGCCCTCGAAGGTCCAGTCCAGTCGGATGGAAGTCGTGTGGGTGGGTCTTGGTGGAACGAAGTGAGGTGGGGAGATGTCGTTCCCGCCATCAGGAAAGGAAAGTGACGGTGTTGGGTGTTGGAGATCAACGAGTATGTGATAAATCGACGGTGCACATTCTCATTGTAATAGGATCTAATCACCAAAGAGATAGATAAATCCTAAAATAGAAACCTAATGCATCTCAATTTTTTTTTTTCTTCTTTCCTTGTCTCCCACCAAGGGACTACGATCAGAGCCGATCGACGCCGAAACGGGTAACCCTCCGGCATGTCATGTGCAGAGACCGCTAGTCCCAAAGTCGTATAGCGCATCCGTACCTGAGGTAACGGTTGCCCCGGCAGAGCCAGCTCCATACTCAATGTAGAATTCTATTTATTCCTGTCTACTCTCGTTCTTTTCGTTCTCCTCTTCAAATATCTCCTACTCCTCATAACCTAAATTGATCTTGCATTACTTCATTTGCATTGCATTATCTCCTGGGTGGCTGGATCCATCTTTCTCTTCATAAACCGTCCTCCTAACCCCCATATCCAGGTATATCTCAGTCATCGTCAGTATGGCAACTGCATCGGTCACTACTCCAAAGAAGAGCCACCATGGCCTTTTCTCCTCCAAGACCGCGGGAGGTCGAATGCCATTGACCCCCTCTCCTCATGCTCGCAATTCTGCAGTCACACCTCAGAACAACGATTCACCTTTCACTCCTCCTCGTCACTCTGAAGGCAGCCGTGGCCAGTCTCAATCGGTCTACGGTGGCAACCTCTCCTCAATCTTCGCCAAGTCTTCTAGCGCCAAGTCTTCTACTTCCAAGTCCTCATCAACAGCCAAACCATCAGCCACATCAGCCATCGCCAAGTCTTCTCGGCCAACTCACCGGGACTCTCCCAAGTCGAACATTGCTCGTCGCAAGTGCAAGTCACCAAAGCATCTCGAGCTAGGTGTTTCTGACTGGTCTCTGACCGGTACTGGTCCTGAACCAGCGTCATCTCGAACCCCGGCCAAGGAGCGCACTCGCCGAGAGATCCCCACTCGTCCTCGACCTGGCAAGACTACCGTCCGTATCCCTCACAACACTGGTGACCGGTTTATTCCCAACCGTACCGCTAGTGAAGGCCTTGTTACAACTGGTGCCGCTAAGCCCGATGAGGGCCAGCGCCCCAAGACTAGTGGCAATGAAGGTTCTGGATCAAGCGTGCTGGCTTCTGCTGCTAGTGCTTTCGACATGAATGGTCGCGCAGCTGAAGATGATCTCACTGCTGCTCTTGAGAGCATGGGCTTAGAAGACAACGAGTCCGCCACCTACACTCGCCCAGCGCCCGATAAGGCTGCGTACGAGTCCACCTTGGCGAATGCTTGTGATATCGGCCTCAACACTCGTATTCTTGCTTTCAAGCCCCCTCCACCAGAGTCATCGAAGCCAATCGATCTTCGTTCTCAATACAACCGTCCTCTGCGTCCTGCTAAGGCTAACGCTGCCCAATTCCGCCGCCGTGTTCAGACTGCACCTGAGCGTGTTTTGGATGCTCCGGGTCTTTTGGACGACTACTATCTCAACTTGCTCGACTGGAGCTCTGGCAACCAGGTCGCCATTGGCTTGGAGCGCAATGTGTACGTTTGGTCTGCCGAGTCAGGCACTGTGAACTGTCTTTTGGAGACATCCCCCGACACATATGTCAGCAGTGTCAAGTGGAGTGGTGATGGTGCCTATGTTGGTGTTGGCTTGGGCACTGGCGAGATTCAGATCTGGGACGTTGAGGAGGGTAGCAAGTTGCGCAGCATGCACGGCCATGATTCTCGTGTCGGAGTCATGGGCTGGTCTAAGCACACATTGTCGACCGGTGCTCGTAGTGGTCTTGTTTTCAACCACGATGTTCGCATTGCCCAGCATAAGGTGGCTGAGCTTGTCTCTCACACTTCTGAGGTCTGCGGTCTCGAGTGGCGTTCCGACGGTGCCCAACTGGCTACTGGCGGCAATGACAACCTTGTCAACATCTGGGATGCTCGCTCCCTGAGTGCCCCCAAGTTCACCAAGACCAACCACCGAGCTGCTGTTAAGGCTCTTAGCTGGTGCCCCTGGCAACTCAACCTGCTGGCCACTGGTGGTGGCTCTTATGATCGTCACATCCACTTCTGGAACACAACTACTGGTGCTCGTACCAACAGCATTGACACCGGTTCTCAAGTTACCAGTCTTCGCTGGAGCAACCACTACCGCGAGATTGTCAGTTCCAGCGGCTTCCCTGACAACTCACTGAGCATCTGGAGCTACCCGACCTTGGTTCGCAATGTGGAAATCCCTGCCCATGAGACCCGTGTCTTGCACAGCAGCCTCAGCCCAGACGGTCAGATGCTGGCTACCGCCGCCGCTGACGAGAGTTTGAAGTTCTGGAAGGTCTTTGAGCGCAAGGCCGGCAGCAGTGCCTCTGCATCTCGTGAAGGCAGTGTTGGTAACAAGGCTCAGCTCACTAAAGCCATGACCATTCGGTGATGGGTTTGATTTGGCTTCTCACTTACGTTTTTAATGTTCTGTTTTATACCCCCGGTTTCATGGTGATCTATTGAGCATTGATGGGCTGGGACATTCATTTCTCTGGAGTAATTGGGGTAGTGTTCCTAAAGAGCTTAAAGGTGGAGTTTCTTGGGCGTTGTAACTAAATTGCCAAAGCCGCATTTGTACAAAATATCATTGTTCTTGCTATTTTTTTAAACAAAATCTTCCCTATCAGTTGGTAGTGTTAATTCCAAATCCTTGGTTGATCCCCATTCTTTTGCTTGGACTCCAAGGGTAGTCTTTGCATGACTAAGCGACGGGAACTGGAGGGATTTCGACCGCGGAAGACCGACTTTCACCTTTAGTAACTCATCGACAAATCTCTCTGCTTTCAACAAAGCCTTGGCCATTTATTGACCGAGTCTTCTCTCAAACATACTTTCTGTTCATCATTCAGACTGAACCGTCATAGACTACTCGCTAGTTTACCGTTGCGTCATCTTTCACAGCTGCGTCGTCCACCGCTCCAACGGCTTCATCCGTTGCGACGACGGAAGGTTACCTTCACTGGTCAAGCCAACCGACCTAGCTGTGCTACAATACTCACTCGTCGTTCTCTTGATTACCTCCCCGCAACTTGACCCGTTTTCCACGACTCACTTCCACCGTCATGTCCAACCAGCAAGTGGTAAGTGTTCCCTCACGAGATCCATCCCTGCACCGCGATGACGATGACCGACGACATCACCACAACATCTCCACGACATCCCATTCTTCCTCCCCTTTGACTGGGCCATATTGTTCTTCCCTCTGCCTTCACATGATGACTCTGGCTAACATCGGTGGTTTCAGGGCACTGTCTTTGAGCGGGTCATCCAGGAGGTCTGTGACGCTTCTCAGGTCGACTTTGAGGAAAGCGGCGTCGATCAGAAGACACTACTTGATATGCGTCAGGTTAGTGACCATTTTGATATTTTTTCCCGATGCTTTAGGGTCTTTATTGGTGATATTTGATGGTCTTTGGCGTGATGGTTATGAGGGGGCGGCCAAAAGCGGGGGGACCCGAAGTTGTGCGGGAAGCGCTGCTTATGGGGGACCACCGGCTTTTGAGGCTCCCTTTATATGTGGCCGCCTGTACCCGCTCAGATCGCCAAGCCAATCCCGTCCTGGACTACCCCCAATCTATACATAACAATTTGCTATACCACCGCCCTCAAAACATCCCTGCATCATACTAATTACTTTGTCTGATTTGAAATTTTAGAAATGGCAACTTAAGCTTTCATCTCTCAACGTCGCCCATTTCCCCTGGGATCCTCCTCCACCCCAGCCTACCCCGCAGGCGCCCGTCCTGCCCCCTCAGGCTACTGTTCCATCCAACGCTCCTCGACCTCCTCCCTCTCAACCACAACACGTTCCCCCTCCCGTCTCTGTACCACAATCTACTGCTCCGCCAGTCTCGGCTCCTATGCATGTGCAGCCCCAGGCTCCGATCCTGCCTCCTATGGGTGGACCTCGCATCAAGACCGAGCCCGGAACCAATGGACCTCCATCCGGGGTGCCCAACATGAACAGCCCCTTGCAGGTCCCTACAAACCCTCAAGCAGCTCGCGACCGTGCGATTAGTGCTATGCAGCAGAAGTATGGTGCTAATGCTGCCAACTCTGTCCACCAACTTCAGAATCAAGCTTCAACCCAGCATGCTTATCAACAGCAGATGCATGGTAACGGCCAGATGCCCCAGATCAAGCAAGAAGGCAACTACCCATCTATGGGTCAAGGTCAGAACGATGGTGGTAATGATGACCCAATGGCTGATTGGAAGGCTGAGGTCGCCCGTCGTCGCGAGGCAGCTCAAAATGGTCAGGGTGATGACTTACTTCGCCGCCACATTAAGTCACAGATGATGGACTTGGAGGCCGGTGGAGTTTTCCGCCCCTTGGATCAACATGAGAGCCCGGCTGCGGCTGCACGACGTGCTGCGGCTGACTCCCATCTCGGAGCTACTCAAGCCACCCCTGCTGTTCCCCGAATTCCCGGACAGGTCGATGGAGAAGAAGCGGATGAAGACGCAATCAACTCCGACCTCGATGATCCGGATGATGCACTTGCTGATGACGCTGATGACGATGAAGCAGACGGCCAGGTCATGCTTTGTACTTACGACAAGGTCCAGCGTGTCAAGAACAAGTGGAAGTGCACTTTGAAGGATGGTATTCTGACCAGCGGTGGCAAGGAGTAAGTTACTTCTATCCCTTATATACTCATGACTATCTCTAACATATTCTAGATACGTCTTCCACAAAGGCCAAGGTGAATTTGAGTGGTAGTCCTCTATCATCTCATACACGACCTCTCCCTTTTGCCACTGCTACGTTGTAATATTCTTTCTCATTGCCTGTTATCCTTCTCTGCACGACCTAAAACATCTGTTTACTTCTTTACTTCCATTCTTCATGCGCTGAAACGAATGATTGGTGACACGACACAATCAACACCTCTCTTCCTAACGATTTTTCCTGCTCTTTTACCTGCACAACCTCCGCTTCCATTCAACCGGGGAAACATTCCCTTATGCGTGACGTTGTTCCCCTTTCTCCACTGCACTTCAGATATCGAGCCTCTGCTCATGGCGTCTTGCTAGGACGGGTTCTTGATTTTGCTTTACACTCCAAAGTTGGCCCTTGAGCCCTTTGTTTATGTACTAGAATGAAATAGCAAGTCCACTCGGACTAGGTAGGCCACTCAATACGAATCCACTTAAACATCATCTCATCCGGGGTCCGTTGTTCAGCGGATATGTAGAATGTAGAACCAGTTAGAGGCTGATACCCCTACACGTGGATCTAAATATAGGACCCTTATCAGACTCAATTAAGCTTATCTTACTGCAACTGATTTTACATACTAGTGAAGTAAAAAGTAAATAAAGGGCACAATCGTAGAAGTGGAAATGTAAGCGATGAAATAGAAATAAAAATAAAGATAAAAATAAAACAGTAGAGTCAAAAAGCTCAAAGTGTATCAAAAGAGAAGGAAAAAAAACACAAAACAAAACCATATCTACACGATCGACGCCGGAACCGCACTTTTGTTTGTAATTTCCATAAAACCAATTCATCCTTAAGCAGCTCAGCCAGACCAGCAATATCACAAGCTCTGCTCGTCAACCGATCCGATCCGATCAAAGGACAAAAAGGATAGCAAGGGCATCATCAAGGAAGGGAGCAATGAAAAAATAAAAAGAACAAAAAATCAACCCTGTACAGAACGCAGACCGGCATGCATCGACGCAGGATTTCAAGAAGACAAAACAAAAACAAGAAAACAAAACAGCATCCTGACCATCCTTTCCTACCATTCCGCGTCTCGCGTATCGCGTATCAAACAAATGGAAAACAGGAAGCTCTTCTAGCCAGATTTTGCTAAGGTCTTGATCGCTCAGACGAAGGGGTATTGAGTTGAGTTGAGCAAAGCAAAGCAGAGGCTCAAAGGTGGGCTCTATCACCGCCCAGATAAGAAGAAACCTTCTGAGTGGAAATGGCGGGATATCGAGCTGGAATGAAAGACAGACAATGCCATGATGAGCATCGAATATTCAAATTCACAGCAAAAGAAGAAAAAAAGGACAAATAGGAAGGAGACGGGGAAAAGTAAATAAAGCAAACTAAATCAAATCAAGCCACAGGCTCAAGCCCAGTTGAAGAGATAAATCAAATCAAACTCAAACTCCAAACCAAACCAAACCAGTTCATGACATCGTGTGTGGAGCGTAGCGTGGGATACATAGTAGAGTAGATACTTCCACGAGCCATAGATCATCGCATCACATAGCGGAGGGTAGGGTAATATTATGAAGTTGTGTTTCATTTCATAGAAGGCCTTCTTCACCGATCCCGGGGAGTCCAGCTCCAGCAACGTTGATGTTTTGACCTTGCATAACACCACCGCCAAGGTTAAGGTTTCGACCTGCAATCTGGAAGTCGGGATTGCAAGGGGGCGAGTGTGATTTGTGGTATTTGAGTCCGTTCAAGTTCTTATATCGTTTACCGCATACTTCGCAGCGATAAGGCTTTTCTTTCTCCATACCGAGGGTGCCGGGGTAAGGTGCTGATGTCTCTGGGTTGACTATGGAAAATGTACCATCGGCGTTATCGTGTAGCTGTTGATTATTGTGACCGTGCTGTAGAAGAGAAGATTAGTTATGAATTTCCATAAAAACAGTAAATGCAAATGCATTTGCAAATGCAGATAAGAGCTTACAGCTTTGTGATATTTAAGCCCATTCTGGTTCTTATATGCCTTCTCACAGCCGATAACAGGGCATCGGAATGGTTTCGGCTCTTCATTAGGAAGAATCGATGTAGTATCTGGTACCCCAGCGAGAAGCTGTTGCTCACGGATTCTTCTCGCAATATCGCTATTAGGACCGTACTGAGCTCCACTCAATTTAAATTGTGAACTTGTCGCGCCCATGCCTCCCGTAGGGCTGAACAGACGCTTAGCCGGGTCATCGATGCACAAATCAACCATATCACTGTTACCACCACCGTAGTGCCCAAATTGGTTTTGATTTTGACCCATGACGTTATTTTGCATATTAAGATCACCAAACCCGCCTATCATGCTCTCATCGATTTCAACTGGTGTTCCAGGTGCTGACGAATCTGGGGTATTTCGGAACTGGGAGGTTTGAAGAGGGTTGGCCATTAAAGTGGGAGTATTGACAGAGGAGACGGTGGGGTTATTCTGCAGCGAAAGAGGACGTCCAGAACCAATCGGAGTACCAGGTTGAGACGGGGTGCTGAAGCCCTGGTGGCTTGGAAGCATTCCCAGATTTAATTGGGAGCCTTGGTTGGAGTTTCCGAATCCGCCTTGGCCACCTTCGCGTAACTGAGGAGAAAACAATTGTGAGGTGGTGCCATCATCATCGTCCATAGGCTCGTCCAACTCCATGTCATCGATCGTGTCTAGATCGATATGCTGGGATGACGAAGAGGTGGTCTGGCCCAGCTTCCTCTGCATGTCCAAAGTACGATCAGACTGCATGCCGTGCCCTTGATTGCCATGTTGCTGACTTTGTTGCTGGGCGATCGCAGCAGCTGCCAAGGCAGCTCGATTCTCACCCTGGCTCGGACGATGGCCTTGGTTGGGCGACTTGGTCGCATGGGCTTCTTCGTAGTGTTGTAATAGGTCATGAAGTGTCGGTAACGTCACACCGCAGCAGGAAAAGTCCCGCATGAAGTTGGCCTCCAGCTTCGGGAGATATGATGAGGAGTGGAAAGAAGGCGACTGGAAGGTGAAGGGGGACGTGCCAGTCATGATGATGCTGTGTAGGAAGAAAAATTTCATGGTCAGTCTGCGATGTCGTGCGACAGTACTGTAGCGCACAGGATGTCCCGCGCGCCTGAAGGTTGAGGGGAGTGGGAGGGGGGGGGGAGGAACGAATGTTTGAGGAAAACTTCCGCTCAGCATTCACAAAAACTCACTCATCACGAATCCAGCTTCCTACTGAAATACCTCCCCAGCTCATACCGCCTACCAGACTCCCAGCGAGAGATTCCCGACGACCTTTATCGCGGGCGGAACCCGACATTGAGATAGGTTTTGTCCCGTTTCCCCATTGTGCATTTGCGGCGCCGATTGAATCCTTACGAGGCGGCGGTTGTTTGAACACCCCGAGACCACCACTCGCGTGATGCGATATACTTCCGGTGCGCTCGCCAGTGCCGGCTTTCTGCAGGGCCGACGTTAGGTTTGAAGCCTGCTGTCCCGGCGGTGAGACTGAGGTCGACTGTCGCGTGGCGATGTCTATTGGAGCGGCGCCAGTCATCGTGAGGGGTTGGTATGCAAATCGTATTTAGGGTTTGTTGGATGATTGGCAGAATAAAAAGAAAAAAAAGAGAAGTAAAAAAAAGCAAGTACACTGGTGTGTGATCGGTTGATCAGTGATCAGTGTTCTTGTCTTCTATTTGAATTCGGAACTTTTTTTTGGAGGGAAATCCTGGTCCCTGTCCGGTCTGCGCGAAGGGCACGCCAAACCCGAAAGGCTGGGAAGAGGGAACAGGGTAGGTAAGGTTCAGGTGTTTGAAGCGCGAGTCAAGAGCACCCCAAGAGTTGAACAAAGTCGCGAGCGATGGGAGTTGGTAAAAAAAAAAAAAAAGAGGAAGTTGTATGAATATGCCCCTCGACAGGTGTGGACTTGAGGACGATGGCGGTTTTGGGCGGGTTCTCAAGAGTCCACCCTCGGATGATGTCCCGCTCTTCTACTGGAGCCAGAGCGCTGAGCCTTGGAGTGGCGATAGACTGTTACAAACAGACAACCAAAGAAGAACAGGCGAGATGACTGATGTCTAAGATGCCAGAAGATCCTTCACAGATAAACTAGGTGAACTTTGCCAAGGGAAGGGAAGAAGGGAAGGGGAAGTCTCTCTCTCTCTCTCTCTCTCCAAAGTAATCATCAGTTCATCGGAAAACGCCCATTTGACTATGAGAAGGGCTACAGAGGGGGATCCGCTTTGGGACTAGTGCCGTCACCGTATTACCGGGTCCACGTGATGGGCTCCACTGCAACCAGCCAAGTCCTTACCAGAGCCCAATGATTGTGTAGAATGTAATGAAACATATTAACTTGGGGAGCATTCACTAATCCATCAGGATAATACTCTACACAGTAAACTCCACGATCGCTGATCTTTTGGAGTCTCTGAAAGTCCGCTCTGGGGAAAGAGCAGCACGACCTGGCATGCATCGATGACGGGGTCGGCCTGCCGATCGCTACCATGATGACACGACACACCGCTTGCAGGAACGTCATGATCTGGTATCGTCGGCCTGAAACACGAACACTAGCGTATTATTTATGACTAACGGGTTCTTAGCCAATGTAGACATGGAGAGAAAGAGAGCTATAACTCATGATGAAGTCAGTCTATTGGGGTAATTAATCATGAATGTCTTGTTTTTGAATGGCTTTGTAACCGGATCTACTGCAACTACATACTGCCCACATAGTATACGGACAAGCTCACAAAGAACATACTATATAATTCACACAAATTCACAAACATGATGGAGGACATTCATGATGGCGTAGCTCCATGGTCTCTCGTAACAGTAGTGGAGTCCGCGACCACTAATAGTAATTTAGCCCACTGAGACAGGTCCGTTTCGTCTCCGACCATCATCTCCCATGGCTCAATCCTGAAGACCGGTAGCTCCACTACGATGGATGCCGAGAACTGTTCCTTTTTATTGCGTATACTGTATCATTGTCATTCTATCAGTTTATCAGTTATCAGTTATCAGTTATCGCAGAATGCAGAATAGAGATCCCAGCCACAGTAGATCTGGGGGTTATGCAAGGGGCAATAGAGATAATCACGGTGGCGAACTTTTCCAGGCTCCGCTGTACTGGAAATTGGGCGGGGATCGATCATTCCAATCGCGATTTCTCCAAATAAGAGAGAGACCTCGGTATAATGCGCTTTTTTATGATCAGGGGTGATTGAGAAATGCCAGTGGTTGGTGTATGTATTTTCCGACTCCATCTGTATAGATTACTCCTATACTCCGAGTCCTATACCAGGTACAACTACTAGTATTCCCATTATTGCCCAACTATCACCAGGTATACTTCATATCCCCAGCCACATGATCCCAATCAGAGCTAGTCCCAATAAAATACCCAGGGAAACCATCGCCAAACGGGCGGAACCCCATCGCCCAAAGTTTCAGTCGGGAGACAACGGGTCTTGGCTTTGGCGCTAGAAACGCGGCAGAAGCATTCGCTCGGGCTTCGATCATTAGCGTACAATAGTACACTAGTACACTTACACTAATGTATACAGCCCAGGAGAGAATACACGAACACACAAACACACCAGTGAAGCCCCGCTTTTCCTAGAAATTGGACCCTCACCAATTTGTCGGCCCTTGTCGGCCTCGGATCCCCTCGATCCCTCAACAGATGGAAATGGGCCCGCGTACTCCGTCGATCACCCTGTGCTCCGTCAAGTACTGTACTCCGTCCCCGACAACTTAATTCCAATTTATTATCGGGGACCTGCAGCCGACTTGGCCTTCTCTCCGGATCTCTATACAACATTACATATGCAGTACTAGCAATCAGTAATCAGTAATTCTGCCGCGCGGATTCCCCACGGAAATGAGTCGGTATTACACTCAGTCGGGCATGGCGAACACCCAATCAACTCGGCACATCCTCTCCCGTCCTGAGTGGTTGTAGCGTGTTTTGCATTATGAGACCGGTAGTAAACTCCGTCCACTGTAGAAAGTTCAACGTGTTCACTAGTGGTTAGCCGATCTAATTAACCATGCCCATTGCCTTTCACACCACCAATCATATTGGTCGCTCATTGTAGCCGAGTTGAACTTGAACATTCTTGAAGGAGGGTACATACGCGTGCGAAACCAGTCTTGCTCCACGCATGGTTAAATTGAGGATCTTCCCTAAATTTAGCTTGATTTAACATCTACAAGGTATTTTATTTTATATTTTGTATCTATGAGCTACCCCTTAAAGTACATGTATGATAAGGTTTATAACGTCCACAATAGAACTTATAGTTGCATCTTTGCCATGTGGGTCATCTCCCCAGTGGCGCAGTTGCAGAACGATTAAGGAAGCAATACCCCCTGTCTTGGCACAATGCCCTGCAGGTAGTCAGAGATCGTGGCTTGCGTGAAGAAATACTAGTTAATCGTACGTGGGGCTAAGTTTATCTACTCGTAAATGTAAGATCGCGTATATCCGTCTATCTGTCTACCTACTCCGTACAGCGAGGTTGATTCGATGATACGGCCATTTAGTTTACAAGACAGGCAGGTCTCAGTCTCAGATAAGGTGTTCCAACGCCCAATTGAATTTAATGGTGATAAACCCCGACCCCTGAACACGGAGAATTGAATCAAAAAGGGCTTATCAAGCGCGGGTCACTTTGCTAAAGTCAATATCTGTGGGTCCAGCGTGAATCTATCATGTGGTTCCGTAAAGGACCACGAAGATCAGCGCTAAATCGATGCAAGTGATTAACAATTTGATCTTACAGGGGGTTGACTGTATGACCTACATAGGGTTATCTACCCCGATCCTGAAACAACAACCAGAAACGTAGGTAGCATTCACTTTTCAAGTAACGCATACATACCACTCAGGAACCTCCCTAATAAACTTCCACATAAACTTCTCCAAATTAGTCGCACACTTAGAATAAACCATCGTCCCGTCATTATACTGTCGTCAATTCCCAAAATCAACCTAAGATCACCAACAAGCTCCCCGGGAGTACCATACAAGTCCTTTTCCAGTTTCTCCTCCATAGTCCTCAAATCTATCGGCTCTTTAATAACGTCATAATAATCCGCAACTTCATCCTTATTAACCGGAACAAGAAACGGCCACGCCTGCTTATGGTTCTCAATCTGATTCAAAAATCGTCTCATTCCATTAAAGTACGGACCATGTCTTGGCTCTCTCGCCAAAGAATCCATATCAGGAGACCAGCCCGTCGCACGAATAGCAGGAATAGTAAGCGGATCAATTGGGACAACAACACCAGTAGTCACCCATTGCTTTGGCGGTGGATGGATAACATGGTTCCTGCTCAGAGTTCTGATTTTCGCCTGTACAATAGCTTTCTGCTTAAGAAGTAAGCGGCTTATTTCGAGATATCGTTTCGCTCTTCTGAAACTGCAGGCTATTGAAATGAACTGGTTGGAAGGTTCTTTGAATTTGTTTCGAGTCTTCGGGTTTATATATCGCACCTGTTCAGGGATCGGATCGGTACCCTTCTGCAGACGGCTTGGGTTTGGATGATGGGCTCCCTCGATTCATCATGGAGGCTTTTGATTCTTTTGACAAGTGGTTTGTTATCTGGTTCTTCCGTAGCCCGGTGCTTCGCGTCGCAGTTTTGATCGTTGTCAGCTGGAAATGACTGCATCAGTGCTTCATACATTTGGACCAGGTGGTTTCGTTTATAGGGGACTTGAGTATTTGATAGATACAAAATTCAATATGGTGGAGTTTCAACTCTATCTTAGTCTCAGCCTCAGCCCCTTGATGAAAGAGGTACTTTGTGGTTGGGATGAGCACCGACGATCATCAGGTGACACCGAATCTATGTCGTTCTCCGGTCGGAATGGAAACACGAACTTCTTGATTCTTATTTTCTCGGAAATGAACCTGTGGGTGTAAATGGGTAGTGAATTTCCTGGTTTCGTCGTAAATCTGTCTTTTTTAACATGTAATAATGTTTCCTCGTGTTGTCGGGCATATAAGGCCTTTGCCAAATATCAACGATAAAGCCTCATCGTCAATGCCGCATTTCTTAGCAGCTGCTGGGATTACTTAGTATGTCTCAACTGTAGACCACAGGCTACTATTCTCAAGTCTTCAAAACTGTTTATTAGCTTGAAAATTACTTCCGCCTATATTTGCTTGTTTACATCCCCTCCTACAAAGCTTGATTAACGCAGGTGATCTGTTGAGCCGTGACCATTGGCCGTTTACTGAAAGTACATGCATGGTTATCGCCCTGATGGTTGAGGTAGGAGACCTTGATTAAGAAATTTGATGGTCTTCAGAACCTGAATTCTTCGCACTAGCTAGTAATTCCCTCTAGCATGAAATACTCTCATCTTACCAAGACGACGTCTCTTACCACGACGTCATTTATGCCTCTTTATTGTGTTTGAACAGGGTATTTAGTTTCTCTTGTCTAAAGTTCGAGCGCGAAGATGAAAGTAGTAGCCTCCAATGCCAAGCACTTGGAGCAAAAATATCATCATGATCGTCATGCCATGTCTGTCGCTTTGAGGTGTGCCGGCCCCGGGGGTTGGCGTTACCTGGGGCTTCCTGGGGCCTCAGGCGGCCCTGCATCAGAAATGGTGGGGTTTTCTTCGCAAACACTGTGACCCTCTAAGCCACTGGAAGTAATCTATTGAAATTGGTACTTCACTGCATCTCAAAAAGTATTATGACTTACACCCGGATCAAGCAAACTAAATTCGTCGAAAGTACAGCCCAATTTTGGATTTTGCCTTCTCACGTCATAGCCATTGAAATATCCTTTCATTTGTTTTGTCAAAATACGCTATCTAATTAAGTAAAAATGCGAATCCTAGATCGGAAGCCTAGGATTATGACCTGAGATCCTGATGAGATGAAGAAAATGTCTTCAACACGTAGAGCCTTACCACGTTGGGTGTAAACGGCGGGATGATTGAACCCCAACGGGGGCTCGATTCAAGCCGGGGGCCCTAGGCGCCTTGAACCGATTCATCCCTCAGAGAGGAGCTCATACATTCTAGAACGAAGTCCCTCACTTGAAACTCATAGTATCACTAATAACTTTCTGGGGCCAGGAACCTGAACTTATGACGAATATATGCTGAATACCTTGGAAACCGACTCGTATCCGGAGCCATGAAGCTTTGGAATCGACTCGGAGTTCAAGCTCTCCCTGGCGATGCAGTAATGCGGGGCGGCCCCAACCGAGATAGTAAGCCCCTAAAATCCCATCCTTCGAATATCCAGACGTGACGATCCTTGGACCTGCATATTGGGGCCGGGAAACACAAGTAAACAGTTGTTGCCATAAAACTATCAATTTTGAGTTGAGCATAGCCAAGCAAGATTCAAGCTGGAAAAGAACATTTGGGCAGTCGTCACAGAGATGATCGCAGCTGCGGAATGGAGAGGCATTTTGACTGAACTTGAGTAAAGCGAGCATGACAGGCGGCCGGGGTTTCTGATATGTGTGGAGTTCGACCCACTTGTAAACAGCCACGGCATCATCTCAGTCAATATGGATGCGGTATGATAAACGCTCGGACTCATGTATAAACTACGTGAGCATATCCACCTGAGCAGTGGAAAGCTCATTTGCAAGTTCCGAATGAGGCATAGCCCCTAAAGAGTTGTTTTAGAAGCCCCCTTTCCTATTGATAGAAGAACGCAGATCAAATTTTCTTGTCAATGTAGCCCCCAGAGCTTGAGAGTCCACCGCTGCGATTTGTTAAAATCTCAAAAGTATAAATTTCAACGTCATAAGCTAAATAAACAGATACCAGCTCTAGGCGCAAGCATAAATAGGGTCCATTCTCCCTTCCAAAACTGTTCCCTGAAAATCAAACAATCTCTCGATAACAACTACATACAGAATATCGCCTCGTTACCCCAAGCTATTATTCTCTCCTCAAGCTTTAAGCTTCCAACCATCGCCAAAATGATGTATTTCAAGTTCATGGCCCTCGCCCTCGCTGCTTTAGCCGTTGGCTCACCTGCTGGTCTTGACAAGAGAGACGGTGACTCTATCAGTAAGTGCATGATTCCCCATGTTTGACCAGGGTTTTACTGATTCTTTGCTTCTTCCCGATAAATAAAGAACGCAGCACTGCATGCGAAGGAAATAGTGACTGCCCTTCTGGCTTCGAATGTTTTCCCCTCGGGAATGTCGGCGGTGGAATCTGCGGAATGACGAGCGCATAAGCATCCACGAAAAATCAGATAATGGCTGGAAATAGGGACTATTGTAATGCGAAAGACAAGATACTTGGTCAGTAGGGCGGTTAATACGTTCATTGAATTCCTCGCATGTCTTTCTATTTGAACCCGAAACTAGTTGGCTTTTATTTGCGTGTGATAATACCATTCTTGATCGATCAATCAGAATATAAGACTTTCCAACAGGCTATTGTTATATTTCCAATTCGAGCTGGTAGAAGCGGATTGCAGAGTATGACCTCTTTGAAGTTTTGGAGGGCACGGTACGGGTAGTTTCTTGGTTGTGTCATGAGATGTGATGAGAAATGAGGTTTCATGTGGATCAGATAATAGTGTATCCTGGTCTGCTTTGACCACACTGACACGATCACAGTAGGAGTTGTCAATATCAATTTGCAGATCTGGTCTAATCTATTCTCTCTCTTCATTGACTCTTATTTGCATATGTTCACATTGCCTTTGAGGAACAAGACTATTCCGGTGTTATCTGCCCGCTCTGTGGATTGACTCGTCGTTCACACCACAAACAAAATCTGGGGGCCATTCAACTTTCGTTTTGACAGGGATTCTTTTCTTTGTCTTTGACTCTTCCGACGTTTTTCCGACCTGCCTTTTCCCCTTAACGCTTAGTACGTACTTTCTCAGGGGCACTCTTCTCCCGACATCCTCAAAACATCTCATCTGCCACATCCGCATTCACATCCACGTGAAGCTGAAGATATCATCATCGAATGATACCTCCGGTGTTACACGGTGTACGATAACTTGAAATTTAAGTGTACGTGACCCAGACTTTATGGGTATCTTTTCATACTGGCGGCCATTGTTGAGGAGGATATTTTACATGTTTTTAGCTCGAGCTACGGTGGTTTCAATTGATTGTGATTTTAATTTATGTAGCACAAGAAGCCTCGATCTTAATACGTAGACAATCTGAAGGAGTTTTAGGTACATACAGCGGGGAGTATGCCCCAGCTTTAGAAAAAATATCTTATAAAAAGAAAATAGAAATAGAAAAACTAACCCTTCCCAGCGTGTCCTGAAATAAAATTGTCGTTTTCGATGCCATCGCTTCCGTCCCTCTTCTTTGCCTTATCCTTCCTTGCCCTTATAATGGGTAGCGACGAGATTACAGTACCATCCTTTGGCTTCCTCTTCATATATTCCGAAATGCTCCCCGAGTTCTGGGATCCAGTTGGCAGATCATGCTGCTTGGTAACATTGGCTCGCAGGACTGAGGTGGAAGAGAAGCCCTTCTACAGCCCATTAGTGACTACCTTACACACTCAAGTCAAGGCCGTGTACTTACGAAGGCCCTTTTGCAGCCAGGGAAACGACAAAAAGTCTCCACGTGGTAGATAATAGTACACCCAGCGGAGTCCTGTATCGGAAGTCAATACGCGTCACCAAGAATCGTCTCAGCTATGTAGAATGCCTTTTCATATGCAGGAAGTGTAAGGCTGCCTTAAGCACCACGGCACCGATACTCCAGGTACTCGGGGCATGTAGATAGGAAAAGCGGAATAGTACTGCGATAACGAGGGGAACTCATTTGGAATTAATTTTGAATGACTTGAGCAGATTTCGCCTGGCAGTGATAAGGAAGCGTGAGCGCGAGAAAGTAGAAGATTAAGTGGTGCAAGAGCATATAGTGAGCTACCTATAGACGTGCCTGCCTAGATGGGAAACCGTGGGAACATCCCCACAGGTCCACGAATCCGGCGGATAGTACATGATTAGATGCGATACGACGTCTGGATAATGGATATCGATAGAGTCAATTACGAAATCCCATAATGGCTAAAGCTCGTTTCCAATTTTAAGCGACACAAATGCCATAAATATCTTCGTTTGTTTTCCCCTACCTCCCTCTTTCCTTGATACTAGTATTTATTTCTTTCATGGATGGATTGATTATTTCTTTTCTACTTTGATGGTACTTACTAGTACTATTCTATATAATATATAAAGTCCTGCCAGTGGAGTCTTATTCAAGCCCAAAGTTGCCTACTATTTGTACATGAGTAGAAAACGATCTTCTACTAGTATTTCCGTCTGTGTCCTTCACAACACTTACAATGGCGAGCGATAGTTTCAGTACGACTTGAAGGCCGACAATGAAGAGGATTCAATGTTACCAGAAAGAAGTGCCGTAGTGACTTGGTTATTACTGTGAAGCAGCTAGGCTCAGCCCATACCTTTCTTGCCATATCAGCTGCCAGTGCCGATACTAGTACACATTGGTATGATCTAATGCAACATCTCCCAAATTTGAATCGTTGGCTAGGAGGTTATGCCCCTATCCACATCCGTATAACACGTGAAAGCCTTCGAATGAACCCCTTCTCAAGAAGGGTGCGTATCTCTTTGGACCTGCTTCAATCAATTCTTACCTCGCTTGGGTGAGGAATCGAGTGGGCCAATTGGGTAGAGTCTTGGCATTTTGGGGGTGCGTCTGTCTGCTCCCCGAAATGCCAAGACCAAGACGCTGCACCCCACCATATGGGGTTCACCCCATTTTCCACCTATAAATCAGAACTCTCTGTCGTTTATCGTGTCTTTTGCTTCAAAATTTAACAGTCGCAATACCTATCTCTTTATATCAGTCACGACCGCACCCTTGAGGCAAATATGTCGTCTCCTTCTCCCGTCGATGCCCCCGAGCATGTCCTAAAGCTGCTGTCCGAGCTTCACCAGAAGTCTCTAGAGCAAGAAGCTATCATCTCGAAAAGGGGAAAGATCTTTTCTTCTGACGTACTCGGAGATCTCGAAGATAAAAAGTCAACAAAAAATCCTCAAAATGAGTTCGATCAGCTCATGCTCGACAAATTTATTGCATTAGACGAAGACAAATGCCAGTTCGCCTACCAGCTCATTAATGCCATGGGAGCAACCAACATTGTCGAGGCGGGAACTAGTTTCGGAGTCAGTACTATATATCTTGCTCTTGCTATCTCAAAAACGAAAGCCGCCACCGGCAAGCCCGGAATTGTTATTGCGACAGAAAAAGAGCACCAAAAAGCCGAAGTAGCCCGGGAATATTGGGCTCAATGTGGGGCTGGCGTAGAAAAAGAGATCGATCTGAGAGAAGGAGATCTACTTGAGACCTTGAAAGACAATCTACCTGAGGTAGACTTGCTTCTACTTGATAGTAAGTCATCACTCATGTATCGGCTTGCTAAAAGTTCACTAACGAAGATATAGTTTGGTCCGCTCTTGCTCTTCCGACTCTGAAAACTGTCCTCCCACGTCTTCGACGCGGCGCAGTGGTGTTGACAGATAATACGATTTCTGGTGTGAAAGGCTATGCAGATTTGCTTGCATTTCTACGAGATTCTACAAACGGCTTTCGGAACATGACCTTGCCCTTTACGAATGGGTTTGAAATGAGCGTCTACCAGCCCAGCGACCAATAACTAGAAATAGCTTAATCGGGTTCGAAGCCCTCCACCTGTGTACGGTGCAGGAGATTTTGAAGCTCACCTGAGCCATGCTCATCCTACGGGCAACCTCTATGCTAGATGTTGCTATAACTTCTCAGTTAACCTTGGAAGCCTGCAAGGCCACCCGCCAGCTAGTAAATATAGGAATTTATATGTATCATAAATGCCAAAATTTAACGCGAAAAGCCCATGTCTCAGATATTTAAATTCTAAGCCAACACTTGTATATTTTCCTGCTTGCTCAGGCTGTGGGGATTCGGTGATGAAAGCCGCATGACTAAGATCGAGCAATTTCGCGATTTACAACCCGTGGATATAGGAGCTCGCGGCTTCATCTTTCTGCGTCGACGGGAAAAATGCCTCCCCGGAAGCGCCAGCGAACCAGTCAGCTGAAAAGTGACGATGGAGTAGCAGATAATGAGGTCAATAATATCACCTCAAGTCCTGCGGGCGGAACACGAGAATTTCGCTGTCAATTCTGTAGTAAGGAATTTTCCCGGAATGAACACTTACAACGACATGAACGGCTTCGTATGGCCTCCTTTTCCTTGGGTAAAACAATACTAATGCACTAGTAGATACAAAGGAAAAGCCTTTTAGTTGCAAGGAATGCAATGTTGGCTTTGCGAGAAGGTACCAATCTGTCCTTGCGCGGAGATCAATCATACAAAGGCTAATGGGAACAGCGACCTCCTCACGCGGCATATTCGTTTATCTCATGAGAACACGAACAATGAAACTTCAACTACTGATAATAAACGCGAGAAACTGCCAGTATCGGGCAACAGATCGTCAATTCCCGTCGGTGGTATCTCATTGCAAGACTTATTGATTGAGCCGAGTGACTCAGCCTCCCACCCCAATATTCCATCATCGGGAGTAAATCTTGCCTCCAGCGCAGACACATCCGACCTGAACAACAATGAAATCCCATTCGATGTATCAAATGACCTTTCTCTAACCTCTACCTTGAGTATGCCTTGGATTCAATCCACAAATAATAACTTTAGCGACTTTGCTATGTTTATCGATAATATGACTGCATTGGACGGGCAGTATCCGTCTTTTTTTATCGATCAACCCATCTTGGACTTCTCACCTGCGCCGCTTTTTGCCTCACATGAAGCCCATTCGGACTCCTATGGACCATCACGCCAGTCCCCAAAAGAGCCCCCACCAAGCAACTTAGCTGCCAGGGCGCCTAACTCAACACCACATTTATTTGATGAATTTGGGTCATCTTTCCCTTCTTTTGAATCAACCTTCCCTCCGAAATCAAGAAAAGAGCCATTCAAAGTGACTCAACAAGATTTAGAGTCTCTATCTCTCGAGATACAGAAATATGCTTCAGTTTTGCCTTCCAATTTCGTCCTTCCTTCGCGCCATACCCTGACCCGTTATATTTTTACTTATTTTTCGGGATTTCATCGTCACCTGCCTATGGTGCATGTTCCAACATTTTGGCCAACCAAATATCCGGTAGAGTTGATTCTTGCTATGAGTACAATCGGTGCTCTGTCAGCTTTCGATAATGACAACACAATCATGTTTTTCAGGGCTTCGCTCGGGATAGCGCAAGAAAGACTTCGGAAACGACAACTTGATAAGTGCGAGAAGCTCTATTCCCCTCGCATAGAATCACCAGTTATCATCCAATGTAGTGAGGGGGTTATTGCCCCCAAGGATAGGCAGTTCGATCCATTGCCACTCGCACAAACTCTGCTTATTCTTCTCGCAATGGCAACATGGGGTAATTCGAAAGACATTTACAACGAATCAATTGCAATTCAAAACACTCTAGCGAACTACATGCGCAATGAAAAGCTTCTTCGTCCTCGGCTACCTTTGGGAGATGATTGGTCCTCGTGGATCCAAGCAGAAGGATTCAGGAGAACTATTACTATTATCTTCTGCTTCTTTGTATTCCACACCATCGTCTATGACATTCCTCCACCTATTCTCAATTCGGAGCTTATCGTCGATCTACCCTCGCAAGAGGTGATTTGGGAAGCTCAAAGTGAGACCGAGTGGCAAGAAGCTCGAAAAAAGCATACACAGAGCTCAAATTTCCAAACACACTTCTCTCATCTTTTTGAAAATTTATCAGGAGCGAGGCCAATGGAATTCTCTCAACTTGGAGGCTACATTCTTATATTAGCCCTTATACAGCATATTTATCTTTTACGCGAAACAAGCCGGCATCATAGCGATGTACGAGGCCTCGCACCAGCAGATGTGTCCAACGTGGAACAAGCATTGAAAAACTGGCAGAGTGCATGGTCCCTAGACCCAGAATCATATCTAGGCCCAGGCTCATCCCTTGGCCCAATATCATTTAACGCATCCGCCTTACTTCGCATGGCATACATGAGACTAAACGTTGATCTCGGCCCCTGCCGCGCCTTAAACACACACGACCCAGAAGAAATAGCGTTGTCCATGCATCAAAGTCCGCCTCTAGCCCCGAGTCGGAAATTATCCCGTGCAGTACTATACTCTGCTCACGCTCTAAGCATCCCTGTCAAAATAGGTGTGAATATCGCAGCACGCAGTCAAGCTTTTGCCTGGTCTCTCCAACATTCTCTTTGTGCCCTTGAATGCGCATTTGTGATCAGCAAGTGGCTGATTGGTATACAGCCTCGCATCACCGAGGGGAGTCTTGACGAGGAGGAAGCTAGACTTCTCGCGTATATAGCTGATATGGTTGCTGAAGCGGATCCAGCAGGCGAGGTAGAGACCGATCGGTCTCATTTGTGTACACGGGTTATCAAAGTTTGGGCGAAGATTTTCAGCGGAGACGCACACTGGGAGGTTGTGAGATTCATAATCCGGGTTTTGAGTGCATACGGTGATATTCTCGAAAAGGCTCTGGCCGTCTGAATCGTCAGCTACGGCTATGCATCAGATTCATCAAATTATAGCGTTCATCTCTGTGATATTGCTAGATCTTGTTAAAACCGTTTCTCATATAGGACCCCGGGGCAACTATTGCATAGTACATTGGGTAGTCAGGGGTGTACATACTGCGTTTGCTTCTTTTCCAAGGTTATGAGATGACGTTTACCATAGCTTTTGCGCCCCGACCATTTCTATGAAGAAATTTTGGCGTAGTAAGCCTCTGGGCAGAACAGGCATTATGATTCATCAAATTGCACGGTCATCCAATTCAGATCGGGAATACTCATTTGCGAAGATGAACCCATGGTGGGCGAGGACGTGGTGGGCGAGGAGGCGCTTTCAAGCCCGACTGAGGATACCTGCCGCCTGGATAATGCAGCAAATGGATATCCACCTATTTCATCATAGTTGACAGTTTTACCTGATCCAAGCGCTATCATACTATGCATGCTGTATGCGAGTGAGCCGACTATGCCCTTGGCACAAAAGGCAGTCGGACAAGTGGGAGAAAATGCCTTGAGAATGGTTTGAGCGTGAGCAAGTGAGTCAAGCACCGGAGGCTCAACAAAGTCCAATGACTTGGCATATATGTAGGCAATTATCGTCAGTGTTGCGTTCCAGAGAGGCTGCAAGACCTCCGACCAGCCGTATAGTACGTCGGATGTAGAACAGACGGTGAAAATCGTTTCTATGACCATAATTGCGTGGTGAATGGCGCTGGAAACTTGAAGATCAACATATGGCTGTGGGGAGTCGGATTGAGTGATCGCTTTGCTGATAGTATTAGGGTAAAGGTTGCAGAGACGGACAAACGGCCTCTGAATGAGTGTGTATACGTTGTGATACTGAAGCTCCAAGAGTACAGTTTGGCGCTGTAGCGAAGTAGGCAAAGCCATAACGCGATCAAAGTCAAGCAACTCAGTATTTTCAGGGTTATTCCCATACTTGCGAGGCAAAATCCCTGGAGGTAGCTGGTGGCGCCAGAGTCCGATATCTTTAAGAGCACATTTGAGGGTAGCGGCATGATACTCAAGAGCAGCGGAGCTATTATCTTCGTTGACGAGATCCGAGGTAGAAATAGATGCACTGGAAATGTCTGATAGGATGGCGGCGAGTTTAGCCACACTGGTAGAATAAATATAGCCGTTTATGCATCCATCACGGTCGCCGGGAGCGATGCTTTGGTGAGCAAGTGAATCATCGGCAGGAAGTGGACATTTAACGAGACTTTCCTGAATAGCGGCCGGCACACCGAGTTGAAGAGAGCACTGGATATCTAGTGAGAAGAGCAACCACCACAATTGCATGCGAGCAGTCTTTTCATTCTCAGACAGAGAGGCCGGTGGTGGTCGATGAAAATTCGCAATATACGCCTTGCGGATAGTTATCCCAATCAAATTATAGGCGTCGCAGAAGGCATTGCCTTTCATGAAGTAGAGGACCATGAGAATATGGCACCTCAATGCGTCTATCGTTATTTCCGAGCTAGCCCTCATACACTCACGAGAGCGATGAAAATATTCAAACCCTGGCCAGGTGGTCTTCGACGAGGAACTTGTTTGGGATTGCTGTCGAAAGCCCAGTATACGCTGAGAAAGACCGGTGGCATGACTATGCTGTATGCCTAAAGCAATCATAGAATCGACCAGGGCGTTCTTGGCTGAATACTCATCAAATATAGTCGGCTGTGGTAAAGCTTCGAGCTCGGATATGTCTGCCTCGGTCATTATTTGCAGAATGGGATGGCATAAATCCCAAAAAAGTCTGATATAGTAGCTGCGTTGGCTTTTGAGTAGCTCGTTCGACGCCAGCGGGTGCTCCGCGGGCACAGCAGGATGCGGAAGTTGGGGGAAGAGACAACTTCTTGCGGCGGGGTTATGTGAGGAGTCGGACTGCCCACTGTGGAAAAATCCCAGGACATGAGCGGCGTGATCCAAATATTCTTGGCGGGCGTTGCGATTTGGAATCTTGATCTCCAAGTGACCCCCATCCTTGCCTGGGTTTATAGGTGGGTCAGGAGATAACAGTGGCGACTCACGCTCCGGGCGGTTAACGGTGCTTGTATTGGCCTGAAAAGAACGGGTAGAACCATAAGACACGGTGCATTCTACCTCACTGCCGACACACCGTGCGCAAGGTTTCGTCTCATCGCACTTGATGCGCTGCAAGCGGCAACGGTCGCACGCTTTAGCGACTTTGTGTCGCTTGGTCATGAAAGCGCCCGTTTGTTCGACATTGCCATCGTTGTTCTTATTGCTGGGCAGCCCGGTAGGTCCAAAGTCCTTGGCCTGTCTGCTGGCCTTTTTAGGCCTTGCAGAAAATTTATGAAACATGAAGGACCCGCGGCAATGATATCAGGTATGCATTAGACTCCCTAACCACCCGCATGGGAGTAAAACAATGTTAGAAAAGCAGACAGAGGATTATACCAATTACAAAAAAAAAGAAGAAAAAAATATATCAAAGAGGAATATGGAAGTCTTCCCTGCTCGCTGCGAGATATTTTACATGCAGTTCGGCCCTAATTCCCCTCCAGATGTCTATTACAAAGCGGGCGATAGGTGATTAATCAGCGCCGAGGATCTTCAATGTTCACATGGATAACACTTCAAGTCGACACTTTTTTAAATATCACATTTTTATCGTAGTTATAATCTGACAATCCCTTCTATCCAAAACAGATGATAAATCGGAGTGCATACATGTCTTCGTGCCACGAAAAGGTATCGATTATTTTAGATTGGTTTCTCCAATACTAACTTGAATGGGTTGATTTATCTCGCAGGTTGAAATTCGCATAGCTCCTTCCCAGCTAATGGCGCTCACTCACGGTAAAAAGAAGACATCTCGGAATTTTAATTGGGGCGAAGCATGGGATCATCATTCGTTTCTCCGGGATATGAGGATTCAACTCCTATAGTCCTTGAGTGCAGTTTATTATTAAAGAATTATGAGTCTAGGCAAATAGCAAGTTTAACATTTCAATCATTCCTAAAGTGACACGCGTTAACTATAATAGCTCTACTGTTGCCTACTGCAAACGTTACAATCTTTGCGCCGCCCCTGCGTCGCCCCATTATCAATTAACTGAGAGCCGCACAGCCCCCACTTCTTTCTCCGCACAAACGTCAAACCAACAGGTCCGGTTATCCCCATGACACTCTCAGTCACTCAAAGATAAAATATCCGGGGTAATCAACAGCCTGGCTTTAAACGAAATTTCAACGCACCCGAACTCTTTGGATCACCCTCATCCGGTTCTCCAAGAGTTCGGCAGTGTCCCCAGTTGAAAGTCCAACACCAGGACCAGTCGATTTAACTCAACTATCCACGATGAAATTCAGACTCCCGCCATTTGGATTTCGAGAGAGATTAGCGAAGAAATCAGCAAAACAGCGTAGTGACCAAGTTGATGAGCAACTCCTCGAATACGGCCGTCAAGAGAGAAGACAGTCTCTGTCTCTCTTGACTGGAAAGGGAACTTTCCACGATATCTTAATTCTAGGTAAGATCACAGCTTCTCTTTGTAGGGTCATCAACATCACCTGAAGAGTTGTGAGACTTATACGATGTAGGTCGACGTGGATCCGGGAAGTCTACCGTGATAAAGCTCTTTAGACTTGAGGATGGAGGTTTTTCTGATGACGAAAAAGAAGCCCAGAAGGCACTCATTCCGAGTCACATTATCACATTTACCAAGGTTATCTTGGATAACTTTCTTGAGGAAGATATTATCCTCAGTGAAATCCTTCATTCATAGGCACGCGCTCTTTCGGGGAAAATATCACATGGTCAAGCAACCATTACGTTTGCCGATATAATACATGAGATCAAGGAGATCTGGAAAGACAAAGATTTACAGGAATTCTTAACTAGCAAGCAAGAGAAACTTTCTGATACTTCCTTTCCTAAATAGTAAGTTTTTCATACCATTGGTCTATTGCCTCGCCATAAGCCATTTCTCACATCAAATAACAGGTTTACAAATTATCTTGACCGTATCCTGTCGGCAGAGTACACCCCAACCGACGATGACACGATACCCCTTTCCACCCCAACCTACGGAATCAATCAAACTATGATACCTTGGCCATATGGGGGTAATAGTTGGAGAGTCACTGAGGTGGGCCAGTGTGGACCAAGTCAAGAAAAGCTGCTACCGTATTTCTTCACCGATATGTTCGCTGTCCTCTACATCGTTTCTCTTTCCGACTACGATAAAGAGATCCATTATGATGAGGCTCCACCAGTCCTCCAGTTAAAGGAAGAATTGCACCGCTTCCAGAATATCTGCAAATCCCCTTGGTCTAAGAAGAAACCCATAATTCTGTTGTTCACCAATACTTGTGAAATAAAAGAAAAGCTGCGCGGCCAACCCCTCAATAAATTCTTCCCTGAATACAGTGGAAGCAACGACTATAGACAGGTAATTGAGTTTTTCGTGAGCTTTTTTTGCCCGAGAATTCAACCAGACTATGGACCTTCACGCACAACATAGCCATTTATGAAAAGGACAAGATTGCAACACGTTTCACAATTTCTCACATCGGTGGTAACATAAGCACTCCCCATTGCAGCGGAGATTCAAGGTTTGATGCTAATTTGAATTGAACAGATAATTTAGGACCGACCTATGCCGGCAAGTTTAATTTATTTTGATTGAATACCTCTTTGTCCATGGATCAGCATAGTATATAGCTAGATTAATAGGGGAAGTTTCCCTGCCTATAGTCGTCTTCTCATACTGTTCATCTAACTTAAAACTAGTTCCATACATCATCTGCTGGCTCATCCATCCATCCATAAAAAACTGTAGTTTAAAGCTTGAAATGATGCACTGTCTACGTGTAACACCCCCCAAGCACCATTGGCAATATTTCCTATGCCAATAACGGGATGATTAGTCGGGTTTTGCAAATAATAATCGCTAGCGTGCTGGTCTTCATTCTTGAATATCCTTTGCAACACCGTCATAAGGCGATCATGCATGGTGGAAGCTAAAATTCCACGCGAAGTTTCTTTGTAATAGTTCCCACTTTATGCATAGTTACAGGCATCCCGGAATGGAGCCAAGAATTGCCTCATTGAGCGCATCGGCACCCAATCATCCCCACATCGGCCCGGAGCCGCACTCGCTCAGCCAGTCAAAATTCCCCAATATAGTAACAAGCTGGCCGGAAAGTTTACAGGAGAAGCTTTAACTTTTCAATTAGAAATAAGGATCTTGAATGGGGATATGATTAAACAAAGTGTTTATTCCCTCCGAAACGCCCGAGGGGGTCCTTTAAAGTCATCTAAAATCCACACTTGTCAAAACTTTTGGAATGTTCAGAATCTGTGGCAGTCCTTTTCAACTTCCATCTCGACAGCTATAATAACCTCCAACAAGAAGCTTTTCTTCGACAAAAATAGTCATCTCGAGTTTGCACCAGATGATCCCGAGGACCCGAAGAATTACTCCTTCAAACGCAAGTGCTACATCACTGCCGTTTCTATCTCTCTCGTGATGAATGCTACTTTCTCCTCCTCTGCACCATCCGGCACATTCTAGGGTATTAGTGATGACCTTCATGTCTCTGTCGAGGCCGCTGGCCTTGTTACCACCCTATTCCTCTTGGGTTACTGCGCCGGCCCGCCCTTCTGGGCCCCTCTGTTCGAATTCTATGGCCGTCGTTGGATATTCTTTATCTCCTTTACTCTATACCTTGCGTTTGGATTTCTTTGCGCCTTTACGCCCAATTTTGCTGGACTCATAATTGGACGGTTCCTGGCTGGCACGGCTGTCAGTGCTGCGTTGACGAATGGGCCCGGCGTCCTTGCAGATATCTGGCAACCTGTTGGTCGAGGAAATGCCATGATTCTATCACTACAATGACATTCATAGGACCATCTCTTGGCCCGGTGGTCAGTGGGTTTCTCCAATTACAAGAGACCTGGCGTTGGACCTTCTACGTCCTTCTCTGGATGGCAGGCGCCACCGAAATTCTGCTCATCACTCTCCCAGAGACTCTTCCTATAATTGTCCTGCGCAACAAGGTGCGACGACTACGCAGAATTCCCGGCAAAGAACATGTTAAGGCACCAGTTGAGACGTCGAATTGTTTCTTAGCGGGCATCTACAAAATCGCCCTCACGAGACCTTGGAAACTTCTTATAGATCCAGTTAATTTCTTCGTGGCTATATACTATGCCGTCGTATAAACACTCTTATACATGCTCTTTAGCATTTACCCTATTGTGTTCCAACAGAACCGTGGCTGGAACGCAGGCGACGGGGAACTACCACTAATTGAAACCGTCATTGGCGCATGCCTCGGTGGCCTAGGGCTGTTCATTAACACGCAAATTGAAAGAAAAAAGCAAGCGCAAAATGGTACAGTGGTCCCCGAGAATCGTCTTCCGGGCGCCATGGTCGGAGGGGTCATGTTTGCAGTGACAATATTTTGGTTTGCCTGGACAGCTGAGTATAACTCCGTCCATTGGGCAGTGCCGACCGTTGCGGGCACCTTTCTCGCAACTTCAATACTCCTCATCTTCAACGCTTTCATCAATTATATCATCGATTCATATCTGATCGATGCCGCATCCGCTGTTGCAGCGAATACTATCGTGCGATCTGCATGTGCCGCAGCGTCGCCACTATTTACACAGTACATGTTTGATGGACTTGGAATTGGAGGGGCTGGCTCACTTATCGAAGTTCTGGGCCTGCTGCTACTGCCAACTCTCGTTGCCCACATACTGGATTGCTCCTTTCTGACTGCGCATTCCAGTGTCAGCACTTTGAGTGTTCCCCTTCCTTACTGTAATTATGGACCGGGTCGGTTTAATTATTACCCGGTCAGCACGGCTCGAGCTTACACCCGCCGGGCGTCACCATCGCTGGAGCACCCTTGTTACCTCCACATACTATGGACTTTACTTGGCTCGAGTCGCAACTTGTTTGAATACACCCAGAAGCGCAGACGTCTTATACACTATGGATCTATCATTGAGCTTGTTAACTTAGAAGAATTGAAATCTCCATTCTCGCCTTGACACTGCAATCGCATATACTTCTCCACTGCACGCGCCCTTCTAATCCGTACAATACACCTTCAATCTTGACCAGACACCGCATTCGTTTCATTCTATCGCATTCCTTTAATGATTGACCCCAATTCGCAGACCGGCATTGAACTCCCTAAAGTCACCCCTCAAGATTCCAATCCCGTCCCGCCTGACTTCATCCACAAGACTCTTGACCTTGGGTGCAATACTCTCCGGCGCAAATCCAAAATGCGCATACGTCTCCTTGGAAGGAAGACTCTTTCCAAAACTATTCATTGACACCGATGCATCTGCATAGCGCTCCCACCCAATAGACGGATACGCCTCGATCGCAACGGTCGGCTTTCCAGAACGCGGCTTCAGCACCGATTGCTTATACTCCCGAGACTGCTGTTCAAAGAGTCGATTACAAGGGAAGGAAACAACTCGCGCGCGAATACCATACTCCTTCAAAAGCAACTCTCGGGTCTGCATCGTATAGACCATTTCCGAGCCCACCCCGATAATCGTCACATCGAAATCCTCAGCCTCAGCCTCAGCGAAGACATAACCACCCTTCAATGCGCCCTCGCGTGAAGAATATTGGGGATACTGGGTTAAGCCCTGACGGGAGAGGGATATGACTGTTGGTGTCTCGGTCGCTTGTATGGCAGCAATGTATGCGCCAGCTACTTCCTCTGCGTCGCACGGGCGAATGTAAAGAACATTGGGCATAGCGCGCCAGAGAGCAGCCACGGCGATCGGCTGGTGTGTAGGGCCATTTTCACCCACACCGATGCTGTCATGGGTCGCGATGTGAATCTGTTGGAGGCCTTGAAGGGCAGCCATGCGTATCGCTGCGGCGGCATACAAATGGAAGACAAAGTATGTGCTCGTCATAGGCACGAACGTGCCCTTGTTAAAGGCAGAAATACCGTTCGTGATGGCGCACATAGCATGCTCGCGAATACCGTAGTGGATGTATCGACCACTGTAGTTTCCATCGAGACCGCAAGAGGTTCGAAGGTCCGGCTGTTGACATCAGTAACTGCAAATCATCTGGAGATAAGATCAGGTATGAGTACTCACGGACTGGAAGTCAACCTTGTCTTTGTAGGCGACATTACAAGATGGAGTAAGATCTGCTGTGCCTACTAGGAATGAGTTGATATTCTGTGCAAGAGCATTGGTCACCACGCCTGCGGACTTCCTAGAGGCAGTGGAGGCGGAAGGATGATCCTCTTTATGAGGGATGTATTTGGTCCAGTCGTCTGCCATCTTTCCTGCAACTCGGAGTGCAAATTCATCTGCCAGATCGGGATGCGCTTCACGGTACTTCGCTAGTGCCGCCTGCCATTTTGCCTCATGAGCCTCGCCGCGTCCAGGAAGATCACGGAAGAAGCTATATACATCCTGTGGGATATGAAAGTGCTCGTTAGGGTCGAGACCAAAAGACCTCTTGAGGTTAACGACCTCTTCAACTCCCAGGGCAGCTCCATGTACATCCGCTGTGCCGGCCTTGGTAGCACCGAAGCCAATCACAGTGCGAATATTGAGAAATGTGGGCTTGTCGCTCGACCGAGCGCCAATGAGGGCGTTTGTGACGGCTGATACACCTTAGCAGAACTTCTTTACCAAGCCAAAGGATTTCTGGGACTTACTGGCGACATCTGTGTCTCCGTCGTACACATCCACCACGTTAAAGCCGGTAGCTCGCATCTTCATATTGATATCTTCGGTATTGGCAACGTCTGCAGTGCCATCGCATGTCACCGAGTTGTTATCGAAAATGACACACAAATTGTTCAATCTCCAATGTCCCGCGAGAGACAGTGCCTCCAGACCAACGCCTTCTTGAAGACACGCATCACCGACCATGCACCAAGTCATATTGTTCACAACATCATGACCAGGCTTATTATATGTTGCGGCAAGATTCTTGCTGGCCATGGCAAGACCAACGGCGTTAGCGAGACCCTGTCCCAGTGGCCCGGTCGTGACCTCTACACCCTCATTTTCGATTTCAGGATGACCAGGGCAGAGCGAGTCAAGCTTTGCTGAGTGGTAGGACTTGAGCTGGTCCATTGTCATGCTTTCGACGCCGACGAGGTGCATAAAGGTATACTGCCATAGGCAGGCATGCCCTATCATGATCATTGTTTAATTCTATCATCAATATAAAGGGCCAATGGGAGATACAATAGCTTACCATTGGAGAGAACCAATCGATCTCGATTGAAATAATCACAATTTCTGGGTGAATATCTCATAACATACTTATACAAGGCGATACCAATGGCTGCCATGCCCATGGGAGAACTATCAGATTTAGTCAGCGCTATGCTGTGAACATTATCCGTAGAGGTATCGACTTACCCAGCATGGCCTTCGCCAAATTGCTCGCAGATATCTGCAATCACCACCCGAAAGACACCCATCACACGCTGATGCTTCTCCGGGCTTTCTAAGCCCAGACCACTTTCAGCAGGAGCTGCATGGAAAGCGGATGAGAATGCCTTAGTCGGCAGACTCTGAATGGGCTCCTCAAGGAGTTCTAATGCAGGCGCCATTATGAAATTGATGATAATTGTTTGGGCCTAGAACTTGATTATTCCAAGCCGAAACGAGTTGGAACTCTTATATTTACGATATTGAACTAGATCTATGGTATGTCCGCGTATCAGTCACGCGGCTATACTTGCCAGTCGTTTGGGATCGAGACGAAGTCACAAATGACTTAAGTCGATACAAATTAACACAGTGAGCTGAAGAGATCAAAGCGACTGCAAAATACAGGTGCTGTTGTGATTTGGTTTCGTGTCTCTTTGGGATTGGTAGATCCGCTCGCTTCGAGACCCATGGCCCTCGCCTCGACAACCACGTACGAAATGAAGATGCGCGTTGTCAATATTAGATGGCAATAGAGGATTTCTGATGTATCATCATATGGCACAAAGAGCTATGACACTCCCCATCCTGCCGGGCAAATTGTCCCAGACACTAAGAAACAGACTTAATGACTCAATTTCTTTGCTTATAGCCATTAGAACCGCCGTAGCATATCGGGTAAGTTCTGAACTGGCTTTGGAATAACTTATGCTACTCGTTACCTAGTCCCTATGCTCTCATTCGAAAAATAGTACTCCAAGCATTAATAACCATATCAATTAGGAATCTACTGCTATAATTGGCCTAAAGTGCCCCTTCACAGAGTTCCAGCTTGCGACATCAGACAGCCTATTCGGCCGATGTATTTTCCACCATATTCACCGTAGTAGTGCTCTCCTTCCCATCCATCCCCAAGTTACTCTGCTCAGACCTAGCCTTCGTGATATCAGCCAGTTTCCTTTTCGATATTGGACCAATGAGCCAGGTTGGGTTAGTTTCGAACATGACATCAATGTCTTCTAGAGCAGCTTTGCAAGTCTCCGGTACTGAAAACGAAATGCTTAGTAGGTGCTCCTAATTGAAGAAACCAGTAGATTCGGAATAAGAACTCACATAAGAAGTAAATCATGGGAATGAAGCACAGGTTTGTACATGCCCACAAAATGTAGGTTCCATATTTAATGCGAGAGATTAGCACAGGTGATATCATCACAACGAAAAAGTTGCAAAGCCAGAAGCAGCCGGTGGAGATAGCAACTGATTTTCCGCGTGTCTGCAGAGGAGTCAATTCCACCGGTAGTAGGAAGGCTAAACCGTTCGTGCCGATAGCACAGACAGTATTGAAAATGCTGAATAAAGTTAGCTATTTAGAAAGGAGAGAGTAGTTGCCATCACATGATACATACAAAATGAAGACTATTGAGACATATCCACATATCTTGTTACTTGGATATGCCAACGTAGCGGCAATGACGATCATACTGATACACTGCCCTACTGCCCCTAGTAAAAGCAACGGTCGACGTCCCATTCTGTCGACGAGAGGAATTGGAGCAAAGCTTGCAAGCCAAAATTCGAGGCCGACAACGCCGGAAAGAAGTAAACTCATATGACGAGACAATCCTAACGTATTTTGAAATATGATTGGCCTAAAGGGGAAAAAGATATAAGTAGACGATCGAGATATGAGCAGCAACCCATGACATCTTGTGGCAATAATCAAATGGACTTACACATAGTATGTGATAAGATTAATACCTGTAAGTTGATACATCATCATCACGAATGCTGATAACACAAGTCGTTGAAAGAATCGTGATTTGCCCTGAGTGAATATTGCCTGCCATCTGGAATCACTTTGCATATCTTCCTGTAGTGTCTGCTCAATCATTGCGACAGTGTTACGCTATATAAGAGCGACAAAATTAGCACATTTGCTTTCTTGCAATACTCAACTTCACAAGAGTACATTTACAGTTTCATTTGCACGTGTAGCAGGATCCTCCTCCACCGACAGCATATCGATGACATCGCTAGCTTCGGCAATTTTTCCATTTCGAATCAGAACTCGGGGTGACTCTACAGTCATACATGTCAGGTCTCAGTACATTTGATGTCGGACTTGAAACTCAGAATCCCGTTGCATACCTGGAAGAAACATTGCAAGAACTATTGTTAAAATCGAGAAAGCGGACTGCAAGCCCAGTGGCAATCTCCATGCCCAACCATTATTTCCGGTACGAGTAGATGCTGCGAGGCCATAGTCAACCCAATATGCTAGGGCAATGCCGAACTATTAGTAGCGATGACTGTCAGAAAAAGGGGGCTTTCAATTCTGCAGAAATTTCAAATTGCTTACTAGGTTGATATTGAGTTGCCACATGACAGCTCGGCCTCTCGTCTTGGCCCGGGAGCACTCGCCGTTCCAAGTTGGTAGTACGGCAGCTGCCATTCCATTACCCAATCCAGCTATAGCGAAGAGATGTTAGCCTGCTCTATTGTCAAAGAATATGTTGGGGGCAAATATTACCGACAATGCGACCCACAATTAACTGGGCAAGATCAAAGGATGAGGCTTGAAGAATAGCTCCGATGATAATAATCAGCTCGCCCAGCATGATGGTGAGCCTCCGGCCGAATCGATCACCACTAATTATGACAGTCAAGGCCCCAACTGCGCACCCTAGCTCATATACAGCAACCTGTAAAAGTCAATTTGACATTTTCAGTCCATGGAGTCAAGTTATGAAGGCGCTGACTTACAGTAAAGCCTTGAAGGGTGGTGTTGCCATTTGATATAGAAGGGAAGGTGGCCTCGAAAGAAGGGCCAGTAAGCAGGCTACCCATGACTCCCTGATCATATCCAAAAAGCATGTTCCTATCACACGAAGAGGAGTGTTAGAAGTCACTTTAAATGCGATTCATTTCCATCCCTTCCCGGATATCATGCTCACCCGATTCCACATGTAGCTGTAATCAGATATTCTATCCATGCTGATCTAGCTCCCCGACCTCTCAGCGGGTTAATGATAAACGAGTAATAGGGCGTACTGAAAGGTTTCATGATAATATTCTGTTGAAGGTATGTTCAAGTCGCGAATGGTGGTGCAGGGTATTCTAGTTTCGCCTGCGAATAAGTCGAGAGAGGATAGATTGCCAAGCTCGACGAGGCTTGGTAGATATTTCGTTATAGTACCCTTAACTTCAAGTGTCCCAAGCAGCCTAGTGCATTATTTTTACCCCCATTTCCCCAGACTACAAAGATTTGCGGGGATGGTCCAGAGCTAAAATTTGATATACGTCAGGAAATGCACATCGCATCGGGGTCAGCAAAATAGAATTGCTATTGAGTTAGGGGCTTGAAGGGAATTAGCTCGAGGGATAGCATTATTGATCCACAGTATTAACCAATCAATCTTTTTATCGAGCATGGTCACCCAATTACAGGCCCAAATCCGTGTTTGTTAACAAAGGCGAAGCCTGAGGTTCCCCGCACGGTTCCAAATTTGGGCTTTCGGCTCAGACTTGCTAATGCATCGGCAATGGCTTTCGATGCGAGCCCCAACTTTTCGGGTCCGAGGATCCCTCTTGATGTCAGAAAAGGCTCGCCAGGGGTCTCGTCTGCTCCTGCGAGCCGAAAATATTGTGGCATTCCACAATAATTAGGATAGTGGGTTTCTGTGAGAAAATAGGGAAATCTTTGGCCTCTCCACATTTTCTGAGTAGATACGAGGCCCATTCATCGGGGTTGTGGAGTTGATGACGATCCTAGAAGTTAGGGTATACACGGCTCATGTAGTTCGAAGAATGAATAGCCCACCAGTATCAGGTATCCGAGGATAGTAGACCCTCGAAGCGAAGACATGTTTCAAGCAAGCTTTGCGGTGCTACGCTAACCAAGTTACATTAGTGGTGGTGCCTTTCTTTGCTCACATTATTATCTCTTTAAAAAGTAATCAGTATGCTAAGAAAGCAAAACATCAAGCTTATTCTGATAACTAGACCATTCTATAGTTTAACCGCGATGAAGGCTCTTGTCTATACTGGACCTGGAACGATCGAAGTCTTAGAATGCCCTAAACCGACCATACAGACACCTACAGACGCAATCGTACGGTTGATACACACCACAATATGCGGCACAGACTTGCATATTCTCAAAGGTGACGTCCCAAATATCCAGCCAGGAATTATTCTAGGCCATGAAGGTATTGGGATAGTTGAAGAAGTGGGCTCAGCGGTAGATAACTTCCAGACAGGCGACCAAGTACTAATATCATGTATGACGTCTTGTGGTGCATGTCGATTTTGCCACAAAGGCATCCCGTCACATTGTGCAAAGGGTGGATGGACTTTAGGAAACAGCATTCACGGAACCCAGGCTGAGTTTGTACGAGTGCCATACGCAAAGCTGTCGCTGCATTTATTGCCCCCGTCGGTAAAACCCCAGGATGCTATGATATTGTCCGACGCTTTTCCGACTGACCTAGAATGCGGTGTCTTGGGCGCCAATGTCCAGCCTGGGTGCTCGGTAGTGATTATAGGTGCGGGCCCGGTGGGAATGGCGATATTGCTAGCTGCTCGGCTCTACTCGCCATCGCTTATCGTTGCGGTGGATATTGACGAAGCACGTCTTGCTGCAGCGCGAAATTTGGGTGCCCATGCTACAATTCAATCATCAGATCCGGAATCTCTACAGCAGCTCTTAAACCACACCCAGGGCGAGGGTTATGACTCGGTCATTGAGGCGGTTGGTATTCCTGCAACCTTCTCGCTCTGCCAGAAGCTGGTAGCTGTAGGAGGACGCATCGCAAACGTGGGTGTGCACGGGACGAAAGTGGACTTGCATCTGGAAAGTCTCTGGGATCGTAACATAAGTGAGTATTGGCTCATTAAATGAGAAATTCATTGGGAATGCTGACTCGGAAGGTTTGCACATGTCGCTGGTTAATGCGACCACAATACCGCGACTACTAAGACTAGTGGAGTCAGTTATTCTAGACATCAGCTCATTAGTGACACATCGTAAGTTTCGAATCATTTTCCTTTGAATTCGTTATCAATTGGTCACTCAAAGGGTAATTACAGCCTTTCAAGGCAACGCTCGCTAATATTGAAATCTCGATGATTAGGCTTTCATTATACTGAGGGCCCAGAGGCCTACGCAACTTTCCAGCAAGCAGCACAGCACCAGGCGTTGAAAGTGGCCATTGACTTTGACACGGTGTGAACTGGAAGGGTATAGATTACAAATGTTGTGAATCCTGATTTGAATTTGCATTTATTGAGAATTAATACCTTATTACCATGCTTACTCTTAGTAAATCTACCGAGGTAGAAATTTTGCATCCATAGTAACTTCTTTCATTTGACCTCGCTCTGATAATGTATCAGCAACCGAATATCTATTGTTACCGAGCATCCATCCCATTTGGAGCAAGATAGAAAGAATAAAGGGTGAATGGCCCGATTGGCATGGAACCCAGAGTCTGCGATCAAAATTCCGTGAATTCTTGACCAAAGATTCAAGTACCCGAGGTATGACGGACTGTTATGATCAGCATTGAATTGCAGCTCGCTTCAATGAATCCATCGCGTACTTGTGCACCAACAGCTTTGTGGCTGGTGGCGGCGACCTGACCGCGGAATGCACGGATACCACGAAAGTCAAAGCGTCGGGAGAAGCGTGATTGGACTAGAAAGCGGCTCCGCAATTGGACTCGATGCGAAGGACTGAACCAATCATTCAGTGTTATATAAATTGCGGAGAGCGGCAGGTGGTACGCGGGGTGAGTTGTGGGGGTAGTGATGGTGGTAAAGAAACCGGAGCTTGAGTGAAGGGGCTGGGGAGGCCAAAACCGACATTGATTGGTCCCCAAGATGCAACGCGTTCTGGAGACAGAGTATCGTTTGATATCTGGGGAAGGATGACAAGTCATAAACAATCCTTAAGATGCCAATGTCCCCAGCATCGCTGCATTCCATCACCATCTAAACTTTTTTCCTGTCTCACAATCTATCATGGACGCAGCCGATGTTGAAAGCCAGGCGAAAGAAATATCGTCTCATGAGGTTGAAAATGTGGATGCCATCGAGGAGTTTTCGTTCACTGGCGAGGAAGAGAAAGTGTTGGTGAGGAAGATTGACCTCACTCTTCTGCCTACAATCTGGGTGATGTACCTATTGTCCTACTTGGACAGAACCAAGCAAGTTTTGTTACGTCAAGGCCAAGCAAGGACACTGTGAGTTACTAATGATATTTTTTTACAGTATCGCAAATGCAAAGATCTCTGGTATGGAGGTAGATCTCAATTTGACGTCTAACCAATACTCGATTGCTCTTGTTGTTTTCTTTGTTGGATATGTGGTATTTGAGGTTCCTAGCAAGTATGGATTCATGTCCATCCAAAATATATGTTTGAGCTATGACCAATAACTGTCTTTTCTTGATAGTCTCGCTCTCGGTCGATCCCGACCCTCGATATTCCTTCCCTCAATCATGATTCTATGGGGCACATTGACGTGTGTCATGGCCGTCGTGAAGAGTTTTGCTCATCTGGTCGTTCTGAGGACAATCATCGGATGCATTGAGTCCGGATTTGCCCCAGGTGTCCTTCTACTTCTGTCATCGTGGTATAAACAAAACGAACAATCAAAGAGATTCGGAGTGTTTATATCTGCTGCTGTCCTATCGGGGGCATTCGGAGGTCTTATTGCTGCCGGTATTGTCGAGAGTCTCGATGGATCTCATGGAATTGAAGGCTGGCGGTGGCTGTTTATCATCGAAGGCGTGATCACTATTGGCTTTGCTATAATTTCAATTTTTATTCTTCCTGATTTCCCGTCAACGACACGGCGTCTTTCTGATCGTGAACGACAAATAGCCGTGGTACGCCTGACTAAACAGCATGTTACTGCTGCCACTGAAGATACCGAGCACTTGAGCAACTTAGGTGCTTGCAAGGTAGCCTATCAGGACTATCGTACCTGGGCTTTTGTGATCGGCTATATGGTTCGTTCATACATCTTTCCAGTCAATTTCTTCAGCCCCATACTGTGGTCTCTACGAAGTCTCACTTAATTTTCCCCTGTACCCTTATTTCACAGTAATGGAATTAACTTTTTTGCTTACTGCCCCTTAGGTTATCGTTGGGTCAAGTACTCTCACCTACTTCTATCCGACCCTTGTAGAAGGGCTTTTCGGCAATGCTTCGACTAAGAAGATCAACTTATTGACTGTCCCAATCTATGGGGTGGCATTTATCGCCACCGGAATTACATCCTACTATAGTGATAAAGTGCCGACATGGCGTGGCCTGATTATTGCCAGCTGGCTAGCATATTCCCTGATCTGTTCCGTTCTTGTGTGCACCATTTATAATTTCGAAGCTCGATATGTCCTTTTGGTTCTCATGGCAGCTGGCCTTTGGTCCACCAATGGAGGTACCCTCGCATATGCGTCTTCTGCATTTGCTGGGATGCACCCGCAAGCTAGAGGAGTTGCTTTAGCCATGGTGAATGCTCTAGGTAATTTGGCGCAAATCTACGGCTCGGTACGTGTTAGCTTTCACTTTTCTTACCCGGCTGCAAGCTAATCTGAATCTTATAGTATCTTTTCCCCGAGAGTGATAGCCCCAAATACATTATGGGGTTTTCCGTCATCTCTGCAATGCTGGCAGTTGGCGTGGTTGTATTTTTGTTTTTACACATTTGGTTTCGTCAGCGCCTGCGGTCCAATCTCGTCCAGTGATCTTACTTTAATTTTAGCTCTCGAGAAGAGAATAAAAGTGGTAGTTCCCGGGTACTGCATTATTCAACTAGAACAACATGAAGCTACTGTAAGTCTGAAGTTGACTTCTATCTTGTGCCCACCAAGTGCACATAGCGCAAAAATAGATTCCCTTTTCGACCAATTTTCCTGTCAATTGAAAGTTGTTATGATACAAGTTCTGGCATTTATTATAGTACAGATAGCCTATTACACCCCGGGAACAAGTAAAGTTCGTGATATCGGCTGCGATCATTCCTGCCAACCTTTCTTCAGTCGATTGGCAAGTCCCTTGGCAGGGAATTTGCTAATTTTAATCATATTTTCTAAAATCCGGAGCAATTCACCGCGCATCTCGGCCGACCGAACAAATTGACCAACTTGATATCCGTCAGTAAAGTTGACAATTGGAGTAGCGAGACACTTACCCCCAAATAATGCCTGCACATTGACAAAGGCCATTGCGACCTCATGTTCCTGACAAGAGTTTGCGATGCCGCAGACAATTTTAATGCTCTCAGTAAGTTGTTTGTCACGTTGCAAGTAGGCAGTTAGTCCGCCCATAGTAGGTTGATTGAGCAACACAATTGCCCTAGCAAAATGGTACATCTGCATGGCGCCTGCATGGTTTGGGGGGTGAATCCAAATAGGTGGAAACGCTGTATTCAAGTCCAGGCTTGTTGCACTGGCAACAGTTATATTATGGTAGGAAGCGGGGAGAGCACGATGCCAATCATCGAGCATGCGAAGAAGCTGATCGCCATGCTCGATTCTCTCTCTTGGATCCGTATTCGGCGTTACTCTCTCGGAAGAAGCATATTTTACGCACTTTCCACATATATAGACTATTCTTGTCCCCAACTCATCTGAATCTAACGCGTCGAGAGGCTTTCGTGCACGCCAGAAGGTAATAGTAGGCCGCCCGGCTTGGAAAGCCGCCCAAATATCCTGTCTAAGCCAAGCCCACCACACAGCCTGTCTTAAACCATCAACAGATTCCCCGTCATTATCCTGAGATCGCTGAATCCAAAAAGAGCCTCTAAGATGTTGTTCCCAGACTCCACCATTTGAGGCGCTGTCGGAATCAAACATCTCGTACGTGCTGATCATGGTCGCTGTTGCCAGTATCTCGTGAGAGTCTGCATAAGAGGGATAAAGTAATGTTTGCGAAAGATATTGAAGTGTTTCGTAATAGTATTGTGTAGCCATGTGGGCTGGAGCAGTCTCTGAGTCTGGGGAAAGACCAGTCGATGTCAATGGCGTTTGAACATTCGCGTTTGGTGCCATAGCATTGCTTATTGAGTCTCCATCTGGTATGTCTGAAACACCAAGAGACATGTGCTTGGCACCCACTGCGAGAACTGACTTCAGAAGTCCAGTATTTCGTAGCGCGAGGTGAGGTACGACATTACTGAAATGCCTAGCACGATCAAACAAGTCTAGTATTGGGCCAACCACGTCGATATAATATCGAAAGAACGTGAGGTCGATTTCCGAAAGCTCTATCCTAGTTGTCGTATTCCAAGGCTGGTTTTCCCGGTCGGTTACAGCCGGTTGCTGCTCTTCATGCCTCTTGAACGGATCGAGTCGAGAATCAGGACACTCACGGGCTGGCGATTGCCTACGAGAAAGAGCAATCTCGGGAAACTTCCATCTTGAATCGCCGCCTGAGGTATCATTTAGCCTTTGGATGTGGTTGATAGCATCCCGCGCTAACAAATCATACCACTCGAAGGGAGAGATGTTCAGCAAGGAGGCTTGGCTTAATGTCAGTGGAGAAGCAGAAATTGCAGAGTCAAAGCCGGGTGGGCTTTGCTCGTTAGGCCCATTCAAATCACCCCATGACGCCTCGGGCGAGTCGCTTTGATGAGCCGGCACGGCTTCATCGGCAGGGGCGTTGGTGGCTCCAGGCGGATGCACCGGGCCGGCGATCTGGGAAGTGGCCTGGGCATATTGACAAGTGCGTCCTGTCTTTGAACAACGTAGACACGTTGGCTTACCATCGTCGCACTTTACTCGTCTCTCCCTGCAAGTGAGGCTGTTATGTGTGAGCGAGCTTGATATTCGCTTAGGTGACCTTGAGAGTCATGTTTCCACATACCATCCTGTTCTAGTTCTCAATCCACGAGCCCTGGATGGTCTAATTCGTTTACGACGATTCCCCGCGGTGTTGCCCTCAGACGTCGTTCTTTGCTGTACAGTAACGTCCATGGGGGATGCATTGTGGTGGATTCGCATCGAGGGCACCCACTAGTTAAATAACCATTTCGCTTCTTTTGCCCCATCTTCCTATGCTCCACTTATTAGACTTCGGGCAAAGAGAGTTACCAACCAGCACCTTCTCCTAGGGTCAACCTGGTTAGGAATCTCATGTCTTATTAAAGCCGGCTATTTCTATTTTTCTGTTAGAATAAGAGCACAATGAACAACCGTAGATATGCAGTTGTTATAGTGAGATATACTGGTCTGTTATAGTAGAAAGTTGCCCAGGAAAATTGACTGACCAGAAAATGTGTTTATCCTTAAGACTTTAGTGGACATTAAGCGAGCTGTCTGTCACAAGGCCAAGATCGCGCCAAATAGAACGACAATAACTAGACATGACATTTGTCCCTAGTCAGTCTAGGCAGACAATCAATGCAGCTCCCGCAACAACTCTCGATTGTCTGTGCCCTTCTCCTGTTCTTGCGCTAACTTTCTAGGTTCACTAAACCTGATAGACGCTATGAACGATATCGAAGGAAGTGAAACCATTTCCTGGGATGTCTAACCCACAAGACGCATGCATGACCACTACCGACCTATGGGGGAATGTCTCAATTCGATGTTAGTTTAATTCTTGATGTCTTAACACTTTTTATCGGGTTATTTCAGTTGATTTCCTGCTCCCCAAGATGGTACCTTCATCTCCTGCTCTCATATTCGTGTCATGGCCAGATCAGAGACCAAGCCCGAACCGCAAGCGCAAGCTCCGGAGTCGTGGACTGCGTGCTACCACCGGCTGGTTAGTTCTACTCATCCATTTAATCTGTGACATGATCATTTTTCTCACACGACTATACCATAATCTGCAAACGCCGCCATGTGAATTGCGACGAAGTAAGGATCTGTCAATGACAAAAAGATAAATTTTAAATTTTAAATATGTTTAATCGACTAGGTTCAACCTCAATGGGGTCCCTGCGCAATTGGTGGCCGGTCTTGCATTTACAATCCCGATTGTACGAACCTAGACGCATCCAAGCCTCTACCAGAAGAATATGGAAATCGAAGCGCCGAGCACAAACCAAAGATTAGCTCTTTCACAGACTTGTCGAATTTTATTCGTGATAAGCAAGCGGGCTTTCGCCCACGAGGGGAACCTGTTATCCCACACACTACCGACGAAAATGTGGCTCTTCTTACTCCTAGCTCTTCATTTGCCTCTGCGACCTCCCCAAGCACGTATGGCTATCAGGTAGCCAGGAAATTCGAATGTTTGGAAACAGCTTCCAATGGGGTTCATGCCGAGCAGAAGTCTTCATCGCAGCATGTCACCGACGACCGAATCATCAGTGCAGCAAAATTGAGTCCTGCATCCCACCTAACTTCAATGGATCAGATATCTGATGCCGAGGTGCTGGACAGCAGTGCTAGTGTGGCTGACCCGTCTCCCTCCTGGATCTCAGAACACCCGGTTCAGCTCTCAAAATTGGAGCTCCTTCTTTTCCCAGAACTTTATTCATACAGTGAGCAATTTACTCGATTTTCATGATCCTGAAAAGATTTCGCAAGAAAGGTTCCACACCTAGTCCTTCGGAATGTAGGTTTGATGAAAGCATTGTTGGCCCTTTCCGCGCGCCACTTTTCCCTAGGAGCAGGAGCATCAATCGAGGAAGACGACATTTCAGTGAATCTAGTGTATACAATTGATCGAAATTTAGCTTTAAAGTACTTTGCCGAGTCAACTCGCTATTTAAACTCGGCTCCCCAGTATCCGTCATATGCGCAAAGTGTAGACTTTGTCGTGACCGCTATGCTCATCAGTACCTACGAAATTATCGACGGCTACAATCAACACTGGGAAAGACATATTGAAGGGATAATTTGGATTCAAAATTCTCAAGCTAACAACGGGGAGTCCGGTGGACTCCGCTCTGCCGTCTGGTGGGCTTCGCTTTATCAGGACATTTGGGTTGCTATGCTCGAACAGCGTCGCGTACACAGTACTTGGAGGTCATTGACTCCCGTATCCTCCCTCGCACTGCCAGAGCTTGCAAGACATGCTTCTTACCTTCTTGCTCGATGTACAAATTATGCTTCAGAAGAGACACAAGAAGACATAGCGTGTCGTTTTGACCGATGGAATGAGCTTCTCCGTCTACTCCAAGAATGGCGTGCAGTGCTTCAGCGTGAATATAGCCTCTTACCTTTAATTTCGAACGATGAAATTTTTCCGACGATATGGGTAAACCCACCATCCCATGCGGCGGCTTTACAAATTCAGAGCCTCGCTCTCATACTTGTGGTCTTGCACCATCCTTCCTTAGGTGGTAATAGGGATAGCCAGAAAGCACATCACATGCTGACTGCATCTATGGATATTATTGGTGGAATTGCAAGGTCCGTTGACATGAAAGACATTGGTGCCAGCATTTTATCACTGAATTGTTTATATGGAGGTAAGATGGGTATCGGGGAGTCATCATTTATTCTGACAATACTAATGCTCGATAGCGGCAATGTGTGTCCAAGACTCGGATGAACAGCATCTTAAAAATAATAATAATTATTTTTTTAATAACTAGGAATACTTTAAGAAATAGACTTTTATCTTAAAATATAATAAAAATATCTTTACTAGAGAAGTTAATAATAAGATAGAATATTATTATTAATAAACTAATAAAGAACTAAAGGCCTTTTATTACTATTTTATAGATTTAGAATATTATTTTCTTTAGGTCTTCTAGGATAAGTAAATATACTATTATATATTAAAACTATAGCTATAGTTAATACTATATATTTATTAATATATAAAGGTTTCTTCTAAGACTTAAGTATAATAAGTAGAAAAAATATAGAGTACCTAGGAATTTATAAAAATAAAAATATATAAATATAATCTATTTATTAATAATTTAAATTTAAGCTTAAAATATCTATAATCTAATAACTTATTCCTAAATTAGTCTAATAGTATAAAATAAGACTAAAAAAATGCTAGAAATCTATACTTAAAAGATCTTTATAATCCTAGATTTAACTTAAATTATAATAATTCTAAGTTATATTTAAATCCCTTTTACTTTAAAGATAAACCTTAATTATTTTTCTCTTAGAATAAGAATAATCTAAATAATATATCTATTAAAAGGACTAATCTATTTAATCTATTTAATCTATTTACTAGAATCCTTTTAAATAGTTATTTTAATTATAGTAAACTAGATTACTAAATAAATAGATATTATTTATTACTATAAGCCCTAAGAATAAAGATCTAAAAAGCTTATTTAAAATCTTAGTATTACTATAATAATACTTAGTTAAAAGACTTAGGAAAAATATTAGGATTAAATTAACTTCTATAAATTCTAATTCCTAGTTTTAAATAGGAATAATTATTTATCTTTATATTCTAATTTATATCTAAAATAATATTAAGATATATATAGATATTGATATCTATATAGAGATAGATCTTATTAGTTATAAATTTATTTAGAAATATTACTTTAACTAAACTAAGTATAATATTCCTATTCTAGAAGTAATAAACTAATAAATTATCTTTATTTATAGTATATAGATTATTCTAATTATTATATATAACTCTTAAAGAAGTAAATAAAAGTTTTTATATCTCTATATTATAATTAATAGAGATCCCTATTTATTAGGATTATTAGTATTATTATTAAATATAACTATCTAAGAAATATAAATTATATCAATCCTATAATAAAAATAATAGTAGTTTAAATATAAAAGAGAAATAATAGAATAGTCAAAGTCTTATTAGTTTATAAAAGTATATAGGAACTAAGTCTATATCTTTATAATTATTAAAATATTTAAAGAAGTCTAGCTTTCCCTAGAGAAAGAAAGGGAATTAATAGTAAGTTAAGACTAAATCCCTTCTAAATTACTAGTATTCTAGGATATATTTAAGGTATAGAACTCTAAAATTATACTATTATAAAAGAAGACTAACTACTTAATTAAACTTAAAGAAGATATATTATCTTTATATAGCCTAATCTATCTTCTTTTATAAATAGAACTTATAGAGTTATAGAAGTATTTTAATAAAAACTTAATAAATAGTTAAATTAGATTATTAAAGAGCCTAGCTAGTATATCTATCCTATTTATATCTAAAAAGAATAGAGAGCTATAGCTCTATATTAATTATTAAGATCTAAATAAGATTTTAGTTAAAACTTAGTACTCTCTATCTCTTATTTTAGAGATTCTTAACTACTTTTCTAAGACTTAATTCTTTAGTAAAATTAATATATTTAGATAATATTCTTATTTTCTCTAGGACCTATAAAGAATATATAGAATATCTTTATCTTATACTTAAAAGATTAAGGAAAATATAGCTATTTATAAAAGTCTCTAAATATTAATTTTATAAGGAATAAGTTAAATTCTTTAACTTTATTATTAATTAAAATAGTATCTCTATAGACTTAGAATAGGTTTAAGCTATTTAAAAATATAAATAATCTATATTCTATAGGAAGATTTAAATCTTCCTAGGATTCTATAACTTCTATTAAAGATTTATTAAAAATTACTCTTTAATTATATTACTATTTATAAAGCTTCTTAAGAGAAATAAAAATAAGAAAAAACTAAGGAATATTAAACTAAATAACTATAAATTAAAAGTATTTTAGGTTTTAGAATAGATAGAATCTTTTTATAACTAGATAATTAAAGAATATAGTATTTTATTATTTTCTAGTTAAAGAAATTCTTACCTATAGAATAGAATTATATAATATTAGATTAAAAGTTATTTATAATTATTTATTTATTTAAATATTAGTATTAATATCTTAAAAAAAGCTAATATTAAGCTAAGATTCTAATAAATTACTATAACCTAAAGTTATTTATAGATTAATCTAAGATTAATAGAAAATAAATATATTAATATTTTTTCTTTATTCTATTTAACTTTATAATATATTACTATTTAAGAAAGACTAATCCTATAAATAGTATCATAGGCCAATACCCGGTATAAAGTCACGTAACACACGTAACCATAACAACCTAATATATAGAACACCTACTTAGTAATTCTCTCTTTAAGCTTTTTATATATAATACATAGCCTAGCTTAATTAAATATAAATTCTACTTTAGCCCTTTATAAATAAAAAGCTTCTAATTAGATATTATAAAAATCTAAAACCATATATAAATCATCCCTGAATTAAGAGTGATTTAATAATATAACCCCTAAATAAAAGATATAGAAGTCTATAAGCCTACTATTATAGGTATAGACACTACTATAACAAATAGTATAATTATAAGCTATATAGAGCAAATAGAATAAGCGAATTAATATAGAACATATAGTATAGGAGGAATTAATATAATAATATAACTAAAAATATATTACCTAAGATAAATAAATCTATCGTTTAGAGACTATAATAGAGTAATTAGTCTTATAGTCAATAATAATAATAAGAGAACTAACTCTAGTATAAACCATAGTTAAATCAACCCTAGAATCCCTATAATTAGAACCTATATATTACTTAAAGATACAATTACTAGACCTAATCCTATTTAAGGGAAAAGTAGCTAACTAACTAATATAATATATAATAATAGAGAATAAACTATATATTAATAATATAGTAATTAGCTTACCCTAAGATTAGTTTATATATATATTCTCTAGGCTTAAGAAGCTTACTTAAAAAATATTAGAACCTTTATAAAATTATAATAAAACGATAGGGATCTATAGATAATTCTAGACTATCTTAAAAGTATTTATAGGGACCTAAATATTAAAACATATACTATAAGATATCTCTATTAGATACACTAGTCAAATAATATATCTTTTATAAAATTCCTTCCTAGATTAGAGAAGGAGTTTATAGATATAGATATCCTTAAATAGTATAATAAAACAAAAAGATAGATCTTATTAGGATTTTTAAATAAAAGTATAATAAATTTGTTAATAAATTATAGTATTCCTGCTATATTTTTAGACTTTATTACTTAGTTTTATAAAATTAGTACTAATATAGATACCTTTAGTATTAATACTCTAGAAAGATTATATTATATATATACCTAGTAACACTAGGACTTAATAGATTAGATCCTAATTACTATAGTTAATTAAGCTAAATTCTATATAAAATACTACTAATCAGGACCTAAAATAAATAAATAAATAAAATAGATTAATTATAAAGAGATAGAAAAATAATAAGATAAAGAAAGATACTTTTATTATAATAAATAAGACTACTTTATTATAAAGTATTCTTTACTAGTTATATAGTACTAAGAACTAAGAAAAAGATACCCCTATAGGATTAAAAATAAGAAAGCTAGATATATAATTAACTATAAGTTAAATATATTAGCTTCTAAGAATAAACTCTTCTTAAATAAAGATTTAGGAAAAGAGTAACTCTAGTTCTAAGTTATAAATAAAAGTAAAAAGAAGTTAAAAAGCTACTAAAATAAGAAATATTACTATTTCTAGTTAATACT